GCACAAATATTTTGCCTGACAAACCATCTCAACATGCCCAGTCTGCCCAAGGCTCACTCCGGTGGAAGATAGAGCCACGCCCTTTGAGCCACAAATGCCATCTCTGGAGCTCCAGCCACAGAGGCATGTTGTAAGGATATTCGAAATACGTACGTACGGAGCACCGTGCTCGGTACGGAGCACTGCTAGTGGGCAATCGCAAACAGCAGTGTTGTCAAACCAACCAATTCAGAGCCTCAAAGCCCCGATCTAAACCCGCTCGAGGTCCATGAGCTCATGGCTGCACCACTAACAGCTGTCACACAACGACGGCCAGATCATCACCGTCATTATTATTCTCCTCGACGCCTTTCTGCACCCTGCGCTGTCTCATGCCGTGCTGCATTTTTTTTTTTATCAGAGAAGGGGACCCCCTGCCTCCATCCCCCAATTAAATAAAGTTAGGAAGAAAAACTAACACACAGCACATGCTCCGTAAAAAATATACAAATGCAGGCAAAAAAAGACAAAAAACAAAAAAACAAAAACAAAAACCAAATCTGTGCGGCCGCGCGATATCCCCGTCGGGAGATGCAAGCGGAAATTATTACGTCGTCACCCACCCGGCGAAGACAGACTCGGTACTCCTCATTGTTAGGAAGTGTACGGAGGAATAGTCGGTCTACAGAGTATTCGGCACGTCATCTGGTGCTAGAAGCGCAGCGCTGTTTGCGGTCTGGGCTGGTGGCGTTCACGCCACACCCCCAGCTGCTGCTTGCTTGGGTGCGTGCCTAAGTAAGTACGGAGGACTCAAGTAAGTATGCGAGAAAATGTGCGCCAGACACCCCCAGACTTGTGTGCTGCCTGCCCTGGCTTCTGTGTAGGGCCCCGCCTAGCGCCATTGCCACGCCCTCGAAGTCCTCAAGCCCGTACTCCGTAAGCCATTTGCGTTTGGCTTCAGTGTTTGGCGCGCCTGGCGGGAGCTCAGATCTCACGAGTTCTGCGTCATACCACGGCCACGAGTTGGCCGACGCCATGACGGGTCGACCGCACAGGTGCACACTGCAGGTGCATGCTTGACAGGTAATGACTGCTACCCATCGTTTTGGACAGATTCGTTTTCGTACGACGCACCCTGTCTGTACGGAGAAGTGCTTGCATACAATGTGTCGACAGGAATTGCAGCACCCTGGCAGCTCATGGACCCGTCGACGCTCGACGCTGTGCTCCGTACCGAGTACAGAGTACCGAGCACAGAGTGCCGAGCACGGAGCACGGGGCACGGAGCACGGAGTACAGAGTACAGAGTACAGAGCACCGAATGGTCCATGCAGCTTTAGGCGGCGGCCTCTACACTTATGCATGTCACGGCGTGCTCGCCTGCCTGCTGGTGCTGGGCCGGTGCTGGGCCAGCGCTGGGCCAGTCGCGTGTGCCAACCCGTCGTCGTCGTCGTCGTCGTCGCCGTCGTCGTTTGTTGCGGCTGTCAACGATGAAATGTCCATCCTCGTGACTTTGGTTTCGTGTCTCCTGCATGGATCATGGGTGACAATCGACCAAAGACGGCCAGAGGCTGCCAGACGCCACGAATGGATATTTGCGACAGAGCTCGTCGATTCGGACGCGGGAGAGCAGACCGCCCCGGCAAGGTGAAGGCCCAAGGCGCACGGCAGAGAACCAGACGGATGCGGGATATGGTTCTATTACTCCACGGAGTACTCGGTCTATTACTCGGTGCTCATCAGTCACTCGGTTCTCATGTCGCGCAGCACAAGCCCTTTTAGGCACGAGAGCCTGAGAATGTCGTCTTGCCTTGTCCTTTCTCCATGCATTGTGTCACACAGGACATGACTCTCTGTGACGCAGCCACGGGCCCCAGGATCTCGCCGCCCTCGCCGCGGCCATGCTAGACGGTACAGAAAAGAGGCCACCTACACTACGGAGTATTCCTGCACGTCCCTTTGACTTGGTGCGCTGCTCTAGCTGCGGCCCTGCCTTTGTTGACCTTGGGCCCATCCATGTGCCATCAATCCGTCCTGCTCTCCTGTTGTTGCTGGCCACTTGGCAGGATTTGGAGAGGAAGAAACAAGCCGTCAACTTGGTAAAGAACCCTGTACCCTGTTTTAGCCGTTGTCAAGATGCGGGCTGGGCATGGGCAGGTCACGGCGCATGATGGGGACGTGGACTCTCGTTGGCCTTTCGGCACGGCGGAGAGAGAAAGTCAGAAATCCCCATCGCCATCAAGCAAACTCTTTTTTTTCAAGTCAGGCAGAGTCACGGTGCAAGGTGCCAGTGGCCCTGAGCTTGCTCCGTCCCAAATAGCCGGGTCCATCACCCAGCGGACGGCTGTGGCGAGCTACTTCAGTAGCTTGCTTTAAGAGGTTCGAAAGGCTTGCTTGGACTTGTGGGCTTGGGCTTGGGCTTGGGCTTGGGCGTGGGCGTGGGCGAGGGAGTGGGCTTTGTTTCTGCCGGGGCTTCCATGCCCCTCCATGATGAATGACCATGAATGAGGGCACGGAGTAGAGATGCCAGCAATACTTTGTTTGCACGGTGATTCGAGCACTCGACCGAGTTATGCGAGCCTGTTTCTGCCTCACAACCAGGACTAATTGGACTAATTGGCGCTAAAACTTGACAGCTCCCCCAACAAGGACGGGGTACTCCGTACGCCGCGACGACTCTCAATTGGATTGGAGCTTACTGATGGCCTCTAATACTTGGCTGGACGTTGTTGCGCGCACGAGGGAAGTGCTTGGTCCCTCCGTCCAGAGCGACCGGCAGAGTGACCAAGTCGAGGTCTGACACATTAGGCTTAATACGTACTCCGTACGTACTTACCCAGGTCCGGAGAGGTACTCGGATGTCACGGGTTTTGTTCATTCTTCTCGCCAGTAGTTCCTGTTAGGGTCGCGTTGCATACTGATGATGCACTAAGCGTCCATCAATCTTAATCGTCACTCACGTATGTCACTCAAGTTTGCCTCCTGTCCTTCCATGCTGGTCATCTCGCCGAAGCTGCCAGCGCGCCTGCTAGCACACCAATGCCTTAGCAAGAATACCGCCGGCCAGCGCCATGCTCACCCCCCCTCCCCTTTCCACCAAGTTGAGCAAAGTCCTTTTTTTTTTTTTTTTTTTTTTTTCCTTTTTTGTCCCGTCACCTTGGTGCTTGGGTTGGCCTGCAGCCGACCTCGTTTGCTGTTGTTAAATTTCCTTTATTTTTCCGCCAAGCTAGTACTCCGTCTTTTTATATATGTACCTTGAGTGTTTTTTCTACTGCAGCCACACCCTTCTGTTGCCCCGCTACCCCCCCTTACCCCCCTTTCCCCTCTTGTCAGCCCACGTCTGTCGACGCCTGCTCGCTTGCCCATGCCAGCCAGGGAGGCAGAGGGGAATCCATCCCATCCATGTCAATCGATTGATGAACACCCATCCCATTGCCCTTGCTCCCGGACTTCGCAGAAGCGCATACCAAAAAATCCATTTCTGATCGTTGTTGACCTACGAGAGGGCCTGCCCAGTGCAAGTTGGGAGTTGTTGGTTCAAAGTACCAAGCTCCTCCGAAGGCACACTCTCGTACTCGGTACTCCCTCGAGTTACATGGTGCTCGTCTTTGGTGAGGACTCGAAATTTACTACTTTTACTTGCATATCCCACGCTTTCCAACCGTCCCTTCCTCCACCACCTTCTTGCCCTAGACCTCGACTACCTCCTTCCCTCTTCAAGGCTTGTTACGCCTCGGCCAGCTACTTTCTTGTTGTTCCCGACACATTCACATTGATTGACATTGACCATTTGCGAATGCACAAGCAGTGCTCTCTCCACGTCGCCCTGTGAGCATTGTGCATTCACCTCTTGTTCCTCCTGGTAGTCTGGGCCACCTGCCATCATCAAGTACCTGGGTACCGAGTACTTATAGCTTGCTGTCCCGCCACTGCTCACACGACGGCGCTGTCGGCTTGCCTCTCTGCTACCCACCCCAGAGCGCTTTCGTCTAGACCCTCGCCACCGCCAGCATACTTCCAGCACACGACATCAAATTTTCTGCAAACCGTCCTGGATTTACTCGAACTGCCTCGACTCACCCTCTCACCTACGCAATTGTGCAGCAGCAACCAGCAGGACAATTGCTCTACCCACGTTCTTACTCCCACGCGTTAGTCTTGCGAGCCAAACATATATTTGCGCTCGTTCGCTTTTGCGCCCTGGTGCTGTCCGTCTGACGTCTCCCGAGCCCGAGTCTTTTCCGCGCCGTTCAGCAGCAGAGGGGGAAAATAGGAATCAAAATCTCCTGCTGGACGTACCGAGGCTCTGCAGCCTTCGTTAGAGGCCAGCTTGACGCACCTAACGATCGCGCTCTTATCTTTTACCAAGGTCAACCCTAGGCTGGGCATTACTCGACTTCTTCTGCGGCTCGCGAGCGATACCTAGTGCTGCAGCAAACAACGTACATAACCCCGTACCCAAAAACAGCCACCTGCATACTACGTCGCGCTGCAGGCCTGCCACCTCATCATCGACCACACGCTGCCTTTGTTCTTGGGCCTCTCTGTGTCGACCTGACGGCCCTCCAGATCGCCCCCAAGCTGTAGCTCTGCTACCACACCCGGGTCGCATATCCATCGCAAACTGCCCCGGTCGACATAGGACGTACAAAAAGGACCAATTGGTAGGCAATTGCCATCCAGACGCACCACTCGCAGCCGCCTGCTTGCCCGAGCCCCTACAGCCATCGTTGCGGAAGACGACGCATCCGATACCACCACCTTGAGCATCTTCCTGGTCAGCAAGCCTTTTGGCTCTGCTGCAGATTTGCTAGCTCGGCATAATTGCTCTTCCTCCCTTCTGTCTCGTCGCACTTTGCCGGAGCCTGCTACTCCTGCCCCGGTCCACTCCTGTTCCCAACATGCATACCGGACTTACACTGGCTTCATAAATGTCGACTCGGTCATTCTGAGGTAGCTCGAGGCTCCATTCTGTTTCCGTCGCCTCTGTTCATGTGCGGTGCTGCAACTAGTGCACAACCATGATACCCGGCGAACCGGAAACTCAGCAGACGACGGCTTCTCCCAGTGTAGAGCAAAGAATGTCTGCTCTCTCACCCCAGTTGCGGCGTTCTCGCCCGGGCCACGTTCAGACTACCTTCAACTCCAACTCACAACCGGTCCACGTAGCGGATTCCGAAATTAGCGCGTCCTCGGCAGCTTCTAGCTCACAGCAGGGATCACCAATCATGTCTCCCGGTGCTGCCGTCTTGACGACGAACTCATCAATTCAGGCTTCGCCCGAACCCCTTGGATCACGGGATGATGATCAGTTCTCGGCCAGCTTTCAACTTCCAGACTCGATCTTGACTCACAAGACAAGCAACAATTCCCTGAGCAGGAGCTGGGTTAGTAGCACTAGCCCAATTGTAGAGGTGGCGGTTCCGGAACTCAGAAGTAATAGTGTATCTGCCACATCCATTGGCACTGCACCCACTGCCACGACCAGCAAGGGGAACTTGATTCGCAGATTGTCCAGCCGAGCCTCAAGGAGACTGACCAGTAGCAGAAGGAGACAGTCTTCTGCGACGCCCGCCAGCCGAGATGGGAGCATTGGCCCGTGTTTCTTGCGGCGGCGCAGCGACAGCAACAACACCGCTCCTCCCGACTACGTCCCTACACCTTCAACCGACTCGGAATCTGACCTGGACGAGAGAGATGATCTCATGTCGATTAAATCCTCATTCCTGGACCAAATCCCCAAAGGTTCTTCTGCGAACAGCACGACGGGCTCCATTTCGGGCAGTGCTAACAACATGGCCGGCCCAGTCATCCCTTTGCAGTTGCAGCGTGGCACATGGTTGAGGAAGATCTCCAAGAAGAATCGATCCAAACGCATCTGTCTCGTTTACGAACGAGAAACAAACAAGCTTGTTTGGGACCAAGCTCGTCCTCACAAGTTTTTACATGTTGATGAAATCAGAGAAATTCGATTTGAGTCTGACATCCAGCAATACGCTAGAGACTTCAATATTCCTGAGCCAGAACGATTGACCTGGTTCACGATTCTCTACACTATGCCTGACAAGTCTAAATCGAAACTCATGCATCTTATGGCCGACAGCGTAGAAACAACTAACCTCTGGATTAACTTTCTCGACGCCATGATGAGACACAGACAGGACGTTATGACGGCATTGATGACCTTCAACGACAAAGCCATCCAGCAGTATTGGCAGTCTGAAATGACGAAAAAATTTGGCGACAGTCCCCGGAATGAGGAACAGGAAGAGCTCGACATTACCGGTGTAATGCGAGTATGTCAGAATCTACACATTTATAGCTCACAATCTACTCTTCAGGCCAATTTCAGGCTCGCCGACGCGCGCCACTGCGACGCTCTTAGATTTCAGGAATTCTTGGACTTTGTTCGACTTATGCGTCAGAGACCGGATGTGCAGCGCCTCATTCGAAGCATCGCTGCCAAGCCTGGCAAGGGCCTGACATTTGCGGAATTCCTATCCTTCCTCAAAGACTACCAAGGTGAAGACGTCGAAGCCAACAAGACCACTTGGGAGAGGCATTTCAATAAGTTTGTCCGCAAATACCGATCTGACGATTTGGCGGGGCTGGGCATTTTGCAAGACGACTTATACATGTCCGAAGCCGCATTCATTGGGTTCTTGTCCTCGCGGCAAAGTGGCCCTCTAGTGGAGGAGCCTCAACAATACACGTTGGATCGCCCCATGAACGAGTACTTCATCTCCAGTTCTCACAATACCTACCTCCTTGGTCGACAAGTCGCTGGTCAATCCAGCGTTGAAGGATACATCCGCGCACTTGCTCAGGGATGTCGATGTGTCGAAGTGGACTGCTGGGACGGTTCTGACGGTCAGCCCCAAGTGGTCCATGGACGGACTCTTACATCGGCCATCAGTTTCAAGGAGGTCATGACCACCATCAACAAGTATGCGTTTGTCAAGTCCAGTTTCCCTCTCTGGATCTCTCTCGAGGTTCATTGCAGCCCTTCCCAACAAGCCTTGATGGTTGATATCATGAAAGATGCTTTCGGGTCAAGGCTGGTGACAGAGCCCCTGGACCCTTCGTCGGACAAACTACCGTCTCCATCGGAGTTGATGGAGAAGATTCTCATCAAGGTCAAGAAGCCACGAGGCGGAAGAGATGAGACCCTCCCAGCGGAACCAACCGGCCGACGACGTGGAAGCAGCTTGAGCTCGCCAGTTTCAAAGCCAGCTGTTCCAGACAGCGGCGCCTTTTCACCTTCGCAGTCAGTCCCCCAGAGCCCCCTTTTGCCCGCCTCCAACCAGGCCCGAAGACTGGTCAGCAAAAGTCGTGTCAATACCATCGCAGAAGGCGAGGTGCACGACATCCCGAGCAGTAGCACGAGCGACAATGAGAGTGGAAGCGAAATGGGCGGCTCTATCCGACGGTCACAAAACAAGACGACGCGGTACCTTGGTGCGCTTGGTGTATACTGCGCCGGAGTCAAGTTCTTTGGTTTTGAAGATCCCGCCGCCAAAACTTTCAACCACATCTTCTCGTTTATGGAGACCAGTTTCGCCAAGCACTCACGGACCAAGGATGCCAAGATGGCACTCGACATTCACAACATGCGGTACCTGATGAGAGTTTACCCCGACGGTCTGCGACTGGCTTCGAGCAACTTTGATCCTCTGATTTATTGGCGCCGCGGTGTGCAGATGGCAGCGCTGAACTGGCAAACTTTTGACTCGGGCATGCAGCTCAACAATGCCATGTTCCAAGGCGGCAAGGATGAGTCGGGATACGTTCTGAAGCCTGATGAGCTCCGTGACATCCAGATTCAGCCATACAATTCTGCTATTGCCGAAGGCAAGAAGGAAAGATCTGTGGTGAGGTTTGCCATTGAGGTTATTTCGGCCCAGCAGCTTATGAGGCCCGCGAACCTCGCCGCCAACAAGTCGATGGATACTTATGTTGAAGTGGAGATTTTCCATGCCAACGATAAACGAGACAAAAAGGAAATTGGCTCATGGCTGACCCACGCTCTTGATTCGCCGCTCAAGTTCCAGACGGATGTAGTACGCGAGAACGGCTTCAATCCCGTGTTTACCGGTGGCCCGTTCAAGTTTACTGTGACCACGAAGCACCCAGAGCTGATCTTTGTGCGCTGGTCTGTCAAGCTAGCCAGCTATGGGGAGAGTTACAACAGCAAAGAAGGCTCGGCCATTGCCACGTACACGGCGAAACTCAAAAACCTCAAGGGGGGGTACCGCACTATACCACTCCACAACCACGCAGGGGATCAGTATTTATTCTCGACACTGTTCTGCAGGATAAATGTCGAGCCCATTGAAACAAAACTCTTCGATATTGCTACTCCGGTACAGGACGGCGGTAAGCTCAACCGCTTCGGTGGCAAGGTGTTTGGCCGGACCAACACGAGTCCTCGCAGCACGTTTGAGAAGAGCATTACGGAAAAGAACAGCTTTGACAACCTCGTCTAGAGGGCAAGGTGCCTGCCGCGCTGTTCATGATACGTTCTACTTTACTTCTCCATTTCCCCGCAGGCAGCTCGGGGTCTGCCAGGATGCAGTTGCAGTCGAGGTGGAATTCATATGACCCAGTGGGCTTGCCCATTTTTTTTTATTTCTTATTTTTTCATTTTTCATTCTTCTTCTATTCCCCGACGACGGGATGGTTTTTCTCTCTCAGCCATGCGGATTGATCCACCCCACCACCACCTCCTCTTTTCTTGTACAATTCATGTATCTTCTAAGATTGGTGTTTATCTCTTGTTGAGCTTTTGCAACGGGCTTTTGTTGTTTGGATCTTATTTTAAAACGAAAAAAACAATGTCACATCTAGCCCGTTCGCTTTTCCCATCTTTCGCTTTCTTCTTTTGTCATCAGCCTTTTGCAGCGTTAAAATTCGACCCTGGAAGCCTCCCAAACGAAAATACCCCTTACTCTACGGAGATCTAAATGCAGAAATGTTATTTTTGATGCTGGATATGATGGACTTTGTGAGCACCAGGGCTGGGTAACATTTTGCATACACACATGTTTTAAAAAAGCCCTTCATTTTAGTTCACTTTTGGCGGAGTCGTTGCATCGAACCGCGGAATATGGCTCGGAGCATTCTTGATAGACAGGTCTGGCGCGGAAACCAAAGGCACACTTTTTGTTGACCATTACCGTATCAGCACTCTGCCCGTCATCTTCTGATTCTCGTTTGGATCTGTTTAGGTTTGGTTTCCAGGCGGAAGAAGGGCCGGGAGCGCGGACGAGCATGGACAAGCATGGAGAAGCAGGTATGACGGACACTGGATACTTGATGACGGATGGCAGCATGGCGAGGGATGGACAAGTGAAATGAAATCATGATGAACGGCGTTTGATGACGTATAGGGGTTTTATAGTATGACTCGATAGATATTCGGCTCGGGCTGCACTCCACGGGAAGGCGGAGGCGGAGGTGGATGGTGGATGCTAGGTAGTGAATTGACTAGTTATCTGGGTCCAGAGACGAGGCGAGGCCAAAAAAAAAAAAAAAAAAAAAAGGGGGGGGGGAGTGTCGTGATGGAAAAAAGCCGGCATCGTGCCGTCGGGAGCTTGGGAGAATCTGTGGGGTAAAAGGGCAAAAGGGCAAAAGGGCAAAAGGGGTAAAGGTACGGACGGAGCACGGGGCCCGCCCGGCACCTACCCCAGTGCGTGCTCCTCCAAGCCAAAGTACGTACTCCGTACTGTACTCGAGTACGGAGTAGGGAGGCAGTACTAGCACCTCCACCAGCACCACTACGGAGCACCAAGTACCTTAAGTACGTAGTGCGGGTAAAGACAACTCGTCGTTCGTGATGGAGACCAGGCGCCCCGTACGGACGGACCCTGGCCTGCCGAGAAAGACGGCATCCTCACCAAGTGCCTGGGCATCGGCGTGGGCATCGGCGTGGGCATCGGCGTGGGCATCGGCGCACTCGAGGGGGCTGCGGCTTGGGCTTTCTTGTGGTCAGCGATTCAATTACCAATTAACCCCTACCCGACCTCGTACCGAAAGCACGTAGTTAGTCTACGCCTTGGTCGTCGACGGGACGCGCGCCGCCGGGAGCCCCGCCGGGCGCGGCCTGTCGCAGCACGCCGCTTGCGCCGCCCCGCGTCCACGACTGGCCGTTGCTGACGGGCCCGGATGCCCGTCGCTCCGAGGAGTCGTCTCTGGTCTCGGCGCCGTCCTCGTCGTCCTCGTCGTCCGTGTCCAGGAGCTCGTCCTCCACGGACTTGCCGCGGGTCGAGAGGCGCTGCATGCGCATGCCCTGCGACCCGTCGGCGTACAGGTTCGGGTCGCGCCCCAGCACGAGGTCTGCCTTGCTGGGCCGCGCCCGTGCCGTCGGCCCGTCTCGGTGCCCGCGCGAGGAACCTGCGTTGCCCGCCCGTACCCAACCCGCGGCGTCGTCGTGCCCGCCCCAGCCGGCGCTCATCTCCCTTGCGCGCTGCTCCTCGCGCTCGCGCTTGATGCGGTCCCGCGCCTCGAGCCACTCGGGGCTCGCCTCCCACGACCACCCGTCGCCCGTCGTGTTGCATATCGGCACGGCCCAGAGCCAGGGAGAGGGCCCCAGCAGGTGCTGCAGGTTCCTCCTCCACCCGAGGTCAAACGCGCTCGGGAGCTTGGCCGAGTCCTGCGCGTCGAGGTACTCTTCGTGCCGCCGCCTGGACTGCAACCTCTCGTGTTCGTCGTACGACAGCTGCACCGGCCGCGCGGGGTGGTCGTGGTCGTGGTCGTGGTCGTTGCTCGGCCTGCGCTCCTCGCCTTCCTCGGGCCTCGTGATCCCCGGCAGGGCGTTTGTGTGAAAGTCCACAAACTGCTGCGCCGCCTGCGGGAGCCGGTTCGCGGGATTGTGCGCCGCGCGGTACGGCTGCTTCAGCGGCGACAGGTATCTCGTCTTCTCCAGGCACTCGATCGTCGTCTGTCCCCTCAGCGCGAGCACGACGTGCCACCCCGTGAAGACGCCCACCACGACGCCGACGATGCCGCTGACGATGCTCAGCACTATAAAGTTGACGGGCAGTAGCGCGTCCAGCCTCCCCACGTTTTCTTGCACAACCTCGGACCACACCCACGTGCCGCTTACGGCGAACGCGTAAAGGCACAGCGTCGTCGTGTACATCAGAAACAGCAGAAACGCCTTGTAGTTCCGGAGCCCCAGGCACGTCGCCAGCCACGGACAGTGGTGGTCCATCTTGAGCACGCACCGGCGGCACGTGGAGCAGTGGTGTGCGCGGTCGGGCTTCCGCGCCTGGCATTTTTTGCAGAAGCGCACTTCGCCGTTGCTCTTGACGGTGAAGGATGTCGTCCGAGGGTGGTGGTTCTGCGTCGTTGTCGGCAGCAGGCCGTAGCCGTCGCGGTTGGTTGTCGACCCGGGATCGGTAAAGACGGCCGTCGTGTAGGACCAGTTCAACAGCAGGTAGATGACGACGCCGCCTGCGGATGATGCGCTTCCTGTAGACGTGACGAGTGTCAGACATTACCGTTCGTTCCACGTTTGGGGAGAGCACCCGGCACCGCGGGGGGGCCATACCTAGCCAGCTGCCCTCGGGGGCAACTGAGCCTATCTCGACGACGACCCATACCGCCCATGTCGTCAGCCCGTAGACAAACATCAGCGGTATGTAGGTGGCTGTCACGCAGCACGCGCGTACGATGGTGCGCGCGCACCGCCGGGGCATCGTGGTCCCCTGGTTTGACGGCTCCGCGTCGAGCTCGTGGCCGTCCAACGTGGCAGAATGCGACGGATTTAGGCTTCAGGCTTGGGGCTTGGGGCTTGGGGCTTCAGGCTTCACCCTACAACGATGCTGGTGTGTCGAATTAGCGGCCCGTTGTCGTCGGCTGCGATGTCAATGGCGTGATGGCATGTAAAAAGGGGGGGACATGGCCGTAGAGTTTTGGAGTTGCTGGAGTTTATGCGACCACGTTGATGCCTTTGGTGTTGATGAGTGCACAAAAGACCAATCAGACCCTTCGAACCAGAAGGGAGCGAGTAGGGGGTTTGGCTTTGTCATCACAGGTTACCCTACATGCGGTTCCGAAACCGGCACCTTTACCCCGAGGCCCCTCATCTCGTGCGGTGCATTTCCGGTTGCCTTGCCGTTTCAACGCCTTTGCTGTCTTTCATACACGACATAGTTTTTGGTAGCTTTTGGAGATGTATGCAAGGCCAACACTCTGATCTTGGGACGGCATAGATGGATCATCTGCAGGACTACCTAAGCACAGTGCTCGGAGCCCACGACAGAAGAGCGTCCGCTTATGGGACCGATCAAACGTCTAGGCAGTTCATTGGAAACCCAAGAGCAAACATGATGCAACCTCGCAAAAAATCCTGCTGCTGATAAAAGATGGCCACGTCAGTTCACCAACGTATCATTTACCAGAATATCGCGTGCTCACGAACCACTACATTCGGGCATCGGCAGTCCGTTACCATTGCGCTTCTTTGTGGCCGTTTGTGGTTTCCTTCTTCGTTCCCCTGAATGCAGCACGAGCGCTCTCTGCGGTATTGTAACGCAAGGTCCCGTCTTTGTTTCGCTCCCTGCTAACGTTTACGATACCCGCAATCAACTGATCCAAGTAGGCCTCGTAATTGTTTGTATCACGAATTTGACATTTCACCGAGGTCGACTCGACGTGGGAAGTAATTGCAGTCAAGGTCTTGAAAGATTTCAGGCAACATGGGCAGTGATAGGTCTTGTTGCCATGAGCAGGAGACCGGAGGTGCCAAACCAGCTGACCTTGGCGTTTAAAGCATTTCCTAGGAAGAGTGAGGACTTGTCCAAAATGAAGGGGGGAAGGCAATGGAAAGGGTCTTCATAAAGCGATCTATACTCACCCGCATCGAACCTTGGGACAGACATATTGCTCAATGACATCGGAGTAGTATCGCGCTGCATTGAAAGCCGGATTATCTGGGTCATCAGGATCCATAGACTCAAACGCCATCCGAGGGCCTGGTGTCGCAACAGTGTTGAGCTGAGACTCCGTGAGAGTCTTCGCAGGAGTGGCACCCGGGAACAAAGTTTTCTTCCCCTTCCAAGCCGTCTTTGCTTCGTTCTGATGGTCTCCGTCTACGGTGCTCCTCGGAGTGGTAGGCCCAGCTTTGTTCGAAAGCCCAGGGAATTCGACTTCTGTAAGGTTAAATCCGGGATCTTGTGCATCTCGCCAAATATGTCTCGGGCTCGCACTCTGCTTGGGGGATACGAAGCTGGTGTAGTTGTTCTTCACAGCCTCCTTGGTAAGTACCTCGAGCCGCCTCGCAAATTCTAGCTTCTTCTCTCGCATTTCGTCCAGCACCGTCTCGTCAATACGAATACATTCACCCCTCTCAATGTGTGATATGAGACTTGCCAGGCGGGGAAATGGCCCTTGGCCACATCCAGGACAGTCGAGCTTTTGCTGTTGGGGATGATCCTGGACATAGTGTTAGCTGCCGATAATGCTTGCATCGCGCATGTGAGTGGAAGGCCAACTTTGAGAACGTGGGAGTTTTCTGCGGCTTGAGTCTCGAAATCCAGCCCACAAAATTTGCAGTGGATGTGATTTTCAGCACCTGTGCGGCGCATGTACTCCTTGTGCTTGAAAATGGCCTCCCAGTCGGCAAAGAAACGGTTGCAGGACTTGCAGTAAAACCGGCCGTCTTCGCGAACGATGGACATGGTGAGACTGTGGGGAGTTGGCAGGCTGTAGAGTTTGATGGTGCCCGGCTGAAGATGTTGGTGAGTTGAAAAGGACGACGCAGGAAAGGCGAGAGAGCAAAGGGCAGGCGATCCTGTGGTAGAGTGGCAGGTTGTCAGTGCCGGCCAGGCAGTCACGAGTTCCACCTGCCCTGCCTGCCCTCATTTTAACTCTGGCAGTAATTTCCATCATGCGAAGTAACTCTGAAGCCGCACGCGTTTCGTAACTTGGTCTTGCATGCAATTCAAGAGCCTTCAATTTGCTATGCTAATCTAGCTCAGGATATGCCATACGACCCATGCCCATTTCGGTATCCTCGTCACCAAACTGCTGATGCCCGTATTGTTCGCCACCGTGATAATATCCAGCACTGGGGTATCTAATATCAGGATATTCCTCGTCATCCGACCCATCGTCATCATCGTCATCGTCATCGTCATCGTCGTCTCGTTCGCTGCCGTAATCTTCATCAGATTCCATTCTGTCCGTGTCGACCACACTGCTATCGACGAACGGGGCAGGCGATTTTTCAGGAGCCACACTTGAGCTCGTTCCAGTTTGCCGGAATCGAACATTGTACCCTGTACTCTTTTTCTTTGGTGGCTCCCTCCCGTGAAGGGCAGTGAACTCCTCTGTTGAAAGATTCAAACTTGGCAGAGGAAGGTGGTATGAATTTGATGTGGTCCGGGTCGGAGTCAAATCACCAAAGCTCAATGTCTGTGAAAAGTCTTCCTTCGTAAGGTGCCTGCCGAACTTGATAGCAACCAGTTTGGTCTTCATAACTGCCTTGACTTTTGCCCACAGTCCACCATGGTACCACCCACTATTCATGATGTCGCACTCGGGGCGTACGGACGCGTTGTCGAGCAATTCTTTCAGTAGAGGGTCGGTAATGTCGCAGACCTGCCATACCTTGCCATCCGTTTGATATGAATTTCCGTCGAACTTGTGACTGTCTGCTTCAATGCTGGACACATTCTGTGTTTCGCCAAGCTGTGTCCTGCGGACTAACCGCCAGGGCTGGTACTTGATTGTGCGCCGGTGTCTCTTGAGCTTGAACATGAGCGTCTGATAGATGCGATACTTGGGATCCGTCCGAGGATCGGTGCCATAGGGAACCACACTGTCTCTCCAAGGGCCACCTTTGAATTGATATGCTGCGTAGTTGAGGAATTTCTTCAATTCGTTCCAGCTTTGGAGCTTGCCCCTCAAGTGATTGAGCAAAGACCGGCGAGTCCATACAGGACGATGTTGGAAGGCGTCTTCTAGTTGAGCCATGACCTCAACCATCCTGGGATCCGTCATATCTGGCGGCAACTGTGGTCCGTCTGGAGCTGGGTCTTCTGCGCCAATGAAATACCCCACTTGCTTGACGGCAGTCAAGTTGATTGTGTCACCATCCTCCGTCGCGCGAACGTACGGATTCTGCGAGTAGAAGTAGTTGAATGGCAAACTCATGTGTGTGAAGATGGGTGGAGGAATGATATCGACATCAGGGGGATGATCTGTTCCGCTCCGAAAGGCGAACGCCTTCAACTTTTGAACTAGTCGCATGTTGGTCAATACAGACCACGAACTCGGGCATGTAGCAGGGGATACCTACCGTCTCCTGGTAAAACTTGTTCAGCATATCTCTGGGCAAAGTCCGATCGTGTCATATCCCAGTAAAAGTCGGCTAAAGCGCGAAACCGATGAGTATGTTTGATAATGCCAATCGCTTCAACTTGATATCTTTCAGCATTGTCTTGAAGCTTTCTCCTTAGAACCTTGGGCTCGTCCAGTCGCGCAACCGATTGCACCTCTTCCTTATTCTCTGCTCCGGAAGCACCTGTGAGATCCAAATCTCCCTGCCACGGGTCGCTACTTCCCCTTTTCCGTCTGCGGCCAGTTCTCTTGGGCACGGTGACCTTGAGAACTACGTTGTGAGATGCGGCGTTGTGAGACATGATGGGCCTGCAAAAGGGGCTTTCTGGATTGAGATACAAGGGCACGGAGTTTCTTGAGGGATCCATGAGCTTGAGAGCGTTTAGAACAACTGAACTTTTGCCGTATGAACAGGAAAGATGGGAAACTCACGTGTGCCAGAGTTGGGACTCTGCCAAAGGCTTTGACAGCCCGGTCAATATTCTCTACAACAGCTGGTATTTCAACAGCGGCCAAATCGCGCGATGCAATGCGAAATCTTGGTGCTCCATCTTTCTCAGGCTTATCGCTCGACAGCAACCCCGTTGTTGATGGACCGGCCAGCTCATCATCTGAAGGCATTCCCATGGTGCCCAGGCGCGTCAAGGTGTCATTTCTGATGACGTTGCTGGTGATTTGGCTGGGTAATACGAGGGATCAATCAATTGCTGCGCCCGGTACCGAGCTGACATTAGTGTGCCGGTCTTTCTCTGGATGGAAGGAACGTAAGAATTGGCGGACGATGCTTTTTCTCAGAAGCGCCGTAGCGTGGTTAGTTTTTGTTTAGAGATCTGGGTTGCATGGTAACTCTTGGAGCTGGTTCCGCAGGAAGTTGGATAAAAGCTGCGAGGTTAGATTCCCTGTCCACATTGGGACTGCTGGTGCAGGAGGTTGCATTGTGGTCCGTGCACACCGGGCCACTCATTGCTGAGCAACGCCACGAAGCAAGTCCTCCATCGTCTGAGACGACACAATGTGTTGCGGAATTGAGGATTTCCATACCGCTCTAGTCGCGTCTCGGTCCGTGGAGGATGTTGGGTGCAAATGCAGAGCAAAACACTGCCACTGGTGACTGGATGCCAGAAACTACCAAGTAAGTACCTAGGTACCTAGGTAGTTACTTAGACACCAAAACAAACACTCGGGAACGAGCAACCTTTTGTTGACCTGCCAGGTAAGTACCCAGGTACCCAGGGAGTTAGCCCCGGCCTGCCAGTTGCATGGCGACCTTGACTGCTCGGTACTACCGCACGGAGTACGGAGTACTCGGTACGGAATACGGAGTACTGCAGGTCGCACTCGAGTCCTTCATTTGCTTCTGCATGGGCAGGACCGGTTTGGCCGCTGCTATCCACCTCTCGTCCAATCCAAACGCTGGACCCCCAAACCAAGTCCACGTCGAAACAGGAACCCCCTGCCGTCGCTGGCCCTGTCAGTCATCCTTGGCCATCTGCATCTCGATAGTATTACAAAGGAACGACTGCTCCGTACTCCCTACTTCGTCTTCTCCGTACTCTGGGCAGAGGGGAAGTCGAGCAACGGAGTACGTACTCTATATTTGCGCATACATCATTCTTGCACAATTTGCACAATTTGCACATCTGCACATCTGCACATCTGCACATCTGCACATCTGCACATCTGCACATCTTGCACCTCCATCGCAACCTGGATACTCCGTACCGACCTCGATTTTCGATCCTGCACCTGACGCGCTCGGTATACCTACATACTGCGCTTGGTTTCTCCGGCCAGAGACTGGGCAGAATTGACGTCGCATCGAGTGCTTGCCGAAGCCGTCTTCTCCACGCAGGCCGTACTCCGCACAACACATGACGACGGCCGACGCCTCACGATTGCTCGGAACTAACAAATCCATCGAGCACTCGACTCGACCCTCTCACCCAACAAGTGCTGAAGCACCCTCGCCAGGTGCCCAGCCCAGCGCGCCCCGCCCCCCCGACTTGCACTTGCACCTGACCCCATTGGAGCCCCGTTGTCCTTGGCCTTGTTGATTGACCCCACCGCAGCAATCAGTCAGTCAGTCAGTCGACCTGTCGCAGACTCGTCGACCTCGCAGCAACAAGCGTCCGCATCAGCAACGCCAACATCGAAAGCTCGCCTGCCGTCTGTCGTCCACCGTTTTTATCGTCCGAGTCTGTTTCCCTTCAGTCCCATCGTCGACGACGAACACGAGCTTGTAGATGCTGTCGACGTCCAACATGAAGCGCTTTGGCAAAGGACTAGTAAGTCATCATGCCCGACTCCCTTCCCCGACCACCCAAGATCCCCATGACCTCATCGTCGTGCGTATGTGTCTGGACTCGAGGTTGGGCTTCGCTTCGATTCACGGCGTCGCCATGCCAGGTATATCAATCACTCGCGATGGCGCAGTCTGCTAACAAACTCTTCACGCCCCCCCGCTCACAACAGCTCGCGCGAGGCAAGGATGCCAGCAAATCCTCCAAGAAGAATAAGGATTCCAAGGATGGCACGTCGTCCCCTTCGTCCCGAGACTCGTCGAACCAGTCTCCTGTCCTGACTCCCACGTCCTCCTCCACCACGCTCAATGACATCCGCAACAAGCCCTTACCACCCAATACCACCGGACACGGCGACCATGGACTTCCAACCCAGCCGTCAAATCCAGGCCAGCAGGGCAATGTTCCCGATCGCTTTGGCCCCATGGGTGGTGCTTCAAGTCCAAACGGTGGCAATGCCAATGCCAGGTTACCCCCAACCGTCGTCATAAGCCCGACGCCGGGAGTAAGCAGACTTATCCCGAATAGCCCCAGGTGCAATTGATGGTAGGCCTGACACTGACACATTGGCAGCATATCCCCCCTCCTGGAGCTGCCGAAACCATGCCTCACGACCTGGCACCGCCCAAGGCGGGCCAGAAGTCGCTCATGATCCATCGAGGCATTGACAACCGCGACGCCATTCCTGAAGGTCTGCGAACTCCGAAACGACAGCACTCGTCTCGATTCGACATATCTGCTCACCGGGAACTGGAAAAGCTGCCTGGCTTCCACGAAGTTCCTCCTAACAGGAGACAAGAGCTTTTCATGCAAAAAATTGACCAATGCAATGTCATTTTCGATTTCAACGATGCCAGCGGAGACATGAAGGCCAAGGAGATTAAGCGCCTGGCGTTGCACGAGTTACTCGACTATGTTGCCAACAACAGGCAAGTAATCACGGAACCCATGTACCCGAGAGTTGTCGACATGTTCGCCAAGAACTTGTTCCGACCCATTCCTCCACCGATGAACCCACAAGGCGAGGCGTTCGACCCGGAGGAAGATGAGCCTGTCCTGGAGGTAGCTTGGCCACATATTCAGGTCGTCTATGAGTTCTTCCTCCGCTTTATAGAGAGCCAAGATTTCAACACCAATATTGCCAAAGCCTACATCGATCACAGCTTTGTCCTGCAACTTCTCGACCTGTTTGACTCTGAGGACCCTCGAGAACGCGACTTCCTGAAGACAACCCTTCATCGCATCTACGGCAAATTCCTGAATCTCCGGTCCTTTATCCGCCGATCCATCAACAACGTCTTCTTCCAGTTTACGTACGAAACGGAGCGGTTCAACGGCATTGCCGAATTGCTGGAGATTTTAGGATCAATCATCAATGGTTTTGCCCTGCCACTCAAGGAAGAACACAAGATCTTTCTGACCCGCGTTTTGCTGCCTTTGCACAAGCCCAAGAGCTTGAGCATGTACCACCCGCAGTTGGCCTACTGTATTGTACAGTTTTTGGAAAAGGATGCCTCTCTCACTGAAGACGTATGTGACTTCTCGTTGCCCTTTCCCGTGTTGATGCCAAATACACTTACTAATACGTGTCAATCGCTCAGGTCGTTCTTGGTCTGCTTCGATACTGGCCGAAAGTCAATAGCACCAAAGAAGTCATGTTCCTGAATGAGGTTGAAGACATTTTCGAAGTCATGGACCCTGCCGAATTCGCCAAGGTCCAGGAACCTCTGTTCCATCAGCTCGCCAAGTCCGTTGCCAGCCCCCACTTCCAGGTCGCAGAACGAGCGCTCTACTTCTGGAACAACGAATATTTCTGCAACCTGGTCAGCGACAATGTAGAAATTATTCTGCCCATCATGTTTGCGCCGCTCTACGAGAATTCTAAGGGACACTGGAACAGGTATGAACTCTTAGAGGAGGCGCCATGGAATGTCCTTATTTTCTCTTATGCTGATCATCCTGACAGGACGATTCACGGAATGGTCTACAACGCTATGAAATTATTTATGGAAATCAACCCTCAGCTGTTTGATGATTGCTCTCATGACTATACTGAGCAACAAAATAGTGCAGCCGAGCGAGAGGCACTTCGAGAACGCAAGTGGGCTGCCTTAGCCGAGAAGGCTGAGCAGCGGCGACTGTCTGGCGGCCTTGCCGATGCTCCTGCACGATTACAAGTTGGTGGCGTATTGTCAAGAGTGGATGAAGTCGACCCGGTTACTGAGGATAATCAGAAGCGACTCGATTCGCTTAAGCTACAGGACATTTCCAGCAGACGCCCCGGTGGCCACGAACGACAGAATTCACAGAGCTCTGCTCGAAGCAGATGATCATCCTGCTTTCCGGTCATAATTTTGCAAGGACATCCTGCCTTCGCCACCTAATCAGCCAATCGATCTCGCGATGGCTAAATATTGCGGGGAATCTGGCAGGAGTCCAATATTCGTCAACATATTGGCTTAGCTGATATACCTGGAGGTGACGCTCAGCTCCTTTGGTCACACCAACGAGACGAACAGAACTTGACTGAGAGGGCGCGAGCCGGTCAGCTGCGTGCTACTAAACCTGCTCATCTTTTACGGCTATCATGACATATTTGCAACATATTTATCCGGATTTGTCCTTGCTCCGGTGATTGTGCGGACATTAATTCGTTCTACAGTGCGCCTACTCCCAGTCAACAATAAAAACGGGGGATCTGGGATGTGGGGTTTCAAGGGTCGCTTTTTTTTTATTTTACTTTATTTTCTTACACTTTTTCTTCCTCCACAATTGCAAATTGGATGCAGGGTTGACTTGAACAAAAGAAAAGCGCTTGAGAATTCGCATCAAACTGGCATGTTTGGCATTGTTCTCGCATTCTTGCCTCTGTTTTATTTCGATCCTCTGACTGTGTCGGAAAAAGTGATTGGAAGCACATGAGACGGCGAGGAGTTGTGCCAAAGCAGCCCTGGTAGGATGGGAGGAGCGAACGGGGGAGGTGAGGGGATTGTAGGCTGTGGGCGGCTTGGCTTCGTTGTGTTTTTGTACTACGTAGTAGATGGCTGGCTGGTGATATGCCAATAGACTTTTTCCTACCTGTTATTGTCGGGTCTGATATTGTGCTTCTTGTTGACACTATTTGCCCTTGTTGAGCATTGACTTTGTATTTTGCGGTGTGATTGTTATGTATATTGACTGTGACTGTGGCACGACACTCCACGTCATTCACATCTTTACTCTCACGCGTGCAAGGGTTTGCATCATCTCCCTCGGCTGTATCCCCTCCCGGCGCCACGGTGATATCCCCTGCCCCGTCCTCTAAACCCGCCGTCATATCCACCCCGTTGATTATAGTTGTTGCGCTGTCCTTGTCCTTGGGTTTGCGGGGGAAGCTGAGGAATTTGTCCGTTCCACACGCTCATCATCTGGGCTGCGAGGGCAGGATCCGGCATCCAGCCTTGTGGAGGAGGGGGAGGGGGCGGCGGCGGCCAAGGTCCTGTGTATCTTACTGGTGGGGGAGGGATGGGCATCTCGAATGGGATATTGGGCATGGCTGTTGAAAGGGATGCATGCTGTGGCTGAGGAGATGGTTTTGGAGAACGGCGATAGGGGCTGCGACTGCGACTGCGACTGCGACTGCGGCTGCGGCTGCGGCTGCGGGTTCGTGATCGCGAGACTGATCGAGGTGTGTAGCTTCTGCTGCGGCTGCGGCTGCGGCTGCGGCCACGGCTGCGGCTTCTGGAAGGTGATGTGCGTCTGCGTTTGAAGGATCGTGATGAAGACCTTCGGGTGCGCGAATAGCTGCGTGCTGATGATGATGGAGACTCGGACCGGCCCCTTCGCTTTTCCCTTCTGCGTTCCTTCATTCGTTGGCAGAATCGTCTGGACCACCCGTAGTATGTCTCTCCGCCGATGACCTCCCCCGTCATCTCATCCAGGATGATCCTCTCACCCATTTCGTTCACGTCCACGTGCGCGTTGTCGTCTGGTCTCCTATCCCGTGAGAAGAGTCTCTCCGCGTCGGCAAGCAGCGATTTCACTGCAGCGGTGATAGCTCTATCTGCCGGTCCGGGGGCGAGTTGAACTGGACGGATGAGATCGGGGAGCATGGGTTTCGTAGAATTCGCTACCAGGTGAGGCAGCCATGTGGCTGCAGGCAAATCGTACCACGCCGTCGACGAGTCGCCGTGAAATGAGGGCAGAGTAAAGGGCGCCTCTTTGGCGAGTTGGAGAGATGGATTGACCGGCTGAGGGGTCGCCAAGGTGGACGACCCGGCGAGGGCTTCTTGGAGTTTGGGAATCACGGCCTCGGCAGAGTATTGTTTTGATTTCCATAGAGAGATGAGGTCTTGTATCTTCTTGATGTGTTTCGGGCATTTGTCGAATGAGGCGGCGGAGCTGACCAGTGGAGGGAGGTATGCCTCCACGGCGGCACGGAAGTCCTGATTCCCCAGGCGCGCGGCATGGTGCAGCACATCGTTGACAATGTAGAGAACGTGTAGACGACGGCGTTTTGTGCTGGGACGAGCATGTGCCGCGTCATCGACTTGCGCGTTTGAAAGGGCAACGAGATATTTCGCAAGAGCCGAGCTTCGGCCACTGGAGTGGACGATATTGCCGAGGATGTAGTCTTTGCAAGCCTGTGCGGTGGTTTCAAGAGACACGATCTTAGCATGGCTACGGGGAGGACATCGAGCAAAATTTTTTCTTCCTCTTCGCTGTCACCGCTTACACGGGGCGGGAACAAAGAAAAAAACTTCAATTCTCGATCTCAAGGGTGGTCTGGTGCAAACCTGGACATTGGGCCGGGAGCACTGCGTCAGCGTTGAGGCGACTTGTTGAAAGAAGGAGTCGACTGAGGGCCGGCTGATGGATGCTGGGTCGGCGCGAAAGAGGGATGCTGCGAGTGCGGCTTTGGCGATGGCTATTTCAGGTGTCGCCATGGCGCGCGGCGGTTGGGTCGACGATGAAGCTTTGAGATGTGCCACGTTGGGAGCTGGGAGCTTTGCTATGGTGGTTTTTGGTGTTGTCTGGAGGGCTGGCCAATGACGCGCTGGTGTGTGGGGCATGGAGTGTCGCGTTGCGAAGTTTTGCGTCTTCGAGCTATGCCTACTGAATTCGGGTTTGCATTCAGTCCAATTAACGAGTGCCGTTTTGGGCAGCTGGTTGGCTGACTTTATAGTGGTGATATTATATGGAATCTAAGTTGATCCGAGTGGGGGAAACAACGTCGCGGCCGATGAGACGTGCCGTCAGCTACCTATGTAGCTTTTTGTTTTGTCACAAGCTAGAGGCTTACGGAAGTGAGCCATGAGCCAAGACCAAGACTGATGGAATTCAGTGTTCGTGTGTCGTCCCAAAGTTGCAGCATGCATCATACAAGCTCTCTCTTCCCTTGCCCAAACCTCCCATGTAAAAAAGGGCCAGTCGTGCATCCAATGCCGCCATCATACTGCCAATTCCCGCTTTACGCCCCCTCAAGTATTACGAAAACCGATCTCCCTTAGGACTCCTATACGGCGTTGTGCTTTCGTATTTGCTCTTCTCCTTGGTCTGCTGCGACTCTGTCACTGCAGCATGTCTGGTCGCCGCGGGATCATTGCCCGCCTCATGGCTCGGAGAGCCAGCTGTGTCTGTCATGGCAGGGGCGCCGTTACCGGTGGCAACGGACGAAGATGTCGAACCGGGGCCGGCGTACTCGAGAGATCGAATGTCTTCCCGCTTTTTACGGGCGGCTTGAAGCTTGGCCTGACGGTCGGCGTTGATTTCTCGCTTGGCAAAGTAGTACGCGCCTGCGCCGGCTGCAGGAGACAGGCGAATGTTCATGTCAGAGAATGTATTTACCGGTGGAATTTGCAGCAGAGGAGGGTTGAGTGCTAAAGCTTACCGACGCAGAGGGAGCCCCAGCCCAGCCTGAATGAGGGATGGCATCAGAATTACGCCTGGGAGCTTGGGGAATCTCGAGCGGAACAAACCAGAAGGATTTAGCCTGTCGAGGCGATGTTAATATTAAAGACTATGCGGTAGGACGCGAGCCTAGCGAGGTGGCACTGACGGTGTTCATGGTGCAATTGATTGGACTACTTGGTTGATTAAATGCGCGCCGTCTATTCCGTACGGAGGTGGAAGTGTCACCTGGTTAATGTAATGAGAGATAATGAGAGATGAGAGCACATGTCCCTCGTAGTGTTTGGATGTCTGACGTGGTTCAGCCACAGTGGCTGAGGCGCAGTCGACTTTAACTCTTGATGTCCGAAGATGGACGAACAACGAAAGCATCGGCGGCCTTTGGAAGGTCATTGGCGGCGGCTTCAGTTCAGCGCTGTCAAGCACATATCCTTGGTGGCTGTCTCGAGCAGATGTCATTAATCTAATAAAGTCGTGGTTCTGTATCGGAACATTCCCAGTGCCCTAGTTGGGGAGTCCAAAATTAGAATCGGCAAAAGCCCCAGTCATGTCGTTTCACTAGCTCATCCGGCCGCACTGTATTCAACCACCAAAGTCTCACCAATTGTCACAGTGTCCAAAGCCACAGACCACTACATGAATGACGATCTCCTCCACCGCCTCCAAAATAGAAGGACAAGGACCACCACCAAGACACGCAGGCTGCCCCAATCACCCGTTTTCTGTCGCCGTTGCCTTCCCCTCTAGTCTACGGAGTACCGCTTATGCCTTCTCCCTCTGATCTTCCGTCGCACACGCCTGTTCAACGTTGACAACAAAGACTGCGTGAACCCGTCAGAGTGTTTCCGGAAGACGTCAACATCAACACTCCCTCTGGCCCTCGGTTCATCGAGGCAACGAGGCCCGTCTCATTTTTTCCCGCCACGATTCTCCGCTTCCACACAAAACCGATCCACCGATCCCCGCGGGTATGATTTAACGTTGGGCCTCGCAAAGAATGGGTGTACCGGGTGCTCGCGTGCCAAACTCATGTCCCCAACACCACACCAAAACCCCACCATTGAAGCCGGCATTCCATGTCGTCACATCATCATCCTACTACCATGGAGCCGCCACGCAATGACGGGCCGGATGGTTCCTCTATCGTAAGCACAAGCCATCTCTTCTTGTTGAGAGGATATAGTTGTTCCGCCTCACTAACACGCCTAGAAACCTGTATCCTCCCTACTTGCGCGGTTCGAGAATCTAAGTCAATCAGCGCCTCTCGCGCCTCCCCAAAATGCGCCCTCGAGATCTATTTCTCCAGCCCCCAAGCCTGATAGATTACGAACTTTCAAAGCCTCGCAGGATCCTGCCCCGTCTCCCAGTCCTGCGCCCGTTGTCTCATCCCCTCATGCAGCTGCTTCTCAAAAAACGCCGGTAAAGCCGCCCGCGAAACCAATACAGCTCCACGCGACAGAACAAACCACTCCTCGCAATGGAGTTCCTGCGCTAGCAAATATGTCTACAACGCCGGCAATGGCGGGCGGCACCTTGCCATCAACTCCAACAATGCCTCCGCCGCCTGCTCTCAAAGTCCTGCCACCTCAATCTCCGACCCAGACTCACGCTTCGGCTGTTGTGTCTGCCGACCAGTCGCCATTCTTAGATCCAACGACTGCTGCATCACACGAGCTCACAGGTGCTTCACCGATACCCATTAAGATACCCAGTCGACCCTTGACACCGATGTACTCTCTTTCTGCTCCTCGATCGCCTCGCCTGGCTCCTTCGCAGCCTCCGTCACCACCTCCCCCGAGACGGTCTGTCGAAACAAGGCGGGAACCAAAGCAACCTCCGCCGCCGCCAGCTCCTCGTCTCGACAAGTCGAGAAAAATGACTCCAGTCTCATCGAATCTCCCAGATACTCGCAAGAACACCTTATCTTGCACAGGGGCAAGTATCGTTGACGAAACGTCTCCGTTCAACAGCCCGCCAGCCAGCCCCGAAAAGACCCACGACGACGAGAGTCCCCCTGAGCTACCCATGCGGCCAAGAGCAGAAGTGAACATGGACCTTGCGTCCAGATCCAGGCCTGTCATGGGTGCAAGTTTTGAGCCGCCGCCAGTGCATCACTCTCTCGCAGTCAGGAGATCAGAGCGTGATGCGTCCGTGGATGGAACCCCTAGGCCGTCCCTCACAACGCAACGCCCTGTGGATGGTCGAGTCGCCCATTCGCCCAAACGATCGACTAGTGACCTGACGACCGTGACACACGCTACCTACAGCTACAATTCAGGCAGACCTCCCCCGAAACCACCTAGGCCAGCTCAACAGCGTACTGGTACCACATCAGATACCCTATCCAGCTCAGCACCAGCCGGACGTTCGCAGCAGCAGTCGCCGCCCACCACTCACCACTTTCCCGCGCCACCTACACGAATTCACGCGCCTGTCAAGACGGTTGACCGACCTACCGATAGAGAGACGCTCGACTCGCGAGCGCTCACACCGTCTCCACCATCAATATCGGCCAGTCGCCCAACGCCTCGTAGTATTTCGCCTCCGCCTGCCACAAGCACGGAGCCGGCTGTACATGTGACGGCGTTTCCGGATTGCGCAAATGTCAATCGGAAACCACCACACGCCAAAAAGGGCTGCTATGAGATCCAGACTAAATACGATCCGAGAATCATTGACATCTGTGGTGACCTGGTCTGTACCAGCGGCCAGTTGACGAGAATTTGGAATACCCTGGATGGGGAGCAGATTATGAGTCTCGCTCACACTGAAGGAGTCAGGGCAACTGCTGTTCTGTTCAAGCCAGCCGCAGACGCAGACCACGAGGGAGCTTTCATATGGGTCGGTACCAATATAGGCGAGCTCATGGAGGTGGAGGTTGCCACGCAGCGGATTACTGAAGTCAGGACTGGTGTGCATGGCAAGGCGGAAATTACCAAGATATACCGACACTACAACCAGCTGTGGTCACTAGACGAAGGGGGCATTCTAATTCTTTGGCCCGGCGAAAGCGATGGGGTCCCGAACCTCAGAAGCCATCCCATTATACAGCCAAGCAGGCTTCCAAAAGGCGCCACCTTTTCCATGGTGGTTGGGAGTGAACTATGGCACGCAACTGGCAAATCGATTCGGGTGTTTGAGCCGTCAACTGACGGGTCCAGACCGTTTCAAGTCTTGGTTCGACCCTTGACCGCTGACGGTTGTGGCGATGTCAGTGCCGGCACCATTCTCAGTTCAACACCCGGCAAGGTGTACTTTGGCCATGTGGATGGAAAAGTAAGCATTTTTTCGTCCTCGGACTATTCTTGTCAAATGATCTTGAATGTTAGTTCCTGGAAGATCAATGGACTCGCGGGTGTGGGACACAATCTTTGGGCTGCCTACAACACCGGCAAGATATGTGTATACGACACGACCCGACAACCCTGGACTCTGAAGAAGGAGTGGCAGGCGCACGACCAATCAGTCTTGAAAATGAGGATGGACCCATCGGCTGCCTACCGAGTCGACCGCCTGCAAGTTGTGTCCCTTGGCACTGACAGTAAAGTCAAATTGTGGGATGGCATGCTGCAGGACACCTGGCTGGAAGACGACCTCAAATCTAAAGATATAAATTATTGCGAGTTTGAAGAAATCAAAGCTATGGTTCTCACATGGAACGCGGGAGCATCGACTCCCCACAGCCTACGATACTCGAAAGGCGATGGCGATGCTACCTTCTTCCAGGATCTACTACGATCGAGCGGGTCACCTGATATTCTTATTTTCGGCTTCCAAGAACTAGTCGACTTGGAAGACAAGACGGCTACAGCCAAGCGGCTTCTCAAGTCCAAGAAGAAGGAAGGGACTGAGCAAGAACACATGAGTCATCAATACCGTGACTGGAGGGACTTTTTGCTGAAGACATTGGACGACTATATGCCCGGCGATCACTTGTACCACCTTCTCCAATCATCGCCGTTGGTGGGGTTATTCACTTGCGTGTTTGTAAAGTCGACTATTAGGGACAGGATCCGAAACTTGAACGCAGCGGAGGTAAAACGCGGAATGGGGGGCTTGCACGGAAACAAAGGGGCCATTGCCGTCCGATTTCGAGTGGATGACACGTCCCTCTGCTTCATCAATTGCCACCTGGCTGCTGGACAGTCACAAGCAAACTCGCGTCACAATGACATCGCTGCGATTCTGGAGGCAAATTTGTTCCCAACCGAACTGGATCCAGAAACGCGACTGGACACTTTTACAGGCGGGGGCGATGGATCCATGATTCTTGACCATGAGCTTTGCATTCTTAATGGCGACCTCAACTACCGCATCGATACAATGTCTCGTGACACCGTGGTCAAGGCCGTAAGGCAGCAGCAGCTGGCCAAATTGCTTGACCGTGACCAACTCCTGGTGGCACGGCGTCGAAACGCTGCTTTTCGTCTGCGTGCGTTCGAAGAGCTTCCCATATCGTTTTCACCGACGTACAAGTATGATGTCGGTACGGACACGTACGACACCAGCGAAAAGAGACGAAGTCCCGCCTGGTGCGACCGTCTGCTCTTCCGGGGACAGGGGAGGGTACGTCAACTAGATTACAAGAGACACGAAGTCCGAGCCAGCGATCATCGACCTGTCACGGGAAGTTTCCGCCTCTGGGTGAAGAAGATTGATGCAGCAGGAAGAGCAAAGGCTTGGATGGAGAGCCAAGGGCGGTTTGAGAGTGTGCGAGCACAGGTCATGGCGAACGAGATGTGAGTTACTCACCATATTGCTGGCGACAGGGTGGTCATTGAGGAAAGTATGGAATTTTACTAAGGGCTTCTAGAATGACGTACCTTACGCACTTTTGTGGGTTCGACGAGCCAACAAGCCAGGCGCTAATCAAGGAGACATTATCACGAAAAGTGCACCGGAGCCCAAGTAGGAATCGGGGCGGCGGCTATTAGAGCGAGCGCATGCATTTGGCGCATTGAAGTTTTGTTTTAATTCTCATGGCGAGCGGGCATATCCAGCGTAGCGTCGAGACGCATGTTTTGGGGGCAAATGGTGTTCGCAAGGGTCGGGACGGCATACCGCCGACCAAGAAAGATGCGATAGAAGGGACGGGCGTTGATGGGACCTGTCATGATTTTTTGACGGAAGTCGGTTGGCAAGGCGATATAATTAATATATGCCAAATAGAACCCGGTAATGGCCAAAAGATGGCGCCCAGCATGATGACGAGAAGCTCCTGTGGACAGGCAAACGAAAATAGTACCATCGTCGTCGTTGAAGTGAGCATTGACGACTATGCTGCAGGATACAGAGTACCGAGTAGTCAATTATTTGGCATGAACCGTACCACCAAAGTTGCAGTGTAGGCTGTTATCTCTCTCTTTCTCCTTCACAATCAATCTATTTGTGCAAGTGCTAACATGAATCATGAACGTTGAGGTCGCGTTCCACGCCCCGTCGGCGACAATTGCGCCAAGCCCCACCACTCATGTGTATTCTGACCAGTCAAGAACGGGAAGAACCCCTGGCGGGACCCCTTGGCGCTTAATAAGGTAACGGCGCACTAGTACCAGTTGGGTTGTCAGCTCTCAAATAACTTGGACTTGTCACTCTTTTTATCCCCAACATCCTGCCGCATCTGATAAAAGCTCCTCCTTTCCACGGAGCGGATAGACGGGAGTTTCCTACCTGACGCAGAGGAAGTCGCGGTCCCGAAAGACTACAGTCTCCAGACTTTGGGTGACGCACGCACACATCTCAATTGCAGACAGACCCGCAGATTGACAGACACTCGGGGAGGTGGGGGGAGACGAAGACGAAAGTCGACGAGATTCCCTTGGCGAGAAACACCACCATGGCATCGCAGGAAGCGCCCGTGGTGACGGCGGCGGCGGCGGCGGCGGAACCGCTCAAGGTTCCCCTCGAGGCACCGACGCCCGAGAGCACGCCGGAGCCCCGTCCGGATCTCACACCCGACCAGCAGGCCAAGTACACGACGCTGCTCGAACGGGCGAGGGCCATCAGCGAGGTCAAGTGCACCAGCAAGGGCAAGCACTCGGGCCCCCTGGCGGAGCACGAGCGCGCCTGGCTCACACGCGAGTGCATCCTGCGCTACCTCCGGGCGACGGACTGGGCCGTCGAGCTGTCGGAGCAGCGGCTACGCGACACGCTCGCCTGGCGGCGCGAGTACGGCCTCGACGGCTTCACGCCCGAGTACATCTCGCCGGAGCAGGAGACGGGCAAGCAAGTCATCCTGGGCTTCGACCGGCACGCCCGGCCGTGCCAGTACCTCAACCCGGGGCGGCAGAACACCGACCCCAGCCCCCGCCAGATCCATCACCTGTTCTACATGGTCGAGCGCGTCACCGACATGATGCCCCCCGGCGTCGAGAAGCTCAACCTCATGATCAACTTCAAGCCCAGCGCGAAGCGGCAGAACACGTCCGTGCCCGTGTCGACGGCCAGGGAGGTGCTGCATATCTTGCAGAGCCACTATCCCGAGCGGCTGGGCAAGGCGCTCATCATCAACGGTGAGGATCCCAAGCCTCTTCCTTTTCTTGTTTCAAAAAAAAAAAATGACAAAGAAATCTTTCTAACGTTTTGGTGCTCTGGTGTTTCACCCACAGTCCCTTGGTACGTGCGAGGCTTCTTCAAAATCATCCAGCCGTTCATGCATCCCGTCACGCGCGAGAAGCTCAAGTTCAACGAGGACATGAGGCGGTTTGTGCCGGCGGCGCAGCTGTGGAGCGCCGACTGGGACGGAGAACTCGACTTTGAGTACGACCACGCCGTCTACTGGCCTGCCCTGAACGACTTGTGTCGCCGCAGGCGGGACGAGAGGCTGGCCAGGTGGAGGGCCGCGGGGAGCCAAGTCGGCGAGTCGGAGTATTACCTTGGCGGCGGAACCGACGTGAGCGTCTCCGGGTTCAAGTACACCGGCGGCGGCAACGTGAGCCTTGTCGAGGAGAAGATGGCGGTGGCGGCGACGCTGGAGAGTGGAGGAGCGCATCAGGTTGTCGCCGCGTAGATCCCGGGCAGCAGGAGGAAGAAGAGGCGGATGAGGAAGTGTGTCTGCATTCTCTGTCTTTCTCTCTCTCTCTCTTTTTTTTTTTTTTTATTTACATTTTTGCCGTGGTGGTAAATCTAGGATAGCCCTGCGCCATATTTTCGTCTCGTCTGTTTTGCTTTTGTTTTCATCCTGGAATAGAGTAGCATAGTCATAGATCTTATCTTCATTCTTCGCGGCGGCTTCATATCCAATGTCGGCTTGTGCTGCTGCTGAGATGATGGTGTTCATGTCATTGACCTCGTGTGAGAGGACGAGGCGGGAAGGTAAAGAGGAAAGTACGAACATGGGAAAACCAACTCTCATTCAGGCGAGCAGCTGATGGATTGATTGGCTTTACAACCGACGGGAAAGAGCGATCCGGCTAGGCACAAGCAGCAGGCCAGCAGGCCCATGGCCGGACCGACCAGCGAGTTGGTGTGGAGGGCGAGCATGCAGACTGAGAACTTTTTCATGTTGCTTTGCCATTTCAAAAGAATCCATTTCAAGAGCCGCAACGAAAACAACTTTAAAATCGTGACTTGCGTTGACACCAAGGGGTTTGCTTGCCATATTGTAGGATGGCTACCCTGCACGCCCAGCCAAAAGCAATCGCCCCACCACGAGACATCGCCGTAGCCATCGACGACACAAGCTTCCAGTCTCCGTCGTCCAACACCAGCTGCCATGCCAACACCCTCCGCGCCAGCCCACGCACACACACGCACTCATCTACACACGCGGCCATGTCAAATCCACAACCCGCAGCCCAAGGCACAAAGGAGACGGGGCTGCGCGTGCCCGGTAATGGCAAGACCATCTACCACCGCCCACTCAACCGCACCAAGACGGCGGAGCTGAGCCAAGCGAGCTTCGCCTATCTGTTCAGCGAGATGGTCACATATGCCCAGAGAAGGGTGAAAGGCATCCAAGAACTCGAGCAGCGGTATGTACGTCCGTCCCCAAACTCACAGCCCAACCATTGCCGCCTCCCCGGAGACCCTGGGTCCAAGAACAGAGCCACATGACCAGACCCCCCCTCCGGAAAAAGGTCAAAGGCAACGGCAGCGGCAGCTAACTACGAAATACGAAAACCCAGGCTCAACGAACAAGGGCACCCCATCGGCCTTAAGCTTCTCGATCTCCTGCTCTACCGTGAGCCGCCGCGCTCGCAGCTGCGTCCCCTGAGCATCATCTCCCTGCTGCACTTCATCAAGCAGAACGTGTGGCAGCACCTGTTTGGCCGGCAGGCCGACCGGCTGGAAAAGTCCAACAACCCCGACACGCCCGACGAGTACATGATTATCGACAACGAGCCCCTCGTCAACCAGTACATCAGCGTGCCGCGCGAGATGAGCCAGCTCAACTGCGCGGCGTTTGTGGCCGGCGTCGTCGAGGGAGTCTGCGACGGGGCCGATTTCCCGGCCAGGGTGACGGCGCACACCGTCGGCGAGGGGGACATGTGGCCCGGCAAGACGGTGTTCCTGGTCAAGTTCAGGAGCGAGGTTGTTGAGCGGGAGGCGCTTCTGGACAAGAGCTGACTTGAATTCTTTCTTCCCCTGCTACCTGCGCCTCGGAGCAATGGTTACAGCGTTGGGCGTTTTTGGTGTCGGTGTTTTTGGGCTAGGTCTGGGTTCTTACACTACCGGGGAGTGATGATATCCTTTTCGTGACACGAATAGCGAACGCCGTGCTTGCATATATAAACACGCGCTGAACTGAAAACCTCATAACCACGGGGACCACGGGCGTTGCCGAACATTCTTCCACACAGCGTCTTTGCATTCATGTCCGTCCTCCAGCGGCGACCCCCAGGCACCCAGCACCCAGCACCCGACCGCCACGACGGACGGCATCTGGACCTATCTTGGCATGCCGTTGGCACTCGCGCCCTTGGGCGGTCCCTTCGTCATCAGCTCCCCCAGGCCCAGATCCTTCCACGCCGCCCCCCTCACCTCCCTCGTCGCGCGCGTGATCCCAAACGCGGCATGCTGATCGGGCACCACGTCGTCCTCGTCCTCCGGGTTCAGCGGCTGGTGCTGCAGCGGCACAAAGATGTCGTCCGCCGGCAGCTTGTCCTTGCAGAAGTCCTCAAAGAGGTCCGCGTCGGAGGCGTTGGACATGTGCACGTACGTGAAGGACGAGTCTTTGTTCTACGCGCACGCGTGTCAGTCACGTCACGGACTCGTGGCGCTCTTGCCCCCGGAAGCACGTTGCTGTGCGGGTGCGGGCGCGGCCATTGACAGACGCACCATGTTTTGAGACTCGTGGCTTTGCGGGTTTGAATATGGTTCGGGCCGCGCTTCGCTTTCGCTTTCGCTTTCGCTCTTGGGTTGAGTAGTTGACGTTGCTGGTGGCGGGGTGGTGACGAGTGACGTTGTCTTGTTTGGCGGGGGTCGATGGAGCTGGAGCTGTCACGACTCACGCCTCGCAAGTTCGAGGCTCAAGTGGGCGGGGCAATGGCGCAACAGAGAAGAGCTCCAAGCTCGACGTGAGCACTGCGCACTTGCTCGACCGGATTCACCACCGGGCTTCCATCCTCGTCGGTTTGGTGTGGGATGAAGAGGCCGTCCGCTCCGGCAAGCGAATTCCCCAAAGTCGTGACGTAGACATCTACCTGGGCCCGCGACAGACACTATCTTACTGGCTTTTTACTACGAGACTGGATGGACATCTGTCTAGATGACTCGAAGACGATACAAATGAGACGAACCATGGTGAATGACAATCGAAAGCTGGCTCCGTTGCACAAGATGCAAAAGAACAGATACAGCTTGTCCGGTCGTGCTCCAAGCGAGCAGTCACCACCCACCCGTCCATTCCACCAGATTAATTCATCCTCATTACCATTTTTGCCCGACAAATAGCGAAAATGCACACCGCTCTGAAACAATCCCTCGGGCACGCCAAGCCTAATCACTAGAGACGTGAATGGCTTGTGAAGATAGGTCCTCCAGGGAAACGAATGTAGACACAACGAGACGCTCGTCCAACATGATACAAAAGCCACTGCATCACCGAGTTCATGAGCCGGCCGCGCTTTTCTTTCCGACATTTCGCCTTGTTTCGTTGAGTACCCTCTTCAAAGGCTTTCCACACGCCAGAATTTCCACCCTTCTCGTTCGCCGCCGTCTCCATGAACGCCAACGAGCTTCTCGACTCCTTCGGTGCCTTCCGCATTGAGGAACTTCTCCAAGTCGATTTCCATGCCGCCCTCCTCATCTTCCTTGGTGCCGTTTTTCAGAATGGCGGGCCACAAAACTCCGACGCCGTCGCCACCAAGCGTCGCCTGAAACTTTGCAAAGTTGTCCCTGTCTAGTCGTTCCTCGAGCTTGTCAAGCTTTTCTCTTGAGACACCGGGCCGCAAGAGTGTGATCGAACAACCGCCGCCGCCGGCTCCAGTGAGCTTCGTCCAGCCGATGCCCTCGTGATCCACCAATTCGCGCACCCGTTCCAGTCGAGGGTGCGAAACACCGAGCGAGACCAGCAGGCCGTGGTTGATGGTCATAAGCTCGCCGACCTTTGCGAGACTTTCTTCTTCTTTCTCATCAAACTTGTCATCGGCAATGAGCTCAGTCGCAGAGCTAGCCACTTTGTCCATTGCGTCCAGAATCGATGCCACTATCTTGGGTCGCATTCTATTCAGTTCCCCCACCTTGGCGACCTCGTGGGCCGTTGACTTGGGCTGCTTGGTGTCGACGAGCAGTAGTGGCAGTTCGGGAAAGTCCCAAAACGGCTTCACAACAGGCGGCTTTTTGTAATCTAATCTCTGGAACACAACAGCCTTGCCTTGGGTGGCCACAGTATTATCTACCCCTGAGGGATTGCCATGGATGCACATCTCGTATACAAAGGCCCACCTGTTGATGCGCTCCATCTGCAGACGAGCCTCCTCAGGTGGCTGATCGGGGTGAGGTCCAGACAGCGTCCTCAATTGGATGAGCAGGGCAGCGGACACGCATACCGCAATGGAGGCACTGCTCCCCAAGCCTGCGCCAATTGGTATTGTAGATCGCAAGGTGTAAAGGCAGCCGGGGAACGAGGGTGAGCCGAGCGAGAGAAACAGGTAGAGAAAAGCAAATGCGCCATTTCTGTGGACTCGACGGACGTCCTCTGGGCTACCTGGGGAGACGTCGACGTGAGGCTCGAGGGCGGCGATGAGATCAGGGTCGAGTTCGGTGACGAGAGAGTAATACGACTTCTTTTTGGAAGGCTGCTGAAAGGCATCCCAGGGAAGCTCGTCGATGTTCCATGTGTGCACGAGGTCGACATCGGTGAAACGCAGCGAAACTGTTCTCTTGGACTTGGAGAGGGTGGTGACGTGGAGATAGGACCGTAGCGAAATGGCAGCAGCAATGGCGGCCTGAAACGACGAGTGACAGTCAGCACATGCAGCTGGAAGCGTTGCTCGAGTATTGCATCACACCATCAAGGCCGTTTGAGATTCACCTTTCCGTAGACGACAGAATGCTCCCCAAAGACGATGACCTTGCCCGGGGCAGACACCATAAAGGCGGGAGCCATGGGACTGGACTGCTTCCGGTCTGGCTTTATGCGGTGTACGAGAGGCCCATCGCCATTGACACAGGGCATGCCATTGCCTCGGCTGTTGGTGCCATTGCCGGGCGCACCGTTGAACATTTCGGAAGCTCGTCGTCAGTCTCGTGGTGGTTGAAGCAGGGATGGGGCAGCCGGGACCCGGACTGAAGACAGTCGATGGGGCGGGCGTGTCACGGAGGCGAGGAGAGGGAAACGAGGTTGGCGTTGGGACGGATGCCCGCAGTGAGAGCTATTTACTCGTTGGCTGCCCGTCTCTTGTTATTTTCTGCTCCTTCTTCTTGGAGATTCTAGACGGATGCAGGTCGTGCACGACTGTCACCTACTCCAGGCTGGCCGGAGTGGCCCATGGTGCTGGGATTGGCCCTGCTGGGGCCGAGAAATGGGGCCGCGGCGCTGCTGCACGGGTTTCCAGGTCGCTTACGGAGTACGGAGTAAGTTACTACGTACGTGCTTTTGAGTGTACAAGCATGTACGCACTGTGCGGAGCACTCCACACAAAGGCCTTCGGAATGTCTTCTTTGCATGACGGAACGACGGAAACAACCTGAGCCAAGCTGCAAAGTCGGAGCGCCAGAGTCTGGCGGACATGGAATGGAGTCTTGGCCATGTCCGGTTCCCAATGGGGGTGGAACATTGATGAGCGCATCCGCGCAGGTTGCTCCGAAGTCGAACAGTCGCCAGCCGTCAAGGATGTCGATGTGAAGATATGGTCGGCTCGGCTAACTGACGAAGCACGACACAAGCACAACGAAACATGGCCAACCCAGGCTACTACGTCGTCGACCAAGCTTGCTCTCCAGTCGTTGGTTCAGGTGCTCGTCGGCAGCAGATGCCGCCATGGCGCCGTACTCTGTCCTGATGCATGCTCGAGTCCCAACCACCATCAAGACCTGAAATGGAATCACCACCTTCACCTCTGTCGACATCCAACAACAGCGGCCTGTCATTCGCCATCAACTCGGCCAACTTTCCAGCGACAGGGGGCCCAGACCATGTACGTACATGCTGTACGTCTCCACGTCGGTAGGTTCTCACGCATCTTGTCAGCCGAACTTTTGATGAGCTTACAAGTAATAACTTGGCAGGTTCCGTCTTCATTCTTCCACACAAGAATCCTCCTCTCGCGCTGCCAAAAGTTCCTGGTCTCGTGGCTGCGAGAGCGTAGGAGCCCGTGAGACACCTGGGACGGGCGGGAGTGAGCCACGGCTTTCGTGTCATTTTCTGTTGCTTTGCAGCCACGCCTGCTTTCTCCAATGGAGCATTCGACGGCGACGACGGCTGCTGTCTAACGTCTTTGTTCTTCTTGCCCTTTCTTTCTCGCAGCTTTTACCTACCGTACCCTCCGCTTGACCGTCTTGCTAACACGATACGGCGTACTGCGATCTCGCTGGCTGCCAAAGCCTCTGTGATGAGCAGATATCGTTTCCCATCAGCCAACTCATCCAAGTTGAGGTGCCTGTATGGTATGGACTGCGGCCCAGCACCAGATTTGCCCACAAGCTGCCCCCAAAGTACTGGTCGCCAAAGAAGGGCACAATCATGCGTCGTCTTGATCCAGCTCTACCCAATTTCTAGAGACGAGAGCCCGAATACCTGCCCGTTTAACGGCATCAAAGATCATCTTTGTGAAGGCATTCGCATTTTCCAACACGAAAGTCCCGAGTTCTATATATCGCACATGGGGCCCAGAAAGTAGACCCGGCGTCCGGGCACGGCTTCTGCACGCGGAAGTCGTCAATCGGGTCGCGTAAGCCCTGCCACGTCATTGTTTCAACAAGGGGGTAGCACGTAAAGTTTGTGTACCCTCTCTCACTCCTTGGCTTCCTGCCTCCCTTGATAGTGGCCAAGAGGCGAGGAAATACCCGAGTTGGCGTGTGGGTAAAGGTGAAGACCAAATAGAGTGGAATCCTAGGGCGCAGTGGATGTGTGCAAAGCTGGGCGAGTGATTGCATCTGCAATAAGGATATCTCGTCTCCCTCCAGGGTACCGCTTCAAGACTTGTCTCTACGTCCTCGGTGGCGTGTATGCAGGCTCACCAGAACCCGTCAAACATACCGGCCACTGCTGCTCGACGCCTTCCGATTGGCAGCGGTTCTCAACGTCTGAAAAGTCGGGATCATACAGGGTCGCCTCCCATCGAGAAAAATCCCCAATCCGACCCGATGTACAATCTCTCGGAAGGCCGGGTGCGTGACGGCGCGACGCGGTGGTGGTGAATTCTTCTTTGGGGACTTGCCTATTTGCGAGACCGGCTGGACATCGCCGCAGGAGCCTACTACCATGATGACAATATCGAGCCTTTCAGAGCCGCCTCAGCTTGATTTGTGACACGCGACGATGGAGGGGAGAGAACCATGAAGAGCTGAAGGGGCCTCGCCGTTCATTCACCATCTTGATATATATACATAGCTAGCTTTCGTTGCGTTCCCCCCCCCCAAAGGGCCGTCTCTCTGAGGTCTTTGTTCACGATGGCCTCGACCAAGTCACACTCACGTTGCTGGAGCTCTGGCACTGTTGCAAGCAGCAAAACGACAAACCAAGCAGAGATTTTCTTTGCCCGACAGATCCAACCTCAGTTCTCCCAGCATCCGTCTTCTACGCCAAACCAATAATGCGAATTGCGGCCAGTGCCGCACGCCTGTGGTTGGCCTTGAACCACCTCCCCGAGTCCGAGTCGCCGCCGAACCGAGTCTCGATGCAGTACCCGGGCTCAAAGGCGTGCCTGTGATTCCACCACTTGAGCGGCTGTGCGTACCAGTCGTTGGGGTTCTCCTCCCAGACTTCGCCATCTTGACGTCTTGGCCGTTGCGCGGGAACTGCGGGCAGTCCGTGGCCAGTACGTCGTCGGTTGAGCTGATGTAGCCCAGGAACTCGACTCTCTCGGGCTTTTGCTCACGCTCATCGCCCTCGCCGTGTCCAGGAATCTCCTTGTATCCGGGGACCTCGTCCGCCATGTTGTTCATGGGATACTGCTACTGCTACTGCTGCTGCTGCTGCTGCTGCTGCTGGATGCTGCGACGACTTGGCAACGTGACGAACGAAGGGCGCCAGTGTGGACTCACGCTGTGGCCAGGCGGAGCAGAGTCGCGACGGCGGCGAGCGTTGTCGTCTTTACGTGCCGTAAGCAAATGGACGAGATGACAGAAATGAGCTTTGTAACATGGCCGAGTCGGAAAGTATCCTGGGCACTTTATATAGCGAGGGGAAGGCAGAGGCGGCAGAGTCTCAGACTTGACTGCTCACGTTTGCCCCGACGTACGTACATTGTTGTCCCAGTCGGCCGGTTTCCGAGGCATCTAGAAGCAAAGTACCGACCTCAGCTCAGCTGCTTCGCATCTTTCAAGTGAGACTTGTACCGGGTCCCCCGTGCTGGCTGTCCGGCATGCCTCGGACACTCGCAATCGCAAATTCCCACATGTGGCGGCGGCGTTGTGTCCTTCTCCCATCGACTGGGGACAGTAGCTCGCTACATGACTTGACGACCGTGAACAAGAATGTTCTGCGGAGCATCCTGGCTGTGCTGATGATGTCTGTATATACGCAGTACGCAGGAACGTACGCCGTCTCCGAATAGATCCCGAGGCCTGTCACGGTCTCCTGGACGCGTCCTGAGTCAATCGCTGAAGGAAACGCGCTCGGATTACGCAAGGAAAGAACTGCGCCCCTGCCGTGACTCGGTCTTGATTCCGTCGGCAAGAAGAACGATTTTAAAAACCGCCGAGTGAGTCGTCACACCAACCCTAACCCTTGCACAACCTCGACAATGCCGTTCCCTCCCCATGGAGCGACGCTATCCCATTTATTGTCATCTTCAAAGAAATACACAATACACTAGGAAAGCCAGGCCTAAAGCAGCGGCTGATGTCAACGACAGAGACGGAGTCGTTTCCTCACCCGGCACGGAAGGCCTTCGCAGTCGTCCACTGCCCAAGACCTCAACCAAGGGCACATGTAACTTTAACAGCATCAAGAAGAAGAATGCTGATGCAAAGAAAATAGAGTCAACGACTGGTGGACATGGCTGGTGACGTTTTTGACCATCCTACCCGAGCATTTGAGTTTCGCGCGGGAAGCTGGGCTCTCGGCGGTTTTGTCGTCAGGGTACGCTAACAACTCTGGCTTGCCGATTACCAGCGCCAGGGTGAAACCATTATTACGCTCCGAGATTGTGCCCAACGGCAGCTGAATTGGTCCTATTTTGTACTGTGTTCAAGCCAGCCAGCTCGGAGCGGGGGCAACAGCCATGTCACGTCGCATCTGTGAATGCAAGCCGGTCTTGGGGCATGGCGAACTGAACTATGCGTGGCATGGCCCCCTCGCGGACCGCAAAACGTGCCGTGTGGCTCATCAACATGTTGACCATGGGGGCTGACCGTCAGACCGGGCCACGAGATTGTCATTTCAGTCGAGTTTGTTGAGCCCCTGGATGGCGTGGTGCCGCATCACGCGGCTCATCTTGACCGAATGACATAGAGTTCGGAAATGACACGAACCACGGTTGAGACAGACGTAGAGTGGGTAGCGAGGCCTGGGCGCGATTCGCGCCATTCACTTGGCCGGACCGACTGAAGCCCAAACCATGGGGTGTATTCGTTACTCGCCAACTTGACTGTACTTTGTGGCATGGACGTCTCTGCGAGGCGGGGGCAGAGGATGTACGTAGTCTGGTTCGACACTCAATATGCTTTGATTCACGTCTCTCTGTGCACTTTCTGATTCGATGCTATCCAACCTTTACTTGCTTCCCGTCTTACCCGTAGGGATGTAGAACAACACAACCCTCTTGCCCTTGAGACCAGCCTCGCCGGGAGCCCAGTCATCCAGACCCTTGTCTACTCTGTAGAAGCCGCGTCGCTCAAGCTGAATGATGTCGTCCTTCTTCAACTTTCCGACGCCACCGTCGCAGATGGCATCTACAAGGCTGAAGGTGTCGGGGTTCAGGAAGTCCTCGACGTTGTCGTCCTCCTCGAGCTTGTCCTTGGTGATGAGGTAGTCAAAGTCCCACAGCTCGGCGAGCACCGGCTCAAGACCCTCCGCAGAGAGCCAGGTAATCTTCTTGTCAGTGGCCTTGAAGTCACCCTTGAGGTTGAGCTCCATGGTCATGGTCTTGATGGGGTCCTCGGAAGGTGTCTCGCGGACAAAAGCGTTGCCCCAGCCCATGAGCGTAATCTCCTCGCCTGGCTTGAAGCTCTTGGCGTCTTCCTGGTCAAGGTATATCTCAGGGGAGTACACAACATCCTTCATGCCCACGTCGGGGTTCTTGGGGTGCTTGGGTCGCTTTTCAGTGACGACGCCCGAGGGAACCTCGGCACCGGTGAGCTTCACCTTGACTGTGTTGGCTCGGAGGAGGGCAGTGTGGCGAGCAACGACAGGGTCAATCTCCTTCTTGTTTGCCGCCCAGAAGCTGGTCCAGTCCATGGTTACGACGTTACGGCTGGGGCCTTGGCGGATGATGAAGTCCCGCAGGGCAGCAACGGTCATGCCACGACGACGAACGCCGCGGATCGTGGGCATTCTGGGATCATCCCAGCCCCAGACCTTGCCAGTGTCGACGAGCTTGGCCAGCTTGCGCTTGGACAGGAACGTCTTGATGAAATTGATTCGCGAAAAGTCCCACATGTGAACCTGTCGCAGGCCCAACGTATCCAGGAACCACTGGTACTGGGGATTGCGATCAGTGTACTCTGTAGATCGCAGAGCGTGGGTGACGCCCTCGTAGCTATCGACGACGGGACATGCAAGATCATACATGGGGTAGATGTTCCACTTGCGCCCGGTTCGATGGTGGGCATTCTCGATGTTGCATCGGTAAATGACGGGGTCCCGCATGGCCTTGTTGGGGTCATCAGCTGAGATCTTGGCGCGAATGCAGTGAGCCAGGCCTTCCCCGGAGGCCTTCTTCATCTCCTCGAATATGCGCAGGTTCTCCTCGACGGATCGATCGCGACGTTTCGAGGGGATACCGTTCATTCGCTGGGCTCTCATGGTCTCCTGATCGGTATCATCCGCGTAGGCTTTGCCCATAGAGATGAGCTTCTTGCACGTCTCGTACAGGTACTCGAAGTAGTCGGAGGTATATGTCAGAGCGTCGGGCTTGATTCCCATGAGAGAAAGATCCTCAACGATAGCATCCTGGAACTCCTCACTCTCTTTGGCAGGGTTGGTGTCGTCGAGTCGGAGACGCATCTGACCCTTGTAGGCGACGTGGCCGAAGTAGTCGCTGAGAAGAGCTGCCTTGGCATGTCCAATGTGTAAATAGCCTCTATACTCATGTCAGCATACTTGACCTGCAAAAGTGACATGGGTAAAAGAAACATACGAAGGCTCGGGAAGGAATCGAGTCACGACGCCCTTTTCGGCATCTTGAAGGGCCAGATTGTAGTTGGCGCCACCCTTGTTCGCAATGGTCTTGCTCTTGGAAGCATCTTCTTGAAGCTCAGGGTGAGTCTGCTCAACAAAGGTGAACCATCTAGTCAAGTTAGGCAGTCCGTTTCGTCGGATAAACCCAATAGCAACCTTGTTTTCGCGCAGAGACTGCCAAATCTTCTTGTCAACATCTCCCAAGGCATACCGCTCCAAGTAAGTTCTGAGCGTCAGGTGCTTATCAAGGTCTCGCAGACGGGGTTCAATGGTGCGGAAGTCTCCAGAGAGATTGCTCGCGAGAGATTCGAGCTCCTCGTGCTTCATTTTCAATTCCCGACGTCCGAGGTAGCGAGGCGCAGTGACAGAAAGGCTGGTGCAATCGATCGTTGACGGTTCCCTGGATCAAGTCATTTTCGCTGGCGGGGTTGAGGGCAGTCTTTTGATGGAGGGGCAGGAGGGGCCTGATTGGTGGGGTGACACAGGGCCAGCCGAAAGGTACCTAGGTACTTAAGTTACGTACGGAGTAACGTACTCCACCGCGTTATCGATAATGATTCTTTTTTGGGCCTAAGTTGCCAGGCACGAAGATGACAATGTTCTTGCGCCCTGATGCCGGGTCACTATGGATCTTTCTTGGAATTTCTTCATCCAGCGCGTGAATCCATGACGGCAATGGACAAATGCTTGGCCTCAATGGCCAGGCTTAGCATCCCCCAGATGGCACGGCCATCAACAACGTCAATACCGAGATTTCTTGCACCTGCATTCATCCAGAACCGTCAGGCTTCCGTTGTCAGAATCAAAAAAGTCAAGAAGCGGCCCATCCCCAAGGATTTCAAGCGACACAACCTCGAAAAGCAGCAGTTTCTCCAGTTCTCACTGTGTGAGGCTATGCGGTATGCTGAAAGCGTTTCTTGATCAAAGTTGCAACATTTGCAAGTGCTAATTGAGCTTTCAGGGTGCTCCGCGCTGTTGAAGTCGGCCAGCCGCCTGCTTCCATCAAATATGAAGTACACATTAACCTCAAAACCGCACGTAATGGCCCCGTCGTCAAGAATAGCATACGTCTTCCGCACCCCGTTCAGAGCGATTGGCAAATTGCTGTCATATGTCCCGAAGGAAGCGACATTGCCACTGCGGCCACTGCTGCTGGCGCCGTCGCCGTAGGAGAAGAGACGCTTTTCGACGCTATTCGCAAGGAAAAGATCGACTTTGACCGCCTCATTTGCCATGAGGCTAGTGAAAAGGCCCTGAACAAGGCTGGCCTGGGAAAGATACTCGGTCCCAAGGGACTCATGCCGAGCAGAAGAATGAAGACAATTGTCAGCGACGTGACCAAGTCGATTCGTGATTCTGCTGGCGCAGCCGACTATAGAGAACGGCAGGGTGTTATCCGCATGGCTATCGGTCAGTTGGGGTACACCCCGGATCAGCTCAAGGGCAACATCACCGCATTGCTGAAGAAGATCAAGTTTGAGTGTGCTGAAGTCTCGGAGGAAGTGTCCAAAGAGGTCCACGAGGTGATTCTCAGCACTACCAATGGACCTGCTTTAAGCCTTAATGGGAAATTCAGCGATGCTGAGGGAGGGACGCAGCCAGAGGCTTTGGCGGGCGCCATGTAAAACAACTGGAATGGGGAAGAGAACGAGTATGTTGTACAATAGTCGGGTTACTGTATTGGAAATCAAACGCTTCGTATGGATTCTGATGGGAGAACCCCATATGGCCCAGCACACATCTGATGAGACACAGCGCAATGTATACCTCTGTATGCTCAGGTTTTCTGCGTTTGTAATGGCCCGATTAGCCAACTCTTAGTGCCTTGATGGCCTCTCCTTGGGCACCCAGCACGCGATATATGGCCAGATATTTGAGCACTCGATCCTGCCCTTGGATGCCAGCTCCCTTCGCTTCTTTCAGCGCATTGCCCAAATCCAGAAGTAAAGTATTCCGACACCGTGCCAGCCGCTCCTCGAGCTTCACTACAAACGGATATTTCTGGTCCAGAGACCCTTTTAATAGAACGATTTCGCCGCACGCCTTTGCCAATTGCAGCAGTTTGGCAGGCGAGCTATCCAACAGACCGGGCAGAGAAGCATCCTCTTCCTCCCCATCACTGCTGTCCGAATCCCACTCATTTCGACCAGCAGGAGCAGGCAGACTATCCACGGATAATCGCTCCTCGAGGGCCGATATTCTATCGTCCAACTCAAGCATCTTTCTCCCTTGTTCGATATCTAAGCGTACAAGACGCAGCTCATTGTTCAAGCTTCTCGCCTCATCTCTCCTCTCGGCCACTTTGACTTTGACCTCCTCGACAGCTCGTCGGAACCCCATCAAAGCCACTTTTACGTCTTGGACCTTTTCATCGCCGCCTTTCAGTTCAGAGCCTAGCGACAAGAAGGCAGTATAGTTGGCGTTTACGAGCTCAACAAGTTCCGAGCTGATGGTTGAACTGCGATCACGGAGGTCGGAGCGGAGATCCTCGAGGGTCTGATGGCGATGAGGGAGGCTAGAGAGATATGCGGCGGGGTCAAAGTCTGGAACGAGAAAGTCGGATCGCGGCAGGGCCGCCGGGAAGGGTAGAGGAGCGTCATCGTCGGGGTCGATGTCTGAGGAGTCGGAGGGGAGATTGTACGACGTTGACGCGGATCGGGTGCGGCGCTGGTGGGAAGGAATTGCGAGGCTAGACATGTTGAATCCTGAGCGCGGTAATGGCGAGAAGAGTTCAGCGCGATTCTACATCCCTGGGAAAATGCGCCGACACCCAGCAAAAGGGAAGGGAATCACCTCACAGGAGCCCACTTACCCGTTGCCGCCCGTCGCATTGCTGCATAACCCCGCTATTTGCATGAGTCGCGGACCTCGATCCAAACAATGGACTGGACCGGTCTGGCAAGGAATTACGTTAGGGATCGGCCCAGCGTTGACCGACACACATCCGAAAATTATTACTCCCTTGAGAAAGGCCAGTCAGTGACCATGGGGAGATTCGCTGGGGGAGCTCGGCTACCCGCGCTCCCGGTCGTCCGGGATTCGAATTGCTTGGCCCCAGTCATCGCCTGGTGGTGTTGGGCCAAAAGGTAAGTCATGAGTAGCTCCGAGGTAAAAAAAAAAAAAAGACCTCAGGTTCACGAATATTTCGGTGTGTCACGAGAGTATTTTCTCCACAGTGGCGTGAAGACTAAGTGAATTCAGGAGTAGTGGACATGCAGGTCATGGTCTAGAGTTCGGATGCTAGTCAGTCGAAGAAACCGAAGCGATTGTGGTATGCTCCGTCCCTTGAGAACCTGAAAGAGGACTTTAGAAACAATTCACTACACCGGTTGGATTCCGCGCAGCAGAAAACGAAAAAGTACGGAGGACTATAGTCACCATAGAGTCGCAACAAAAGCCCTCCAAAAGTAAGATCAGTCGGAATTCGTTCCTCAAGCCAACCTGTATGTCGGCACATGCTAAGTCGGGCCCAAGCAAGCGTTGTGGAGTGAGACACAGACCAACAGAGGCCAGGGCGAGGGAATTTTATCAATCAATCTTATCAATCGATCAGTGGCCCACTCTTCTCGTCTCGTAGAATTGGCACACTCACCTCGTCACCCAACACCGCCTGCTTCTTCCTTCAAATAGACCCGCGGCTGCTCATTTTGCGAGCGCACGAACCGCCGAGGGTTTTCCGGTCCTTTTACTCCTCCTCACACTTGTCATCCTCTTCAACCCACCGCTTCGTTTTGATGGTTGTCCCCTTCCCAGCTGCACCGTATCCATCATCTCTTCAATTGCAAAAAGTCCATGCGGATCATTCCGAGCCGGAATTTACGCCTGTCAATTGCGGGCATCTAATTTGCTGGCTTTTCGTCCCTTACCTTGTTGGCTACCTGCGCGCGTCGATTTGCCGCACTGGTGTGCGCTGAGACTCCGAGGGTCGCAGCGCCGCTACATCGAGCGCAAACCTGCTCAAACAGGGCGAGACCTAGTGGCATTGCATCCTTTTCAAGCAATACGTCCACCACGTCTGATGCTTCTCAGTTGCTTCAGCGTCGGGACTCTTTTTTAAGTCACTAAACACTGGGAAAAAAACAACAAAAAAAGCCTCGCATCTCAAAGCGCTGCGGGGCCGGGATTTCTTATCTGATCTTGCACAAAATCAGGCCACTCACTCACCCGATTCGGAACTCCGAGGTATTTGTTTGCAAGCCAGCCAATCAGAACACGGCACCAGTTAACCACCGCATCCACCGCAACGGCATCTCGGTTCCGTCACCATGCCTGCACCGTCCACTTCCGCACCTCCTGCTCTCTCACCTTCATCCCAAAGTAAAGCCGGAGCCGTCGCAGATGCGAGCAACCAGAGGCGGATAGCGTCTCGACCCTCGTCAAGGGTTGATGAAAAGCCAGCTGTCGGCTCCTCCGCCGCTGCATCCGGTGCGTTTGGCCCGCCCTCTCGAGCGCCGCTTCCGACGAAGCAGCCAAAAGCAAACACCTCGGCGAAGACAACCGGCGGTGGTCCAGCGCCCCTGCCTCGTCTGCCGGCACCGCTCGTCGATAAAATGGCCATGGCGGCCGTCATCAGCCCTTCTCCTACCGCCGAGGCGCCCAAAATTTCCATGACCTCCAAGGAATGGGTTATCCCGCCACGTCCCAAGCCTGGCCGTAAACCAGCGACAGACACTCCTCCAACCAAGCGCAAGGCTCAGAACCGTGCCGCTCAGCGTGCTTTTCGGGAACGACGAGCTGCCCGTGTGGGAGAACTGGAAGTGCAGCTGGACGAGCAGAAGGACGCTCATCAGCAGGAGGAGGCCAAGCTCAAGGAAAAGATCCGCAATCTGGAGCTGGATGTCCAATCGTTTCGATCCAGATGCGTACTTTTGGAGAACATGCTCGATCGCGAGCGCCACGAACGCATTCGTGCCGAGACGCAGGCAGAAACACTCAAAAGAAGACATGGTGATGACTTTTTCCCATCACAAGGCATAAGCCGCGCTCGGCACTCGCCCAGTCAATCTCACCGTTTTGTCCATCAAATCCGTCACAGCCTATCCGGCGGGCGCAACGAGCACCTCTCTCCGGGGAGAAACTTTGCCATCTCCAACATCATTACTCCCCCCGAAAGCTTGGACATCAGCTCCAACAACCCAGAGGCCGACGCCGCCATCACCTGCGGCAACTGCTCACCCCAAGGCCGCTGTGCGTGTGCGGAAGAGGTTCTTGCTTCCGCGTCTGCAGGCTGCGGCAAGTGTGGCTTTGGCACTGCCTGTCAGTGCTTGGACGAAGTGACGAGCATTGCCGATGCAGGCCAGGACATGAAAAGGCCGGCGTCGCCGTCTGCCGGCTCATCCGACAGCAAGCGACAGCGTCCAGCCGCGGACGCACACGCCCTCACAGAGACGGACTTTACGGCCATGTTTTCAAGAAAGCCTGCGGCCGACAACACCACAGCCCAATCACCGTACGACCAACCCCCCTCGGCGATCCAAATGACTTTGGAAGAATCCATGCCATTCAAGGAGAGCTGCGGATTCTGCAAGGACGGCACATACTGCGTCTGCGCCGAGGACGCAGCTGGAATGGCTACCCCGGCCATGACGCCTACCGAGTCAACACAGTCTGTCTCGCACCAGACGCAGACCCCCCCTCCCTCGGAGCCCGACATCATCCAGCCCCCTCTGGCCATGGAAATGACGGCAGACGGGGCAGTCAAGCTCCCCCGCAGAATCCAAGGCAAGAAACCCGTCCACAAAGCATCGCCCTCGTCCAGGGGCGGCTGCGGCGCCAACGGACCCGGCACATGCGCTCAGTGCCAGGCAGACCCCAAGTCAGGTCTGTTCTGCCGCCTCATGAACGCAAAGTACAGCCGTGAACAGGGCTCCGATGGTGGCGGCTGCTGTGGCGGCAAAGGCGCGGGCGGAGGAGGATGCTGCAGGTCCAAGACGCAGCAGGCCCCCGAGAAAATCACCCTCCCCAGCCTGCCCAGCCTGGGGCTCAGCTGCGCAGAGGCGTACCAAACGCTGTCCAGCCACAGGAACTTTTCAAAGGCGGCCGACGACATCTCCTCGTGGCTGCCGAAACTGAAGACAACACCGCAAGGGGGCCGTATCGCGGCGGGGAGACAGGCGATAGAGGTCGAGGCGGCCAGTATAATGAGCGTTTTGAAAGAATTCGACGTACGCTTCGGAAGGGAGTGCTGAAGATGAGACGGTCATAGACCAAGGCAAGAATAAAAGGAAGACGGATACAAAGGGAAAAAAAACATATGCACTATGAACTGGTGGCATTTGGCGTTTTCTCTGGCTCGGCGTGTCACGGGGCAGCAGCACGGGCTACGGAATGGAGTTGTTCTTTTCAAGACATAGGCATTATCCTACTGTACCTATTCACAGTCTCGCCCACCACCGGTCTGGTCTCTGCTTTTCCTGACGCTGTGGGACTTGTCTCTTTTCAGTAAACCACGTCTGACTGCCTCACGGATGGTCCCGTGACCCGTCGGACGGAGTGCTCGGAGACCAGACTCCAAAATACCCGACCGTTCGTGACGTGGGACATGTACGCGGCCCAAGGGGCCAGAACCACGACCGGGGCAGCGTCTCCAGGCAGGCCACAAAAAGGCCTCCCCTGAAACCGAGCTGCCCAAGAGCTGGGGAATCGGGAAATCGGGTTCGCGGGGGCCCGGCCTGGCAGGGAGGTTTGAAAAAGGGCGGCCCAGCCCGGCCAAGATTGTGGTCACTGCCAACTGGTGAGACTTGTTGTTGTTGGTGCAACGGTTGCCTCGCAGCCGCAAGGCCAATTCGAGGGCGACAAGCAGGGCCTTGCCGCCACTCCGTACCGAGTACTCGGCACAGGAGTACTCGGCACAGGAGCACCTTCTCTCTCTCCGTCTTTCCCCCTCCCTCCCTCTCTCAAGTCTTCACAGCTCGCTCGCTCCGCCAAGGGAGACCCGCGCCTCATTTGTCCCTCGCATCCCGTCGCAGCAGCACTTTGCTCATGGAATGTGACGAGTCGACGGGAAGATCATCTCGGATCCGACGTACTCCGTACTGTCGCATTGATTCTGCAATTCACAGAATCAACAAGCGCCAGCGAGTCGCGACAACGGGCCCCAATTGCTCTCCTGCAGCCGATGCTGATGGCACAACCTTCGCTTAGGGCATTGCACGGATTGACAAGGGCCGCATACGTGAGCGCTGAGTACAGGAGGACATAAACGCAAGATGAATTTACTTTCCAGGCCTTTAGAAACATTGCTACACGGGGGACTCTGCTTCATTAGATATTGGAATAATCTCACTACACTGGTAAATGGCTTCGTATCACGCACTGGAGCCGCTCAATTGCAAAATACCATACGAGACCTTGCTTGGCCCCAGTCGTCTCGTGTCGGAAAGGGTTTGGTTCAAAACTTTGCCCGAGCCATGCTTTTGGGACATTTTTTCGCGCCAGTGATTTGGGTCCTCCATAGCCACTCATCACCATTTGACATGTGTGCCGGCGATGATGGTATTCCTGAGCAACTGAATAGTTGGATATTGGATCACGCTGCCTAGTTTGTCATCGATGGACATGCCTTTGCGTCTGGCTTCACAACCGTGATACAGTGAAAAGGCCGTGAGTGTTCGGCACGGGCGTTGCGCTCCCAAGTATACATCTACCCTCAAGAATGCAGGCAATTTGAAGGCACGCTCGTGTCCGCACATGGGGAATCGGATCAACGTGGACCGCTTGCTTGGCAAATTGACTAGACCGCAATTCAAGTGGTTAACAAGCATTAGTTACTTGCACGCGACACGGCCAAGTTGTTGCTTTCATGTCATGGGTCAGACCAAGACCATGAAACAAAATTATCTATCTCGACATAATACACGCCCTATTTCTAGACTTGGCCACGCAGCAGATGGGATCGCTTCCCAGCTCGTGGAGACTGCCAGCTAGCCGGGTGATTGAACCATCTCCTGGCGTGTGGTGAGCTGGCGCATGATCAGGTCGAGATGTGCGTTGGCACAGCAAGCCTCGTGCATGCAGCCCTGCAAACTTGTGGCGTGGAGGAAGCGGATTGGGCCATGGCCAAGACGGTTTCGTGGATAGCATGGATTGGATAGGACGGTGTGGATGGTTGTACCAGGCCAGCTTGTGGGGGGCGGACGGGCGGACGTTGATGGACAGGTTGGGGCGGTGTCGGATTGGCGGCGAGACAAGTCGGCTCTAATGAGCAAACGGACGTGATGTTGTTCCCCCGTGAGCTCTATCGAACTTTGGTATTTCGAGACTGGCTAGCTGGGAGCACTGCGTCGAGGCGCCTATGCAGACCGGATGCACTCATGTGTTGTCTGCAATGCCAACTCAGCAAGGGCACGGCTGGCCGCCATTGCTGGTTGCAGGAAGTTGTGACCACCTAGTATTTAATTGCTTTGCTGGGTGCGCACCCGAAGTATGAGGTTTAAGCGTTTGTTGGATCGGTTGTCTGCTTTGCTGCCACCGCGTGATACGCAAGTTTTATATCGAGTTGAACTGCAAAGCGTGGCTACAGTACAAGACGAGACGACTTCTGCCTGGGACGGAGGCAACTTGCGACCGTATGGCCCGCCACGATTTTGAATGAAGGCGTGCCTGTGAAGTGCTTGCTGACCTGAGAAGGGAGAGGATCTCCTCGCGAGATCTTGCGGATCGGCTGTTGTCGTTGTACGGGACATGGTTGAGAAAAGTTGTGAGTATTGGCGGCCTCGGCCAGTTGACGACTGATCAAGTTTACAGTGGACCGCTCATGGAGATGGAGACTTGGACAAGCAATGTGCCATCATTCGCCTGTCGTTCTTCCAGCAGCCGGCTGGCGGCATCGACTGCTTGCTCGACTGGACCGTGGTCCATGGACCAGGAAGCTGGAACAAAAGCGGACTTCTGTTGGTCAGAGAACTAAAGAGCAGAGAGGGAGGGAACGAAAGCATACAAATCGCATATCTCTTGGCGGGACAATCACCGCGTGGAAACAAGGATGCGTGAGCGCCATCCGTGGCTTCGATACGGAGCACGTTGCAGAGGCCAGTAGGCCAGAGGTCCAGATGGAGCAGAGGGGAGACATGACCGTAAACAGGCAAGGGAGATGATTCATGAAGCCGAGCATGCTGCTAGTTTTCTCGATGTTGCAGGCTGATGCGAGTTTGTGCACTTGTTTCTTGCTCGGTACCAAAGTGCACTGTTAAAACGTAAAAAGTCCATGGAGGCACGGCACCGCCTGATGCAGACGTTATACGGAGTACCAGCGTGGCACTTGGCTGCGGCGCTCCCGAGTCCATACAGACAACAGGTGGCAGGCTGTTGAGCGCCAGCTGACTCGAGTGGCCAGTCGGCACCCCCCCTGGCGGCCACGTCCGCGATGTCTGGTGTCTACAGACTGGACCGGCGGCTGACGAGCTGACTGCCATGTTCAGCGTCTAGACTCCCTAAACACGCACGCTACAGTGCATGCATGCATTGATGCCGGCTGCAAGTGCATGCTCAAGCCCTGTTTGGCGCCCCTCCTTGCCCCGGTGCCGACTCTGGGAGCACCGACTCCGTCCGGTCCAGTTGGCTCGTGTCATCGTGTCCAAGGTCCCCCCTCTTCTCCCGTCCTCTCGATTGATGTCTTCCAAGGTCATCATTATGTATTGCTTCCAACCCCATCTCTTTACCCGCATTCCCGCGCTCCCCCCTTCTCTTGGTCCCATCGTCCTCGACGCCGACGTCTCTGCGGCTTTTGTTCCCTGATTGTTCCTCCACTTCACTCCCTTGGAACTGGCCTGGTGCTGGCCGCCGTTGTGTTCTTCTTGACGTCGAGATCCGACTAGGAGCTCCCGCGACCCGTTGGCCGACTCCACTCGTTGTCTGCCCTCCAGAGTCCCGAGCCCACGTCCGAGCCCGTCTGGTTCCTCGGACAGAACGCCTGTATACTGCATATTTCTTGAACAAGTGTGCAGCTCGACTCTTCATGCCCCGTCTGACCTTCTAGATTTCCGCTCTCGCAAACTCCGTGGGCGACGTACGCGCAGCAGCCGGCTGGCGGCTTCATGTAAGAAGCAGCTACTCGCGCTGGTGCACAACGCCAACAAGCGCCTGAATGCATGGTGGCACTATGATTTCCATGCAACGCTCGCTTTCGTCGCCGGTTCGCACCAAGTCTCCTGCATGTATGTTGATGCCCGTTGAGTTAAGCTGCTTCGATCTCTGCACCGTCCGTCCCCTATCAACACTATGTGGCTTTTGCTAATGTTGTACCCTCTTGCTAGCAGTGTCTGCCTCTCCAACCAGTCCCTCCAGGCCTCCCAGTCCATCGTCCACTGAAGATCAAAAAGATGTCTCCCAGGCAAGCTGTTACCGATCCCGCACACCCCCTCGATCGCCAGATTTCCCACAGCAGCCCATGTCATTGCGTCATACGGATGGAAGTAACCGCTGGAGCTGCCAACGTCCACATTCTGGCCTTGCCAGCTCACGGTGGCCACTCGTAGCACAACCCGAGGATGTCCTTGCCCAGACCAAGGACCGCTGCAACTCGAATGGGCAATCTGATACACGTCAAGTCGAGCCGCCTAGTGAAAGATCCCCTCGTCACCCCCGTACTCAGCCGCTAGTGGTGGATGTGACCCAGTATACGAACCCTCACCTGACCAAGCACCTGAACAAGGACGATGAAAACATCACATTGCAGGAGCTTGCTCATGTTGTGCGCCTATCCAAATACCAAGAGCGCAAGCGCGCCAATACTCGAGTTCGTTTGCAGAGGAGCCTTATATCTACAGCCCTGAGTGCCCGTCTCACTCGGTGTGGTGATATTGCCAATCGCAATTTGGTGGATAGCGTTCGAAAAGACGACAAAGATGGCTTCGTAATGTTGTACAACGCAATACAGGACATCCGAAAAAGTTGTGACGAAATGCGCCGATATGCTTTTCTGGACCCAGACATCGAACCGCTGTCGTCGCCCACTCTTGGTTCTTCGGAGAGCCTTGATACTCCTACCAGCTCCGTCGTTGGTGTTGCCCCGCTGAGGTCAATTACTCCTTTTCTCCATGAGATTTCTGCCACGTCCCGGGACACCATTTTGGATTTTTTGTCGGAGCTGAGGACCAATCCTGATTATTTGGCCACACGAATCTGCGCCCTCTCAAGCTCCGAGTTGAATGCTTTCCTTAGCTTCCACAAGGGCATGGAACCAGTGGAGTCCGTTTTGCCGTACCATGGAAGGTCTGCCAGCAGGCAACACGCAGGTGTGTCGACTAGCCGAAGCAATTCAAGCTCGGATATAGAACGTCTCTTGTCGTTCCAGCGCCATGACCCTTTGTCTATTTTGATACACTACTGCTTTGCCAATCCTGCCGGGCCGGACAGCACCGAGGATCAACGACGAACTGACATCTGGGCAACGGTACTTGCTCGGCTCATCCAGCAGCCCAAGTCCAGTAGTGAACATTTCCTGATTTCCGTGCTCAATATCTGGACTGGGATGCGCGACTGGTCTGGAAGGTCCAATATGGAGTGGTATCTTATGAAGATTCTCGAGGAAGGCGTCTTTATTCTTGACCGTGCCGAGGACCAACATGGCACGCGGTTCAACCTTTCTGACTGGAATTCCTCTGATGAAGCCGCCGCCCAGGAGTTTTACGACAGGGCTGTCCAGGGACTCTTCGAACTGGTTGACGACGAGGATGCGACGGGAATCCCCGAAGGTCTCCTGGAGCTCGGCAATGCCATCCTCAAAAAGCTGGACAACAAATACGTGGAAAACACATCTCGCTGGCTCGTCTGGAGATGCCTCTTCTTTGTTTTCCTTCTGGGGGTAATTGTCCATCCTGAGTCCTATGGCATGCTAGCTGAATATCACATTACCCCTTATGCGAGGGAAAAAATCCTCAAGAAAGTCGCTATGAAAGCTCACGAATATGTTTCTAGCATGTGGAGCGGAAAGCCTTCTGCCACCTGTGTGCCGGCGGAAGTGCCTCCACAGATCAAAGGTCACGTAGAGAGAATTCTTTCCAGGTTTCAAGGATCTCGTTCCAAGAATTCTTCAGCCAAGCTTCTTCCCGCCCGATCCATTACTTCCCTGAGGGAGACGGTGGAAGTCCATCCGTACTTGGTGCTCAGCCCGTCAGACCTGGCCACGCTGGCCAATGCATTATTTCCTGAGCGACGACCCTTGTCTTCCATGTCCAACACTCTTCGCTCCGGCGCCGCCTCCATATCCGGTCTGTCAGCTATTTCACAACAAGTATATGCGCCCACCTCCCGGAATAACAACCTGGAGACTGCATCCATCATCAGCACTAGCTTCTCGTCCGTGGTTAGCGATGGAACAACGGCCCCACGAGAAGGCTCACAAGATGGTCAACCACATACGCCCTCTCAGCGGCATTCTCCTTCTTCTGCCGATCCTGATGCCCAGAGAAGGCTAAACCTATACGAGGATGATGGCTACCGCCTGCGACTCGCTATGCATGAATTGCGCCAGAATCTGGGACCGGAGGCTGTCAAAGGAGGCTGCCACCCTTGCGCCGAGCGATGGATTGTCCTCTTTCTATCGTCTGACGGCAAAAAGCTGTCGACTTCCATGACCTATGACCCAGAAGACGAAGGTGACGATGACGACAACTCTTCAAGTACCGACACGGACGAGGACGAGGACACTCAAGGCCCGGAACTTGATAAGGGTTATCACCAAATTCGGGATGCGATTCTAAGACTGGTGGAGGAATTTGAGATTCCCAGAAATTTGGAAACAGAAGGCGATTGTGCCCCTCAACTGACCAATCGAGCATCTAGACTCCGACGATACAAATCAAAAAATAAAATCATTACAACGGAAAATTCAGTATCTAATCGGAATCTGTACAGAACTGATGATGGCAAAAGCAGGCCCAAAAATGCCTCTTCGGGGGACTCGGCAGCGTCGGATGTCGCAACCCGAGTAGCCAGAGAGGAGGATGGAGAAGGGGAACCAGTTCTGATCAAAATGCTCAGGGCTGCATCGTCGCAATCCAAGGCACAAGCGGATTTTGTTTCCGCTCACCTCTATTGGAAGACTCTCAAGAATCTCTGTGCCCTTGAATCGCCTTCTCTCCGCGCAAATGGTTTTGCAGTGTTGATAAACATTTTCTCCCGTGGTCCACGTGACTCTCTCAGGAGATCTGCAGGCGCAATTGAGGAATACGACGCATGGTTGATATGGCTTAAGCAAAGTCAAGAGCGCCACGAAGGCTTGATAGATCGCATGATGAGGCGAGTTCGAGCAATGCGCGACAAGATGTGGTTCGTTACAGATGTGCGAAATTCCAAAGAATACGGCCATAGCCGTGACATCTGCCAAGCGTTGAAGACCATGGGAATGCCGCGGAGATGGAGCTCCATGCAAAGGTCCCGAGCAAACGTCAGCCGTGCTCCCGGGTCTTCCTATCTTTACCGCACCGAATCCCAGATCATGGACCTGTTGGCTGCGTCGGAGGAGCAGGGCGGTCCTAACAAGCTGAGCGATGACCAGGCGGAAATGACGTCCTCGTGGCTGCAAAAGTACGGAATCGAGAATTTCTGCCAAGGGGAAGAGCGTATACATCGATTTTGCTGTGAGGTAGACAAATGTGTTTCCAAGCTCGTTGGTGAGACCATTCGGGAGGCGCCAGTTCTGTGGTCTAGTGACTTGTATAAACGGGAAAAGGTCGTTTATGATCGGAGGAGAGCCCGCGAGAGGGACCAGTCGTGGTCAGGAGACGACACGGCAAGCATCTTGAGCGACAGTGAAAGACGATTTGGCTCACCGTCATCCAGACCATCCCGGATGCTACGCGAGTCCGATAGAGGACGATTTCCGAATAGCCCAAACGCGAGTCAACATGCCCTGGACATGTCCCGGATCAACTTTGCGAGACCGACTGCCTCGCTATCTGATGTGGTCGAAAATCAGGACTCTTTCGAAAAGTCCCCCCCCGTCAATACGGTCGATTCCGTGAGCACGTTCTGGTCCCCGTTCCAGCCAGTCATGACGCCGGGGTCTGGCGTGTCCAAGGCGTATTCTCCTACTACAAGCCTGACAAATCTTTCAACAACCTTCTCCGGGCCTCTGCACCACGCCACTTTGCCTTCGAGTTCTAGCGTTTCTACGGGGCGCCCTGGTACATCGGCGTCGTCTAACGAGACTATCTTCCAACAGCAGGCGGAAGACGAGAAATCCCGCTTCCTGAACGAGCTGCGGAAGACACTCACGAGTCTGTTGCTATCAGACCTAGGGAGTCAAGTCCTAGCCCGCGGCTCAGAAACAGACGCCTGGTTCCACGGGTTAGGGCAGCAATGCATAGATAGAAGGGATGCTTTTGATCGCTACGCCCGACGACGAACAGAAAAGAAGGACAAAGAGGTGGGCAGCCGCAGCTCTACGAGGCCAAGGGTGATTGAGAAGAAGAAGAGTTTTAGAAATCTGAGAAACGCTGGCGACAGCGCATCTGAACGGTCCCCCGATGGGCCGTTGGCCGGCGTGGCAGATGATGCAGGCAGTAGCGGGACTGGAAATGGGCATAAAGCCAAAGAGGCTGCAACCGACTTTCCCTTCAAAAAGGCATATCGCCGACTCCTCAACATGTTCAGCGTGAACCCGAATCCTTTTGCCAAACTCAATGCTCTCAACGAACTGGAAAACCTCATCATTGCCTCACTGATGTGGCATAGCTCGAGAAAGCTCAGAGCAAATCGATCCGATGCAGGTTCCAGTACAGCATCGGATCGTGGACCGAACAATCGTCAAACATCTCTGGATGGCACAATCGACAACGTAAGGGAGCGTCGTTCCCAGGCTATCCAGTCTGCATTCCATTCGGCGGGATACGGGCACCAACCGCGACAAGCCAACGCGGAGACGAAATCCATTGTTTCAAGTGGCTCTGCGAGCACCGACGCCATCACCAGCGAGCTACAGCGGCTTTTTCGGGATGCTGAAATACGACCCAAGTCTTTGTTTCGCGACCTTCAGCTCATTGCGGCGTTTGTACCGTCAACGGTTCTCGACAAGCCAGAGCGAGGCAAGGCTTTCTGGAACGCTGGCTTAGCTGCGTTGAAGCTCAAGTCCGAGGTATGCAGGACCATGATGGAAATGGCTGATGAGGTTGTTGGAGCTCACAGTCATACCCGGGGGTCCGTCAACGAAAACCACGCATTGCCCGAAGCAAAGACATCGGCAACGGGTACACCGCCTCCGGCATCATCTGTGTACACTCTGGACGATGCGGGGAGAATGTGGTCCATCACTGCCAAAGAGGGCTATCCAACGGCTCAACGCGAGCTTGCTCTGTTTTCTCTGTCCAACCCGGAATTTGTTGAGCGTACTACCTTGCCACTTTCCAAACCTCGAGAAGTATTCAAGCAGACAGTGATGGAGAGATACGGAAGAAATGAGAGGACACGTGGTAACTGTGGAGTAACAGGGCCAGCAGGCCTCGCCAATGCTGGCCTGAATACGCGGGCCATGGGCTCTGCTATTGCAGCGGGAGATGGACCAGCACTGAGTGGCAAAGATGGCGATGTCAAAAATGACGTGGGACTGATGTGTCTTGCTGTTCACTGGATGAAAGCAGCCGAGCAAGGAGGTGATGACTTGGCGACGAGGTTCTTGCGGCAGAATGAGTTTATGGACATGGGATGAGCTGTCAGCTGTCGGCGGTCAGCGGTGAGAAAGACGGCGTCGGGGAGCGATTTGTGCTTCCCCCCCCCCTTCCACCTTGATTTTCCTCATATCGAGAGCCTTTCTAGTGAATCTTTGTTTTTGTTGTATCGTCTCCAGAGTGTGTTGGGCGTCGCCGCTGCGCGTTGGCTTTTCCACGTGGCTGCGATTGATGGAAGGAACAAGGGTGCACAAGGGCTTTTCAACAGCAACATCAGATGACAGACGGCTGAGGACTGAGGACTGAGGGCTGATCAAAGTCAAGGATGTGGGCCGTGTGTCTCGTTTGGTCAGGTCTTTTGGAATTTACGGACTTGTATAGATTGCAGGCATTGGGAAATGGGATGGCATAGATATAGCGGGCGAGATAGACGGCGTTGCTTGGATCTGAGCCTTTGCGACGGAGGATATACCAACTGTTTCCAAACCAGAGCCCAGAGACTGCAGACATTGCGGAGTTTCTTTGACCTCGGCCATTGCTCTCCTTGAAAGTGAAGTCTAGTAATAAACAACTCATCAGCTCGTGTCGTCAGGAAGTGTACGGGTTTTGGGAGGTCCCACAGGGGGATGGTGACAGGCAAAGCGATTGGGCCCGAGGACGAGCACGAAGCCTGACAAATGACGATGGCGGCATCAGGCTGAATGTCGGCGATTGGTTTAGTTTGGCCCGAAACTAAGTGCATTTGGCAACATGGAAAACCTTGTTCTGTTGACCGCGTTGCGCCGACTCTCCACCGGACACCAACGTGACGGCCATGGCTCAGGTCTGCCGTCAATTCCAGAACTTCCATGTTGCGTCGAGCCCGACTTGCAGCTTCACCCGCGATGCAGATTCATGCCGTCCTTCGGCCCCGTGCTCTGCTCCAGCCTCCAGGGACCACAGTGGCCGGGTGGGACGAATCGCATCGCTCTGGCCGCCGCAGCCGCACGCGGTTGGCGGCTTGTGGCGATCAAAATGACTGTTGGCACTGCCGGGCCAGGCTTCGCCGACGTCCAAAGTTCAAACAACTTGTACATCGTAGACTGTGGTGTCCGATGATTGTTCCAGGATTGACTGGCCTGGTTGAACAGTGACCGGAGCAACGAGACCAGTTGAGACGTTGAGCCTCTGCGGGTCCCGGTTTCCTTCGACCCCGGCTGAGCACCACCTCTGCCGTTTGACAAGGCCGACGATTGGCTTGGAGGTTGGAGCCGGCTACGCCTCGCTGTCAGTCCGCCAAGTCTTTTCCCGACTCTATCGGCTCGAAACGATTTATATTTTTTTCGCGTGCGCCATCATCATATCCACAACCCCGGTCATTGCCCGCGCTGGACGGTTATCGAACGTTGGTTCGCTCCGTGTCGCGACCCGCCTGCCTGGGCCGCAGCCTTCAGTCAGTCTGCTGCCTGATCAGTCGTCGATGCCGGTGGAGCCCAACCAGACAGATATCTGATGGTTCATAGCGCATATTGATTATTGCGGTATAACAACTGACTTACCTGACAAAGTCCGTACGGAGGAGAGTGTGTCTGGGTACGGGTGGTTATGTCAAGCCTGGTCCAAGGCGAAAGGAAATCGCAAGACAGGATCGAAAGGCGAAAGGTCGGCTGGGCACGGCCTGAACAGCTGGCAGCGACGCGTCACCTGACGCCTTTCCGATACTGTCCCTGGCAGAACACTTGCGTATACGCTAACCCATCATACCGCGGGATACTATACTTCAGCACGCGATAGTCTGGTACTTGCTCTGGTCAAGTACCTTTTTCCTCCCGCGGCACATGACATATCTCGCAACACCAGCCAAGCGACCTGGGCACAACTCCAACGATCCCATCTAAATCAGCATTCGAAACGCCCGCCATGGCAGACATCGCGCCGCAGGGCCGTCCTTTCCAGAAGATACCCGTCGAAGTTCTCTTGCGAATCGCATACCACCTTCCCACGCCAGCTCTCGGCAGCCTTCGCCTGACCTGCCGCTCTCTGGAACAGGCTCTCTACACGACCTTTGTCAATGAATTCTTCGTCCGCAAGCAGTTTATGATTGCACTGGACAGCCTGCAAGCCCTGATAGACATATCCAACAGTCGACTCGCCCACCACCTGCGCTTTGTCCACATTGGCCTGGACCGCTTCTCCGAGGGCATCCAGCGGCCTCTGCCAGACGACGAAAAGGAGCGCAGGTTCAGAGAGAGATACGCCGACAACTTCACGCTGTGGAACACTGGGCATCATCGGGATATGCTGGCTGAGGCCTTTCGCAACCTACCCAATCTGGAGGGTGTCGTCATCAGGGATGTCAACTCTCAACGTCGGTCGAGAGACGGACCCAACGCTGAGTGGCACAGCTACGGCTACATGACGGTGTTTCACGACACCGGGGTGAGCTTGAGCCAGGGAATGACTGGTATCTGGAACTCGGGCTTCCCCTACCAGTACTGCAGTCAAATATTCGCAGCCGTTCTGTATGCCCTGGGCGCCGCCAAGACTAAAATAAAGGGCATCGAAATCTTGTCCCGGAACTCCAACCACCTACGGGATTTCGCCTTCAACATCCCCGAGTTCCTGGAGCCGTCCGTGGTTCCGGTGCTGCAGGGCCTGGAGAAGCTGCACCTGTGCATCGACCTGTCCTGGCGCAGCCCGCACCTCGGGCTGCCCGTGCACACGGACTTGAGCCGAGATGGCCCGGACCTGTTTATTAGAAGATTCCTGGCCCACGCCGCGAACCTCAGGAACCTGCGCATCAATGAGCAACGTACCAATTGTGCTGGGCTGTTGAACCTCATTGACTGGATGATCGACGGTAGCAGCCACGGAACGGCCATTTCGATGCCCAGGCTGGAAGAGCTGAGTCTCGGTACGATGAATATCGACTCCCGCCGACTCCTTAAGCTCATTGCCAAATTCGCACCGTCGCTGCGCAGCCTCGAGCTGTGGAAAATCACAATGGTGCGACCCCTGCCGCCGAGTACGCCTGGCCCGGCGCCCAAGGAAGTATTTTGGGACCAATTTCTTAGGAAGCTCACCCAAGTCCCGGGCCTTTAACTTAAACATCTCAAGATGGGGATGCTACAGCAACACTGGATCGAGAAGCCGGTGCCGGCACACGTCACGTTTAGGGAGACGGGTCCAATGCGTCAGTACACAGGACCGGACTGGAAACAATTCATCGCCGAGATCAAGCTATCGCTAGAGGTGCACTGGCCATACGAAACAGATGGGATCGCTGACGGAGACAACGAGAGTAAGCCTCTATGGGTCTTCTTTGAGCTGCCTGTGGACGGGTTGAATTGCTGACTGAAATTAGGTTTGGATGAATGGCTCGACACGTGATGTCGTGTATGCTTCGCGTCGGTCGGCGGTGATGTGCTGCCTAGCGTGGAGACTTGGCGCGTTGGTGCCTGGAGCTTGGGCGGGGACGGCGACAGCGGCAGCGGCAGCGGGGCTTGGCAGCCAAGTAGGTACTTGGTGAGCCCGCGGATTGAGACAGGCAAGACGGGTCGGCTGTGGCTGAGGCCAAGTAGATCTTAACTGTTCGTCCACTCTCCCAAGTACTTGTGTTATCTGCCTGCTAATAAATAAGTGCCCAAAGTACTAGGTAGGTAACTACCTAGGTACTCAAGTACACATGAAGAGACGGCGGTACATTAAATCCTAGTCCGGAGGAAGTACCTAACTTACTTAAAAGTACTTACCTAGTGGGGTAGTATAGTAAGCGATGTCTACTTCGTTATCTGCTCTGCTTGAAAGGCACTTCTCTAGGCACCTGAGTACTTGTACTTTTTGCTTCCCACCAGACTGTAACTCTTGTCACTTGTGCTCGGCTCGACTTGGACGGCTGCTTGCCAGCTGAAGAGATAAAAACAGCCGCGTCGCCTGTCCACCACTTTCGTCTGCCAACATCTGAACCACAGACCACCCGTGAATCGACTCGCCATTCTTCCCTCGCTCCAAATGACCGTTTTCACGGTCCTTCTCACCACATTAGACATCCTCAGTCCCTACCGTCAATGCCCTCAACTCGAGGTCGACGGGCAGTCGCAGCCCCGGCAGCCGTCCCTACAACTCCCCTCCGAGACCATCGCATCGCTTTCTCTGGCAAGTTTCCCGGACACTCGCATAAAGACCTCAACACCCTCTTCACATCTCTCGGCGCATCCGTGACCCCCTCGGTGAACGGCCGCAACACCCACCTCGTCTGTGACGAGAAGGACTTCCTCAGAAAGGCTCCTAAAGTCAGAGACGCCGAAGCCGCTGGTGTTTCGCTCGTCAGGCCAGAGTGGGCTGCTGAGGTGGCCAGGCTGAGGACAAACGTGGACCCCAGCAACTATCTCTGGCCGAAAGAGCAACAAGATCAAGCTGGCGACGAAGCTCTAGAGGCTCATTCCCGTGCAGATGGAAACAGAAAGAAGCGTTCAATTGCCGTGGCCAACCCCAATGGCAGTGACTTGGCCGAGGACACAGATGACGGGCCCGCCCCCAAAAAGCCTAGAGGCCCGGTCGTCAAGCTCAAGGATGAAGAAGCAGAAGTACGACAAGAAAAAGATTCGGCCAAGGCCGAAACCATTGAGGCAAAACTCAAGGAACTATCCAGAGGCCAGTTTCTGAAGAAAAAGGACGTCATCGTTCCCATTGATGAGCGTTGTCCCTTGCAGAACTGTGCCGTCTATATTGAACCGCGGAGCGGTATGATCTACGATGCTTCTCTGAACCAGTCCAGCACTTCAAATAACCACAACAAATTTTACCGCTTACAGGTATGTCGGCCGCTCTGCCCTCCGCGCTCACCAATTTTTCCGTGTGCATTCGCATTTCAGAGTTAGCCGTTGACGTCTAAAGGTCCTGATTCACGGCTCAATTTACAAAACTTGGACCCGATGGGGCCGCGTCGGCGAGATGGGACAGAGTGCTATTCTCGGCGACGGCTCCCTCGATGATGCCAAGAGACACTTTGAGAAAAAGTTTAAAGACAAGTCCGGTCTTGCCTGGAAGGACCGTACCAAAGAACCGAAACCCAACAAGTACGCCTTTGTGGAACGAAGCTACGATGATGACTCTGATAACGGTGAGCAAGACGTAGCCGACGGCGTCAACAAGGAACGTGATGAGCGGGATAACAAACCTCCTGAATGCACACTTCCCCAACCAGTCCAACAAGTCATGGAGCTCATCTTCAATCAAAATTTCTTTACCGCAACCATGACCTCTCTCAACTACGACGCCGACAAGCTGCCTCTCGGAACGCTCAGCAAAGCCACCATTTTGCGTGGCTTCCAGCAACTCCAGGACCTTGCTTCTCTTATGGACAATCCGACCCTGGCCAGCTCACAATGGGACATGACTGTCGCAGCAGCGACCGAACACCTTTCCAACACATACTACTCCCTCATCCCCCACGCGTTTGGTCGCCACCGTCCGCCAATCATAGACAATGAAGCTCTTCTTAGGAAGGAAATCGAGCTTCTAGAGAGTTTGTCCGACATGAAGGACGCCTCCAACATCATGAAAATCGACCGCTCAAAGGCCCGGACCGTCCACCCCATGGACAGCCACTTCCAAAGCCTGGGCATGGAAGAGATGACACCCTTGGATCACTCGTCGTCCGAGTTTGACCATCTTCGAAGCTACCTTGACGGATCCAAGGGCTCAACCCACGGGATCAACTACAAGGTCTTCAACATTTTCCGCATCCGACGTGCCGGTGAATCCGAACGCTTCAACGACTCGGAGTTCACCAAAATCCCCTCTGACAGGCGCCTTCTCTGGCACGGCTCACGGTGCGCCAATTTCGGCGGCATTCTGAGCCAGGGGCTTCGCATCGCACCGCCAGAAGCTCCCGTATCGGGGTACATGTTTGGAAAGGGTATTTACCTTGCAGACATGTCGAGCAAATCTGCCAATTACTGCTGCTCCTACATTTCCAATGCCCACGCACTCTTGCTCCTCTGCGAAGCCGAGCTGGGCGACCCTCTGCAGAAATTGACGGATGCGTCGTACACCGCCGGCGAGGATGCCAAGAAGAGCGGCATGTACAGTACATGGGGGATGGGCAGTACCGGTCCCAACAGTTGGGTGGACGCGGCGACGGTTCACGATTCCCTCAGGGGTGTTAAAATGGTACGTTGTTCATGCTGTAACGGCTCCGCCATCCTCAACACCTGGTCGTGGTCCTCGTTGTTCATCACCCATCACCACCTACTGCTCTTTCGGTCCCCCTTGTCTCGGCGGAACCTCACTGATGAACAGGAATAGCCCGACACAAAGATAGCACCTGGTCCAACCAACATCCAGGGCGCGTACCTCGTCTACAACGAGTACATCTGCTACGACGTGGCCCAGGTCAAGCTCCGATACTTGTTCCACGTGGAGATGTAGCTTACCATGAGGCAACAATTTGACGTCGGCTAGGATTCGACCCCGGCGAGGACGGCTGCACGGAGCTAGAGGGATTTAACAAATAAGAGCATGCGAGACGACTTGCTTGCCGTTGCTCTGAATATTTCAACTAGACGCATACGTTTCTGTCGCTGGGCCCAAAACTAACAGTCGCCTATATTCTCACATAGCCATCAAGACAACAAGACGTAGTGCTAAACATTCCAAGTTATCCGTCGTGTCCATGCACCATGTCTGTGTACGCAATATTGGCAAGGCAGTTGCTGCTACTCTTAGATATGTCTCGTTTGCCTGCGCTGGGCATCACGTGTCGTTTCATCGTCGTAGCACCATGTAACTTATCAAGATGGGAGCTAGCCAACAGCCCAGACAGATGCTCACATGACGTCACCCACTCACCCCAGTGCTTAGAAAGTCGGGCCACTGCAAATCAACACTCCAGTTCCAGGGCGTCAGCTCAACGCCCATGGCGTGGGCCAGTCCGTTGTCTTGGTCGAAAACCTCCAGCGCCCCCTCGTAAGCGCTGTTCAGCTCACCAGCGCCTACGTCGGACTTGTTGGACGGGTTTGCCAAATCCATTGGCTCTGGTTGGGCGTGGGCCTGCGTAGCTCCCGCCATGCTGTCAAATGTCGGCCCGGCAGTCCATGTACTTGGGGTGGCCATTTCCTGGGCCGACAGCGAGGTCTGCATCGCCGCGGAGGTCACGGGCGTGTCGATGAAGGAGTCTGGGGGGTGGGGATTGGTGCGGCTTGCTACGGTCTGCGTCGTGGATATCACGCCTGGCTCCTCTGTCACCTCGATGTTTCGAAGGACAGGATGTCTGGACGGGGCATCGGTGCCCGCCTTGTTGGCCCTGTTGGAGTCGACCGCGGTGTCGTGTGGAGAGGAGACTTCTGATCCAAGACCCTGGCTGATCAGTCGCTCCAAGTCGCATCGGATGGCCCCCGCCGCCGGGCCCATGCAGCAGTGCTTGATGGTTTGCAGACAAACCTTGGCCTTTTCCGTCACCAACTCGACTGTCAACCCCAGCTTCTCGGCACCGCCGTGAAGCGCATATTTCAGCATGCGAGCGCACTGATACGCGCAGAGGGCCAGATCCAGATCGGCTACGGGCTCCGCCCCGAGTTTTTGCATCGAAGAAAATATGCTTGCCATTGCTGAGGAGTGTTCTACGCACTGACGTTGGCAGTGAGCGAGAAACGCCGGGTCCAAGTTCCGCAATGTGGCTTCGGGCAAGGCTTCCCTGAAGCCAGCCATTGTCATACGATACAGATCGCAATGGCACTGATGCCACCACACGTGGATCATGACAAAAACACAAATCCTGGGAGAGTATGCTCGCAGGCGGAGTGAGCTTTCAGAGAACTGAAACGAAAACGGGAGTCGGCTGGCAAAGTCGTCTAGTTGCTTGTGCAAGGCCATGACAGGAGCCTGCAGACTTGACGTATCGGTGATGATGCGACTCACAAGGACGTCTTTGGTGAACTCGATAATCTTTTGGCGCAGATGGAGGATGCGGATATGAAGTGCCAGACTCCCGACGTCTTCAGGGGGCGGAATCCCCGGGCCGTTTCTCGCAGGGTCAAGCATCTCGGAGGCTTGCGGTAGGTCGAATTCAAAGTTTCGTTCGTTGCAAGGCAGACTGACAAAGATCCTGTCAGCTCGCCAGAGGGCAAAATCGCGGTACCCCGCTGAAATACCAGTGTCAATGCAGTACAGTGACCACATCAATCGTCTTCGAGACTCTTGTGCTAAGAAGCACAGATTGGGGCTGTTGTGGTTCAGGCGAAGAGCTGCAGCGAAGCGAGATGCCATGCTGAGGAGCATGAATGCGCTGGGATACTTATTGGACAGTATCCTGTGCTTGATCATGAAGACCAGAGCCTGGACTTTGAATGTCGATGGTCGCGAATAGTCAGAAAAAATGACGTGCTCGGCACGCTCGATGCAGCGGTCACCGTACTCGCGCACGCCTGCTCCCATGTCCGTCAAACATGACGTGATGCCAATGAGGGCTAACAAGAGCGCTCTGTCTACCTTGCCGGCGTTGTATTGTTCCATGAGCGATGCACGGTGCAAGAATGAGTACATGGGAATATGATGAATATGGCGGAAGAACTGGTCAAAGGTGCGACTGACCAAGGTATCAAAAGACTCGTCCATGCCGGGACTACAACCATGTTAGCCTCGTCAAGCCCTATCTCGTAAGCTATTGTTTATTTTTTTCTGTCCTTTTTTCTTTTTATTCTCTCTCTCTCTCTCTCTCCAAAAAAAAAAAAAAAAAAAAAAAAGGCATGGTTAAAAGTGCTTGGTGTGTTTGCAGGATCAGTCACGGGCGTGTCGCTGTCATCGTGCTTGCCATGATCCCGATCCCTCGTCCCGTCCTTGTCGTCATCATCGTGGCTATGAGGGCTGCGAACCTCGCCGTAGCTACCTCTACCCGGGGCCTTGGCTCGTTTCCCAGGGCGGTACACGCATTCAATACCCTGGGCGCGACATCGATCACAAGCGGGCATGTGGCCGGAGCATCGGGCTTTGCGGCTATGGCAACTCAGACATGCTTGCTTGACCCTGCGACGTGGCAAGGCCAAGGACCAGTTGTCGGCATCAGAGTCGTCATAAGAGCATGGAAACCCAAGCCTCTGGCAGTTGGAGCAAACCGGGCGAGTGCCGTTACAACGGACTTTGCGAAACCGACAAGTCGAACAAGTTGTCGACGACTTTTTGGGACGCTGACTCGGCGAGAGGGCGCTGTGAGATACTGACTTGGAAAGAGGTTGCGTGTGGTCCTGAACCGAAGAAGTGGAAGGGGGCAGGGTGAGACGAGGGCCGAAGGGCATGGCAGGTGTCGCGGACGCGGATGCAGACGTGTCTCGATCCGGCTCCATGGCTGGCGACGCAAATACGTTGACGGACATGTGGGATGCGGCGAAGGGAGGCGATGGAGGGCGACGACCCGAACCGGGCGTCCCTCAGAGGAATGCAGCGTCACCGGACGGTTCCAAGGCAGAGGCCAGGGTGAACGGAGGGGGCGGCGAGAGGATTGCAAAGCACCAAGGATCAAATCAATTGATGAGGCCAGAGATGTTTCGGGCGCCGAGAATTGCTGGGCAGGTGTTGGTGTCGGGTTGGAACCGGCGTCAGTGCTGAGCAGACTCAAACGTGACTATTGAGGAACATTACAAGACTGTGGCCGATTCAAGCTGCAGATGTGCACATGTTAGTCAGGATGGACGGCGAAGAGCGTAAAAGAAGAGGACAAAAGCCAGCATTGCATGAGCAGGTGACTTTTGAATCGGCGACTGGTCTTGAAGACTCGACGACAGATGGAGAGGCGAGCGAGCAGAAAGCATTCTGGCGGCGGTGACTGCTGGAGTGGGGCCCTCGGACCTCTGGGGCTCCAAGACTCATAACTGACGGTGCCAGAAAGGAAGGGGCAGCACACATGTGTGGGGCCTCGTGGCGACTTCGGACCAATGTACGCAGGTATCCAGGTATTCTGGATCGGCGCATATCAACCAATTGGCTGCCGCCTGCGAGTGAAGAAGGCAGATGCCGATGGCCCGAGGCATGCCGCCGCAGTAGCAGCCACGCACACACACTTCAAATGTTTGCATTTTCTTTTGCTTGGCCCATCAAAAAATCCATTGAATTCCCAACCCAACTATGCGGCGGCCCGCCACGCTGTCACGGTGTCACCGACCAGTTGTTGGACATGGACTCACCAAGGGTACGCCATTGCTACGCCGACGGCCCGCTCCTCCATATGCAGAAAAGTCATGCGTCGGTGTTTGCCCATGCTGCGAAGCTACAACCACGTCTCCGGCGTCAAAATCCATCACGACCAAGACCAGAATAGGCTTGAATCTTGATTGTCTTACCATGCCATTGGCACAGGGCCCTTCTTTGCATCTTTCTAGACGTCGCAAAATCCCCGCAAGCCACGCTGTGACGTTGATCTGTTCGCGTCCCCGGGCCGTTGGGTTTGAGCCCCATGGACCACGGCCACAGGCGCCCCGCATTTCCGTCGCTATTAGCGCGATTCGTGCTCGACTCCCGACGGCCGTTCCGAGAACCGCCATATTATCAACTTTGTCGCCGTCGCCACTGGCGTTGACCTTTTGCTTTCGCTTTGGAGGCCTTTGTCGCCTTTGGTATGGCCCCTGAAGTTCTTGCGGCCTACTTTTCATGTCTGATATGCTTGGCTGACACAAATCCTTTGACAGTTTATACCTTGCTTCCTTGCGCTGTCTGATGGCCGAGGTCTCCCGTGTGAAGCCTCGTGCTCGAGGTCGTCCAAGCGCCACGGGACAAGGCAAGCCATTGGGCCGTGGGTCGACGGATTCTAGCTTGGGTGTGCCGTAAGTCCATTGGCAAGCGTTTCGATGACTTGGTCGGCCAGCTCTTCGAGCGAGGGGAAGATAACATGGGTAAGGGCACCGCTGCCCCTTCATGTTTAAGTGCCAATGGATGTGCTCTGATGCGTCCGAGCGAATACAGCTGCTGGCAGCTTCCCAGTCGCTGTCAATAATCTGTCTCCAGAACTTCTGGCACACGCGGGGGCGGCTGTGGCAGGAGGCCTTCACCCCCGGCTCAGTAGAGGATTAGATTGACCGGCATGGGAAAACTAGGAGGGGGTGCGAGGAAACGCATCTGGCACTCTGGGATGATGTTGCGCTCTTCATCTCCGCCTGAGGCCGGTCGTCTTTTTTCTTTCTCTTCCTCCCAACCTACCGGGCCCTCACAAACGACCGCAAAGCATTCGATGCGTCACAAGTGTTGTTATTTGCTGCTGCCTTAGGCTGCCATGTAGAAAGCAAGTACGCATCTCCAAACCATCCTCAATCCATCGACGGGGTTCTACTGGTGGAAGCTGGGTGCGGAGGAATTAAACTACCCAATTGCTTCACCAGCAACCGTTTCTTGGTCTGGAACACTTTTCACATTTTCTTACAAGCTCCTTGAGTTCGCTAATAGGTCCATAGACGAGCGTTTTCAAAATCGACAACCACTGTTTGTCCGATTCGATGTCCGTCGATGATAGTCTCCTTGGCGATTTGGAGAAACGGACCGCGTTTCACGATCCGGCTGGCATCATACTAAGCTATGACGATCCTCAAGACGCTCTCTTCAAGCCCCGAGGAGGGTTCCTATCAATAATAGCCAAACTGCATGCTTCTTCAAGCCCTGTCATAGTTGCGCACAGACGGTTGAGGAGCCAAGAGCATATAGGCTTCTACTGAGAGGACCGATATGCTACGGTTCGGCAAAGCGGACCACTTGGCGCGTGCTTTCGATATTCCGTACTCTGTTTTATCTTTTGCACCAGGACTCAAAAGCAAAGCGGTGCTGCCGTCTCAGATCTTCGTCATTGCCTCCTCAATGATGGCCCAGTGCTTCTCGCTGGTAATGCCCGTCAACCAGTATCCCCCTCGACAGTCTCTGCCCAGAATCGCCAAAAAATCCGACAATTGTACACCACGAAAGCAACTCTGCACATAACAAGGGCGGCCGGGCTCCGTGACAGTGGAGGATGTAGTGGCATGTGCTGTAAGAGCTGCAGAAAAGTCAAGACCGAGCAGGTCAGCCTTTGACCAGTTTGAGCAGGTGATGACATGCATCGTTGCATTTCCAAACAGCGGCGGGATCTTGCCGGGCGACTTCCTCCACAGTGCAGCGTAGGCTTCAATCTGCTCCCGCTGACGAGACTCGACGATACACTGCCGAATCTGCCTCGCCACATAGCTGAGCGGTTTGGCGGCGATGGCCTTGGCAGGAATCAATACGCTGCCAAGTCCAACCGCGTTTGATATGTACGGCCTGTGAGCAAGAAGCAGGTCCTCTGACAGGGTGGGACGCCACCCGAGGGCATTGATGAGATGAAAGAGTTTGTTGGACCTGTTGCCGGACAAGTGCGCGACGTTGATCTTCGCCCACCATGCCGAAAGAACGTCGCCTTCGCTCACAAATTCCTCCCTGACGCTCCGACTCTCATCCGATAGCTCGCGTACGACTTTCTCGCGGAGGCATCGAATGTATGGGCCCGGAACATATATCATTCGGCTACGCGGCTTGTCAAGGACAATCTTGAGCCAAGTCCTGAGGTAGTATATGAAAAGACCCAGCCACGACAACTGTGAACCCTCAAGCTTATACGGCTCCGTAGGATGCAAGCCGAGCTCGGCCAGGGGGTCATGGCGATCCCCAAAGGGCTTTGGTACCTCATGATGCTGACCGCGAATCATCAAGGACCAAGCACGAAGCAACTCCCCCAAGCCCAACGCGTCACACAGTGAGTGTGGCCAGGATAGCGAGACAAGAGTGGCGTCGTCAAACGACGCAACAACAAGGCATAGCTGAGGTTCATCCCTGTTGAGGTGGTCACCAAGCTTTGCTGGGGCATCCGGGTGGAACCAAAGAGACTCAAAGTCGTTGGGATCAGCCATAACGGCGGGCAAATGTGGTGTTGTACTCGGCAGTTTGGACGCTACAGGATGACGCGCCCTCGCCATGTCGTATTTGGCATGGTGAAACTTGATGGCCGGCCTTTGCTCGGTGAATCTGACCGGGATATGGTGCTCCAGGTTTCCTGTTCTTGGCTACCGCTCGTTTGTCAGACTTGAGCGGTCTCGGGGAAGATGATGGGACGTACGTTTCGCCTTAATCTTGCGCCAAGCTTCCGCCAGCCATCCCGCTCAATGAGGGCCTCGAGACCGTTCCGCAACATGCTGACGTTGAGAACATGGTCAAACAGAAACGTGGAGTATATAAACATGCGTTGCAGCGGCATGGGGTTGTCAAACTGGCTCAGCGGGACGACGGTATCGGTTGGCACGACTAGCGGCTGCTTGGCCACTTTGCTCGCCATGTCAAGTGGTCTATAGGCGGTAGTCGATTAGGTGCGTCTGCGGCCAAGAGGTCTGGCGAAGCTCGCTGACGCGGTCGTCCTTGCAGGCTGTGCTGTTGGAGGCGAACTGCAGACCTAGTATTATATGCGCATCTGCATTTCCATCTTGCGCCTGTGGCAGCCAACAAGCACGTGGCCATGTATGGCAGCTGCCGATGCTTGTCTTTATGTCATGTACTACAACGCAAGGGAGAGCGAGACGGATATCTGGGCGTGTTTTTCATCCTTGTCCAAACTGGTTACGCTTGTCGGCCCTTCTCGGCCGTCGGTATGCCGTTTGCTGGCCTGCCTCGAGAGACACGATGCCGCCGTCTCGCCACGTCACCGAGCAACCAAACGATATTTGCAGATTTGTCGAGGCTGGCTGACGTTCTCACTCGACTCGGCTCAGCTCAGAGGTGCTCACTACCATTGATAACTGGAAGCCCGAGAAGATGGCCGCTTCAGACGCACACACGGCCAAGGCATGATTCGGAATAATGTGGCACGATATGCCATCGTGTTGGATTATCTAAAACGGGACGACGACATGCATCGAGCACCTCTCGACACATTTCTCGGAGCCCAGGGGCCCTCTGCACCCTGCCGATAGAATACAATGTCTTGAAATACACTACAGAATCCGCTACATGCCTTTGTAGCCGGTGAAAGCATGGCGAACCTCATTCCATAGCCGGCCTGGATCAGTCTGTCTGAAAGAATAAAACGCCGCCGTTCTGGAGTTGCGCCACGCGCGATGAGGAGTCGTTGCCGGAATTCAGATCCGCGCTAGCTGTGCGTTCTGGAGCCCGCCCTGTGTGGCACCATTGTCTTGGTGGAATGTTCAGCGAGGGGGGCCGATGCCGGGTTCCAGGCCGTACACCGAGAAGGAGGGAGACCAGGTACGCCCGGGATTCAGGACGAATCCCATACTTGACAACCCTCCCTTGCGGTGGAAGGGTTGGCGGTGCACGTTTTCCCTGGTGAAGCACTGGACGAGGAACATTGGCGAGTCGTCCTCCACATGTTTCAGACATGGCTGGGGGCAGAGAGGCTCGAACGCACTCCCTATGTGGCGGAAACTGTCTGGCCGGCCCAGAGGTGTCGCCAGAGAAAGCATCGCCTACTATCGTGATGACTAAACCCAAGAACTAAGCCACAAGCCCACACACACGGTCTTGAGCAGAAATGGGCTGAGCCGACATGGAAGCGACGGCGAGGAACAATGTCGGCTTGTGATTGAACAGGTTATGGAATTGTATTCAGCAGAGGTTGTGGGGAGCCTTTACGGCAAACATGGAGAGCAGTCAGCATCGCCATTGGCGCGGATGTGTGTCGCGTGCAATAGCACGAGTAAACCACGGATGACTCACAACCCGTCGTCTCGCTACCCAGTCTGGGACTCTGGGGCCGATGTCATGGTAGCCCATTGAGCCCAGTCCCGTGTGACACTGTGACCAATCTGCAACGGTGACTTCGGGCGCAACCAACCGAAAGAGGAAAAAGCAACAGGGACAGGGGGTGCTTACAACTTATCCCTCCGCCAAGAATCAGTGACAGCAGTTCAACTTGACCTTTCGAAACTAAACACGCGTCCCCTCTTGGAGTGAACAAATGGCTGCCAGTCATACTTTAATCGCCCCCCCGGGGCTCTGCCGCAACCTTTTCTTCCGGGTATCGCTGCGCAAAATTTCCCAGAGCACGGATGGTAAAGGAAAACTTGTAATTGGGGTACGAAAATGAGCAAAACTGATGGAAGGAGCCCGGAATCGCCTCTTCTAGCCATTCGCCATTGTCCTGCTGTCGGCTCATGAGAAATTGGACGCCGCGCTTCATCGGCTCCACGGCCGGGTACTCGCCGGCCATCAAGCCGATGAGCGCCCAAGCTGTCTGGACAACTAGTGAGCCCCGTGCATCTTCCGTATACCTCCGGTGCTCGCAGCCCTGGGAGTTTTGAGTTTTCCTCGTCAGCGTACACGTTCAGCCCAGTGTCATGGAGACCCCCCCCCCCGGGGGAGCAACGACGCAACGCACCTGTATGCTTTCCGACCACCCTCCGTCTCGCCGCTGCTTCGACGTGAGAAAGTCGCAGGCTGCTCGGGCGGCCGGGCTGTTCCCATACGTCTCGCCCACGGCAGCCAGGGCCTCCAAGCCGAACATGGTGCCATAGGTGTAGCAAATACCCCAGAACCCATACCACGAGCCATCAGCTCCCTGGTCGGACTTGATCCACCGCACGCCGCGCCGTACGAAGTCGTCCACGTCCTGGGTTCTGTAACGCGGCCAGTGCTGTCGGAACAGGGCCAAGGCCGTGACGCACGACGACGTACACTCTACAAAGTCAGACTCGACCATGAGCTGGGCGAAAATCTCAGAAGGGTTGAGCAGCTCCAGATACGTGCTGCCTCGACGCGCCTCAAAGGCGGAGACGCCCCCGGTGCTGTTCTGGTACAGCATGATGGAGTCCACGGCGTCGAAGATGCGCTCGTCCTCCAGCAGCACCGGATACCGCGCGGTGCGTTGGAGGGTGATGACGGCCTTGACGGCCTCGGCGGTGCAGTCGCTGACGGCGTAGCCCTGGTACCTGTTGCTGAAGGCCCAGCAGCCCCTGCGTTGCTGGCGATAGTACTTTTCCTGCTCGGGGCAGTCGTGCCTTATCTGCTGCCTCTCCAGGAAGCGCAGCGCCCCGACGCACATGTCCCTCCAGCGTTGGTCTCGGTGCAGGCCGGCCGCACATATGCCCTGCACCATGAAGGCAGTGTCCCAGGACTGGCTGCCGTTGGTGGAGTTGATCTGCATGCCGTCCCGGGTCATCCACAGGAATTCCTGCATCTTTTCGACGTGTTTGGCCAGGGACACGGACCCGGGGCCGTCGCGGAAGAAGGAGACGATGGTGGACATTGGCTGGTCGGTGACGGCGATGCCGCCGTGGTGCGTGTTGCTCGCCTGCACGTCAATCAGCTCGCTCAGCCAGGCCTCGGCCCGGGACTTGACAGACGCGGGCAGCAGGTACGGCTTCCAGAGGTTGACGTATGCCCAGTTGACGGCGTCGGCGAGCCGCGACCTGGGCTGCTTGTAGTCCCGCTCCGAGACGGTCGTCCTGTGCCGCTTCCAGTCGACGTCCCGGTAGGGCTGGGTGAGGAGCTCGTCCCTGAGCGACCTGACGAGCTGCGTCTCCCTGCACGTCCACCGCTTCGAGTACAGGTAGGACATGGCCTGGCCGGGCAGCCTCATCTCGGCGAAGAACCTCCGCGGGTGCAGCGGCACCCAGTCCGGCAGCAGCCAGAGCTCGGCGGGCATCGGGTGGACCGCGTCCCAGTCGACGACGCCCAGGACGGCCATCCAGAACTTGCCCCAGCACGACGAGTACACGGCGCCGCCGCGGGAGCGGACAAACTCGCGTGCCCGGACGAGCAGCGGCTCGTGGGGGGACATGCCGGCGATGCGCATGACGATGTAGTTCATGGCCGTGCCGCAGACGTTGCTGTCGCCGGTGGTGTGGATGCCCCAGCCTCCGTCGCGAGGGTTCGCCCTGGCCGCGAGATACGCCTGCAGCTCCGCGGCGACGCGGTCGGGGATGACGGTCTCGGTGACGTACCAGGCGATGACGACGCCTGCGCAAAACGTCATGGGGCCGCCACTCTCGCATCCCCAGTGCCCGGACGGGAGCTGCAGCTTCTCCAGGAAGACGAGCGCGTTTTGCACGGCACCCAGCGACGTCGTCGCTCGTTGCAGGTCGGGGAGATGCTGCCGCGGGGCGAGGTCAGCGACGAAGTCGGCCTGATCGAGGAGGGGGGGGAGGACTCAAAACTGCTGCGCACCAAAGGCAGGCCGAGGTAGTACTTGTCCGCGTAGCTCTGCGGCCAGCGGTCGTCGTCGTCGTCGTCGTCGTCGTCGAGGTAGTGCCAGGTGTGACGGCTGTCGTTGTCTCGGAGACGCCACCTCGTGATGTCCGTCCGCTTCACGTGCGCCTGCAAATGTTCCATCTTGCCAGTGTCCTGGGTCCTGAGTCCTGCTCGGTTGAGCGTTGCATTTCTCGTCATGTCAGGACATCTATCCCCCCTTTATAGGTCGTGGGGCCCCGGGGGAAACAGAGTGACGGTTGTTGCTCTTTTCCTGATGAAAAGTCTCTTCAAGCTTTGCCACCTCGAGACATGCTTTTTATGCCTTGCAGGAGAGGAAAATGGACCAAGTAGTTGTCACGCTTTTGCTAATGCTTGGTCATGCTTTGCCATGGAGTCAATTTCAAGTTGAAACCGCAGCAACAGGCAGACGGCGCCTTTGCGAGGTGCTGCAAACAGGCGCGAGGCTGTGGTGAACGAACGTGCTCTTCCAGACAAGAATGATGTAGAGCAAGCCCAAAGATGACATGCCGCCCTCGTGGGCTGCCGCAAACGGACAGGGGACTTGTTCTGAAGCCGCTTGCTCTCTCGGACGGGCAGAGTTTGTGCTTATCGTGATGCGGGCGCTGGCCGCGGGCTTGAATTCAACCTCTTAGTTGCATATGTGGCTGTGGGTTCGAAAGTGAACCTTTGACCGGCGTATTACATAATATACACATACATATATGTTTATATATATACATATATATATATACACACACATAATACCCCCTCCTCCGTCTGCAACCTCATCCAGATGACCAAGGCATCCACGCCATTCGCGCCGCATCCTTTTTGCCTTTGCAGCCGGCTCCAGTCTCGACTGCACGAGGAGCTTACAGGATGATTTGTCACCAATCCGCGTGGCACTTGTTCAAAGGATAATAACGCTCGGATGCCGCTTTCGCCAGCTAGCCGCCCGGAACGGGCACATGGCTGCGGTCCAGTCTCTGCCCGAGACAAGCACAGCCGACATTGAGATGAAAATAACACAAGTCGTGACGGCCGGACCGAGGGCGTCCCGGAGTCCAGAGACGGAGGCTGCATTACTAAATAGGGAAAATGTAATTGCTCAGCAGTAGAGCGTGGTGAACACGGGCCATGTACGCCGGATCAGCCGGGATCACGTCCACCTTGCGAACGGCCCGGGCCCGGCACGAGTGTATGACACACACGGGATCAACGGCGACGGATTTCCATCAGCAGAACGGTGTTGACGTGTCAACTTTGCAAGAGAGTTGAACGTTCCTACAGTCAGCAGCCCGCTGGGGCAGCAGGAGCCGCTCTACCAAACCAGATTGGTGATGCTCTGGTTCCGAGAATCCATGGCTGCGTCAACACCGAGGCTCGCAGCTGCACTCTACTCTTCCGTCACATGGTGGAGCCGAGAAGTCTAATATGCCCGGATCCTCCCCAGGGAGAGCCGAAATCAATGGCGACTTTTCTACACTGTCAACCTGATGACGCCCTCGTGCCGTCGTAGCCACCTGAATCGCGTACAAGTCACAACACCAGACTCTGCCGTATGTCTCTCGGTGTCCAAGGCCTCTGGTGGCTCGCTGCCACATGCAGCTGCGTGTTCCTTGCTTCGGTAGGTTCCCCAGGTGCATTCGCATGTCCGCTCTGACAATATCCAGGCTGGCCTGATCTGCCTCCTCACCGCCACGTATAGACTGACACTGCACCCGCTGGCACGCTTTCCCGGGCCCAAACTCGCAGCATGCAGCCAGGTAAGCAAAGAGTCGCGGACGTGCGTCTTCTCCTGTTCCGTGGCGGGGTTCTCTGACGAGCAGCCCCCCCCCCCCCCGGCGCCGTCGCAGCTCTGGATCGTCCGGTGCCACATGAGCGGCAGACTCTCGCGCATACTGCAGGCATTGCACAGGAAACACGGCGACGTGGTGAGGACAGGGCCCAACGAGCTGGTGTTCATGAGCGCAGACGCCTTCCGCGTCATCTACGGCCGCCCCAACAGCGGGCATCCCCCGTTCCTCAAGGCCGCGTGGTACCGCGACAGGCGCTCTGCGCACTCCAACATCATCACGGCCAGGGACCCAGAGGAGCACAGGGAGCTGCGGAAGCAGTACTCGCCCGCGTTCAGGCCCAACGCCCTGGCTGACAGCGAGCTGGCCGTCCGCAAGAACGTCGACATGTTTACGAAGAAGCTGGGGGAGCTCAGCAGGCTGGGACGGGGTGAGGTCGACGTGACGCTGGCCTACATCTGGCTCACCACGGACGTGATTGGTAACAACGAGTCGGGTCGTCTCGCCGGAATGGAGGGCGCACAGCTGACGACATGACCCAGGTGACTTTGTACTCGGACAAGGGTTCGACTGCGTGGCGCAATGGAACCGCGGCTTCTGGGACGACGTCGTCCTGGACTCGGTAAAGCACGCGGCGATATTCAACCTGGTCGCCCAGTCTCGGCTCCTGCGGCCGTTTCTGCCCGTGATAATGCCGCCGCGCATCGAAGAGATGAACCGGCGATTCGACGACGTCGTCAAGCAAAAGCTGCAGAGGTGTGCCGAGAACGACGGGCCAGGGGTGAAGAACTCGCTGGCCAGGACGCTGCGGCGGCAGCAACAACAGCAACAACAACAAACACGGTGCCGCGATCAAAACTACGTCCGCGAGCAGGCCAAGGCCTTTATCGGCGCCGGCTCCGAGACGGTCGCCACGTCCCTGGCGGCGGCCACGTACTTTTTACTGCGGAACCCGACCAAGCTGCACGTCTTGCAGCATGAAATCCGGTCCCGGTTCCCGTCCCGCCGCGACATCACGGGACACTCGACCGGCGGGCTGCGGTTCCTGCGAGGCGTGGTCGAGGAGTGCCTCCGGCTCTTCCCGCCCGGCACGCTCCCCCTCCCGCGCATATGCCCGGGCGCCTTCATCGGCGGCCGTTACGTGCCGGCGGGCACGGTCGTGTCCGTCAGCCCCTTCGTCACGGCCCGCGACGGCGCCAACTTTCGCACCCCGGACGAGTTTTGTCCGGAGCGCTGGCTGAACGGGGACGGGGCGAGCGCGGACAACACGGGCGCCAGCAAGCCCTTCTCCACGGGACCCCGCGGGTGCCTCGGGGTCAATCTTGCATACCTCGAGATGAGACTGGTGCTCGCGAACCTCGTCTATCTCTTTGACTGGGAGCTGGTCAGCGACGTCGACTGGATGCGGGATGCGCGCGAAGGCATCGTGTGGCAAAAGCCGGCCTTGGTGGTTCGCTTCTTGCCCAGGGAGGTGCAGGATGCGCCCTGGGCTGTCGGGTCCTAGGTGACCTGCAAGTCTGGGCAGAGAATCAGGAAAACAGCAGGGATGCAGTTTTGTATTTGCCCCCGAGTTACGGAGTACTCCTCTCATTACCAGTTGTTTAATAATAGCCGTTGCGGCGTGGCAGCCAGATGCCTCCACAAGAAGATGTGTAAGGGAATTTCGCGGGCCCCAAACCCGTGATGCGACTTGCCAAGGGGACAATACCGGCGTGCAATCGCCAACAGTGATGCGTGAAACTCCCTCATCTCCGTCACCAGCCCTCGCTACAGCCGGGTCTGAGCACCTGACTGATCCTGAGAACCCATCTTGAAGCCCGTGCGACAAGGAGGCCTAGATGGTCTAGCACACGAGGCATTCCGCCGATTCCCAACAGCCGCGCCCTTGGGCTCGCACGTCCCGACTCGTGGAGTAGCCGAGAGCACGTTGCTTGCTCGTTGGAGACTATTAATCCGTTACAACTTACAACTTGGAGGTTCCAAGCGCGTGGCCCGGACGCTCGGCTCCGCGTCGGCGAAGCGGTGAGCTTGACTCGGGGAGGAAGTAACCGAGGACACCAGCTCTCCTTCCAACATCTAGTATTGGCGCCCGCTCCTGAGGACGAAGGCCAATCAGGTACTCCGTAGCACGGATGCTTTTGCAGCGTTCTTGGCAGGATGACGTAATGACGTATGATTCAATGCAACCTATTAGAGGTTTCGGCCAGCCGCCACACGCATCACAGCAAAGCTAGTCCCAACCAGGAAAAACTGCCGCCGAATTGTCCTGCAGCAAGCCGCAAGTACAAGTGTGATTCTCCTCAGCGACACAATAGCCGCGCGGTTGCTGCTGCCCAGCGCCCAACAACACCACCAACTGCAACCTCGCGATACCTAGAGCCCATTTGACAAGACCACAACGCTGCGCAGCGCTGCACAATGAGCTTCTTTGGAATTATTCCATTTCAGCACGTCTTTTGTCTCACTTTCCCAGCAAAGCCAGCGGCAGTTGCTCGACTGTTGAGCAGCGAAACTCGCATTCAATGCCGTTAGCTCTCATCAAGCCGGCTAATGGTCTCAAGTAATAGCAAGTAGCGACCGGAATTCGAGGCGCGGTCAGGCGTCAGAGCTCCTTCTGGAAACGACGCGGCTTTCCCACTGGATTGGTCGGTCCGAGGCAAGGTTAAGCTTTGTGTCAGGTGCGCAAGGTGAGCCGATCGACGCGCACGTTGAGGGCAAAGTTTGGCTGGCCCGACAGGTCGTGCATCGACCGGCACAAGAAACTCTGGCCGAGAAACCCGGAAACAACGAGCCGGGGCCACGAGGGAGGCGAAACAACATCGTGACGCGCTCGTGTTCCAGCATGAACCTTGTTTTGCGTGTGCGCCGGGAACAGTCGGGCAAAACTACCACGGCAACCCGCGACGAGCACACCGTCGAGATGTTGGCCGACGTCTTGCTGGACCTGGGGGCCGGGGGCCTGCCCAAGTCTCGACGCGAACTGTCGAGTCTTTGTGAAGAGCTCGGCGAGGCATAAAAGGCAGCCTAGTCCCGGCCCCTTTCCAAAACTCGACAAGCTACTCAACACAACTGCTCTGCAGTGTCTGCTACTCTCTGTCACTCTCAGGAACCCATTCAAAACTTGGCCCATTCTTCCCAAAATGAAGTTCTCTTATCCTCTTGTCGCTACGCTTGTGGGCGTGGTTGCCGCCAGCCCGCTCGGAGACTCATCGCTCGGCAGGCGAGACGCCAACAAGTTGAACGAAGAGGTCCAAAAATTCAATGAGCTCATCCAAGAGTTCCAAAAGACCAAGGACGACAGACAGCAGAACAAAGTATGCCTCTACCCAGCCTGTGGGCGATACGTTTTCATGGTTTACTAACGCCGACTGGTTGCTTGTAGGGCGAGGGCTGGCAGGAAAGAATCGACAGTCTGAACGAAATCAGCCAGAAAATCGCCAAAGGAGAAGATGTCGCCGGGAACATCAAAAGGATCGAGAAAGAAGTCGACGGGATGAGGCAGAGCAGAGAAGACACCGTAGGTCCACCGACATGAAGCCATCAGCCGACGGCTGGTGGTTGGATTGCTACGCGAATGCTGACCGACTCTCAGCTTGATCGACGTACCAAATGGATCTTTGAATTTGAGCAGGCCCAGGAAGACCTCCAGGCCGCCCTCGACAGTTGAAGAAGATGACGCTAGACGTCATTGTAAGCTTCCGTCGCTTGCAGATGGGTCCCGGCGGAAGCCGTGGTCGTTGTGTGGACTTCTCTCCCAAGAGTTTCAGCTCGGCCGGCGGTTTCCTGTACCTCCTTTCTGGGGCGATGGCAAAGTTCCAAAAGACGGGCTTATTTCCGCCGTGGGATTTGTCTATTCTGTGCGGGTTTGCAAACCATCTAGATGGCGAGGAGAGCACCTGGTCCGCTCGGCAGGTGACAGACGATAGTAGACAATGACAAACTGTTCTGCTCTTGCGCATGCTATTCCAAATACGTTTGCTTCTGTCGTCGTCTTCGATTGCGAGAGCCAAGAGCTGTGTCAAGGGCATTGTTCCCCAGTAAGGGTGTCCCGACAGCGCGGCCACACAGCAGGCGCCGGCTTCACGTAGGTGCGATGGGACTTGCCGGCCGGATATAAAGTGCTGGTCAGTAGGCGACCGCATCGCGACCCCTTGTCCGCCGGCATGGCACCCGCAGACTGGACGGTCGAGGCTGTTGTGAGCCCTGTCAAGAGCGCGCCGCTGTACGCTGGTAACTCATCGTGTGCTGACACGGCTGTTCCATCGCTAGACAAGGCCAGACAGAGCATCGGCTGTCGGCAACAGCGGGGGAAGAAGACCCATTAGAAATCCAAATCAGCATATTCATAAAAAGTCACAAACCAAGAGAGGCGGTGGGTTATGGGTCAGGAGCAAGCCGCCGGGTAGCAGTATCATTTCGCTTCACGTCGAACCAACGCTCCTTGCAACCAAGGTAGCTAACCAGGGCACCATGAGAACTACATATATTGCACGCTTATATAGTATATAAAGTACAGAATACTTCGGTACATACTATAGGCAGTACAAGCCCTAAAGTGTACTTGACTATCCGACCTAGCTGAAGTGACTGCAATTAGTTGTGGAAATCTGACAGCACAATTAATGCTTATTTCTTTGAGTTTTCCAAGTTCGCCCTGGAATCATGTCCCTTAATTTGTTAAATCATACAACTCACTCCACTTTCCCCCTTACCACAGCGGACTCTGACAAAGCAACTAAGGCTATGCTGTTTGTTTTGTCTTAATTAGGCTACCGAGATCTATGCATGTCAGCCTTTTATAAGTCAAGAGGCAAGCGTTAGACATACGAGTCGCGACAGAACCAGGCTGTTCGGTCGATGTGGGTCGCGAAGCTTCTGAACAGGACAAACCGAGCAAAGGCTCATCAACACTACATAGTGTAGAACCTCAATTTTATCGTACAGAGCTGTATACAGGGGCTGCTGATATTAATTCAAGGGAATTGCTACACGGGCATGACACTTTGGCTACACGGGCATGACTCTTACACGGGCATGACTTTTACCACTTCTGATTGGTCGCATACTTTCTTGGCCCCACAGATACTTCCTCGGAAAGGCGGTGTAGCCAACTTCACTAACAAGCTCCTACATCACCATGAATTGCAGTCACTTATCGTTGTGGGCGCGATTGGTCTTCTGCTATCTTGCAAGCCTGCATTTCGGATTAAACTACCGTCCTTGTACTGTTAGCCAGTAACTGTCAAATACTGGCAAAAGACGTGATGTGGTCTACTTAATTTATTGCCTCACAACGATACAATCTGGATCTTCGTCATCACTCTTAGCCAGTTCCCATTGACTCCTTGTCCTGCGAATGTTTCGTTGCGTCCTCCGTCCACTGTACCGCACGCCTGTCGTATTCCCAGCATTTAGGACTTTAGAAGGTCTACCTGGCCCTTGCTGGGCTGAGATGCCAATTTGGCCACCAGTTTGTGTGATGGTTTCTCGAGTAGCTTTATGCACTCTCCTAGCAAGAGTTGGCTTATTGAGACTTCCTGGCGGTCGACCTCGTCGCCCACTTGGTTGATTATCAGATCGGCTACTTGATGTAATAGCTAGGCTTTCTGGGATAACCTGCGCTGTATTCTTTGGCCTTCCACGTAGTGCAGTGGCAACTTTCGGGTCAAGAATTCGTCGGTATGGATCTTGAGATGCCGATTCCCGTAGTCGCCAGCGTGGGTGGACCTCCCATTTAGTGAAACGTGTGTCAGAATCTAGCTTTGCGTAGACTTTATGATAGCATGGGATTCCCAGCTCAATAGAGACCGTACAGTCGTCGTCGCAAAGTCCAATAGAGTCGGGGAAGGGATTCTTCCCCGTCGGCAGAAATTTGCGAGCAATACAGTATTGCTTGTTGATTAACCCAAGTCCTTTCGATGACATGGTTGTTCGTAGTTCACCAAGATAGTTTCCCATCGAACCTAGGTATTGTGGAGCAGTCAGGACATCATCCTGTCCACAGGCATCCTTAAAGGCACGTTCTTGGTCATGTATCATATCCTGCATTGCCTCGACGAGTCGGTAGAGGTGGCTCATGCCATTTAATAGATAGCTTTTGATATTATTGTTGCTTGCTTCTGTGCCGGACGTAACTCGGATTCCGAAGTTACGATAACGACGGATAAAGCAACGTGCCCATTGAGCACTAACAGGCATATAAGTCGAGTAGAGGTATTGTAAGATCGCTCGTTGGTCGTCGAACTCTTTACAAAGATCTCTCCATGCCTGCTCAAACGCTTCCTCAGTCTCGGCATAGAGAACCTTTTTCCACATTAAAACAACGCCTTGGTAAGTATGAGGAATCTTATCACTACTCGACCGATCTTCGATCAGATGCTTATCTGTAGTGCTCAACCCGCCATCCGCCTGTGAGGGAATGTCTTCACTGTCACTAGCGCTAGGGCTAGTAGTACTGTCCTCACGTTGGCCCGTCCACCTAGTCTTCGATTTAAGCAAAACGTTTGAAAGGATATGATGAATACAAAGCTGTTGCTGTGCATTTGGAAACTGATCATTAACGGCAGCTTTCATAGCCTTGTCGAAGTCTGTGATGATGACATCTGGTTCCCTGAGTGAGTGTTTTGTAATGAGCTTGCGAACACTCTCTGCAAGGAATTGGAACCCCTCCCTCCTCTCGTTATCTATTAAGCCAAATGCAGCATTGAACACAGTTCCAAGACAGGTTTGGCCAGTAGCCTGGAATAAAGGAAGCTTGAAGCGATTAGTGTTATATGTGTTATCAAAGCTAATAACCTCGGGGAAGCGCTTCCACATCTGTAGACAGTACGGAAAGGTCCAGACAAGACCAAGCAGTCTATCTGGATCATCATCGGCCCATTTCGCGATGTATGGGATCTTCTTCTCATCAAAGAGTTTGATCAATGCCGCAGTAGGTGTATAGCCATTTAGCTTCTCTCGGTTAATGAACGAACGGGCATTATAGATATCCTTCCGCAGGAGTGTTGTATCGGGGAATTGCTCCTCAACCATAGCAGCTACATCACTGGCTCGAATACCCGCGCGACGGCTTGCTGACTCGATGGTTGCTTTAACTGGTGTAGTAAGGCGGCGGTGGGAAACATGCGCAGATGGCGTAATACTCCGTTCATGGTTATGCTGGTGATGTTTCGGGTCTCTATGTTGTCGAAGAAGCCACTTGCCTTCCTCTAGGGCTTCAGCAATTATCATCCATTTGCAATCACACTTCCGAGACCTTCGGGTTCGAAGACCAGAACCCCCCGAGGCCCGAGATTGTCCAAACCGGTCGCATTGAATGGAGTACCTAATCAACCGTCCCTTATAGGAATATTTATTCCGCCGAATAATACCAAATCCGTTCTCCTTTGCAAATGCGTTGGTTGTTTTAAAAAGAACTTCGGCCGAGGGCGCTGGGTCGCCAGGGATTATTGGGTTCGGAATTGGCTCCGGGGCGGGAGATAGAGACTGTCGCATAGGCGAGGAACTAATATTTTCGGGCGTCGGTGATATTCGAGGAGGTTGTGTGGGTGACCTACGAGGTGGAGAGTACGGTGGAGGAGAGTCATATGCTTCGAAACTTAATGGTGACCATCCCCATCTCTCTCGCCAAGCTTGTACACGTTCGTATGATCGAGCAAGGTCTACAGTTAGCCTTCGACCTTCGCCGGTAACCTCTCGTACTATGCGCATTGCGGACTCGAACTCGGCTCTTGTCCTTGTTGGGAGATGCTGGGCGGATGGGGGTGATTCGGGAGGTTCAGAGGCGAATGGATCAAATTCTGGGCCTGGTATAAGCGCTCTGACTCGCTGGCTCCATCTTTTTCCACGGAAGAAGTCATTTTGAAGATATATCTCATAGTCAGATCGAAGGCCCCATGCAGGCTCATGGCGGCCCTGTGAACCATGGGGGTGTGGGAGACTTGAAAGTGTTTGCGGGAAAGAGGCGAACAGGTTATCGAGTGCATTTTCGTCCCCGAGGCCGTAGAACTGACCGATACTCGTAGCAGAGCTACTCGCGGATTGTGGTCGGTCTTCAACTGTGGAAGGACTAGATCTGCGTCGCCGACTGGATTTGTGTCGCTTTCCTCTTTGTGATTGATCACTGGGACTAGGGCTCCGCGACCTGCGAGGAGGTGTGCGAGGCAAAGACATTGACGTCTTGAGAAGAGAACAAGATTGTAGTGAAAGAATTGGTCGCTATCTCTACAGCATAGGGTGCCGTATTATGGTTTATTAAAAGCTACGAAAATGAAGAAAGCAAGCTCGAGGGGGTCGCCCCGACTGCGCGACCACTGGGTTGCTGCGTAGTAGCTTAGCCGAAATGAAGTAATTTACACAGAAGCAAGGTTAAAATGGCCCAGGTACTTGCGGCTGAGGTGGCAGAATCCAGCGTCGTTAACAGAGACAATGCGACCAATCAGAAGTGGTAAAAGTCATGCCCGTGTAAGAGTCATGCCCGTGTAGCCAAAGTGTCATGCCCGTGTAGCAATTCCCATGCAATAATATGGCTGACCGGTAAAGTACCTCCGGAGGCCCACCGCGTCTCAATAACGGAAAATTGATGCACGGCGCGGTTTGAATAACCCATGTTCAATTTATGATACGCACAGGAATTGCATCCCCCGAGTTGTCCGTGCTAATGTGTGTCCCCCCCCCAACCAATATGCCGTGCACAAAGAGTATTAAAGTCGGCACGCCTTTTCCACTCTGCCAGGGCACAAGGCTCACTGTATCGACAGAAAGCCCCCCGTCGTCGAGGCATTGTGGAGAACCCAGACCTATAAGACCGGTGCTTGTTGTCATGGTTGAACTGAGCTATTGCTTACGAGCCCTATTATCACGGCCCTTGTCACAGCCTGTCGATTCAGCATTATTCGCCTCACCTTTCAGCCCATGCGCCCAGTTCACGTCTGCTAGTCCCCGATGGTTTTCCTCTTTATTGGGGGCATATGTGTATCCTTGACAGTGTGTATTCACCTGTCTATTTCAATACAATAGATGGCGCTCCTTATGCTATGCAACTGGTACTCCTGCACCATGTACATGTCTACTGCAGGGAAAAAGACCCTACTAGGTTAGCTAAGTAGGTTTCGTTACCTACTTAAGTACCTAGATGGGTAGCTAGCTACCTAGTGGCGTAGCGAGATCAAAAACCTACTCAAGTACCTATGGAGCTACCTGTATTGGCCAGCATGTTTGAATTGGCTCGAGATCCCGGAGATAACTTTGATGACACCTGCGAATTTACCCAGAGCAGGGCCATGTCAACCAATCTCCAGCCTAGTGACGTGCGTGGTGCCCCTTTTGCCATGTCACCAGTTAGCTCACAATTATGGTACGCCCCTCGCGAGCAGTTTCGACGTCGCACGGGACTCCTTTGTCCTGTACAAAGGTGTCACACGTCATTCGGATCCCGCCGGCAATTCGCGTGAGTGGCCTGCTCAATCTTGGCATTCAAAACCTGCAGATGGCGCGCACTCGGGACGCGAGGTTTGGCCCGACCCGCATGAACGGCCTCGTCCAACGTCATCTCGAGATGTCCTTGGATGGTATAGTAATAGCGGATGCCGAGCTCCACTCATACCGAATAATCTTGGTTATATAGTCTCCTAGTGTCTTGGGAAATGGAGTTTTCACTGTTCGTAGTCGTAGTGCCTTTCTTGCCATGTGTCATTGTTGAACAATTGCCAACGGGCGCAGAACCTATAATACACACCGGACCTAGGCGTTTCGACGACGTACTTGAAGCGAGAGCGGTTGGGATATAACGCCGACTCGAAACCCAGACAAGCACCACGCCGCATCCGCACGCGTCACCTCGGGTCCCAGGCCGCGACGGAGGACTGCCGCTCAACGAACACATGCAGATACTTTTTAAGGGCAGCTTGCACAAAATTTCTCGTCTATTGTATCTAGGATGTCTGCAGCGGGGCCGTGCAGTCACTTCCGACGTGCAAAGGAAATAAGATTTGCACATGTCATCTCGATAAGATGCCTTGTATCAGCATAAGCCGCAGTAACAGCTAACACTCTAGTAGAGAAGTCCATGCGACTGCAACAACACAAGAAAGATCCATCCTAAGGGGCGCTCGAAGACGAAGGAATGCAGCCGCTCTAGAGGACCCAGTCTGATCAGCACGCAACTCGAGCCACATTGCCCGGTGAGCAACCTACACAGCTGGCAGGGATGGAGATGGCGCCGGTAATGACATCATTTTGACAAGCGGCGGTATCCTGAGTAAAAAGGGCATCCACACAATCGTTAATAGCCTGTGGTGAGGTGCCGCTCGAAGCCAGGGCGGTAAGATCAGTAAAGCAAGCTGTGACGTCGCAGGCTGGAGCCTGACGGAGTTGTATCGGGCGAGCAACTCGTGCTCCCGCCGCCAGCCATGCCGGGAATAGTAGAAGAGAACGAACTGTCCTCATGACGGAGCAGTGGATCAAGAATCAAGTTGAGTAGCTTGGATGCAAATTTTGCGAAAACTAGTCGCGATACATGACATATATACCTCGCGGAGGTGACGCCTGACATGACAGACTCGGTTGGACCTTTGCGCAGGGCACCAACATGAATTGGTTGTCTATGTATGTCTAGCCCGCGTGTCTCATGACTACATCTTAGTACAGTAGCAAACATGATTCGGGCTTGTACGGAGTAAGTGATGTTGCAACTCACCGAGACACGACTTGCGCTGCACTTGCCTTTGTGAGGTAATCAAAATCAAGTCCCGGGATTTCACCAGCCTCTGCCGATCGCACAAAAAAAGGGGGCGGATCAGCTTTGTTGTCAAATTCCCACACATGCAACCCCCATTTCGCGCCCCAAAGCAATCAAGCCTTTCCAGACTATTATCACGGACTCTATCGCTGATCGTTTCAATCTTCGTGACATGTCTCAACTGAGCAGCTGGCTGTCTTGCTTTTCAGCTGCACAGTCACACCGCCGTTCCTGGTCGTCCCTCAAGTTGAGATGATGAGGTGCTAATTACAATTGCGAATACTTGCTGCGCATCTCGAGCTCTTAAGGCTTCCGGAGTCACTTTCTGACCGCGAATAGTGCCTTTGGATATGCGTCCAAGACAAGCTGGGTCCCTCCCCGGCTTCAACGGCAATATCATGTCAACTTGGCATATCTGTGATTGGTGCGTATGGGCTCCGAAACTTGGACATTGTCTTGCTACGGTCTCCACTTTCATCCATCTGCGGTCAACCGGGATGACAGTCCAAACACGTACTGACGCGGATGCGCGGATGGCCAAGTCTTGTTTGCCAGCGACCAGGAAGGCAGCATTTAATTTTGCAGCTCTCTGGTTGACTGGCTAAGCTTTCAGTGGGTTGGCTTGATCAAGTCCGGGGCGAGGACGACCCCATCACCGGAACCTTGACGACATCATCCATCAGGCGTGATCACGGACGGCTTGGCGGGCAAGCAAAATACTACGCATCCTGAACACGCACTCGTGGCGTCATCTACCACGACCGTCATGCCTCCAAATATCCCCGCCCGCAAATGTGTGTCTGTCACAGGCCCAGCGGTGACGATTTATCAGATGATCAGATAAAGATGGGTGTTTGATCAGATGCAGCCTGCACTCCTATTGGTCAGGTCAGCCCACACGTTGCACCCTCCGGCGTCGGCAAGTTCACGTTGGGCCTCGGCAGCGATTCTTGGAGAGGACAAATCTTTTCGCGTCTGAGCATCACGTCCCACAAGATGCTCTTCGCTGCTTCAGCTCTCGTCATCGGCTTGACGACTGCCTTGGACGAGCCCTCGAGTACAATATTTGGCAGTGGTACGGTGAAAAAGTCGCCGCCGCCAACAAGTGCGACCTGGACGCCGCTCCCAGGCCTGTTGAGGGTGACGGCTCGTCCGATGCATCCCAGGCTGCATCGGCGACGGCTGCTCCCGGAACTTCTGCTGCCGCCACCGGAGCTGCTCGACAAACCAGCGTTCCTGGCCAGTCCATCGATCCCAGCCGTTACTCGGCTTCTAGGCCAGCGGTACCTACCTCTGCCGTCCGTACGTCCCGGTACCTTAGGCATCGCAAAAGATGCTTTGCGCTCATATCGTAGCTGGAGTGGTATTTCTGGCGGCCGCTAAAATGTTCTGATTGTGCGTATAAGATTCAGACACGGGGCATGTTGCTAAGAATACGACGCAAATATGTACTCGAAAGTCAAAATGTCGTTCAAATCGTATGACATCTTTATGATACAACGTCATGTAATGCAGCTCGTGCTCACAAGCGTTCAAATGGGACCAAAAGAAAAAAATAAAGGCCGGAAACACGCGAAATTAATCGTTTCCCTTCAGAGCCATGCCGCCAAAAGCCCTGTCCAGTTCTGCACCCGCATCAATCGCCAGCTGCGCGGCGTTTTCCGCTGTTGGCGGTTGGTGCGGTGGTTGTTGTTGTTGTTGATGTTGTTGATGTTGGGCTGTGCCTCCCGCGCTCGGCCCAGGCTGTGCCGACTTTCTCTCTGGCTGCAATAGCCGCGACTCGCTATCCAACCAACCGGGGGCTACTCTTCTCTTCTCGGCTAGGTCGCGCTGCTTGATGCGCTCTTCGAATTCGTCAAGTTCCCGCTCTGCGCTCTCCTGGACTTTGGTAACGTGCTCCAGCAGCGCTTTGCACGAGTCAACAATGTCATCGGGGTGAGCGGCGTGGCCAGAGGCCGAGACGACAAAGCGCGATTTCGGCTGCTGGGATGGATCTTCAGATGCCGTGGCGATGCCCATTGCCGAGGGAGGTATGTTGGACGGCATTGTCTTGTAGTTGTATGAGAGGGTGGTGGCTGTTGGGAGAGACACGAAAGGAGATACTGTGAGGGGGACCTGCTCCAGCAGGGGGTGAGGGCCTTGTATACTTTATGTTAGCCGAGCAGAGTGGCAGGGTGTTGGGGCAAAGGGGGTGGCGGCGCATACGATTGTTGTGCATGATGACTTGTGTTGGGCGTGTTCTGTTGAACCTGCTGCGAGAGCAGGGACTAGAGGGCGATTGGACCGGCAAAGATGCCCTGCGCGTCGTTGTTGTTGTGTCTTTGTGCGTGAGAGAGAGAGAGAGCGTGTGTGTGCGAACAGCGAGAGAACCGGTGCCGGCAGACGGTCATGTTCCCAAAAGCCCGTCTTGACTCTTGAGAGAGGCTGCTGCGATCCCCTCGATTTCGGGTGCGGAGAATCGTCTAATCGTCGCGTCTCCACTTCCGATAAGATAAAGATACGAGTTGTCGTCTGGGTTCAAACTTCCGCCACGACGATTCTGCAGACACGGCTGCAATTTTCAAATCCCCATGGCCGTCTCCCTCGACAGCCCTGAGCATGCTCGCCACGACGATACGATCACCCCCCTCGGTGGACGACTACGTCCCCCTATCCGAGTATCAGTCCCAAACGCCTGAATCCTTCAGCGACGGCAAGCCAGTGCTGCACTTCCACCTGAAGGCAGCTGTCGCATCCATCCCCAAGTCGCAGTGCGGCATACTAGCCATCTTTCCTGCAGATTCACCCGCGGCTGGGAATGCCGTGGCGCGCCCAAACGGCGATGCCGAGGAGCTGGTTGAGCAGACGGTTGATGTATTCGTAAACTCAGAGTGAGTCTCCTCTCTCTCTCTCTCTCCCTCTCTTGGTCCTCATTCCGCACGACTTTGCTCGACGACCCTCAGCGGCCATGTGAGCTAACAAGGCGTAGAAAGGTTACGCTTTTCAGCGAAAAGACAGAGTCGGGCGTGTCAATTCCCTACCCCTCCATCTCCATCCACGCAGTCAAGCAGGTCAGCGCGAGTCAGGGCCCCAGCACCGCCGCCCTGTGGATGCAGCTGGAGTTCTCGGACGGCGGCGCTGACGACGACGACTTCAACACGGTTGAGCTCACGATTTTGCCGTCGTCAAGCGAGTCGCCCCGCGCCGCGCAGCAGCTGTACGACGCTATAGCCAACTGCTCAAACCTGCACCCGGATCCGATCAGCGGCGACGGCGACGGCGACGAGGATAACGACTACGATGGCATAGTATTTGAGGGCAGCGTGGAGCACGAGGCTGTCGAGGGATTCACAGGGGTTTTGCGTGGCACGGCCGACGGAGGATTGCCGCCGCCGATGCCGGGCAGTGGGGGTTGGATTACGGCGGAAAACGTTGACGAGTATTTCGACGAGGACGGGAGCTGGATTGGAGGCAACAATGGAGACGGTGAGGCAGGGGCGCTGGGTGATGGCGCAGGCAGAACAAGACCCAGAGACGAGGTGGACGACCGGGGAGTCAACGGCGACGATGCCGAGAGCAAACGGCCAAGGGTTGAATAGATGTATCCAAGTGTATTGCTTCACCGCTTGCTCTTGGGGTTCCAGTTTCGTCACATGCTGCCATGCATGGCCACAGACGAAGGCGAGCGAAATATGTAACCTACTTGGCTATCTTGGCTGAGTCCTCGTCTCCCTAGCAGCTGACCTGAGGGGTGCTCTACTTTCAAGTTTCCGGCGCCAGCCCGGGGGGGGGAGAGCTCCACGCTAAGGATTTTTAGCCAGGTAAATTTTAGTCATGTCAATTGATTCATACCTGTTTCCATCTGCTAAATCAGGCCAAGGTTCCCGGTCCGCGTCAAAGTCGATCGCCAGCTGACCATTGTGATGCGTGCAGTAACGTCGCCTATCGTGCAGATGCGTACTTACTTACTTGAGTAAGTAGGTAAGTTACTTGAGTAGCTTTGGGTACCACCTACCTTGAGCACTTTAGGTCGTACCGAGTCATGCTAGTCACTTGTACGGAGCATTCACCGACAGACAGGGGTCGTCGGCACTTGGTACTCCATACCTCCTTCCTCCTAAAGTTCCAACCCGGATACAAAAGCGCACCTCGTTGCAGTCAAGACTCAAGACAGTCCATGATAGAGCTTCGTCTATGCCTGCGTCCCCCCTAGATCCAGAAGCCTCCAGCCTACTCCCTACTCGGTACATTCTTCTTCAATCGTGACTTGCCATCTAGACGCCGCATCATGAAGCCTCTCGTGCTCGCCGCCTGGTCGGCTCTCTACAGCAATCCCGTGGTCCACGACGCCAGCAACGACGTCACATACCACGGTCTCAACCGCAACGGCATCGAGGTCTTTCTCAATATCCCCTACGGCCAGGACACGGGCGGCGAGAACCGGTTTCGACCGCCGCGTCCGTACATGTCGCCACGCGGGAGCATCATCAACGCCACTGCCTATGGCCCGGCATGTCCGCAGGCCCTAGGCCCCTGGGTGCCCCCGATATCGTTGACCAACATCACCAAGGTATCCGAGGATTGTTTGAACCTGAACATTGCGCGGCCCATGGGCAAGCATGTCGAGGGCAAAAAGTTGCCCGTGCTGGTGTACATCCACGGCGGGAGCTTCTGGGCCGGCAGCAACGAGGAGATTACCATCCGACCGGACGGCATGATCCTCGAGAGCGTGAGGAACGGCTTGCCCGTGATTCATGTGGCCATGAACTACCGCTTCGGCTGTGAGTAGAGTACCTCGTTCTTCGTCTGCGTCCCCTCTCCCTCCTCCCCTTTCTTTGGGAAACGCAGCGAAGACGAAAGCACTGGAAATGGGAGAAAGCAAAGACGGCAGCTAACCGTCGGCAGTCTTTGGATTCGCACGGTCCGGTGCCCTTAAAGAGGAAGGATCCGAGAATGCCGGCTTGAAAGATCAACGCCTCGCGCTCGAATGGGTTCGGGACAACATTGCGCAGTTTGGCGGCGATCCCAACCGCGTCACCATCTTTGGCCAGTCCTCTGGCGGTACGCACGTCCATCCATCCCCCAGCGCCGCCGTGGCACGAGGGAGACCAAGCGTTAACAAGAACATGGCCAGGCCTCTCCGTTGGCATGCACATCATGGCCTACGGCGGCTCCAAGCCGGCGCCGTTCCACCAAGCCATTGCTGAGAGCCAGGCCCTCGAGCCCGGCATCACGGGCAACTTCACCACCAACGCCATGCAAGCCCTCGTCGACCACGTCGGCTGCAACAAGGCGCCCCTCGATTCCAGCGAAACCATCCAGTGCCTCCGCAGCTTCGACACGGCCAAGGTGCTCGACGCCTCCCTGGCGACGTACCAGTCGGACACGGCGCACAACATCGGCGACATCTGGCTGCCCTCCGTCGACGGCGACTTCTTGCCCGCCGCGCCCTCGCAGCTCATCAGGGAGCGCCGCTTCTCCAACGTGACCACCATGATGGGCTGGTGCGAAGACGACGTCACCTTCTTCACCGACGCAAGCATCACCACGGACCAGGACACGCACAACTTCCTCCGGGCCTACGTCCCCGGCGTGTCAGCGGACAACATCGGCAAGCTCATGGGCTTGTATCCCGCGTCTGAATTCCCCGCCGACCCAGCCTCCAACGCTTCGAGCGAGTTCTACCGCTCGGCCAGGATATTCAGAGACATCGTCATGACGTGCCAGCCGCTCGGGTACGCGGAGCAAATCGCCGCCGCCGGCAACACGGTCTACCTGTACCACTGGAACCAGACCATCCTCGACCCCTTCCTGAGCCAGGTCGTACACCGGCCCGGCATGGGCGTCATCCACACCTCCGAGTTTGCCTACATCTTCGGCAACCTCTCGCACTACGACACGGGCGACTACGACTTCTGCCCCAGCCGGTCCGACTACCACCTCAAGCGCCGGGGCTCCCGCTCGTGGTCCACGTATGCCAGCACCGGCAAGCCCAGCCTCGAGCGGCATCACACCCTCCAAGGCTTCAGGCCCGCCTTTACGCAAGACGGCCAAGTCAAAGTCTTTGTGGTGGGCGGTCCGCACGAGGGCCTCACGAGCATTGACGGGCATGAGGCCCTGCCCGCCCTGGCGCAGCAGAAGCTGCGGCAGAGATGCGCCTTTATCAACTCGCCAGACATGGTTCAACAGTTGGGCTATTAAAGGTAACACAAGAGAAGAAGGACGGACTTGGCTACAGGCACGGTATTTGCTATTGTACATTGGCCGCAAAATAGATGGAGTAAATGAAAAGGTGTGCGCGCGGTGCCGTGCCACAAACACACAAGGAGCCCAAAAAAATGAGACGCAGACGCGCCATGTAAAACGGGCAAAACGGCGAGGATAACAGCCGCCCCGAAACTCGTCCAAACACACGGATGCAATCAATAGACACCCTATACCACACGCCAAACTCCACACGCTACACGCGCAACGCCCTCGCGCGCAACGCCCTCGCGTCCCTCTCCGGCGACGGCAGCAGGAACCCGTCCTCGTCGTACAATCCCAAGCTGTCGACGCTGTCCCGCTTGGCAGGGCGCATCTCGCGCGCCAGCAAGTCCCCCACAGGGCCCTGGCGCAGCCTGAAGACCTGTGCGGAATACGTCGTCGGTGAAGATGGCGAGCAAGGGGGGGGAAGAGAGGGACGAGGAGAAGGACGAGCCTGGTCTCCTGATGCGTCGAGGCCGTCGACGCGCTGGTTCTCTTTGCCCTCTTGCTCGCCGGCGGGACTGGGACCGAGGCCGAGACCGAGGCCGAGCTTGGGCATGGGCAGGACGTCCTCGCTGCGTCCCTTTCTGTGGTGCGGGACCGCGTTTCGGGACGCCGTCCCCGTCCCTGCCCCCGTCCTGCCGGGGCTGCTGCCCACCCCCAGGGACCGGTGTTTCGGCAGAGTGCCCGCGCCCACGTTGAGGTAGTACCTGCTGCCGCTGTCCTCGGGCCGGGGGCAAGGCGGCTGCTGCTGCTGCTGCCGCTGCCGCTGCCGCAGCGGCGACGACAGCGACGTAAAGATGCACGGCAGGGTGGGCGAGTCGGCGTCGCCGACCGCGACGGTGGACGCGACCGACGCGGCGCTGTAGGAGCTAACGAGGCTGTTCATGCGGCGGAGCTGCGCGATAGTCGTGCCCAGCGCCGGGGGGCCGTCCCTGCTGGAGCGGTGGCCGGCGACGACCCGGCGGCCGGGGGGCGAGCCGCACGCGGCGGCGTCTGCGGCCGAGGAGCACAGCGAGATGGAGCACGACCCGGACGACCTTCTCCGGTGCGGCGACGAGCCCCCGGGGCTCTTGACGGACGGGCGGGGCGAGAGGCCCGTCGCGAGGACGCTGCCGTCCGGGCAGGTGACTGCGGACGACGGCGGCAGGGGCAGCGCGCGCTTGGCGCCGCCGCTCGCGAGGAGCATGGACAGGATCTCGTGCTCGCTGAAGGGGGAGGACGAGAAGTCGGCGTTTCTGCCGCCGTCGCGCTCCCCGTCCCCCTGCCTCCCCGGGGTGAGCGGGCCGGGAGCGGGCGTGGGCGGGGACCCGCGGCGGCCCGCGGCGGCAACCCATTCCGGCCTTGGAGTTTCGCAGGCCGGCAGCGCCGTGGCCCCCGAGTCGTCGCTGTTGACCGAGTCGGACGCGAAGCTGGCGTCTGATGCGGTGCGTGGTTGCGGCTGCGGCTGCGGCGTCCTCGGCCTCGCCGCGTCGGAGGCGCGTAGCATCAGCGGCCGCGGCGGCACGACTTGGAGGTCGATGCCGCGGCCCGGCCCGCCCTTGGAGTTGAGGGAGAGCGGGCGCAGGGGCTGGGAAACGGGCGACGCGTCCGCCCGGGCATCGCGGACGCTCGGGCTCATGGTCTTGATGCGCCTCAGCGGCCGAGGACCGGCGGGCTGCTCGAGGGTCTGCCTGGCGGGACGACTGCGGGCGCGGCCGTTGCCGTCGCCGTCGCCGTTGTCGACAAAGGGATCGCGCCCGGCGGCCAACGCCTCCAGCTCTTCCCGTCGGAACCTCTGCTGCTGGAGGAAGTACTGGCGCTGGATCTCTTGCTCCTCGTTCTCGGGCTCGCCGACGCTGTAGAGCGTGGACAGCGAGCTCGACTGGTCACTGTCCACGGACCGTCTCTTTGGCGGGCTTGGCTGCGGACTGCGCTGCGCGCTTCTCTGCGGACTCCTCTGGGGGCTGTGATTCGGCGTGTGCTGCGTCGTCTCGATGCCCGGCAGGCTCGGCGGGAGAGGCGGGTGGCCCTGGGGCTCCGGATCCCGTTGGCGCCGCCCTCCGAGACGGCTGGGGCTGGGCACGCCGTCTGGAACCTCGAGTTGGTGCGTGGCTTCGGCAATGAGGCTGTTGGCCGCGCTGCCAATCGACGCCATCGACGCCTGCGTCGACAAGGCGGCCACGGCCACGGTACCACCGGGCCTGTGCTTGCTGGGGCTCGGCGTCCCCGGGTCGTGCCGCCCCGTCGCCCGGCCCGCGTTTGACCCCGGACGACAACGAGACGGAGACCTGGTCGGCGACGGCCGCGGCGTCTTGTCCTTGGTGGGAGACCGGCTGGGGCCCTCGCGCAGCCGCTGGTCCGTCGAGCGCAGGATGTCTCTCAATCCCACGTCCGTCACGGTCATGGACGGCCGCACATGTGCCCGAGCCGGCGGGCGCGGCCCGGACGGGCGGCCCCTCGCGGCGGCAGCGTCGTCCTGCGCCCGCGCCCGCGCCTGCGGACAGAGATTCGGCGTCGTCTGGCTCGTCTGCAGAGCCGCCCCCGTCCTCTTCTTCTGCACGCACAGCCCTGGCTGCTGGCTGCGGGCGCGCTGCTGCTCCTGCTCGGCACGGCGCGCCGCGTCACCGTGGCCGTGACCGTGACTCGGGCTCTGGAACCGGTACCCCCCTCCGTAGTCCTTCTCCATCGGCTGCTTGCGATACTCCTCGTACGACGGCCTCTGCTGGTCCTGCCGCCCGCCGAGGTCGTATATCCCGTCGTCGTCGCCCCCCTCCTCCGCGGCCCGCAGAGCCGGCACCGCAGGAGCCTGAGCCTGTCGGATCCAGCCGTCCCTGCCGAACCAGCCGCCCTTGGCGTCCTTCTCCTCCCCGCGCCGTCTGCTGCCCGACCGGAACACACCGAGGTTGCCGTACGACAGCATCGGCGGCAGCGGCATGATCGGCGGCAGCGTCAGCGAGAACCGCGACGACAAGCGGCTCGGCAGCCCGCTGACCGCCGACTCGCTCATGACAACCGGCCTCTTCGTCAGCCGAGTCTTGGAGTACTCGTCCGCCAGGGTGTACATCCTGTCCCGCGCCCTCTTCTGGCGCCTCTTGACCCTCCACGCCATCAGGAGCCCGACGGACGTGAACACCACGACGCCGCCGCAGAGCGCGATGGCGAGCAGCCCGCCCAGGCTCAGCGCCCCCGCGTCGCCGTCCCTTCTTGAAAGAGCCGAACCTCCCATCGCGGCTTGTCCTGCGTCCTTGTCCTTCTTGCCGTTTATTTTCGTCTTCTCCCCTCAGCCGACTTGGAGGATGAGGATTCGTCGCCGGCCGGTTGACTGGCGAAATCGACGCCTGGGACACTCCAGTCGTAGGATCTGCTGGGTTGTTTGTTAGTATGGCCGGGGAAGAAAACTGGCACACCATCTAGGTCGAGCAAGATTCTGGCATTTTGTTGCCGCTGGCATAAACATTGGCCAAGCTCCCCCGTGGTGCTGGGCCTTGTCCCGCTCCGACGGCTTCCTGGAATGCGTTGCCAGTGTGACTCCATTCCAGTTGTCGGCAACAAACACCATTCGTCTTCTCGCAGGCCGTTACTTTGCCAGTGGTAAAGGGAGAGCTCCACTAATCTCCTTCTCCGACTACCGAAACACTTTGCAATTGCATTCACAAATAAACCAAACGAAAAATTCCTTGCGTCTGCGTCTTGTCACATGGTCGGCCCGCCACGTCCTGCTTTGCTTGGCGCTGGCCGTCTTGACTTGGCTGCACTTGGTGCAAGAGCGGACAGTATTGTGTTTTGCACATGGCAAAATTAAATTTCGCTCGTTGCATTTAACCCTATACTGACTGAGAAGAAATTGTGAAGCATCTCTGCTCTACTGAAAGAAACCGAATCAAGCCAAATATGTCATCATACAACACGAATGTGAGCCGACATTTCTGGAACCCGTCCAGATGGCACGAATGCCCTCTCCCCACCCCTCCCCCGGGCCCCCACAGCAAGAAGAGAATAGAAAAGCATACAACCCGAATCAGCAACGTTGTTCTTACCGCTTCAACCTTGCTATTCTACGCTTTATCAAAACCGCTCATGCATGCACGTGTCCACGGTGCAAGTGTCGACGTCGATGATCATGAGCCCCTGTAGTTGTGCAAGTGGTCGAGGGGACGAGCATCGTAGTCGTGATCTCCGCCACGAGAAGTTCGATTACCACATTCCCACTGGTGGTCCATTCAGTTCTGTAGCTGGGCTGGGCAGACAGTGTCGCCGGCGGAGCCGGGGGGGGCGTTGTAGATGTGGTCGTGGATTCAGGCACGGGAGGGCCGGCGTTTTCAATAAAAGCTAGACCGAGAGAAGCGGCGGCATTCGGCGGTGGCGGCGGCGGCGGCGGCGGCGACGGGGGCGGAGGAGTCGAAGGGGGCGGTGGCGGCGAAGGGGTCGAAGGGGGGGGTGGCGGAGGTGGTGGCGGCGGCGGCGGCGGCTGCTGTTTAACCGGACTGTTGGTGGAACTGGAGATGGCGGCCGAGCTAGGAATGGCAGCAGGCTCATTGCCTTGGTCGTCACTACCAACACCAACCTTGATGCCTCCGGGTAAGTCGGCCATGGGCCCAAGCACATCCTCACTAGACAACTCTTTAAGGGCCGACCTCTTCGCTCTGCATGATTTGGCCAGGCCCTCGTCGACGACGTGGAAGACCGGGCAGTCATCAATACGGCCGGAGGGGTTTCTGCATTGATCGATAGCCTTTTGGAGCACGTCGGGTTGCCAACCTGTCATGAAATCGGCATGGTAGCCGAATCCTAGCCAAATGAGTATACGAACGCATCCGTTGTTAATAAGGCATGAAAAAGACTTACCCGTAGTGTCGCCATTGGAGAGCACAAATATTCCATCACGGTCCCTGAAAGAATAGGTGTGCCAGATCGTCTCATACATTAGGGTAGGCAATCGTACGGGATACCCCTTTGGGCAGTTACCCTCGATGACCAGGTCAGGGTAAGCCACATGGCTCTTATGGTCTGGGCTGTCAAGGTTTTTGCCATCCCAGCAAGACTGAAAAGCGATCTCGAATCGGAGGCCATTGACACAATTTTTATTCAAAAAGTCCTTTCCGGGAAGAAAGTGTCGAGCCAACGTCGGTTCGGCCGCCTTGTTGTAGTCGAGACAGTTGTAGCCAATCGCACGTTGTTCCAGATCCTTCTGGCCCGTCTGGCCAAGTGCAGCCCATTGCGACTTGGGGGGGTCCGGCTGCTCTGGGCCTCCCAGCGTATAAGTTCTTCTGGCGTTGTCCCCAGATACCATTTGAAATCCAGCGGGAAAGGCCTTGATGTTGTCCCCATTGAGGAAATAGTACCTAGTCGGAAGAGTCAGGACGTGTTTGCGAGTGGCCCATCATGGTGACTTACGCAAGCATGCCGCCGATTTGGGGAACTATCTCCAATTTACCCGTTTTGGCATCTTTGAAGTAGAGAGCGGGCGTCCAGTAGGCGGACATGTCCTGACTAACACGACAGGAGGTACAATCGCCGGCAAGCAGTTCGTTGGTGTCGGCAAATTCCGAGAAGCCTATCACTCCCGTAAGTATTCATGTCTCATTCATCGCGGTGCTCCGCAGAGAGCTGGTACACCCGCAACTCGACTGTTCGAGGGCTTTGTCGCTTTTATGGAGCAATCTCGTTCCACCCAACTCGGCAAGCCACCTGCTGGCGAAAAGGTGTGCACCTGAGCGGATAGTCCCGTGTGGCGTCCCAGACGGTGAAAAGCACCACGGCCGAGCAAACGGATGAATAGACCAGGTCAAAGCTAAGAAAACGACGTACCATTAGATCCATGAATAGTGTGGGCGTGAGCAGAGGTTTTGTTCGGGCTGACGATGGGGTCCAATCTTGCACGGCCGATATAACCAGGACATTCCATACGCCAAAAGGCGTTGGCGCCTGCGATCAGGCCTGCAGACAGGGCCACGGATTTGAGCATTGCGGCGAAGGCCAGTGTTGGAGGCTGTGCTCAAATGCGGACGCTGCCCAGGTGCTCTTGCCCCGGACCCGGGGAGGGGATCGCTTTTGTAGCTGCGAAGACAAAGAGGTGGCGGCAGAAATGACTGTGCAGCGAGTGTTAGCGCGTCAGTTGGACGAAATCCGCGTTGATGAGAGACGGCAGAAAAGGCTGGGGAAATGTCATCAGCAACGAACGACATAGAGTCCTTCAAAGATTCCGGAAGTCGCATGCGACCCAGCCAGTGTTGGCACTTGCCGCACTTGGGAGACTCATTGCAGTCGGCCGGCCGGCCGTTCAGATGCATCCATGTCAGCTGTCGAGGTTTTTATGTCGCTCGGCATATCACGCCTGGAGTAGGCGTCCTGGTGAGCAGCGCCATGAGTCCTTCTCGCCATTCAAAATGCTCCGGTTCTAAGCTCCTCCCAAGAAGCCAGATTGAAATTTCGACGGGGCACGCTGGTGTATAAGCTGGCAGATATCGTGGTGCTCTTACCAAGAAGTGTCGAGGCGCAGTATTCACGCGAGTAGGAACCTCTTCATGAATCCGTCCTGCGGTAAGATGTCGAGAGCAAGGGGGAGGGGGAATATGGCGTTGACGGCCTGGGACTGCTCCAGCGAGAAGTAAAATACTCCTTGATGAGGGCAGAGTGAGTTTATCGGCTTTCAACTTGAAGCCCAGCCCAGCCCCGCTGTTGCGCGCCAAGACTCCGAATTCCAGCGCGAGGCACTACCTCAGGTGATGAACCCACCCCTCTCCGCGCGCCTTGCGACGCGTAGAATCGCTGACGATTATGTAGAACAATGGGTGTTCGTGTTTGTGTTCGGTCCAAGTCATTGTATCCGTATTCTCAGTCTCAGCTTGGCGGTGGTTGGCGAAGCAGAGAACTTGGCCGCTGCAAAACACCTCCAGGTGCAATCCATTGCAACACAAGAAATTGGTCGGGAACCGGGTCATGAACAAGACTGGTTGTCTGGGGAGGAGGAAAAAGTTTGTTGGCTTCCACCTCAGATGTCCATGATGCATTCTCGGGGCATCAACATCTACAGAGTCTCTCCGTGCTGCCCTCGTCAAGTTCTCCTCGTCGAGTCGACAGCACAGTGCGGTGACGGAACAAATGCACAAGAAAGAAAGCTGGTTCCTACCTGGTGGCTACAGAGCAACAAAGCAAATCCGGAAAAACACGGCGAACCGAAAAAAGAAGAATGAACGTGTTCAGATCGTCAATGGTAAGGAGCGCAATGGTCAGAAAGACCGAGACGAGACGAAGGTCAAGATGTTGGTCTGGAGCGGTTTCGCATACCAAAAAAAGCTTCAAATGAAGGGGGCGGAGTCTGTATGAAGCACACAGGAGGGAGGGAACCGAAGAAGCTGACTACTAGTGCGTGTTATCAGTGTCAACTGCCCACCAGGTAACACCCATGCTCACTCTTGTGGACACACAGACTCCAAACAACGCTACAACAAGATGCAGTGCCTCAGCGCAGCGCAGCCCGAGGGGGTTGGATCGTGGGACTCTAGTAATTACCTACTACGTACTACTAGTTACTACTTAGATAAGTACTTAAGGTAGGTAATTTCAATTAGCAGTTCCAAGGGTTATGGGCATGCAAGCCCCCCATTGCCAACCAGCTCCTCAGGCCAGTTCGGCTGGTAGCCCATCATTCTGTGCCAAGCACATACAGGGAGAGTACCTGGTACAGTCGCCAGCCAATCACGAATAGTGAACAGGGTAAGCTGGAGTGGGGCGCTCAGGGGATATCAGACAGCGGCGGTCACTGGAGGGCCAGGGCTTGAAGAAGACGAAGAATTTGCTTCTTGAGTAACTGCGTGCTGGGTACCTCGTGGTTGTTCGCGCGCAACAGGCAGGGGGTTTTCGTGGCAGCCAATTAAATTCCTCTTGAACCATCGCTCCGTACCTGCATGCGGTGCACTGGAGAACAGACGAAGAAGAAAAGACGCTACACATGTACGTACTACCTGCCTAGGTATGTGCATAAGTTATCAAGGGGCAAATATGGGTGCCCGTGCGCATGTACGTAGATGGCTGGATCCCTCCACTCTTGAAACTTGGGCTGAGACCCGGGGGCCAATCCGCAGCGAACCGAGTCCCTTGGGCATTTCTAGGCGCTTGATGAATGGAAATGAATTCTAGAGAAAAATCATCACCAGCAGGGCGGAATCCCCGAGCCGTTTAACGTCTAGCTCATTCCCTGTTCCCCGCTCCCTGCTCCTGCTGCTGATGGACAGACGAAGGATGGGATGATGGACATGGGAACATGGAGCTTGACCGATCCCGCAGTCCGCCCCATGGTGGAAATGGAAAATCCCGTGTCCACGTTGACTCCTTGCGGCCGTCGTCCGTCCTTCATGGTTCATCGTTCGCGTTGGCACGACTCGAGGCAAACAAATACGTAGCACCTCGCCGCACGTGGACTGCACTGCACCCTGTCTGCGGCAGCAAGAGCCAAACAACCCGTGCTTGTTTCGGACCCCGGCAGCCACCACAACCTACTTCCTGGATGATCCAGGGATGTGTGATGAATCCTGTGTCCTTGGACTTGGATATGGGCTTCCTGCTCCCGTCCCCCTTCCCGCTCTCTCGGAGGCCCAGAGCCTGCTGATGAGTGGAGGCACCTGCTTGTGCCGTCGACTCTTTGGCAATGACGTGCCAACTCATCATTCATCCGTCACGGTGATGTGCTTTCCCGGCCGTTGACTGGGCAGAATCGCGGCAGAGTCGCGGGCATATGGGGATCAACAAAGCCGTCCGTCATCTCATATCAACATGAGACATGGGAGAGAGTCAGCATAAAAGCGCAGGTCGTGCGTCGTGGCCCATTGCACCATGGTGGAGTTGTGTCGGTACTCCTTACCTGGCAAGGTTTTCGTCGAGGATCGAGCCATCTTTGATCATGAGACTCCACTTGCCAAGAAAGAGGCGAATCGCGTGCAGATATGTACTACGTACGGAGCAGGCTAGTCCGTGGAACACACGAGAATCCGTCCACGTGAGACTACCTTGCGCTGGTGGACAAGGGGTAAATCCTCCGGCCATTCAAGCCATGATTCGCAACGCAAAAGAAAAATTGGGTTGTGCCCGGATGCTGGTGATGCACCCGCGATGTCCTTCCCGTCTCAGTTTTATCCAAGAACTCCGCAAGGAGTATGTCTGCCCGTTGTTGCGTTCTAATGTATCGGCTACAACACCATGTCAGCCTCACGCCCACAAACGGAGTCTACTATATGCGAGCCACTAATAGATTACGGCATTCAAGAACAAGCCAAACCAGTAAATTCGATCGAGACTCAATCATTACTTCGTCGTGCGCTCGGCTCGATCAATGGCTGTAGGGTAGGGCGTCATCTTGAGACTTGTTTTGTCAAGCTACAATGCTCCCCTCACGTTATTTCCAAGTCGAAATGTTGCCAAAGGTCTACCTTGGTTCAAGATAAACACGTAACTGAGTTATATTTCATGGCTAAAATTGCTATAACGATGCCCGGCGTGTCTGCACAGCGTACGGAGGAGAGCTGGCTGAAAAAAAAATATAGCTTCAAACGACGACTCCTCGTTCAGCCACATGTGGCACTGCACAGGTTTTGCCTTTCATTGGCCAGAGCATAGTACCGCGCCACAGGGATGCATGTGCAACCAACCGCACAGCAAGCCGACCTGAAGCTGAAATGATCACGACTCACGACTGATGACAATGCTATTACCCCCGTACATTCCGAGTAACTGCCCCGACAATGCATTGAGCTGGCAAACGGCACCCCAGCGATGACTGATGATACACCACGCCTTACGATTTCTTCACGATGGATGATCTCTCGGGCCTCGATTGGTCCAAACCGACGGGCTCCCAAGCCAAGCAACCGTCCATGTCGAATCCCGTCAACTCGTCCTACCCAATGTTGCGACCAACCCCGCCTCCAGCTGGATCAGGACGCAGTACGCCCGCGTCGGCTTCACAAGCGCCGGGGTCCTCCTCGTCATTACCTAAATCTGCTCCCCAGCCAGCCCAGGACAGCTTCAGCAACTTGATGAACTTTGGCCCGGCGAAGACGAAACAGAACCTGTCTCTAGCCGAGAGACAAGCGCAACTCGAGGCCGAGAAGAAGAAGAAAGAGGAGGACAGGAAAAAACAGGCGGAAGCGCAGTTTGGTAGCGCACAACATTGGGATGCTTTGGGATCGCGCATATTTACCCCCAGCCCCGGCATCTCTTCCGCTGTGTCGAATGGAGCTGCCGCTGCCGACGACGACGACGACGACGACCTGTTTGCCGCGTTCAACAAAGATACCAAAGTGGACAACTCAAGCCATTACCCGCCGTCGGTATCACTCCGTTCGACGCCCGTCGAGGAGAAAAAACAGCCGGATTTGAGCAATCCAAGTGCCTGGGGGGTATCGAGCAAGGCCGCCGGCATCAGGGATGACACGGACGCAGGCGGGTTCGATGATGACGATGACCCGTTTGGGTTGAAAGATTTAAAGCCGAGCGAACCATCTGCCGCTCATGGTCAAGCCCCGGTCGGGGATGATGACGATTTCCTTGGTGATCTGGGCAGACCTGTTGAAGAAGTCCGCATGAAACAACAACAGCAGCAGCAGCAGCAGCAGCAGCAGCAGCGGTCTAAACCTGGTGAGCCCATCGAGGATGGTGATGATAGTTCATCGGAAGAGGAACGTTTAGGGCCAAGGCAGCAACACCGGGAAGGCAGTGGACCCGCTGGTGTAAGCACGGCATTCGATCGAGCCGTCGCACAACTCGTGGACTACGGATTCTCCCCTGAGGATGCTCGACGTGGTTTGACCGAGAGCGGTGCGGGGCTTAGTGTGCACGCTGCGGCAAACTGGCTATTGGATGACGCCCATAGAAAGGCCAAAGAAAAGCCTCAGGGTCAGAGACCTTCCACCGGTCCTGGTCCTGGTCGGATGCCCGGCCAGCCCGAGCGCCATGCAAGTGGTTCCTCCGGACGGGCTGGCGACTCCGACTTGACCAAGTCTGCCGCCGCCGTGGGCAGTAGTCTGTTCAAAACTGCGAACTCGTTGTGGAAATCTGGACAGAAGAAGGTGCAGCAAGCTGTGGCCGACTTTCAACAAGAGGGCGGCGACGCAAGCCAACCAAAGTGGATGCGTGACGCTCAATCTGGGCGAGGGCACAATGCAGGATATGTCAGCCAGGACGTCACCGACGAAGCCATGGCCCTGGAAACTGGCGGTCGAACGAACAGTCGGCTGGCAGCTGACCGTCGGCCAGGCTTGCAGCAGTCGCGAACGTCATCACCGTCTGCAACATCGTCCGGAACCCAGAGTCGACACAGTCCCGTGCCCCGATGGCAGCAGACTTCGTCACCTGCAGTGTCTGACGCCAAGTCAAGGCTGAATAGGATGAACAATGACAATGACGACAGCTTCTTCGTAAGTGCCAACAGAAGAAGGAGGAAACCCACGTCTACACCAACAGAACCGCCAAAACACTCGGATGCTGAGCCGGATCTGCTCTTCCATACGGACGCGCCAAAGCCGGCACAGCCGTCCGCCCACCGCCCGGCGCAACGGCAGACACCGTCAATCGTGAAGCAGCCGCAGGCGAATTTCCCCCTGGCCTCGCGGAAAGCCGCTCCAAAAGCAGCTCGACAAGCCCCTCCTATTGGAGCAGCAGCTCTCCAGTCGTCTACCAAGCATCGACTGGAAGGATCTGCCCACTTCAAGCGAGGAGACTACAGCATGGCGCATTCGTCATACTCCAACTCCATGTCTACCATTCCAGATGGGCATCCATTATTGATTATCCTTTTGACCAACCGTGCATTGACGGCAATCAAGACCGGAGACACGAAACAGGCTGTCAGAGATGCCGACGAGGCTTTAAAGCTCATCGGTCCTGGAAACGGCCAGGGCGAAAGCATAGCGGTCCAGGGGGAGGATGGCAAGGAAGAGACGAGAAGTATGAAAGACCTGTACGGCAAGGCACTTACTCGCAAGGCCGAGGCGTTGGAACAAATGGAAAAATGGGCCGACGCCTTCGCTGCGTGGGAGCAATGTGTCGCAACAGGCGTGGGCGGAACGACGGCCACTCAAGGTCGCCAGAGGTGCAAGGACGTGGCCGCGCCGAAGCCCAAGGCCCTGGGGCCGAAACCAGCAGCCAAACGGAGACCCACGCCCTCGGCGACGGCAGACGTGTCCTCCGGAAAGAGCTCCGAGGCTGTAGCCAGGTTACGAGAGGCCAACGCGGCAGCGGCCAAGGAGGACGATGAAAAGTTTGCGCTCGCAGACGGGGTTGACGCCAGGGTGGGGGCGTGGCGGGACGGCAAGAGAGACAACCTGCGAGCGCTCATAGCCAGCTTGGACCAGGTGCTCTGGGAGAATAGCGGATGGAAGAAAGTAGGCCTGCACGAGTTGGTCGCGGCCAACAAGGTCAAGGTGTCGTACATGAAGGCCATTGCCAAGACTCACCCGGACAAGGTAAGGCTCTCGGACCCTTTTCTCCCTCCCTGCAGAAACAGTAGGCCCTGGGGGATTCTGAGACATTTTTGTGTGGTAAACTCGTGCAGCAGAAAACTCGGAAATGCCGAACCCACGTCGCTGCATGCAGGGCGTGATGAGAAAGTCGCTAATTGGTGTCAATAGCTACCCCAGACCGTGGGCACAGAGGCCCGACTTATTGCCGCCATGGTGTTTGCTACCCTGAACGAAAGCTGGGACAAGTTTAAAGCGGACAATGGGCTCTGAAAAGGAAAAGGAGAGGGAAAGGAAAGTAGACAAGTTGAATAGGGCATGGATGGCGGCGTGTGATGCATTACGAATAATAACGGCTCATTTAGAGGAAAAAAAAACACTGGCTATTCATGCCGCTTCTCGCGGCTGCGGTGGATGAACAAAAGACTATGTCATGTAGTGATGGTTGTCGCTGTGTCTTTCTTTCTCTTTCTTTCTTTCTTTTTTTTTTTAAACGCCGTGATATGCCTGCCATATGTAGTTACAGAAAAGACGCCCACGCGCTACCTCCGAGGAAAGCAGTAGAGTGCTTTTATAAGCCCAGCATGCGCCTGACGCCATCGCGAACCTTTTTTTCGTAGTCTGCCCGGCGCTCTCGCCACATCTTGGCGGCTTCCACATTGGCGGGACTCTCGTCGTTGGGCTCGGCGAGCATGCTCATGACGGATATGAGGATCTTTTCGACGGACTGGATCGGGGACCAGCGCTCCGAGGCGTGCTCGTAGTGGTTCGGGTCGTCGCCGGGCGGGTGGAGGATGGAGATGCACACCAGGCCGCTGGGGTATACTGCCGCCTTTGTTAGGACGAGCACGAGCACGAGCACGAGCAAGAGGCGAGGCTTCGCGTACCGTTTGGATGCCACATGTCGGCGAGGAACTTCATGGTCGGGGGCGCGAGCGGGTAGTCCTTGGGGAACTTGAGCTCGGCAGGGAAGATGCCGCCCTCAAAGGGCGTGCCCTCGGGTCCTTGGATGAGGCATTCCCAGTGGAGGAGGTCGTCCTCGGAGATGGGGCCGGCGGTGATGCCCTCGGGGGGGCTGTTTGTGAGGGCGCGGTATTCCTGGAGGAGGCGCCTGTGGGCGGTGGATTGTGCCATGGCGCCGGCGACGAGAGGGGCGTGTGTGTGTGTGTCTGGTTGTCGGGTTCGTCGATTGCGGGATGGGAACGGGAACGCGAACGCGAACGCGAACGCGAACAGCAACGGGAATGGGAATGGGATGAGGTTGGATGGGTTGTTTGTTTGAACCGAGGCGGAGGCGGCGGCGGCCGGGTGCTTCGCCCGTTCCTGATGCTGGTGGGGTCGGTCGCGCCTGAACCGAGGGATGCTGACGTAATTGCCGCCTGCCGCCGCGTTGGCTCGGCCGCCGTGCCGGTTGTTGGTCTGGGGCTCGCGGCCGTCGCCGGTTGTCGCGGTCTCAATGTTCTGCCGAGTGCAATTGAAGAAAACAGAACAAGATGAAAATTAACCCAAAAAAAAGCGTCTGCTCATCCAGTCAAGTTCACCGGATGGGGCGTTACTGCTGCCCAAGTACGTACCTGGGTCAGGGTGCGTGACCCTTGCCCAGTAATCCGAATTGAAGTTGTGATAACGGCAAGTGTCGTTGATACGCAGCACGCATATCACCAGACCCTTTGCATGAGTTTATGCGCACAGATTCAGAAGCCATGAGTGGAGGAAGTGAAATGTTTCACAGCAGGTGTGATTTCGGGCCGAATTGGCTGCGCTTTCCTCCTGCAGAAGCTGGTGAATGAATGGACAGGTTCGTTGGGCCTGGGAAGGATGGCTTCTCAACCAGCATGCCATGCTTGGCGTTGTGAGGCCGCCCAAAGCATAGTGCCTTTCCTGTTTGGACTGTCGTACCAAGGCAAGAACACCCGCCATCGTGAATGCAAGATGAGCGGCGCTGCGACGGTGCTAGGCCGAAAATGAAACGAGCGATGGACTGGCACTGAGCAGAGAACCGACTGTCCAGCTCTATCGACCGGTCGTGCCGGGAAGCAACATGATCATCCGAGCACGAATCCACTGCGGTGTAAGGATACGCCTTCCCCACGTTTGTTCAGTTGCACGTCCCGTCAACCCGAGCCGTCAGAACGAACCGACGGGACAGATACTAGACTCCAGCACAAGCTTGATACCGAGAGAACTCAACGTGCCCAGAAACTGCCATGAGTTGAAAACGGCTGTCCAAAATTGTGACCTGTATCTTGACGGGGAGCCTTGGACTACCTACCTCCCAGTACATAAGTCCGCGTCGCCGCCGTCGTCCATCGTCTTGATTCTTCGCCCACCACACAACACGACTTGCAACTTCCAACACCTACTGCCAAGTTCAACCATATCCCCACAACGTCTCGAACGAATCAAATTTGCACTCTTGTAACGCGTCGAAAATTTTCGTCTTCAAATATTACTAGTTGCTACCAAGTTTCTGAGCTCCGTCCGCAGCTACAGCGGCTGGCTCACCATGTCCGAGGCGGCAAAATCTTTCAGGGTCGGGGCTCTTGCCGTCCCGCTGAACAGCTCAAGCACCCCAGTCGAAAACTGGGTTATTGCCGTCTCGAGCGAGAATGACGTACAATGGGTTGGGGTCAAGGCACTTGAAAATGGGGGAAACATTCAGTTCGAAAATTTCAAGTCGTCGGCGGGCCCCCCGACCATCGTAGGGAGCTGGGCATCACTTTTCTTCGGAGTCGTCGACAAGGATCAGGCAGCGAGCATAATCCGCACCTTCACCGAGCTTCCGGAAAAGTTCAAAGAAACAAATAAAGCTTGGACTCCTGAGAATTACCTTTCTGCGATTTGGGATGTCGTTCATCGCGGGGCATGGGCCAAGGACCACAAAAACATCGACATTGATCATGGGTACAGAGAGATACAGCTTGCCGTTAACCGTGCCAGGGATAATCGACAAAACTGGAGCATGAAATCGGACCTATCTTGGCGTGGACAGACCCCTTTGACTGCTTTCTTGATGAGGCACTAATGTCAACAAGACGTTGCGGCAAGGAACCGCAAAGACAGAGCGTGCAGTTGGAGAAGCGGAGGATTGTCGGGAAATCTGCGACACGACATGGGAGGCGTCTTTTGAGGAGGAGATGACGGCTCCGCGAGATTGAGAACAACTTTGCGTCGGTGCCGACGAGCCATTAGGCAGGGAGTGCAGAGAAGGCCAACGGGATCAAGGGGATCAGGGATGGTCGAGGAACTGCAATGCGGCGTGCGAAGCAACTTGGGACGAGGGGCCAACGACGGCTTCTGCAAAATACACAACAAGCATGCCGTAGTTTTAACAGGGCTCAGCGTTGGAGCGCCCTTTTATTCTTTGGACGTCTAGATGCGCCATCGCTGAACCACATACTCTTGACTATTCACCATAATATATAGAAACAAATTTTAATTTCCACACAGTGTTTGTCTCAAGTACCTTGGGAAAATTCAAATGATCAGCCTGGGTTCTCCATTCAATACCAGAATACACTATTCCACCCATGCCTAGTGTATAGAAACGCTTTGCGCCGCCACTCTCACGAAACAGGCAGTGTTGTCGTCTGACAAGGGCTGTCGTAGCATAGCTTGGAGCAATGACTCAATTCATCAATTTAATAATAACACAGTTTGTTCAAGGTGCCTGTCTTCCCCAGAATCCTCAGTGCCCAAAGACCTCTATTTATGCAGCAGCCTTCTGCCCTAGATCTCGTGATCGTAGCCCTCATGTTACCGTGTCACAAACCGTGTGACACGTGGGACCAGCTAGACTATTCAGACGTGTCCAATGTTGCTAGTTATATGAGAACTTGACCTCAAGCCGTCGCTACAGAAAGCTTCCTCATGCCCATGCTGGCTTAAACCGCAATTCTGCAGAGCCCATTCGTCTCATCCCGCAGATTTGCAAGTGACAGCATCTCCTCTGTTGAGTGCGAGGACAGGTCAATCTCTGAATTGGGATAATCGCTGTGCCTCTCTCTCTGTGTCTGTGGCGTTTCGCTCAGCCCCGTTGAGTGCGGGCAGAGAACCGCGGGCTACAACGAAAGCTTGTCATCTTGCAGTTTTCTCGAGACTAAACTAGATTTGCTGTCAATTGATAGAGAATCTTGAATTTTGATCTGGGTCCTAGTCGTCTCTTGGACTCCACGTCCAAGCCCGACAGCGTTGAAACTGCCTGTCGTGCCTCGTCTTTTTACGATAATCTCCTTTGAACAATCTAATGACTTGATCATCGTGGTTGGAACGACAATAGCCTGCCGGGAGTGTCTTGCTTGTAGCAAATCCTTCTTTTAGTTTTTGTTGAGTACTGCTCCTGTATGTAGCATTGTATCCATCTTGTGGGAAGAGGCGACCCGGGCCCAAAAGAGCTAGGGGACATGCGCGAAGATCAAAATATCAAAGGCTCGCCTTGGCCAGCCAAAAAGCCCGACCAGAACCTGACACCAACATACAGGCGTGGCCACGACACACTATTTGTCACCCTTGTATCCTATGCGACAGAAACAGCTATGTTTAGGGGTCAAGTATCAAAAAGAGCACGAAAATACGTCACCAGGTGGCGTCAAACAACATAAATTCCCAAGGGTGGCCGTGTTGAATGTTGAATAACTTTCGGCTGACTAATGTTCAAATTCGATTCTAGACATTGGGGCTGAGGCAATGATGAGTGGGCTGTTGTGGCTGTCAGGTGATATCAGGCAATATCGGAATAGATAACCCGACGTCATCCACGGGCTGTGGCAAAAGTTCCTAGCTGTCGAAACAGCCGGACCAGGTACGAACCTACTTGTAACAAATTAAGCAGTCGCCCATTGGTTCCGAATAGGGAAGCACCTGCATCCGATGTGGTGTAGTGGCTATCATACTGCGCTTTCATGGATTCCGTGGAAGCCCCGCAGGGATCGGGGTTCGATTCCCCGCATCGGAGACGTCTATTTCGTCAGTCAACTCTGTTGGATAGGGTTTATTTTTTTCAAACCCGGGCAGAACGTGAGTGCTCCTTCAAACTGACCCCTTTTTGTCCGTTCAATGTTTGCCACCAAAATTGGCGTTTCTGCCGCATTTGGCAACAACCAGAACCCTTCAGGCAACCTACCATGGCGAACTGCGATCTATTCATCTCGGGTTCTTTCGACAAGATTATATGACTGCTCACTACAGGAGACGCCGCTTCCCCAAAGTTGGAAGCTGTACAATTTGGCGGCCAAAAAAAAAGGTCATGTCAAGCTGCTCGTGATAAAAACTGGGGAACGCTGAGCCTCATGAAAGACAAAGGCCGTACGGAGTACGTAACCTTCCTATTCTCCTCCTAGTAGACGCCAAAAAAGACGCCTCATCTGGTACCTGTCCCATAACCGGGTGACCCGCAAGGAAGACTATGGGTGAGTGAAATTTGCCAGTACGGTGCGCATCTTTTGCCCTCGGCAGTTTCGGCATCCATGCGCCAGCCACCTTCTTAAACCAGACGCCGCCTCTTGTTGACGGCGTCTATGGTGGTGCTGCCGGTTCGCCGCGATGAATAGACAGCACTAGTTGAAACACTCGGATTATTCAGCCAAAGGACGTTTCGCCGGACAGATAGGATGAATGAGAGCCTACGCCATCGTGGACTAGTGCTAAGAAAACAAAAGAAGAAATCTTCATCATGTTTGGACATTGTTAGTCAGTGCCAAATGTCCCATGCTAACTTGTCGTATCTTGTAGACGACTTGTCTAGTACTAGGCGCTCAAAAGGCATATGCCGTCATCGAACTGTCACAGAGGACCAGGTAACCAAAAGGAGATTCCGCGGACTGGACTTCAAACTTGTCCCAAATTAAGCAGATGAAGTGGCCTATTCCTTCGCCTCTCCTCTCACCTGAGAGCTTCAAGTCTCGGTCTGCAATCGTAATCAGACCAGGACATAGCCCCTTCAAGGGGAGGATACCCATGGCAATCACTCATCATTGCATCATCCAAATGTGTGAGGCGAAAAGTTGCCGCTATCCGGATACGACAAGTCACTGGACGCTTGGCGGCTGAAGGAAATAGCCTTCGTCTTCCAACTTTACAAGGTTGCCTTGCCCTGGCACGGCATCAGCTTTTGTGGCGCAAATCAAGCGCTTCCGACTGCGAGATTTAGATCCTTTGAAGAGACCTTGACGTGGTCCCTGACTTGCTGACTTTGTTCAACCCTTACATTGTTAAATTCTCGCAGCCACCTTCCTATAGAGGACAGGTGGCACTTATTAATAATGATTCTAGCACAAGGTCGGCCAGGTCTCGCAAAAAAAGCTCTCCAACTTGCTGACTTTATTCAACTCTTACATCGTTGAGTTCTCGTAGCCCGCCTTCCTATAGAGGACAGGTGGCACTTGTCATGAATAGTGATTCTGGAACGAGGTTGCTTGGGCTTCTCAAAGCGAGATAATTATAAGAATGAGCACTGCTGCAACAATTCCGTGATAGTCCGCCATCCCTTGCGGCCACTCACCTTGTTCGGTCAACTAGTTCAAAACCACGCACTGAACTCTCGGCGTCACAATCAGCCATCACTTGAGATTTCCCCTACATCATGAAAACTGCAATTGTCCTCGCTCTTCTTGCTGCCACAGCCGCGGCTTCCCCCGGCAAGCCGCTAAAGAACAACCAAGGGTCGACGAATGACTCTCTTCGCCGTCGACCTGTGCCCAACCGCTGGGTCCAAGACAGATATTCGACGAACTGGGCTGGTGCTGTCCAGAGCGGACGAAACTTCACCCACGTTGAGGGCATCATCACTGTACCCGACTTGTCTGGTGCCTCGGGCAATGCCGTTTCCATGTGGGTTGGCATCGACGGCGACGCTTGCCAGAGGGCTCTGCTTCAGACCGGCCTGAGCTTCCAGACTGATGGGAGCTTCGACGCCTGGTACGAGTGGATTCCAGACTATTCCACGGACTATGACGGCTTCCAGATGAGAGTTGGCGACCAGGTCAAGATGATTATCAATGCCACGGGCGACAGCACCGGGGTTGCTGCGCTGGAGAATCTCGCCACCGGCCAGATGGTCACGCACCATTACGACAGCAGTCCCTCGACTCTTTGCCAGGATAGCGCGGAATGGATCGTCGAGGCATACATGGATGACGGCTCAGAGGTGGTCTTGGCCGACTTTGGGGAGGTCACGATCACCGGCGTCTCTGCCACGGAATCTGCTGGGACGGTCAACGCCCGTGGTGCCACCATCATAGACATGATCAACGGAAGAGACCAAATCATTGCCAGTTGCTCTGCTGGAGATAGCTACGTCCAGTGCAAGTATACCGGCTCGCAGTAGGAAAATCTACTCGGAGGTGTAGTTTCGTGGAGCGGCCAACTTTGGGAGGAGGCCGCAGACGAGATGGCCAACAGTATGCAGAGCACTTTGTATAGAAGTAATTGGTTAGCGTATCCGGTTGGGCGACAGATGGCTCTCGACATGCTTTTACGATGTGAATGCCATTGCGTCTCATGTTGTGCTCCCCGTGATCAACGTCTTGGCCCGCCCCTGTGATGCCACACTACTCGGCAAAGTCTCCTGACGACCCTTGAGATCATGAAGCGTGTGTTGCCCATCCGGAGAGAGTAACTACGCTGAGCCGTCGAGACGGAAGCTCTCACTATGCATTTTCGACTACTCAGTTGCAAGTCAGCCAGCGGGAGCTGCCGGAATCAAACAACGTCGTCACTTTATCGAGGCCCGAAAAGGAGGTCCGAGATTAGCAGTCACAAATTAGGACCCGACTGCTACATATACTGCTACTCTATTCTGTGCGTAACCCAATTCGGCTATTTTATACCCACGCCGCCACGTACCTGGTGCAGCAGTGGCTATCCTGAGTTCATCATGAAGCATTGTACATGTTTTTACGGTTCCTCATCTGCAGCTGAAACTTGACGGAATTCAACAGGGATGCTTTGCGTCGGAATTCGACATTTCCCATCCACGTGTTGGGGTGCAAGGTGCAATTTCTCAAGAATCAAATGTCGGGAATCCAAGTAGACCGAGAAAGAGGAAATGCCTCACTGTCGACTCCTCAAACCCTCTTTTCATCTGTTTCGCCTGCTGAAACCAAAAGAGGCCAAAGCCATATGATAAATCACTGCTGTAGTGTCCTATTTCCCAAGAAACAGAAGCACAAGAGCCCCGAAACTTGCTGCCATCGCCCCTACCGCTGCCAGGTGCCCCTCAGATGGACTGGTTCATGGATGAGTATCCTGAAATCGTCTGACGGCACCATGCTTGGGACTCCGCATGTAAAACAAGGATACTCCGTATATTAGGAGCTCTATTCACATCTTCCCCTGGCTGGTTCAGATATGCCGGACGCGCCGCGACGGGCTACACGTCAGTCCCGGGAGCAATTTCAAAACCCACAAAACCCGAATGGCAGGCAAACGACACATTTAGAAAGGCGAGTTGGAGCCTCGTGCTGACAGGGAGGGAATAAGAAGCGGGAGAATCGAATGACGACGTGACAACCAAGACCAAGCGGGCCCCAGTGCTACCTTGCACAACACGGCGTCGTGGCCATGTCAGCCACCTTTGCCCATTTTTTAAAGACACGGGTCAATCTAGACCTGGCGACTCGACGTGTAATTGCCGTACGGAGCACCGGCTCGTCATTGCCAATTCCACCGTGGCATTGGCGCCAGGGCAGGGCACTCCATACTACGTAGGTGGTACGCGGTGCAAGATCAGTCGGGGACTGAAGCGGCCGACCCCGACGGGCTTGAGCCATCTTACCCCGTAAGAGTTTGCTTGTTGATTTTGGAAGCATGGAAGCATCATCTACGGGCCGCTTCTGTCAACGGTGGCCCGGCGTGCCGGATGTAGAACAACAGGCTGCTGACATGTCAGCCCAGCCCCCAAGGTTACAATAAGCTCGCTCATGAATGTCTGGTCCTGCCCTCCAGAAGAAGCGTGTCTTTGGAGTTTTAAACGAGGACCATCTCGACTCCCTCTGGCGGCCGGGCCTACTAAACGTGGCCGATGGTCCATCTCGATGGCAGAGTATATGCGTATGCCAGGAGCAGCCCAAGCCGAAGTGTTGAGCCGCACTGCCAAAGGGAACACTTGTACATGACATCCTCATCATCTACATGTCCCTTGTACTTGCGTCGTGCCCATCGCTTCCGCCGTATGCTGCACGTTCGGATGCGTCGCGGACTGCGCGAGAATCCCGAAATGGCCCATGCTCGCCAAGCAAGCCGGAGCAGAAGCAGAGCCCGCACAGGATGCCTGACATGGTAGGTTGGCAACAGACAGTCGACTCTGGTGGGAGACGGCGTGGCTGACGACATTGGAACAGCAGGTGAGTGACGATTCTCGCAGAGCCGGCGGCCATGTTCTGATCCGCGGCCTGACCTGGAATCCCGTGCCACGACAGACAACGCCGGATCAAGTGCGACGAGGGCAAGCCGAGCTGCTGCCGCTGCGTGACGGCCGGCAAGGCATGCGGCGGCTACGACGTCGGAGTCGTGCGCTTCGTCAGGCTCAACCACACGCGAGCCGTCTCGGCAGCGGCGGCGTCGATCCGTCCGCTCTCGCAGGGCATCCAAGGCTCCGACACGGAGAAGCAGTTCTTCTTCAGCTTCAGGCGCGCAACGGAAGCCGGCGTCGCCATGCACCTGTGCGGCGTCTCGTCCTTCTGGACAGAGGTGGCCCCCCGGCTCGGCCACGTCGACGACGCCGTCAAGCACGCTCTTGTTGCCCTCGGCGCCACGCACCATCTGCACCGGACGAGGAGGAGGAGGAGGAGGGACAGTCGACCGTGCCACCCCGATGGCGACTCGCTGGCAACCAAGAGGCTGGAGCTCTTCTCCGCGCGCCAGTACAACAGGGCCATTGAGGAGGTGTACGCGCACATTGCGAGCAACAGCCCCAGGAGCACGATACTGGTGCTCGTCTGCTGTCTGATCTTCATCTCTCTCGAGTTCCTGCGGCCCAACAACGGCGCCGCCATAGCGCATCTGCAAAACGGCATACAAATCATCCAGTCCGTCATGGGGGGCCTTGACCACGCCGCCTTTGCCGCCTGGGCTCGGGAGCTGGCCATGTCCGAGGCTGATGTGTGGGACATGATCGCGCAGTTCCGCAACGTCGAGTCCGCCTTGAACGTCTTCTCCAACGACGTCTCGCTGACGCTGGGACTGCGTCTGCGGAGGGCTTCACGGCCGCGGCGACAGCCTCATCCCTTGGTCCACGAGCGCATCGCCAGCGTGGCCGACGGCTACAGAGCGAGGACCGAGTTCATGAACGACGTCACGGCCCGCTACTCGGAGCTTCGGAGGCACCAGGGCGATGCCGCCTTCTGGGCCCAGCGGCACATGCAGCGGGAGCTTCGGTCCCTGCGCAGACGCGCCTCGAGAATCATGGCTGAGATGGAGGCGCTCTGGGTCAGCCCCGAGGCGCCCAGGATAGGGACGTGGAGCTCGTACAGCAGCAGAATGGACTGGCTCCTGGTGAGCAGTGGGCGGACGCTGGCCGAACTGATTCCCTTTGGCGTCCATTCCTTCGACAAGGTCAGCCAGAGCCCGTATATCCAGAGCGAGGTCACGAGGGGGGTCTCTCTGGCCGCCAAGATGCACCTCGAGCATGCTGCCACGGGCATGCCGCCGTCCGAGTTCAGCCTGGAGACTGGCATCATTGCCGTCATGTACTGGGCCTGGGTCTTCAGCACGCGGCCCGAAACGAAGGCGACGGCGGTGCAGATCCTGCAGGACCTGGACAAGAGGGAGGGCCCGTGGGATGCTGACGAGATCTTGTCATCTCTGCCCAGCGTGGTCACGCCGCGTCTGCTCGTCAGCTAGCCGACTACCTTGGAGGGGATCCTGCTATGCGGCCGCACACCGGCTGCTGCTCGCGCCTGATGGACAGAGACCAGGGAACAACATCGGACAGGGCTTGTGCGAGAGTTGCTGGCGGACGCCGCTGCCTGGCCCTGGCTGGACTGGAACAAGACTGCTGGCTCATGAACCTGTGGCCAAGTAAACAGCGTGTTGTGACGACAGACGTCACTGCCACGATGTAAGCCATGGAACTTCTTGATCGGTCCAGACGCCTTGAGGGTCTGACCGGGCTGAGATGGACCGCAAGTTCTGCCAAGGTAAATAGCATATTGGGTGTCTTGTGTCACTGCCATTGACTATCCACCTCTTGTGGCATGATGTAATATTCTGGGCCCTGCTTCTTAGATACTTGCTCGCCTTGTGGATTTTTGAGGTTTCTATTCTTTATGAAGTTCTCGCCAATGCCTAAATGAGCCCTGCTTCATTGAATTCAAACAAGAACAACACCAGTCTCTTGTGTGCTTGTGCTGTACTGCATCTCCTCACGGCAGAAATGCAACAGAATTACGTAGTGCTCCCTGTCGAGTCGCCCGTGACCAGTACGGGCTGACACTGCCGTCAGCGCCTCGAGCAGTTCGTTGTGCCATAAAACGGCCCTCGGCTGATTTTTGAGTAACCTCGCCAAGATCAAGGCTTACATACGGAGTTAGCTGAATGTGACCGCCCAACCTTGCACAAGAGAGATGTCCGGGCCAACAACTGAAGGGTTCCTCTCCCTCTCCTTCAAGATGCCTAGTCTGGTATGCCAGCCATCACGAGAAGCTCAGAGCGGCTCCGTCATTGCTTGTCAAACGACCCAAATCGCCCGAGCTGCGGTGCGATATCTGCCTCCGCAACAAAGACACCAAAGCCAGCGTCTGTAGCAGCCCGTCACGGGATAGACGGGCCATCGGCATCGGCAGACAAGCCTCTCGTGCCACTTGCACCCTCTCGCTGAGAACTAAGTCGAATGTACTCGGCCTCTTGCGTTTTGCCGACGGCGCCGCCCGCCCACCATCGGCATCGGCTGCATCTCGAAGAAGAGAATGCCGTCCTGTCCAACCAGCATGAAACCATTTCTACACGCACTCATCACCAACCACGCCCGACGGCCCACACCCACGACGAGTCTCGCCGGTGTGGTTGGTTCGCCTCGGTAAACGAGTCTTGAAGGTTGGTCGCTCCGGCGCCGTCGGCATGCGTGACAAGGCACAGGGACATGCACGAGGCCAAATCAACAACACCAGTGGGCAGATGGTTGAATCAAGAGAATCATCATGCCACGCTGCGGACGTGGCACGCTTGAGACAGGACAGAGCCAGGCAATCCGCTGGCTTTCCTCGAGCTATATAATCTGCTTCACGGCCCTTTGCCTCCCGGGCTTTCTCTGAAATTGTCCACACGACGACTCGCTCGGAAATACGTGCTCCCTCAAACAACATGTTCAAGTCTACTCTCATCTCCGTCGCCGTGCTGGCGATTGCGCCTCTCGTTCTGGCCGACAACTGCACCGGAGGGTTGAGATACTGCGGCAGCAGCCTCCTCAAAAAAGGCATCCCCCCCCCGTTCTCGTCGACCTTGACAGGCGCCTGACTAACCATACTGTGGGATTGTGTAGGAAGATACACAGATCAAATCAACCAGGCGCTCATGGTCGCGGGCCAGCCCACCTCTTATGACCACGTCCAGAAGTCCATCTTTTATTGCCTCGGTGGACCGAGCGGCTCCATCCAATACGAGACCTACTGCTCTGGCTCTTGCCAGGACAACGGCAAGGGCAGGGATGACACCTGTGCTTAACAAAGGGCCGTGAGTCGTGGGCGAACGGATAGGCCGAGTGTTTCCGGGCCATGATCGGCCGAGCTGCGCGATTCAGGGCACGCCGGGACGGAAGGGAGGCCTGGGGTTTGCAAAAAAGGAAATTCTCAACTTGCCGGGCTCTGCCTTTGAGAACCTTGCAGTAGTCACATGGTCTGCCGTTGGTGTATTGGTGTACTTGCTGAGACTACTGCTTCCAGAAAAAGAGCCACCATGACGAGCCCCGCGCCTGGACACGGGCACGTGGCTGGCTGCGTGGGTCTGATGAGCCTGTGCTAGGAGAAAAGATCTTTCTTTGGATGGATTTGTGACTTTGACTCTGGAATGGGCAGCATGTCGGCGGACCGTCGTCGAGTCTATGTCGGGGCTTGTAGGAAGCGTATGGATACGTGTAGCCCAGAACTGCCTTCATTCGTCCTATCCCTTAGCTGTCTAGTGTCATTAAAGGCCCGTTTTGCCACGCTTGACTCATGGCTTGTGTTGCGGTCGGCCGTCGTGGGTGCCCAGAATAATCTCCTCCGTAATATGGTAGCTAGCCTGCTTCGGTGTATGTTATGGCCGATGTGATCAAAACAGGGTGCCGCCTCAACCAGAGAACGGCGAGCCGGATGAAGAAGACAGTGATGCCATATTCCGCCGACTAGCCGCATGGTATGGACCAGCTCCAACGTTTGGGTTTCCACCAAGGGAGATGGATTGCTATACAGTCTGGGAGCAAAAAATGGGCTAGGTGTGGCATTACGAGGAGGTCGGGGCTGATGAGAAGCGACTGTTTAAAGCTAAACAGGGATAAGAAGTGTTTGAATTTTCTGCAAAATCTGCCAAGAGTCAAGGCACCATCCTCGTTGATTTTGTGGCAAGGGCTCACATCACAGCCGTGTGGGATGAGGGCTTGGAGCATCATGCAGCTCAATACGTCACGTAACACGCTCTGGTATCAAAGAAGGTCCTTGACTTTCCAAAAAAGGTCCTTGCGACCACAGGCTTTTATTTATGCACCAGCCTTCTGCCCTAAGTCTCGTGACCGTAGTCCTTGCGTCAATACATCCATGTAATATATAGTTGAAATTTTCTACAAGAAGCGAGGAGAAATTCAGACGAGTAGAAAGCTCTTCATGTACACTCGAGCACGAGTGCCTCAGGTCGTGCAGGGCATGAACCACGTGTCCAACAACGATCGGGAAGCTCCAGAGCCAGGCTCGCGTCACTTTCTTAGCGGCCATTACCGTAGCACGGCGCTGCAACGGGACGAGGGATATTTAGAAGCCCGCGCAGGGGTGGTGGTATATTGATCAGGGCCATGGCTCAGATTATCTCTACAGACCGATCGTCCCGGTAGTCGGAGTTCTTGGCATTCTCTTCCATCCGAGCAAGCCGCAGCTGGCGCTTCTTCTGCTCGTTACGACGGTACAGGAAGAGCCCGGCGGCGGCGACGCAGGTGGCGCCGAGGATGGCGCCGATGACGGCTCCAGCCAGGGCGCCGCCCTTGAGGCCGGGGCCGCCGCCTCCCGTGCCGGCCGACTTGCCGGGTTGACCGGCGCCCTTGTTGATGTTACCGGCGTAGTTGTCGTTGTCCTCGCCGGGCTCAGTGGCGTTGAAGCAACCCAAGACGCCGTTGAAGTCGATGCTTTCGACGTAGGTGATGTCGGCACAGGCGTAGAATGTCTGATTGTGGGGAGCGTCCCAGTCTGCCCGGTAAATGATCTGGAGAGTCGCGTTGGTGCCCGCGGCGACGTGGGAAGGGGCATCGGGCAGCCGAGCGCAGGTGTGGCCGGGGTCCAGGTCGCTGATGTCGGCTGTCTCGACGAGAACCTCAAAGTCGGTGTTCTTCTGGGGATCTGGACGCGTCGAGAGGCCTTGTCAGTTTCGACACTACGAGTACACGGCTGGGAAGATGGACCACCTTGCGGTCGTATCTGCGTGTCTGGACAGGGAGGATCCACGTACTATTGGAGTATGAGATGCTGATTTTGCTGTTGTAAGAATCATCTTGGAGAACAAGAGCAGCGTAGCCCCCCTCTTAGAGCGAGTCAGCAAGATTCAAGAGAGGTGACGCAGTACCGGATCGTATACGCAGCAGCTAGCTCGTATATGGGTACAGAGCGGCGAGTAGTTCAGGCCGTGTCTGGCTGTGCAAGACTTACTGAGCGGGAAGGGTGTCCTCTCTCCCGGGCCAGCGGCAGAGCCGCAAGGCGGCTGGTTGTCCATTTCGCCCGACCACGGTCTATCCGGGGGCCACAGAAAGGCAGCAGGTCCCATCTTGTCACTCGTCACGCTGGCCGTTGACGGGTTGCTGGGTTTCGGCTCGCTCTGGGCACTGGCGGCCGAAGCCAGGGCCAGGCCCGCTCCCACGGCGATCCTGGTCAAGTGCATGTCTATTGTCCAAGTGGCAGACGCTAACGAGCTGGATCTGGATGGAGGAAAGTGCCGTGTGATGGGGAGTACATTCAGAGGCTCGGAAGACAGAAAGAAAGAAGAAAAAGGAACAGGTAAAGAGGGGCATGACACTCGGCCGCCTTATGTAGGCAAGACATCGTACCAACCAGCCCCCAGAGAATAGGATTTGCAGAAAATTTTCCATCCTTCTTGGGCACGACGGAGCATGCGGGCCTGTTGATAATACTCGGAATTAAACTACGGTATCCGAGAAGCCCGCAGCGCGATAGTATGCGATTGGATGAAGAGCGTGGCCCTAGCTACAAAAGGAGCGGGAGAAATGACGAAACCGGGCAACCATGAGGCATTAATCCTGCGGGATGACACCGATTTCCCGGTTGGGTGCGAGTGATGGATCAGATAAGATGCCACACTTGCCCCTCTTCGTACTTGTCTTGCCATAGGTGGAGCTTGTTGTAAGCTTGTTGCAAAGAATGGTGATCAATATATACTTGGCAGGCAGGGATGCCGTGGAGCGTCGACGGTGAGTGTGGGCTGATGGCGGGCTCGCCGCCAAGACATCAGATCAGATGGTGCTGCTCTGTTGGCCACGCATTTGCCTCCGGGACGTCCAGAATTCAGAAATATTGGGCGTGTGTGTGGAGAAAGGAGCAACGCGGCGCCTCACAGCATGTCTGTGTATACCTGGGTTTATATGTCTACACGTCCCCTGCGGCGGGAAAATCCTCGGATCAGATAAGATGTAACGACCAACCGACTAATCGTATCATTTGCAGTGTCCCAACAGACAGAATTCCACATTTCTTTCGGTGGAGTCATTTATCATAAGCAGGAGCGCAGCACACGTGCTTCCATAAGTACAGTAAACTAGGTCTATAACGATATCCTTCGTGAGCAATTTTTTATTGTTATAACCTAACTATAGGGATTATATTGCTAAGATGCGACTACTCTTTTAGGAAAGAGCTCTATATAGCTCTACTTTTGTTAGTACAATAAGGCTAATAAGGCTAATAAAGCTTAATAAGAGATTTTAGGGGGAGTAAAGTAGTATGTAATTATAAACTTATATATATTAATAAGCAATATTTATAAGAAAAATCACTACAAGTTAGAAGTTACTTTTATATATATAATATATAGGAAAGGTACTTTACGCCTAGGCGTGTGTGCCGAATCGCTATAGCAGGGGATCGTTATAAACCTGCTTTACTGTATTTGACATCAATTGCTTGTCGCCGCTTCGTCCATGTGACCGACATGCAACTTGGGGTAGGAGTACGTACATAGGGCTGGCCGGCAACCCCTACTACGAGATAGACGTGTGGTGTCCGTTTCCGGAAGACAGAGAACTCAAAGACACGTGTTAGGGCCATGGTTACCTGCTTTATTTTTGCCTCGTTGCTCGGATGAACCGTAGATCATGGACGTGCGTCTCACGCATCGCAGTAGATTAATCAAATACCGCACTGTGTCCTTTGCAAACACCAGGGCGTCTCACCGTGTGCCGTCCACACTGTGTTGAATTCTCCTGCATCGCCGTGCGTCGACAGAATCGCTGTCGCTGGTTCAAGTAGAGGTCAGTTCTTGTCGAAAGCCTATTCCCTCCTCCTCCTCCTCCTCCTCCTCCTCCTCCTCCTCCAGCAACCCTGTGTCCAGACCAGCCAAGGTCAGAGGCCGATTCGGTCCTGCTCCCACAGGTGAGCACGAATATTGCGCGCAATCGACGGGTTCCAAGTGTTTACGGACTGACGCCTTGCTGTAGCTAGACGGCCCGGAACTGCCCCCTTTCAACTTCCGGGGCCCTCAAAACATCAAGTTCACCCAGCACATCGGAGAGGGCCTCTGTGCGCGCGTCTTCAAGGTCGAAATCTCGGGCTGTTGTACGCCTCGAAGCTGGTTGACAACCAAAACGTCTTGGGAGAAGCGACGACGCGAAGTAGCTGAACGGTAGTTTCGGTTTCCCCAGCGACTACGCCTGGGAGGGACCGCCGACACCAGCAACCGACAAGGAGGATCGGGACTGCGAATTGTTTTCCGCCCTCTGCAACCGTGGGCAGTCGGGACCCTTTTACCCGCGAGCTCCGTGCCTTTGGGCGCCGCCAGGAATCAGGCCACGACGCGGTGGCACTCAAGTGCTACGGCTACGTCTTCCTTGACGAGACGCACGAGCGCACCATGATATGATGGCTCGGTTTCCCCCCCAGCCACGTCTGGCGAGGGCCTGGACTTTAACGGATCCGGCAACGACCCCGGACGGGGGACGACCCGCGCTCGCGCTTCCCGGGAAAGCGCGTCAGGCCACCGCCCATTCGAGGCATCGTCCAGGAGTTGGGCGTGGCAGACGAGGACAACTTGCGGCCGGCGGTTGCGCGCAGCATCCTGCGCGGCATCATCGGCATGGACGTCATGGACGTCATGGACATCATGGACGTGCAGATCGTCATTGGCAAGCTGTGCGACTTCATTCAGCACCGCCGTCACCACTCCTCACATTCTGACGAGTCCGAGATCAACCCGCATCTAACGGCCGACATGGTCTCACTCCTGAAGCCCGCGGCTTTGTCCATGGCGCTAGGAGAATGCAGAGGTTTCGACGACATGATACGGGAGTGGGACCTGTTCGCGGACAAGGCGCGCAAGATCTCCGTAGCCGCGTTCTCCGCGGACGTGGCACTGAGCTGCGGTATGATCTGAGAAACAAGGCGGCAGAGGCGCGTATTTTCACCCATGTTGACCCGAGGTCGCATGACTGGAGGGTGCGCGGGGCGCATCTGGAGAAACGACGGCGTCGGTCGGCACGCGTATCAAACGGTCGGCGGCGCGAGGGCTCTGTGCGACGGGGAGCTCGTCCCGCGGACACGCACAAGACTGAAGTCTGGCCATATTTGTGGCATTTTGATCGCCGATTCCGCCCGATTGTCGCGGACAAGCTGAGGGCTGGCAAGCCTCCGATGCTCCGATGGTCCGGTTATATTGATGCCTGGCTAAAAGACGGCTTTCTTGTCCTGGGGATTCTGACTACTTGTGGAGATGCCATTTCAGGGATCCATAGCTCGTAGCATAGCAAGGGAGAAACGTCACATACACCTAGCGTGATTCCGATCCTGTCAATGCGACTCTCTCAAGCAAAGACAAAGACCAATGGAGGCGGCCCAAAAAGGGGATCCTCCCAAAGCAATGCCCGTCGTACGCAGTAGTGGCGTCGGGAGGAGGGCGCTCCTCGTACTGGCAAGGAGGTGGTCATGGGTCAATGATGAAGACATGAAGAAAACACCTGGGTGTGCCATGGGCTCAGTCAGCAATGGCAGAGTCTCTTCTATTTGTCTATATTCATCACCTACAAGCCCCCCTTGGCCTTCAACTCCTCATGCACTTTCTTCTGCTTGTCCCACATCTTCTTCAAAGACTTCAGCTGACTCTTTGGCACATCGCTGCCGTCCTTCATTTTGGTTGGCATGCCCGCGTCATCCCAAGCGCTGTACCGCTCATCCTTTTTGAACATTTCCTCGGGAGGCATCTTGGCCTTTTCCTTGGCCTCTTGCTCCGCCTTCTCGCGCGCAATCCTCGCCTCTTCCTTCTTCTGGGCCTTTTCGGCCTCACGTGCTGCCTTCTCTTCCCTTGCGCGGATGAGTTCCGCAGCAGGGATAAACTTTATGAGTGACGGCTGATTATCTGGGCGGTCATCAAGATAGACGCCAAGATTGGCCAGGTCGAAGTCACGGATGCGGTCGGTAATGGTGAGAATGGCCTTTTTGTTTTCCGTGCTTTGAGACGAGATCATGCGGCGAAGTTCATCCCGGATTTGGGACACTGCACGAATGTAGGGGAGAGATAGTTTCTCCATGTCCCGGGTACCGCTGGAGGCGATGGACTCGAAGTCTGTGGAAGGGTCCTGGGACAGCCGGTTGGAGAGTGTGTCGCTGCAGAGCGAGAGCTTAGACACCTCGCTCTTCACAGCGTGGACGACTTCAGCATAAGGCTGGACAGCCTTCCTCGGGTCAATATCAGCCGCCATGGAAGGTACCCAGCCTAGACCGTGATAGGGAGGGCTTGCGTTGGAATCTAGACCAAAGATGCCTACAATTTTGGTGATCCAGCGGGCAATGGCCTCGACGTGGGCGAGATCTACGTCCTTGTTGTTCTTGACAAAGACATTGGTAGTGTTGACCAGCTTGAGAAGAACCAGCATAGCTCGAGGGGTATCAAAGGAGTTGATGAGCGCGGCCTCAAGCTCCTTTTTGGCCAAGTCTAGGTCGGCAAGGAGCCCAGTAGCCGGAGTGTCTTGACGAATGGACAGGCTCTTAACGCCATCACCGACGCTAGCATCCATGATCCAAGACTTTGTATTTGTGAAAAAGTTCTACCGGCACGTTAGTATAAAGCTGCGCGCAAGGGTAAATGTAAACGCACACTAATGGCGGACTCCCAGGTATCGGCCTGAGACCGCAAGTCAGGCGAGATTTCGACGCCATCGTTCCACCTGCCCATAAGGAAGACGATCCGCATGCTCCTGGCGGTGTATGTGGTGGCGAGTGCGTCTGCAATAGTCTCGAAATTCTTGAGAGATTTGGACATTTTTGATCCTGAAATCGACAAGTGGCCCATGTGAAAGAAATAATTTACCCACGTGTGCTCGCCCTTGCCGGGCTGGCAAAAGTATGCCTCGCTCTGAGCCAATTCGTTATCGTGGTGAGGAAAAGCCAAGTCAACGCCACCGGAGTGAACGTCCATGCGCGACCCCAGGATATCGGACGCCATGACGGAGCATTCGATGTGCCAGCCTGGTCGGCCATCACCCCATTTGCTAGGCCAATAAGGCTCACCGGCCTTGGACTTCTTCCATAGGGCAAAGTCGCCGGCGCCACGCTTTCCGCCGAGGTTGGTAGACAGGGAACCCTCACCCTCCTCCTGAAGGGCCTTGTCGTTTTTGCTTTCCGGTCTTAAACGAGCATAGGTGTAACCGGCTTTCTGAAAGGCTGCAATGTCAAAATAAACTGAGCCTTCGGCTTCATATGCAAAGCCCTTGTCGACGATTTGTTCCACAAACTTGGCTATTTGAGGCATGTACTCGGTAACACGGGTGATGACGTCGGGTCTGAGAACATTCAGATTGTCCATGTCCTCAAAAAAGAGAGCCTCCATACGCTTTGTCAGATCCGTAAATATAGACTGGTCACTGGTATCGATTGTCTCCTTGTGTAAGGAGTCAAGGTAAGGTAGGAGAACTTCATCTGCGTCGGGAAAGATGGCATTCTTTTTCAGGGCCTCAGCAGCGGCATTCATGTTGCCGATGTGCATCTTGATCTTCGTCTCGGCATCGCCAGGCTTGCCCTCACCAGCGAGCGTGCCTCCGGAGAGCACTCGGCCGTAGGCTGCATCCCGCTTAGCAGTGTAGTTGATCTCATCCAGTTTGGATGCTTCAGCGAGGAGAGGCAAGTTTTTCGACGCATACGATTGGAAGGCGGCAAGACCAAGGGCCTTGACTTCGTCCTGGGAGTACGGCTTTTTCTTTTCGAGGTGTAGAAGTCGTTGTCGCCTAGCCTTGATGATAATCTGCAGAGGTCAGCTTGACAGGAATCATGTATGGGCAGCGGGGTTCGAACCTTGTCGTCAACGTCAGTCATGTTCATCACATACTTGACGTTGAAGCCAAAATAATGCATCATTATACGACGAATAATATCGCTGGCCATGTAGTTTCGGGCATGACCAAGATGGCTCTTGTCGTAGACTGTAGGACCGCACACATACCAGGAGACCTTGCCAGGCTCCATAGGCACGAAGGGTACAGGAGGGCCTGGCTTGAGTGAATTATGAACTTTTAACGAGTCCATGATGGCGGTGGTATATTTTTTACGAAATAAAAAGAAGTTGTACGGGGTGGTGGCAGGGGCAGGCACGAATCTCGGACGGCGGGCGACGCGCAAACGATGCATTCAGAGTGGCGGACCCAGAAGAATTAGGTAGCGAGAGAGGCTGGGCACGACAGAGTCATGACCAGTGCTTGTTGCTACTTGATCAGTCGTCGCCGGCCGGTGGTGGTAGAGTTTCGCGATCTCGGTCGGCAGTCGGGGTCGAGATCGAGGTTGAGGTTGAGTCACCACGACTTGCAACGTTGGCAGGTACGTACCCAGTACGTTCCTAAGTTCTTGTACATAGATGCAGCCAATAGTGCGTGCGGTACTAGTAGGTACGTTTGAATCTGGTGATTGAACGTACTGATACTCCGTACTGAGTAGGTATCTCGCAACTTGTAACAGTCTGGTGGGGCCACCCGACGCCCCACCTTGGAGTGAAGATGGAATTTTGATCTTCGAAAATCGACATTTAGAAGTATCAAATTTGCCGGGTTTGACTGCAACAATTGACGGCCACTTCCATTCCACCCAACTCGCTAAACTGGCACTCTTGAGCCTCCGGTTAGCTGAAATAGCTATGGAGAAGCTCGCCAATGCTCGGCCGTCGCCGTTTCTTGAGCCTACATCAACAACAACACCAAATACCCTGGCAATCATCAGTCTCTCCAAAGAACACTTCCAGCCCATCACTCTGCAGGAATCAGCTGGCGCCGTGGACGGATATGCGGAAGGCGTCACCCTTAACACAAGATTTGGCTCGTTTCCGCATTCCACATTACTCGGCCTTCCTTGGGGCTCGCAAGTCCGAGCCTCCGTAGTCGACACAGGGTCTCGGGGTCGCAAGCGCCGCCGAGACCAAGTCGAGGACGAAGAGACACCCACTTCCAATCAGGATGATGGCAACGATACGCCGCCATCTTCGGCGCCGGCGAAAAGGGCCATTGCCGCTTCCAGCGGCTTCGTTTACGTGCTCAGACCGACGCCAGAGCTGTGGACGAGCAGTCTGCCTCATAGAACACAAGTTGTCTACACTCCTGATTACAGCTATATCCTGCAGCGAATCAGGGCTCGGCCCGGCACCAGAATCATCGAAGCAGGAGCTGGTAGTGGAAGCTTTACACATGCCTCAGCGCGCGCAGTTTACAGTGGTTACCCCGAGTCAGATTCAGATTCAGACGCGAGGGGCAAGGTGTTCAGCTTTGAGTTCCACAAGCCTCGGTTTGAAAAGATGGATGCCGAAATCAAGCAGCATGCGCTCCAAGGAATAGTCCAAGTGACACACAGAGATGTGTACGAAGAAGGGTTTTTGATTAATGGCACATCCCCCCAGGCCAGCGCCATCTTTCTGGATTTACCGGCTCCCTGGGAAGCTCTGCATCACTTGGCGCGGCGCAAGACGCTCAAGGGGGGCAAGCTTGATGAGCATTCCGGCGACTGGGAATCGCCATTGGATCCAAACAAAAGCGCGCATATTTGTACCTTCTCGCCATGTATCGAACAAGTGACGCGGACTGTCACGGAGCTGCGAACCTTGGGCTGGACCGATATCGACATGGTTGAGATTGCGCACCGCGGGTTCAACATCATGAGAGACCGTGCTGGAGTCAGTATAACTAGCGAGAAAGGCTTCAGCGCTCAGCCTGCTGATGTTACAGAGGCTGTCAAAAAGCTCAAGAGCGATCTGAAGCGGACCCAAGACTTCCACAAAGCCCAATCGTCGCAGCTAGTCTCGGATGCGTCAGAGTCCAAGATGGATGTTGATGAATCCACACCCGAATACAATGGCGGAAACTCGAGAATTTCGACCAAGAACGAGGATCCGCTGTGGCTTCAGGGCAGGCTTGTCCACCGTACGGAAAACGAACTCAAAACCCACACGTCGTATCTTGTATTTGCCATTTTACCCTGTGAATGGGACGACGCTGCGGAGGAGGCAGCTCTAGCAAAGTGGCCCTGCGGAGGCGAAAAGAAAACGATTGGAAGCTTGGACAAGCAGGCGCGAAAAGAGGAGAAAAGGGAGATGATGGCTGGAAAAAGGCAAAAAAGGACTAGAACACATGATACCCAGACAGCTTGATGGAATCCCTAGTGGAGCCAGCCAAACAAAACATTTCTCGTCAATGACAAGCCTCTATCGGCTTGGGCTTGATAACTTTTCTCCGCGTCCTGGTATTTTGCCCAAGATGCCTAGTCCACAGGACGAAATAGATACTGAAGAGAGCGAAAACGAATACATGCGGCCACAAAGGCTGGTCCCCATCGGGCGTCTTCCTCCACAGAAGCCAGGCCTCTCCTCCCAATTCCACCAGCAGTTGAATTGTCCCTGTGACCGGCAACACGGGTCGAAGAACCGCTGCTCCACCGAAATACGCATACATGAGAACATGGTGGAATGCGTTCAGTGCAGCGACTACTCTCCACCCCTGACGGTAGCACAGCACGCGGCTGTAGGTCAAGTATGGCGTGGTGAGGTGATGGACTGCAAACAAAGTGCAGGTCGATGTCACCGCCGCCAGCTCGAACGCCTAGTACATCGACATATTCGTAAAACTTGGACACGTGATAAAGCCTTCTTGTTATGTGATGGTATTGCGGCACGACCATAAGGACAAGAAGAGCTGCTGAAACCAAAGAATAGAACCTGCTGTTGAGCGTGACGGCCTTTCGAGCCGCCGCAACGGGCCTGCGACGTGCGACATGGCGATGAACAAGTGACCAGACGAATACGAACGCCGCAGTTTGCAGGAACATGTAATGCAGAGTCATGCTTGAAAAATCTGGAACAAGATGATATTTTTGTTCCCCAGTGGTGACGTTTGCGCTTGGTAGGTGACAACTATGATGGTATGACTCATACCTCACCCAAATTACCATCGCGAATGACATGACAGAATTTGAGTAATCCTTCACGTGTTGTAGGACTACGAGTTGGCGTGGCTATATCCCGGCTCTTCATCCTGCAAGCGGACTACAATCTTGCCACTGGCTTTACCCTCGCCAAAGCCATTCAGGGCCGTGACTAGGCTTTCAAATCCGGTTCCATTATACAATTGATACTCCGATGGAGCAAGACACCATTGACAATGTGTCCCTGCGGAAAATGCATCATCTTCTTCGTCTCCTCGCTCACATGCTTGCCCAGCTCATCATCTTGACCTAGTTTTCCGATGAGAACGTAGTACCAAGCAACACCAGCCGGCATGACGTAGCGGTTTCTAAGCTGGTCAGACTCGCGTGCAAGGCGAAAGGAAACTGGCGACGCTTACGCCTCAGACGAGTGAAGTGCTTGGGGCTAGCGGCAGTTGCTTCCAGCATCTTGGCGGCGGCTTCGTTAGAGAGAGCGGTAGCGTCGAGGACGACGGAGTATTTCCCTGCGGTAATGGCACGATTGTCAATGGCGGCTTGGGCGCCAAAGCCCCTTCCGCCTTGAACACATAGTCCTCGTCGACCAGAGAGGTCTCCTGAAAAGGGGAGTAGGGTCTCTGTGCAAGTCGACATTCGCCGTGGACATGATCGTTTTTCTTAAGCTCGGTACATTCCGAGCCGGTCTCGATGACCTGAGCGCAAAAGTCGGAGCCGAGAACAGCAGGCCAATCAAGAACTAGAGTGCCGTATTTTCGCACTGCGGTTTCACTGGTTCCCCGAGGATTCAGCAAAGACCCTGGAGGCTCCAAGGAAGACGTCCTCTGTGCCGACAAGACAATGACGGGAGCAAAAAGGCTGAAGAGGCCCACGGCATTTGCCCTTCTGCGCCGTCATCATCCACCACCACCTCTCGACCTCAAAAAGGCGTCATGGTCAAGCAGCCGTCAAGGATGAGACTGACGGCCCCCTCAGTCTCGAACTGGGACCGGGTGAGCAACATAGCAGCTCCGAGGAGTATTAGACCGCGAGAAGAGCTGAAACGGAGATGTTTCGTAGCTTGCTCGTCACGGAGCAGCAGCGATGCCATCCAACCAGGATGCCGCCCCACCCCCAGCGGAGCGGATGAATAAATGACCCGCCAGGAGTGAGTACCAGAGAACCTTTGGATAGTATCAAAAACAATCAAGCATCAGTTTGCCCCTCAATCGTCCAGGTAAATTTTCAACGCCCGCACTTCTGGGGAATCCCGAGAACAAGCCTCAAGATCCCAGACGCGACACCTCAAATATAAACAGGCACGTCAAAAATGACGTCCACAATAGGCATCCCAATCAAGCTTCTCAACGAGGCGCAGGTCTGTTCGACGTGACCATCGCCGTCTCTCGCAGGCAGACTGATAAAGTCGTACTACAGGGCCACATTGTTACGCTGGAAATCACCAACGGTCAGACGTATCGTGGGAAACTGCTCGATGGTACGCTGCCCCCTCCCGGACCACCCTCGCTTGGCGCGCAAAACGGGCACATTCTGTACATCGTACTGACGCGGCTCATAGCCGAGGACAACATGAACGTCCAGCTCAAAGACATAACGGTGACGGCTCGCGACGGCCGCGTATCACACCTGGAACAGGTGTACATCCGGGGCTCTCACGTGCGGTTCTTCATCGTGCCCGATATGCTGCGCAACGCGCCCATGTTTAGAAGCAGGAACTTGAGAGGACGGGGTGTCGGCCTGGCAAGGGGAAGGGCGACTGTCAGTCGTGCTAGAGCCGGCGGACGCCGATAACACGCTGCTGGCGTAGCTTTGACGGGCTTTGTCGGGCGAACGGGGGGCGGACAGCGTGGACGACGTGGTTGACGTGAAAATGCTACTGGGACCGGCGTTTGGGATTGATTCATGGAGACTTGCCGTCTTCGTCTGCGGAGCTGAGGGCCCATGTGTCGGAGGCAAATGGTCTAGATACGATGACAATGTGCTTTTCTACGAAGACAAGTGTCGCTGGTGTACAGATCTATTTCATGCGAGCCAGTGCGTCTTCTGCCCTAGCCACGAGTTCCTTTGTGGTTTGCAAATCCTTGGCGTCCCCAACACCGTCTGCCCCATTGCTTGCGTTGCTCTCTAGAACCGTGGCCGCGCTGCTCTCTGCTCCGCGTACGGCCTTGCGCCCCTCTTCGCGGACTTCGCCTTCCCAAAAGGTCCTCGCGGCATCCCACCTCTTCTGTAATCTTCCGAGGCTGTAGACGATTCCCAAAGCGGCCACGGCACCCGCTTCGTAAATGGTGGGCGCAATCGATGACAGGTACAGAAGAGCGGCCAGGGAGGTGGTTATGCCGGACGTGCCTAGGGATTGGGCCACGAGTCGCTGGGCAAGGGACTGCAGCGCTGGCACGGTTTCGTTCTGTAGGTAGCGGCGAGTGAATGCAATGTGGCCAGGCCACTTTGGAAGAGAGGAGGACGATGTCGCAGTCAAGGGGGGCGCGGGTTCGCCTGGGCTGAGCTTTCCAGACTTTGTAGCATCATCCACGGACGACTTGGGTTGGGGGTACTCGGGCGAGGCGCCGCCCAGCTGGGCGATTCTGCCGGCGAGGTAAACCAGTTCCTGTTCTGCCGTGGGCATGAAACGCTGGCCGAGCAACTCGTTGGTGAGCATGGCGACATCATCTACCCTCCAGAACAGCTTCCACCAGCCCAGCTGGCGCCATCGCCGACCCCCAAAGGCGAGATCCAGCTCATCCCGCAGCTCGGAGTGGGCGTTTTGTGCCCAGTCGGCAAGGTCCTTGTTCAGAGCTGCCACAGCTGGGTCGTCGCTCCGCAGCGTCAGTGCCTTGGATAATTTTCTTGCCTCGGCGAGCTGTATTTCCGAGGAGGCGCTCTGCAGCACTGCGGCAATGAGCCTTCGCACAGCCGGTTTCGTCCCATTGGCGGCGACCGGCTTGGCCCCAAGCTTGAGCCATTTCAGCAAGACAGGCAGATTGCTTGAGAACCACAGTCGTTCGTAGTCCATGGCGTTTTGCGGGCCTTGACGAAACAGGCTGATGGCCTTGTCGGCCAGCGACACGTCCACAACGTCAAAGGCGGCCTGGAGCTGTTCCTTGGTCACGCCCGCGATTTGAACAACCGCCGCGATGGACTCGTCTGTTCGGGAGACGGGAAGAGCCGACACGCTGACGGCGCCCATCAGCCCGTCCGCAACAAGAAGTGCCTGGTGAACAGGGGTCGAAATCGGCGACACCCTGTCATTTGCGGACGGGATGTTGACGGTCGGTACCAGGACTGCGTCCTCGAGTGCTTGGATAGAGACCTCGCCGGGCGCGCCGTACGGCACATCGGCCCCCATGAGGAGGAATTCGAGCTTGTAGCCGTCCAACTCGGGAGACGAGACATGCATCTCATCCAGGCCAACCGCCTTTTCAATCTCGAGAGACACGGCGTGTTTCTGAGGAGGGCCGACTCGCACAATCAGCGGTTTGTTCTGGTGTCGGTTCTCCAAGGCCTTTTCCCACGGCTGTTCTTCCTGCAGTGGATCCGCGAGCAAGGCGCGTAAGATTCTCCGCGCCGTGGTATCAACCTCGGTGCCGTTTGCGAGGCCTATAATAGCAACGCGGATAGTCTCGGTACCTGCATCTTGTCGCAGGCCTTGGATCGCCAATTGCAGCCTGGATAGATTGACAAGATTGGGCGACTGATTCTGGAGCTCGAGAAGCGTGGCTTCGAGCTCAGTTCGCGGGTTTGTCGATGTCGAGAGGAGTCGTCGCCGTGCAACATGCGGCTCGTTTCGCGGCCGAGGACGAAGGCGAGCCAGCCGTGTGGAACGCGCACAGATTTGACACGGGGACACACTTAGATGCCGTGCTTGAGGGAGGAGACGCAGACGCAGACGGAGACGGCGTGCGCTGCGTGGCAGCAAAGCTGACGAGGGCGCCATCAGGAGCCGGGCATTGTTTGGAAGGTTGTCGAGCTGGTGACTTTTGGATGGGAGCTTGCAGATGGGATTTGTGGAGCTTCTCGGGACAGCTTTGAACTCTCGTGTGCTCGGGTGGCGGCGGGTCAATGAAGTTTCACATCCAACCCACCATCCATCATCCATCCATCCATCCGTCCTCTGTCAAGCTCTGTTTATTACTCGGTGGCAATTCAGCTATGCATTGCCATTGTGAGAAGAATCGCTTTTCTCTGGTCCACGAACGAGTCCTCGAAGCAGGTGTCGGGCTTCCGAACCCATGCTTACAAAGCAGATGATGAAGAACACCTGGAATTGGCACATCGAGGCGAACAAATTGCAGGCTTGGTTTTGACGAGTGAGGCGCCCAGAAGGGAGTGCCTGAATGATATAGATACAGCGTACCCTAAGATCGAGCTGTCCTTCAACTAGCATAGCACCAGGCTCCAACGTCATCTTCCCATCCCAGCCATAGGAGGCGCCGCAAAAGCCCCGTACTAGATTGAAACAGAAGACTGGCATACGGCTAGTGAACCGTTCCGTATTGTCGACCAACTGCCGGCTGGATATCTCCCGGAATCGTCCACTGTTGCCCAGCAACGCGTCGACATCACAGCAACCCCAAACCACCCGCTGGATGAGCTTCGCCGGTTGCTGTGTCACGAGCCTCGCGGCCATGCCGACATGTACAGCGGCTTCATCACACCCCCAGATGACCCCCGTGCACACTTTAGTGTGCTATTCTGGCACAAAGACGGCTTCTCCACAGCCTGTGGCCACGGGACCATAGCTCTTGGCTTTTGGGCGATATGCCATAGCCTCGTCAAGGTTTCTGCGGCCAACGAAACAGTCGATGTCGTCGTCGACGTGCCGTCGGGTCGAGTGGTGGCACGCATGGGAATAGAGCAAGGGATACCAATACACGCCGACTTCATCAACGTGACGAGCTTTCAGCTCGCAAAAGCCCTGTCTGTCACCGTAACTTCGTGCGGCGCGGACATGAGCGTGGATTTGGCCTTTGCCGGCGCCGTCTACGCCAGCGTAGACGCAGCTCAGGTCGGACTCAAGATCGAGCCCCATAACGCGGACCGCTTCATTCAGCTCGCTCGAGAAGTCAAGCGCTTGCTCGCCACAAGAGCCCACTACGGCTCGTACGACTGCTACAGAGTCATCTTCTTCAGCGACAAGGCGGATGGGCAGGACAACAAGCAGGCCATCACGCAGAGAAACGTTACTGTATTTGCAGACGGACAGATTGACCGTTCGCCCTGTGGCTCCAGGACCTGCGCTAGACTTGCCATCCTGCTGGCTCAGGGAAAGCTGGGCTCCAGGTGCTCGAAGCTTTTGCATCGCTCCATTATAGGGTCAGAATTCAAGGCCGATATTGTGTCCAAGGCACACAGCCCCGTCCAAGGATTTCCGGCTTGCATTCCACATGTAAGGAGTCAGGCCAACTTAGTTGGACGGATGAAGTTTTTCATTGACCCAGAGGATGACCTCTTTCCTAGCTTTCTGCTGCAATAGGCGCTGACCCAATGAGTATATTTTCCGGGTACCCGTTACACATTTGCCAGGCCTGTGTCAACTTAAGGCATACCAGACCTAGAAGGGCTTACTAGGTTGCTATTTATTTGCTGTGCATAGGCTGCAGAGCATATCGGTCAGCGTTTGTCGAGCGGAAATAAGCGAGTAGACTTGTCCGCAGCGTCCTTGATCCGGACACCACAACGCCAAGTCTACTGGCGTCGTCCCGGAACATGTGCCTAGAGACGACGGCTGATCAATCTGTGTCCTCATGTCCTCTCAAGCGGCGTCTTGCCCTCTGCGATACCTATGAGCTGCCTCGTGGCTTGTTTGGTAGCCGGGTCTCTGCACATGCCTTGTAATGACTAACATCATCTCTAGCCTATGTCAAATTCAACTAATAATAGACTCCCACAGCTATCGGGGGCCCTGAGAGAATCCCCATATATCTGCATATATCACACGGGGGCCTGAAAGAGATCTTCTCTCCTGGAGTGGACGGTTCCAGAACCGCCGTGTGAGTTTGTCCAAGGGAGACTGCTTGGGGGCAAACGGCGATCCAGAGCACAAACAACGCCGTGATCCGAACTGCAATCGTTGGGGAATCCCAGTAGTCACCCGGTGTTTTCTCAAATACTCCCACGACGCAGCCAGTCAAAGAAGAAACGCGCAAAGCCTCATCATGGGCAATGGCAAACCATGGACCGTCATTGACGCTGCCCCTCTGCCAATTATCAGGATGCCGCATCCTTTGAAAGCTAAAGGCCGGTATGGACTCCACATGGTTAAAGATTGTCGACGTAGGCTGCCGTGCCAGGTCGCTGACCATTGCCGTCAGTCACACCCGGAAATGGCCGTCCCACATGTGACATGGTGGTGCAACTTGATGATGTTGAGATGGTGAGGGAGTGGTCACCGCCATTGGCGCGGCTCAATCCATGCAAGTCTGAGTCGAGGAAATCCGCAAAGTCACCCAACACGGCTGAGGTCAGTTCCGTCTTGCGACCTACGTTTGCCTCCTGGTTGTCCTCGCGGCACCATCGCACAAAGTCGGCGCTTATAACGGCCCCCCGGACGCCCGAGCACTTGGACCGGCGTGGAGATGCCCAACGCTGATGATATTTCATTGCCGTGTCTGTTTCCAACAGAGGACCTATCTTGAAGACTTGTTCGAGCGTAATGTCCCTAGCTGAAGCAAGCACCCTGACCACGAACCAAGAGGTGACCCCGTCCGATGGTAAACGGGTAGTCCTTCATCTTCCAGCTCCACCACATGACGGCGTCCGGCACTCACGAGCCCAGATCACATTGCTGCTTTGCTATCCTCTTTTTTGCGAAGAGCCGGGCTTTACCGCAAGGCGCAATCACCATGGCTACGCAGCCGCCGCCAGGAACACGCCGATTCGAGATTTGCATCATCCATGCGCTGCCTCTGGAAGCCCGGTTCGTGACCGGCATATTGGACCACGTCCACAGAGCCGACGCCGGCGACCCCCTTACGGAAAGGTCGAGGCGATGGCAACGCCTACACCACGGGAAGGATAGGGTGCCACGATGTGGTCGCTGCACACATGCCCAGCATGGGCAAGGTACACGCTGCCGGCACGGCATGCGGGCTAGCCTCTACCTTTGAACATCTCAAGCTGGCCCTGCTTATGGGGATATGCGGCGCGTCCCTCAGAGACACTAATGGCGAGGACATCTCCCTGGGCGACGTCGTCATTGGCAAACACGTGGTTCAGTACGATCTCAGGCGTCGCTACTCTCACGCATTCGGGATGAAGGACAGTCCAAGCGAGGTCTTGGGGAGGCAGAACTCGGAGATCCGGGCGTCTGTGAGCAAGATAGAGTCGCAGAAGGAGGCTATCCGGGACTCGACGCACCGATATCTCGCCGAGTTGCTGGGCAAACTGGACGGACGCTCCGGTCAGCTTCTTGAGCACTCGATGCCCGAGGACACGAGAAGGACCGAGGCCCCGGCTCAGACAATCGGCAGGCCGGCGATTCACTTTGGAACAGTTGCCTCTGGCGACAGCGTCGTCAAATGCAGCCAAGTGCGCGACGCCATCGCCGAGCAGTCACAGGCCATCGCCTTTGAGGTGGAGGGCGCGGGCGTGTGGGTCTACGTTCCCTGCATCGTGGTCAGGGACGTCAGCGACTACGCCGACTGCCGCAAGGACAAGCAGTTCCAGGGCTATTCTGCGGCGTGTGCGTCTGCGTATGCGAGAGCCATTGTCGAACAATGGGTGGTGACGGAGACGCGGGAAAGCCGGACAGCTTCTACAACGAGCGAGGTGGGTTTGTTCTCCCATGCTTTCTTGCCATTTAGCATAGGCCTTGCCGCGCAGTTTAGGGGGAGGGGATGGCTTTGGAATCATTCCAAGCAGCCGCCGACTCGATTTGATGGATATACAACAGGTCAAGTTGCTGACGTTGCTGCAGAGGCCGGTTTCTTTCTTCAACACTGCAAGCCGAACAGTCAACCAGGGCATTACTCAAACGTTCTCCGGCCAAATCAACAATTTCTAGTCGCAGCAGGATCGCTGCTTCTCGGGAGCCCTTCTCGGATAGTCGGTGGGAGAAAGGGAAAAATTCAAATGACTAGACGTCCTGCTATTTCCGCTTCGGTCACAATCTCTGGAAAGGGAAGAAAAAAAAAGCCTGCTCCCTCCTTTCTACACACAGTGTCTGGTTTGCTGCTCATAGTATATTCCTCTGTTCCCTGTGGAAACTCTGATTATAGCCTTGATTGACGATCTTGGACATGTTGTTGTGGAAGGCGGCGCCCCCCTAGGTACGGTTAGACGGGTCAGAAACAGCTGGCTGCTTGCGGTGATACGCGGTTCCGACTTGGGAGCTTGTGGTGAAGAGAAGGACAACACGGAACCCGGGACATCCAGCCGGGGCCTTAAATGTGTAAAAGAATACCGCCGTAATCTATCCCCTTTGGTGTTCTTTCAAGGCCTCTAGCGGATTCGAATAATGTGGTGGCCCGTCAGGCCTCACACATGATACTGCTTGTTGGTCGTGAATCGACATGATGCATCCCGACCCTGTAGATACTACGCACCTAGGCTCCGACGCATTGTCGGTCAGCGTCAACCAGCGAAGACGTGAAGCGAAAGAGAGCGGCGGAAAAGAAGGAAAGATCAGCGTGTCCAGGCACAGCAACGTCTGGAAAGCCTCGAATTTTGGGCATTTCTGGCCGAGTTGACAGGTTGGTACGCACGTCATAATGCGTCGACCCAACATCTGCACAACACCACCTCTTCATCGCCATGCAACATGGGAAGATTCCTCATTCCCTCCAGCTCAAAGATGGACTTGGCAAGCGTCCCCCGGTGGATGTTATTCAGCCATGGTTGGCCTGGTGCCTATTAGAACCGCGGCAAACCGAGAGGCGGCGCCTCGCAACAGAACAAGCCGTGTCCCTTGGACTGGGTGAAAACATGGGGTTGGATTTCGAGGGCTTGATGGCGGTTAAGACGAACTGGGCGCTGCGGGCGTGGGTTTGTACAACTCGGATGGTTACTCCTTGTGGTAGCAACGACCGCCCGGTGCGCATCATGGTGTGAATCACCACAGGAGACGTCCATCGGCCGACCCAGGTAGGGATGGGTTGGTATCATAGTCCCTCTCCATCCAGCGCGGAGGCTTGTGAAAGAGCATTTGTTGTCATTTGAAGACTCGAGGCAGGGGCAGCGCATTTTGCTTTCATCGCGTTGAGGTTACCAATGTCGGAGAATCATGTGACTTCAAGCATGACCGAACAAGCACTGTAAACAAACGTTGTGAAATGTTCTGATGCAAGATTTTGCTCTTCTCGAGCACGCCCACGCTCCTTGCGGCTACTCGCTCTGTTGAGTGGCATGCTGCCCTTGGTATATGCTCCATCTATACTACCGGTTGTCCGGGTCTCGCTTTACTATACGCACCATGGGCGAGCCGCGCCGATTTCTCCGTCGACCGTTCGACAACAGGGAATCAGGGCGTGAATCAGACCATCACCGGAAACTATTACTCGCGCGATACCACTGCGCAGAAAGCACCCCGGTGCTTGGGTAAAGCGTGCCCTCTCACCATGGATCCGCCGTGACCCTGAACCAGAGCTGATTCATGCAGATGAGGCACCTCGGGAGGTTGCTGACGACGAGAAAGTATGACGCCCAGCGAAACGTATCCCTCCGACACCAACAACCGACACAATTAATGACAAAGCCAGGCCCAAGTCAACAGCCAGTTTCTGGAGCAGGCCGAAAAGGGCCGCCACCAGCGTCTCCAACCTCTCCTCAACGACGGGGCCTCTGGTTCCGCCACGGACGCGCGCGGACGCACGGCCCTACATCTCGCCGCTGGAGGCGGCCATAAGAGAACGGTCTAGGAACTGCTGAGGTTGGGAGCCGACAAGTCGGCCAAGGATAACTTGGGCTGGGTGGCTGCTGCGAGAGCAAGAGCGCCTGGACACACCCGGCTGGCAAATGATTTGGAGAGGAACGTGTTGTGATTTCAGGCCCGCCATGTGTTTTTTTCTTTTTTGTGTTTTGCCCCCCTTTACAGAGCTGTATGGACTCCGTACACGGAGTACTGGGCTAGATTGGGGAATACAGACTACAAGTCGACATTCATGCGTCTGTTTTCCCAACCAGCAATCACCCTATGAGAATTATGCAATAATACGCCCCTCCCGGGCATCGGTGAGGCCAGTGAGAATGCTAGCAAAGTAACGCCGGGCGGCAAGAACAGGCCTCAACCTCGCCGTAGATCAGCATCAGGTACGTGGTTGACAAATTCAATGGCTGGTTGGCTCGAGACACGACAAGCTGCAAAGTTGCGTCACTCTCGAGTCTTTATCAATTTTATTGGATGAGTAACTATGCGCAGCTACTTTGACGCTCTCATCTTTCATTGTTTGCCAAGACCATACTAGAGTCAGATAAGCCGGCTGAAAGCTCCCTTGTCTCTGCATGAAGAACGTGGCGTTGCTGTGAGAGCCTCCTTTTTCCCTTTACAGGATGGCCGAGACAATCTGGACACGAGGTGTTAAAAGTCGATGCGGGCTTAAATTCGCAGCTAGACTTGATGGATTTGAATCGCGACATCATTCTATGGGTATCTTATGCCCGTTATCTTCCTTATTCACAACCCGGGACGTTCCGAGACTTGGGGAATGGGAATGCAAAGGCGGCCGTGGACACGTCCTTGGCCGTGCAGGCGTTGTTGGTGGCGGCTCACCACGCCTCGTCGTGGGACCTGCTTCAAGAAGGATCCAGGCTATAGGTTCTCGCGTGAAACCGGGCGTACTGCGACAGTGAGAAGCATCGAGGCGACCTGCGGCAGTTGGTCGAGTCGAGGGGGGCATCTCTGCAGGAGTCGATTCGGACAAAGAGCCGGGATGCTAAGGCGCTCTGGGCGGTTTCGTTTGAGCTCCTGCTGGCGACTATAGCTCTGGACAAGCCAGAGCTGCATGACAAGCTGTCCAGAGCGCTCGTGCGAAGATTGGGAAGCGCAAAAGTCAAGGGTGACGCGGCGTTTGTCAACACCTTGATGCATTGCAGCACGCCGGGCTTCAACATGGCCCTCCGGGATGGCAAAGACCAGCGAGCCGACGCGGTTGCCAGAACGGGACTGCAGCTCCTACGGAGCTCGCACCAAGAAAATTAAACGGAGCTCGTCATCGAGTTCGGCCATGTCTTGGTCGCCGCCTTGGACGAACTAGTCAAGGAGGTGCTGAGCTCGCCGCTCGCAGAGTCCATCCGCGAGGGCAACGCGCACGAGAGCCAGCAATTGTCCATCATGGCGACTGAGCTGTTGATGGCGGCTACGCGTGCTCAAAAACCTGGCTCGGCAACTCGAGTCGCGCGGTCGTGGATCGTGCCCGTGGCAGATGCTCTCGAGCAAAGCAATATCCGTTCAATCGGAGACTTGATATCGACCATGACGGCCAAGTACGCAGACCCGATTGCTTCGAGGCACTCGGACAGTGCATAGATGCAGGGGATTGCCATTCTGGAGCTTTGCACGGTGGCTCGAGACGAAGAGAAGCTGCGCGCGCTGGAAAGCCTGGTGAGTGGTTTCGTCGAGGCTCTGGAGAGGGTCATTATGCAGCAGCGCATACAAGACGCCAATGAACTGCTTCTTCGGATCCGACAAAGCCTTTTCGAGAAGATCATGGACAAGGGGACCGCGGCAGACGTGGACAGGTTCCAGGAGCTGGTCCAACATGTCGCGGAAGTTGCCAAACGACGAGAATCCGCAATGTCGGAGCTGATTGAGAAGGAGGAGCTCTGGGGCCCCTACTTGCAGGACTTGGATGGATGATGGACACGTCGGGGAAGTTTCTTTTCCGCCTTCTTGTCTTGACGCCCTGTTCCTCCTTGCGGCCGTGTTTGCTGGCGGCGGGCTTGGGATACATACGTGATACTTGTTAACACGGCAACGGTTGGGCATCGTCGTCACACGAATATTGGTGACACAAGGGCTATGGTCACGAGACGAAGGGCACAAGGCTGCTGTATAAATAGAAGCCTGTGGCGGCAATTACCACAGGGTGTCACGTAATATATTGAAGTGAGCCCGAATGTTCCAAGCCCCTGACGAGCCCTTTGGCTCAAGACTGAGACAGGGCTGTGATGACAGGGGCTTGCAGGCACTTCTGTTCGTGTCCTGAATATTTTCAATTTGTAGTTACGTGAATAGTAGCAGTACACCCCAGCCAGCATCCTGGGGCGTCCAAGATGCCCATTTGCTTCGGTCCCAAGTCTTGGGACTCTATTATACGGAGTAGCCGTATATCTATGGGAATTGCTACACGGGCATGACACTTTGGCTACACGGGCATGACTCTTACACGGGCATGACTTTTACCACTTCTGATTGGTCGCATTGTCTCTGTTAACGACGCTGGATTCTGCCACCTCAGCCGCAAGTACCTGGGCCATTTTAACCTTGCTTCTGTGTAAATTACTTCATTTCGGCTAAGCTACTACGCAGCAACCCAGTGGTCGCGCAGTCGGGGCGACCCCCTCGAGCTTGCTTTCTTCATTTTCGTAGCTTTTAATAAACCATAATACGGCACCCTATGCTGTAGAGATAGCGACCAATTCTTTCACTACAATCTTGTTCTCTTCTCAAGACGTCAATGTCTTTGCCTCGCACACCTCCTCGCAGGTCGCGGAGCCCTAGTCCCAGTGATCAATCACAAAGAGGAAAGCGACACAAATCCAGTCGGCGACGCAGATCTAGTCCTTCCACAGTTGAAGACCGACCACAATCCGCGAGTAGCTCTGCTACGAGTATCGGTCAGTTCTACGGCCTCGGGGACGAAAATGCACTCGATAACCTGTTCGCCTCTTTCCCGCAAACACTTTCAAGTCTCCCACACCCCCATGGTTCACAGGGCCGCCATGAGCCTGCATGGGGCCTTCGATCTGACTATGAGATATATCTTCAAAATGACTTCTTCCGTGGAAAAAGATGGAGCCAGCGAGTCAGAGCGCTTATACCAGGCCCAGAATTTGATCCATTCGCCTCTGAACCTCCCGAATCACCCCCATCCGCCCAGCATCTCCCAACAAGGACAAGAGCCGAGTTCGAGTCCGCAATGCGCATAGTACGAGAGGTTACCGGCGAAGGTCGAAGGCTAACTGTAGACCTTGCTCGATCATACGAACGTGTACAAGCTTGGCGAGAGAGATGGGGATGGTCACCATTAAGTTTCGAAGCATATGACTCTCCTCCACCGTACTCTCCACCTCGTAGGTCACCCACACAACCTCCTCGAATATCACCGACGCCCGAAAATATTAGTTCCTCGCCTATGCGACAGTCTCTATCTCCCGCCCCGGAGCCAATTCCGAACCCAATAATCCCTGGCGACCCAGCGCCCTCGGCCGAAGTTCTTTTTAAAACAACCAACGCATTTGCAAAGGAGAACGGATTTGGTATTATTCGGCGGAATAAATATTCCTATAAGGGACGGTTGATTAGGTACTCCATTCAATGCGACCGGTTTGGACAATCTCGGGCCTCGGGGGGTTCTGGTCTTCGAACCCGAAGGTCTCGGAAGTGTGATTGCAAATGGATGATAATTGCTGAAGCCCTAGAGGAAGGCAAGTGGCTTCTTCGACAACATAGAGACCCGAAACATCACCAGCATAACCATGAACGGAGTATTACGCCATCTGCGCATGTTTCCCACCGCCGCCTTACTACACCAGTTAAAGCAACCATCGAGTCAGCAAGCCGTCGCGCGGGTATTCGAGCCAGTGATGTAGCTGCTATGGTTGAGGAGCAATTCCCCGATACAACACTCCTGCGGAAGGATATCTATAATGCCCGTTCGTTCATTAACCGAGAGAAGCTAAATGGCTATACACCTACTGCGGCATTGATCAAACTCTTTGATGAGAAGAAGATCCCATACATCGCGAAATGGGCCGATGATGATCCAGATAGACTGCTTGGTCTTGTCTGGACCTTTCCGTACTGTCTACAGATGTGGAAGCGCTTCCCCGAGGTTATTAGCTTTGATAACACATATAACACTAATCGCTTCAAGCTTCCTTTATTCCAGGCTACTGGCCAAACCTGTCTTGGAACTGTGTTCAATGCTGCATTTGGCTTAATAGATAACGAGAGGAGGGAGGGGTTCCAATTCCTTGCAGAGAGTGTTCGCAAGCTCATTACAAAACACTCACTCAGGGAACCAGATGTCATCATCACAGACTTCGACAAGGCTATGAAAGCTGCCGTTAATGATCAGTTTCCAAATGCACAGCAACAGCTTTGTATTCATCATATCCTTTCAAACGTTTTGCTTAAATCGAAGACTAGGTGGACGGGCCAACGTGAGGACAGTACTACTAGCCCTAGCGCTAGTGACAGTGAAGACATTCCCTCACAGGCGGATGGCGGGTTGAGCACTACAGATAAGCATCTGATCGAAGATCGGTCGAGTAGTGATAAGATTCCTCATACTTACCAAGGCGTTGTTTTAATGTGGAAAAAGGTTCTCTATGCCGAGACTGAGGAAGCGTTTGAGCAGGCATGGAGAGATCTTTGTAAAGAGTTCGACGACCAACGAGCGATCTTACAATACCTCTACTCGACTTATATGCCTGTTAGTGCTCAATGGGCACGTTGCTTTATCCGTCGTTATCGTAACTTCGGAATCCGAGTTACGTCCGGCACAGAAGCAAGCAACAATAATATCAAAAGCTATCTATTAAATGGCATGAGCCACCTCTACCGACTCGTCGAGGCAATGCAGGATATGATACATGACCAAGAACGTGCCTTTAAGGATGCCTGTGGACAGGATGATGTCCTGACTGCTCCACAATACCTAGGTTCGATGGGAAACTATCTTGGTGAACTACGAACAACCATGTCATCGAAAGGACTTGGGTTAATCAACAAGCAATACTGTATTGCTCGCAAATTTCTGCCGACGGGGAAGAATCCCTTCCCCGACTCTATTGGACTTTGCGACGACGACTGTACGGTCTCTATTGAGCTGGGAATCCCATGCTATCATAAAGTCTACGCAAAGCTAGATTCTGACACACGTTTCACTAAATGGGAGGTCCACCCACGCTGGCGACTACGGGAATCGGCATCTCAAGATCCATACCGACGAATTCTTGACCCGAAAGTTGCCACTGCACTACGTGGAAGGCCAAAGAATACAGCGCAGGTTATCCCAGAAAGCCTAGCTATTACATCAAGTAGCCGATCTGATAATCAACCAAGTGGGCGACGAGGTCGACCGCCAGGAAGTCTCAATAAGCCAACTCTTGCTAGGAGAGTGCATAAAGCTACTCGAGAAACCATCACACAAACTGGTGGCCAAATTGGCATCTCAGCCCAGCAAGGGCCAGGTAGACCTTCTAAAGTCCTAAATGCTGGGAATACGACAGGCGTGCGGTACAGTGGACGGAGGACGCAACGAAACATTCGCAGGACAAGGAGTCAATGGGAACTGGCTAAGAGTGATGACGAAGATCCAGATTGTATCGTTGTGAGGCAATAAATTAAGTCTTGATGCCCACATGTTCGGTCCTAGGTCTTGGGACTCCGTATAGCCGTAAATCCATTATTCATAAGAAAACTGCTGCAGCTTGATGCCCACATGTTCGGTCCCAGGTCTTGGGACTCCGTATAGCCGTATATCCATTATTCCCATAAGAAAACTGCTGCAGCTTGATGCCCACATGTTCGGTCCCAGGTCTTGGGACTCCGTATAGCCGTATATCCATTATTCCCATAAGAAAACTGCTGCAGTTTGATGCCTGCATGTTTCAGTCCAGGTCTTAAAGCTCCGTTATAGCTGTATATCTATTATTCCCACAAGAAGACTGCTGCAGCTTGATGCCTGTATGTTTCGGTCCCAGGTCTTGAGACTCTGTATAGCCGTATATCCATTATTCCCATAAGAAAACTGCTGCAGTTTGATGCCTGCATGTTTCGGTCCTAGGTCTTGGGACTCCGTATAGCCGTAGATCCATTATTCATAAGAAAACTGCTGCAGCTTGATGCCTGCATGTTTCGGTCCCAGGTCTCGAGACTCCGTTATAGCCGTGTATCCATGAGAAAACTGCTGCAGTTTGATGCCTGCATGTTTCGGTCCAGGTCTTAAAGCTCCATTATAGCCGTATATCCATTATTCCCACAAGAAGACTGCTGCAGCTTGATGTCCGTATGTTTCGGTCCCAGGTCTCGAGACTCTGTTATAGCCGTGTATCCATGAGAAAACTGCTGCATTCGTTGCAGCTCCTTTGTCTCCGTGAAGTCACCTTCTAATCCTTGGCCAAGAAAGCCTCTTCCGAAATCGTTCCTGGTCGATATCCCCTCACCGCGCGCCTCGCGTACGTCACACCAAAAAACGGGCGTGGCCACGTCACACTATTTTGTGTGATGTACCACGTTACTCTGTATGTCGACAGACGAACTCCTCAATGCCCTCATCCGCTGCGCAAGGACATCTGCGGAATGGACATGAACGCTATTGGTGCCCCTCCGCCTCCGCTTCCGCCTCCGCTCTCCTTCAACGGCGGTGCGTTTTCTTTTTCGAACGCCGCCCTCCCGCGTCGCGGTGTGCTTCGTGGCCCGCGAACAAGACTGGGACGACAGGGCACAAGGGTCAAAGCCGAGACAAGAGACGGGCACAGCATCTACCATCCACCACGCTTGAGGCCCGAGACTGCCCAGGTAGTATCCTGAACGCAAGCAGGGAAAGCTCCTTGACGTGAAACGCTATATGCGGGTACAAGGTATTCTTGTTTTCCGCCACGGCCCCGCAAAACAGGCACTCCAACGGCTGACGCGGCACGAGCGTCTTGGTCTTATTTGAACGGGCTCGGGCTCGCTGCTGCGACGCAGTCAGACTGTTGTGACACTGCCTGTTGTGGAAGTCAAAAGACTTCCGGTCTACAAAGCTTTTGGGCGCATGGCCCAAATCACAGTACCAGACTCTCGCATGTACGGAGCTGTGCCATTCCTCCGCATGGCAACACCGCATGTGATGTAGCCAAGCATCGTATTCCGCAAAAAAAGCAGGCGGGTTCCTGCACTTCTCGGACAAACAGAAGTAGGGTTCGAGGTCGTGGTCTACATGACGTCTTTTAGGAGTTGGTTAGATCATCTGTCAGCATCTCAGCAACGGACATGGACAGCCACTGACTTCCAGTATTGTCGGCTCAGTTCGGAGGTAGGCAGTGACTTGGAGCAGTACGGGCAAGGGTGAAATTGCGCGTCAGCCGCAAAAACCGGCATGTCGGGGTATTCGAGGGTCTCGCCGTGTCCTTGAAGGGAGACTGCATCGGTGAGCTCTGCCTGCGACCAACCTCACCCAAGCAGCGTGGTCATGTGACCCGAGTCTGGTATCGAAGCCTCCGTCTCGGAAGTCCCCCTCGAGGACACACAAGCCGGTAGGCTTGGCTGGCTACGATGACGACCTGAATCGGACAGAGACGCCTGTCTGGTGTCCCCTTGAGTGCCCAGCTTTTGGTTGTGCCTTTGAAGATGGAGCAATTTTTCTCGCTGCTCATAGACCGCGTCGACCGACTGCTCGACCAGACTGTCTCGAGCATTGGGAAATTCTTGCCGAATGAACTCATAGACACGACCAAGTAAGCATTCTTTCCGACAAGCGCCCGAGGTCTTGGCAAGGACATTTTGCATTCTACTGTCGCGAGACGATCGGCGGATGGCGGCCCCCAGCTTGTTCATTCTGCTAAGCGCTTCCGAAACAGCAGGCAGCCCAGTCAAGACACCAGAAGATTCTTCAGGTTTCGGAAGACCAGGGTGCCCATCGACATCACCCATCTTGACAGAGGCTGGAAGCTCCGAGGATCGGCCCTTGTCAGACGTACCAAGAATCAAACCCCGCAAATTTCGCTCAATCATGCGCAGGAGAATCATCAGGTTACGTTCAACGTCAGGAAGCTGGAACAATCTATTATTATCCAAGCACTGGCGGTCAGCAGTGAGTGCCCCCGTGAAAGCCGCCCAGCCATCGAACTGGGATTTGAGATGCAGCAATCTTGCATCTTGCTGATTCGACGCTTCCGTCAGCCTCCTAAACAGAGCTGCACAACTGCTGGCGGCGTTGAACAGCCCCTGCCCTTGGGTGGTTGAGTCCATGCGAGTCAGAGGTAGGACCGAAAGGTAGGACCGGCTGTGTGCTCCGTCACGTTGTCGAGTTCTACTCCGTACTCCGTACGCGGCATCAAAAAGGCTCTAGGAGAGGCTTGATGACAGACAAGGCATGTAGGAGAAAAATTCGGATTTGTGGCCTCCACCTGACGGCAGCCTGATGACCATGTGATTTCAACTTGTACTACCCAAAGCGGCCCGAGAAATAAACCGGCCACGGGCAAGATCCTTATCCTTATCCCTCTTCCTGTTACAGTAAACTACCGCTATAACGATATTCTTCGTGAGGCTTTTTTTATTATTAAAAGGCAACTGTTATTAAGATGTAACTTTTATAGAGCTTATACCTGTTATTAAATTTACTAGGAAATTATACCTAAGGTTGTTATAAAGTATATAATAAGAGATTATTATTAAAGGCAGCAAAATTTAGCTCTACTATAAGGAATTTAGCCTTACTACAAGAAATTTAGCTCTTATTAAAGTAGAGCTAAATAATAATAAAATATATAGTAACTAAGTAAAAAGTTAATAATATTATTAGTAATATAACTCTATTAATAATTTACTAGGGGAAAAACTTTAGATAACTATAAATTATTGTAAAAACCTAAATGTTGCTAAGATACAGGATCGTTATAGACATAGTTTACTGTACTACGTCCTGTTGATTACGTGTTCCGTGCTGAGGAGAGAAAATCCCAGAAGTGTTGGAGTGGCCGGACTCCGAAGACGCTTCAATCCTCACAGACTCTTTGCCGGCTGTTCTAACTTCTGTCGCAAAAACCAGTGTGGCAAGAAATCAACATTGCTGCCTCATGGCCGGCGTCAACGGAATTCCAGTCACGGACGCCACAGAAGAATGGCAACTTCTCAGTTCTGTTCTGCCTATATTCTCTGTTGGCTCCGCCGATATCAACTCCCACAGAGACGAAGAGCATAAGAACATTGAGAATCTATTCGTAGTCGACCTTTTCCTACTCTCCCATCAATTGCGAGACGCCGCTTCAAGGAACATTCCAGAAAATCTTCCCGAAAGGGGTTGGAAGGCGCTAAAGTCACTTTTGACCTCGTTGGAAGAGAGTGTAAATGCAAAGACACTAGCATTTGACACGGACCGTCAATTTGTTGGCCAGGTAAGTTGATTCCATAGCCTGGACGTCGGGCCATACCGTGTTGGATATGTAGATGTGTATGGAGTGACATGTGTAGCGTTTTCGGAAGCTGTGGACACTGAAGTCAGAGCTAGAGCGACGCACTGCGGGTGACGAGAAATCCGCTGCACATCATTGTGAGAATCTATCAAAGCAGGTTTGGGCAACAATGACACCCGAAAGATTGCGTGATATGGTACGTTGCCTGAATATCTTCGACACGACCATGGGAAGCATCCCCATCGGGACGCATCACCCGGCAGACAGATGGGAACGAGGTGAGATCGAGACTCTGAAGAAAGCTGCAACCTGCGGTAAAGGGGTGGCGATCCTACGCAGCAGGCTGTGTCAAACGTCCCGTATTTGCCGGTCTCGTCATTCGGTGATGATTTCGCTGAGCCCCATCCTGTCCGGAACCATGTTTTTTTCGTCATGCGATGGTGGTTGGTTTCAGGCAACCTATGAAGTCGCTCTCAGCGAAGGGCAATAAATCAACCTCCATGAACTCGCTACGAAATGGACTCTAATCGACGCCGCAGGCCGGGTGATCTTGACCCCAACGGACCTCAAAGCCAGCTTCTCAAAAACCTCTGCGAGACTTTAGCGGTGCCTAGACACAAACAGCTGCATATAAATTGCTCCCCGTCGACGGCTTCATATACTCATACGGATGGCACCACGATTCCGTCGAAACCTACCATTACACTTGGTGATCTCTTGGAACGACGACCAAGTCTTATTCAAGAGCACAAGAGCCCAACTCTGTCCAAAACGATATTACATGGTCTGTCGTTCATACTTTCAAAATCACTCCTGGCGCTCGTTGGCAGCGGCTGGCCACCATACCCATGGAGTATTGACAGCATCTTCTTCATGCATGACAGAGAGAAGAAGAAAGCCGACATTTACAACCCCTACATTGAAGCGTTTCTCGATTTACCAAGCTCGGGCAACGCTACAGACAATGAAGATTACTATACTGACGCCCTTTCTTTCGGCTCGATTCTCGCGCAGATAGAGCTCGGTCACAATATTACCATGACGGCAGAGGACAAACAGGACGTGTACCCACCCATCTACACGGCCCTGACACGAGTATTCAACGCCTACATGGCTGATCTGGTGGACCCTCAAGTCAGGGAAGTCATTGCCGCCTGTCTCGACTTCAAAAACAAAGTCCTGGCCATGAAGCGCCGTCCGTCCGTCGATAATTCGAGACCAAGAGCAGCGTTGATACGATACATAGTCCAGCCCTTGGAGCGTCGACTTTGCAAAACTGACCCTAAGCTTTACGATAGTATAATCAATGGTAGAATAGAATCCATTCACGTAGAGTTTCCGCACCCCGGCAACGGCAACAGGACACCTTCAGGCCCAAGCGCCCAACGTCGAGCATCAACTTCGCGGCAGTTCGGTGCTATCGACTTGTGTGATGTGAGTATTGACTGTAAATCCGAGTAAGTCCTCTACACTTGGTTCGCCAGCTAAGAATCCTCGGCTGACATGGTACTTAGAACGAGGTGGCGTGCAGAGAAATTCTTTGACCTTTATGAGAAGTTCCGCAAGCTCAGATTCCCCGAGGAAGTGAAGCTGAAGCTTGCCGAAAGTCGTATCAAAATAGCCATTTTGGACACCGGGATCAACTTGGACGGGTCTGGATTGCAGTTGAGGAGAGATGATATCATAGAGGACCGGAAAAGAGCAAACACAGGAGCCGACGGCGATCCCATCAAAGCCACGCGGTCGTTCGTCGGACCTCAGGACGACGTCAACGACTGCTGTGGCCACGGAACTCACATCGCTGACATTCTGCTCAGGCTGGCTCCGGAAGTAGATCTATATATCGCCAAAATCTGCAACGGCATGGCTGTACATGCCGTCGACCACATTGCCGAGGTATGCTCCCAAGTTGGCACTGGCCTCGAAGATGTTTGGCCCGGGACCTTGAACGCTGCCGCTTCTCACGTTCCAAGTATTTGTCTAACGAGTTTTCAAAGGCCATAGATTGGGCGGTCACGGAGGGCTGCGACATTATCAACATGTCGTTCAGTATCGATCCCGAGCTGGTCCCCAAAGCAAGTCACAACAAAGTCGAGGAGGCTATTGACCGTGCTGACGGTAAAGGCAAAATCTTATTTGCCGCCGCCTCGAATTGTGGCGGCAACGGCAAGCGGCCGTATCCGGCGAGCAACCAAAAAGTCATATGTGTCCACGCGACGGATGGCCTCGGCAACGACGCCGGCATAAACCCGCCCAAAGAAGGCGTGCCGGATTACTTCAGCACGCTTGGAGTTGGAATTAAGTTTCTCTGGGACGAACAGTACGTCTTCAAGTCCGGGACGTCGTTCGCCACGGCCGTCGCCGCAGCCATCGCGGCAAACACTCTGGAATTCGCAAAATACTGGCGTAAAGCAGCCGATAAACCCCGCCCGGCGCTCGACCGGCTGCGCGATGGCCGAGCCATGAGGAAGGTCTTTTTCGAGCTTCTGTCGAGGAATGTACAGCATCATCAGTACATTGCGCCCTGGATCTTCTGGGAGCTGCACAAGCCCTCGAACCCTGGCTTCGCGGACGATCTGGCGGACAAACTTGGCCGAGAACATCAAATTTGATGAGCTGAGACGGATCCTCTAGCTAAAGACTGTAGAGAACACTTGAGCCTCTTGCATTACCCGCAGCCCAGCTTGTACATGTAGAACGACCGTCTACCACGGCACCACGCTTCGCTGCCTAGTCCTCCAAACCCGCCGGAACCATCCACGTCTCTTGGCCGTCATTGCCATCGTCCCGACGACGAAGTGGTGTCCTGCTATGGAAAGCCGCAGACAGCTCTGCGAGCTCGTCTTGACTTACGTCTTGGACTCTATACGCCGGGCGCTCTTCTTCCCTCATCTCTCCCACGCCCTCCATCGTCGCCCCCCTGAAGTACAACTCGCTCTTGGCCTCCCCACCGCTCTTCTTGTCGACGGTGATCTTGTCCACGCGCGCGGCAATGATGAAATCACTCGACGCCCCAAACGAAAGCCCTTGCTCGCGCGTGCGCACAGCGCCCACCTCCGGCCCGCCATCGACCGGCAGCCCCGGGTGGGCGAAGGCGAGCTTGAGTCTCGCGCCCTTGGTCGAGGACCGCTGGCTCTCCAGCGACACGCCGCGTGCGACCTTGAGGCCGGTGATCAAGTACACGGACCTGGCTCTCTCCCTCATGGACAAGTACAGCTGCACGGGCGGGGAGGCGAGGGTCTGTTGGACGTAGGCGGCGGTTGGGATGAACTACACGCCCACACGTACAATCTATTAGAACTGCCCCTTGGCCACGGATCCATCGAGCAAACGCTCAACGGTATGAGAGGACGGAGCCCACCGTCATAGTTTCCAGCTTTTCCACCGTCAGCACGTCGTCGGCGCCGCGCTCATACGTCAGCGCGCCCTCGACGCCGACGCCAAACACGCTCGCCAGCTGCGCCCATATGCCAAAGTTGCCGCCCAGCAGCTCCTTGCGCGCCATGCGGAAGCCACTCTTGGCGTCGACGGGCTGCAGGTCCTCGGCGTCAATGTCCACGCGGGTCTTGCGGTTCATCGGCGCGGTGAAGTCGCCTGGCTTCAAGGACTTCAGGACGTGGCCGAGATGGAGCGGCCCGTCTGGCGGCGGTGCCGTCGACCAGTTCGGGAGGGGAATGTAGGTTTTGACCATTTTCGCGGACGGCGAGCAATGTCGAGGCGAGGAGGAGGGAATCGCCACCAGGGACTCGGTACTGACGCCGTCTCGGAGGGTTATCGCCTCGATGGCCTGGAGTTGCGGCCGAAATCAGACGACGAGGTTGGCAGACAATAAGGGGCCTTGGTCGCTCGGGTGCCATCAGTATATGGTGATGCAGGGCGACATGGCCCTCTCCTAACTCGCTTTTGCGGCCCTTCCTCTCCGCCATACGGAGAAGAGAAGAGAGCATTCTTGACGCCAGGGAACACGACACCCTGCAGCTGTCTGTGCTCCCGGCATCTGGAGTACTCCGGCCCCTTAATGGCAGACCTTGTGGCGTGATCCTTGGGCTGCTCGTAGATGCTATCACCAAGTCTCCTGACCACGACCACAGCCGATCTGGTCGTTGCCGGTATCGGCAAGGCCTTTCTGTGCATGTTGAGCAACCGTTTCCCCGCCCCCAAGGTCGGGCTTACATGCTTATTTCTACAGCGTGCCTCTAAATTGAGCCATGCCCAGCGTGTAAGTGCGAGTCGAGAGCGGAGACTCGATGACGAGTCATATCCGTGACAGAGGATGGTTGTACCGCGTTATATTAACTACCGCCCGGCCTGAGTCGGCGAGCGTATGTGACACCATGCGCCGCAGCCCATTATGCTTCCTGAACCTGTTCACAGCCAGAGCGGCTGGAAAACGTAGCCTCGACGCCAGTTCGCACTCGTAGGCGTCAAAAGCAGCACGTAGAGTCAGACCAGCCGGCAGATAGGGGCACAGAGATGACTCGCAAATGAATGACCAAAACGCAAAGTTGCCCCCTTGATCTCGGTTCCCCATCGTCATGGCACTCCGGAATGCAGAGTGCAAAGATGCAGCGTTTCTCGACGAGGGCGACGTTGAAGCTGGCAAGTTCCGTGTCACACGGATGTCGGTGACACAAGCTACTATGCTGACAGAAGTTGTTTAGCACAATAAACAGACCTCAACTGACGTCAACGTCTTCACGCGCTCGTGTTTCCCCTTGTGTGCCGCCTTCCCGGGGGCAGTCCAGCCAGTTACCACGTCTGACTGAAGAACAGACCGATCGGTCCGCTCATCCCATCTGCTAAGAAAACGCAACGCAATCTTTGGGCGCCAAGTACTACCGTGGAACGATTGGTTTGTTGGTCGTTCGCCTCAATCTCCTCGACCTAGCACCGGCCAACCGTGTGGTGATTTTCCCCGCCTGGCCACGGCACAACAGCCACCAACACACAGGAGATGGGGGTAGAAAGAAGGGGCGCTGTGTGGAAGAAGGAGGAGAAGCAAACACGCGGCCACTCTACGCCCGTTCTCCTCCGTGGTTGACGTTGGTTCCTTGAGACGCGCGAAGCTGCCCATGTAGTGGCCCGTCTCGTCGACAGGATATTCGTCGCCGTTCTCGAAACCAAGTTGCTACAATGGATGGAACGGATGATACAGGACGTCGTGACCCCCATGGCATCTTGTCAGACTCATCGACGTAGAAGTCCTTTGCATGAAGCCCGGACCTGCTATTGCCCTTGACGGTGGTGGGTTCGCATTGGTCCTGCGCGTCGAGTGCACATGTCACAGCCTCGACAATAGCTGCGGTATATCTGGTCGAATCAACGGGCTCATCACGGTACGACAAGTTTGTTACATGCCCTTTGTCCGTGCTGTACTTTGGTGCCTTGACGCGACGACTCGGCGTTCAAGACGTCTCTTGCAAGGTATAAAAACGGCATGACCTGCAAGAGCACGGGAGGACATGACCTTGAATCCTGTATCAACTTGTCCAATTCAATTTTGAAGCTATAACTATCATGTGCAGACGCGTTATCCCACGGAAGATGTTTCGGGATTGTCGGTGCACGGAGCCTGACGGCATACCATACGACGACTTTTGCTACGGTGTCAAGCGGGGCACGAAGAAGCAGTGTGAGCCTCTCATAATGGACACATCGAAATGTAAAATTGTGGCTGGAAAATGCACCGCGTGTCGTTGATATGTACGTCTGGGGCCGTCGGCGAGGAGGCTACCCGGGCCAACACTTGAACAGTCGAGCGGCGGCCTCTATCGTCGTCTGGTATTCTGGCGAAAGATGGCGGATGCTTGGGGAAAATCAGTCGTTGGAATCACGAGTGAGCCGAGGAGAGCAACAGACGGGAGTACGGAGTAGAATCATGTCCTATGTGCCGTGCCGGCCGTTGGTCAGTCTGAGGCTGTGATTGGATGATTGGTGATTGTTCGAGAGCGGAGCACTTGAGAGCACAAGCCCGAGCACAGTTCTGCTCAACTGGGGTGCGACTTCCCTGTAACGATGCGCTCTTGCTAGCACAGACCAGCCGCCCGTCAGCCGGTCAATTGGTCACCGCCAAGTGAAGGAAGGCACGTGTGACGTGTGACTCTGAGTTCAATGTTCCAACTTTCACTCAACCTTTGCTTCCACCCCGCTCCTCTCCCGGGTTCCTTCAGGTTCGGAATCGCTTCTCCACATCAGAACCTCCGCCGTCCGCCGCCGTCCGCCCGGCCCGGTCCAGGCTGCGAACGACAATACAAATCTTCGATTATGCCGCAGCAATGGCAGCCCCAACAGCCCAGCTTGGTGTCGCCGACGCTACGAGGAACAACAGGGGCGCGGTTGAGGATGCCAGGAAGACCCAGTCCTTTATTGTGGCAGAGTGCGCAAGTGCTGGAACAGAGCCACCGCCGTATGAGCTGATGGCCCTCATCGGCAAGGGAAGCTTCGGCCGCGTGTACAAGGCCCGCGGGCTGAAATCACGGCAACTGGTTGCCGTCAAAATTATCAGCATCGAGGAGGGTGACAGCATCCGCCCCGGCGGCACGGATACGTTCGGTGATATCTTAAAGGAGGTCAACACGTTAAAGCTCCTCAACGACGGAGGGGCGAAAAACGTCAACCGTGTTCTTGATACCCATCTTGTCGGCCAGTCTGTTTGGGTCATTACCGAGTACTGTGCCGGCGGCAGTGTCGCCACGTTGATGAGGCCAACTCGTGGTTTGGCAGAGAAGTGGATTGTCCCCGTTTTGCGAGAAGTTGCCGAAGCCGTACATTGGGTTCACAGCCATGGCGTCATTCACAGGGACATCAAGTGTGCCAACGTCCTGATTACCGACGCTGGCGGTGTTCAACTGTGCGACTTCGGCGTCGCCGGCATCATCGAGACCAAGTTCGACAAGAGAAGCACGGTTACCGGCACATTGCAGTGGATGGCCCCCGAACTATTCGACTCCTCGATATCCTACGGTATTGAGGTCGACATTTGGGCCTTTGGATCCATGGCTTACGAAGCGGCCACTGGGCTACCGCCAAACGCGACTGGCCTGGTTGACAGGGTCAACTTTGGCTCGTATCTCAAGGACAACTGCCCACGCCTCCAAGGAGATCAATATTCGTCTAATCTTCGAGACATTATTGCCTTCTGCATGGTCCAAGATCCTGCTCAACGACCCAGCATCGAGCAGGTCCAGGCACATCCTTATATTTCCAACACCGCCAGCAGATATCCCACTGCATCACTGTCTCAGCTCGTCAAGGCCTACAGACTCTGGGAGACGCAAGGCGGGATTAGGCAGTCCCTTTTCTCCGCAGGCGGTGCGCAGGGCCCTGCAAGCATGTCGTCGCCTCCTCCTCTGAACGACGGGTGGAACTTTGAGACATTGAACGAGGCTAGTCCCGAATCTAACAACTCGGGCGCTCAGACTATTCTGGACGTATATGGACCGGCCGTCGACCTGCCTTGGAAACCCCCAAAGCAACCCGGGCGACGTCGGCAACCAAACGTTAAGCCGCTCGTCGTCCCGCTCGAGCAGGTCTTCGATCCCACTGTCGACACCAACTACAACGACAACGCTCGTGTTTTCTACGGCTATCATACCAAGCCGCCGACAAATGATTTACCGCTACGGGACGACCTGGATGGCTCGAATGTCAGAGAGTCGCTGATAGATCTTGACGTATCACTCGACGGCAACCACTTGTCGCAGTTCGTTGACATAGGGACCATCAGAGCAGGTCCTCGGCCAGTCCCCGACGAACTATACCATCCCACTCGTCCACTGACTCAAGACTGGAAATTTCCGCTCATGGCTGCTGTACCTGGAATCTCGGACGACAATGAAGACTCCCAAGACGACGTCGTCTACGACTTCGATGCGAACGATGTATTCGTGAGCCAGTCCATTTCGGATGCGAGGCCCAATCGCGTTTCGGCGATAAGCCTCATTGACCTTGATGCCAGCATACCCGACGAGGCCGGGATGCTTGCCCGCCCATCCACCGCGAGTTCTGATAACATATCAATCGGTTCAGATGCAGGCAAGACCCCGTTTGAGCTGGAATATCACGTCACCGAAGCAAGTTGGTCCTCGTCAAGCGTCGAAAAACCATCTATATACGTATCAGATGACGGGCGCTTTGGGGAGCCCCACGTATCCGATGACGGCGACCTTGAGGACCAGACTGCTCGTTTGTTGGATGACATTTCTGTGGTGCAGACGCAGCCCAGCTTGGATGAGCGTCTTCACTCCCTTCAATACTTGAGCCCGGCAATTCCAGCTCCGCCATCAACGAGCGCGATGCTAGGCACAAGTTCCCATGAAGAGCTGAAGGGAGAACTACAGAGGTTGATTAGGAGCCTGGGCGAGCACCTGCGGTTTACGTCGGACACACTGACGCATCTTCCTGCCCAACGCGGCGTAAGAGCTGTGCCAGAGTCCATGAAGTAGCCGCAGCAGCTTTGGGTGATGGTACTCGGGAAACAAACCAAGGTCTATGTCGCATTAAGATACAGAATAGACGACTGCGAGTGCACATGTCGCTGCTTTAGATGGGTATTTCAATCATGAAAATGATTGGCTTTTGTTTCTGAAACGTCATTGTATAACACGCTGTTGGGTGGAGAGGACCATGTCCCGCGGCTTTTTGGTCAGATGGATGCTATTTCCAAGTTTGTAGTAAAGGCGTCGGCTTATTGACAGACGGAATGCAGCGTTTCAGAACCGCAGCCGGGGCACGAAAAGGCCAACTGCTCGAGTTTGCTTCAAGCACGCAAAGCACATGCCTGTGCATGGCCAATCGTCGGATTCGGCACACTCAGCCACAACAGGCCACTGCTGTGCAATCACGTGCAGCTCTGCCGTGCAAACGGCTCACAGACGCCACCGGATGTCCGGCACAACTAGAAAGCAGTACCCTGGAGCTGTGGCGATATGATGGCGACAACAAAACTCGTACACGGTCTCCCTAGTCGACACGCCGCCCATGGTACCATTGCTCGCTGCCAAAAGTGCACCACATACGTCGGGGCGCTCTGCGTCGTCTCCGGTCTCCGGTCTCCGGTCTCCGGTCTCCGGCCGTCGCTCGGCAGCCCCACCTCCTAAACGGAAGCAGCCGAGACATCCGTCCCGGTCGACCAATTGGCGTCAAGCACCGCCCGTCTCGGGGGCCGGGCCTGCACCACAGTGCCTGGGCTGGCGCTATTCCAGAACAGGGATGGCGAAACGTGCGTGCCTCGAAAAGACGGGTTCGGCCACCAAACATATGGGGGTACTATGTGTGAAGACGCGGCGGCTGCAGATGCTGGAGTGGACTGTCATTGTTTCTGTTGCATGTAGGACGGAAAAGCCTCAGGCCACCAGTGGGCTCAGGCACCAAGGCCTTTAGGCAATAGGGCACAAAGGGCATCACCCCTTTGCTGCCTAGGTAGTCAGGTTACACACACAAGCACTATTATGTATATCAAGCCCTCATTGGTTGGGTCCGTCAGAGTGAGGAACCAAGGACCTCTGAGACCCTACGATATTATATGTGAATATGAGTCCATTGACTCCAAGCCCTGATCGCAAAGACCAGCCCTTGTTACATGTAGTTGGCGGGTTATTCGTAGCTGTTGTTATAGCTGCCGCAAGGGCCTGGTACTAAAGGTCCTTGAGTTTCCTCGACGCCTTCCTTGGGTGGCCCAAGACGTCTATCTACATAAAGCTGCACTGCGCCTAGGTTCTGATTGAAGCCGTGATGCGATGGGTCCCTGTTCCGGAAGCGCTCACCGCGTTGCAGTCGTTGGCCACTGCGCCGGTAGTCGCCTCATCGGAGACTAATGTCCACGACTGCGTGTGTGTGCCACTGCAAATGCCGCCCCCATGCCTCCGGCAATATCATTGCGCCGTTGCAGTCCCTCTCTGCTCGGCGCCGTGCTCTTCAATGCCCACTGGTCCCTGCAAACTAGCGCGCGCTTTCCAGCAGAGCCCTCGATGTTTCACCAGTCTGCCGAATATGCTCCCGCCACCGCGACGCTGTCCACTGTCCACGCATAAATGAGCGTCCGGTGCGTCAGGGATGAGGCCTGCTCAGAGGATGCAATATCAACCACACCGAGCAGAGCAGCAGAGCGCCGTGCTCTCCGCCGCCGTGTGTAGCGTAGCACATGGGCCGTTTGATCTCTTCGACGCCTTCATGGATCAGAAGAAAGTCTACTGCATTTACCCACGCGGATTCTGAAACACGTTGGTTCACGGGCACGTTGGTTGGCCTTGACCACCCTTCTGGAGCGGTGAAACTTTGGCCGTGCATTGTTCTCGTTGATTATGTGTCTTTTCAATGGGCGACGGTGCCCAACACGTAGGCGCTTACACTCGCCCTCTGAGAATTGGAAGAGTTCCTCCAGAATTTCTCGGCAGCATTCAGCACAGAAGTTCATGTGCGTCGGTAGATTTGAGCGGTGCGCCGCCATCTCGAGGAGGTAGTCGGGTATCGCGTTGCGCTCGTATCCACATCCGCTCTGACTGTAGCCGAGCGAGGTGTCGAGCTTTTTCTATGTGTCTGCGCAAGGATCACGCCTGATGTGTGTTTATCACGCGCACCTTCGAACAGCCAATGTGGACGTGAGAGGACAACAGTACACGGCTGCAAGTTTGTGTTGTCGCTTCTCGACGCACCTTCGCCGTTCTCTCTGGTACCGTGTCGTCCTGGGCGTATTGCAACGGCGTGTGGTCGCCTCCTCCGTCGTCGACGTCACTCGCGGCCAGAAGAGTCCAACCAAGGTCGACCACTCCAACGTTTGCCGCGAGCCGCAGAGCCGGAATCAAAATCCAGGGTTCTGCGGTGGCGCTGAGCTTGTGCCCCAGAACATGGAAGACGAATAATGAGCCAAGGGACACGAGAAACATTTTGAAGCAGTGCGACAAGTGTCAATAAATGGATGTTTTCGTCAAGGAGCAATGCCAGGTTCCGCGTCTGTGACGTGCACCTAGAATGAGAAAAATCCCGGCAGAACGGTCCTCGTCTACAGCTGTCCTCAGCGCGTTGCAGCTGATTGAAGTCGACTTGTGGGATGAAAACGGGTGGCATCTTGAGATGCAGCAGCGGTCCTGGCGACAAGTGGTTTCCGTGGACCCTCGTCAGCTTTGCACACGAAGGAGACTGGGCTCGTGCCAAGTCCAAGTGCTGCGACTAGCATGTCAGGCCTTTGTAAATGACAGTAGCTATATCGAAGAGTCTTGCTCAACCACCTTTCCACGGCCGCCGCCAAGGTGGCCGAGTCTGCATCGTATCGCGAGGCTGTCCGGATCATCTCCACCGGTGGTGGTAGCAAAAGCAGCTACTACTAATTTATCCTCGGAAGCTTGTCAACACCGACACCCCGCCCAGCTGGTTGCAATTATGGAGAGGGGCTCGTGCGTTGATTGCCGTCGACGTCGAACCATGCTCTTGGACAGATTTGAACCCGCCTTGGAGGCTGTGGCCGACCCTTATTCACAAGAAAAGTCTGCAGCCCTTGTTGTTTCGGGCTCCTGCAGCGCTCGTTGGATCGGTGTCACAATCATTGCGTTCTCAACCAAGTCAGGAGCAACAGATCCAGGAGTAGCGGCCTTTGGCCGAATGCCCCAGCATCCAACTGATAGGTGTGTCCTCTTGGCTTGGGGTTCCAACGGCTAAGTGTCCTCAGTCTGGTGATCAACCTCGGACTCGGGAGTCCTAAAGAGCCTGACGGCCAAGTAAACTTACTGTTCTTTCTCGGAATATCCCAGCTACTAGGCAGCTGCAGCCGGTAGATTACCTAGACACAAGTCTGCTCAGGTCGTGCAGCACTGTGGCGCTTTTCTTTTGCTGGATGACTGCAAGACCGCTCCTACAAGTACACTGGTCAAGGGCCCGCAGTCTCGTGGTGCGCATTCCGTCATTGACAAATACAGTGCAGGGGATCGTCGCCCAACTTGTACGTCGACAATGGCCTCGGACAGGAAGGATTCTGGAGCATTTTTCTCGGCAACGCAACTGATTTTGAGGGGCAATTGTCCTTGGTCAGCAGTAACTTGTCTCGCGCGTCTCCGAAGCCCACCAGTGGCGGATATTTTGTACAAGCGGCAAGGAGCAGGCATCCTGTAAAATCACGAGTCAAGGCAGACGTCGAGACCTGCTGTCCTTTTCACGGTGGCCGTGTCATCGGCCGCTTGAAGCAGCATCCGCATCCCCCATGGCTCGAGAGGACGGCCGGGCAATCTCACTCTGAGAGTTCACGCCGACAGCACGCCCATTCATGGCTGCAGTGGGCAGAAACCGCAAACAAATCTGCCGAGCGCGAGATGCCCAGTCTGTCTCGAAGTCAGAAACTTGCCCATGATGATTCAGGTCCCAGGGCACGACAAACCGGGAGACTAGACCCTTCTCGGCCCTGACAGAGCACACAGCAGGTGCGGTGTCTCGTTCAACGATACGCGACAGGTCGTTGTCATCGAGAGGAGTCTTGGGTGCAGGAAATAGTCTTGGATGCAGGAAATCGCCACCACCAGCCCGGGCAAATCTGATGCACAGTGCAGTGACAGTCCGCGCACAGTCTTCCGGGAACCGCCAGCCCGCTCGCAGCCCCGTGTCGAGACTCCACGCTGAGACGTCGACACATCACCATCACCACCGCCATCAACCATGCCGCCCATACCGCCGCACAAACACCCTCTCCCCCGCGTCATTACCTACCACCAAACCCACCACACGCCCTCGGGCCGACACATCTCGGTCCTGCCTCTCCTCACACAGCCCTCCGTAGCCCTAACGCACCTAATCCTCGCAGCATGCCACATCAACGAGCCCCCCTGCCAGCTCACCCTCAACGACCACCCGCCGTCCGACCCGCGCTTCGACACGCTCTGGGCCGAGCTCCGCGTCCTCCAAGCCTCCGGCGTCAAGGTCCTCCTCATGCTGGGCGGCGCAGCACCCGGAACCTACCAGCGCCTAGGGTCGGAGCAATTCGAGGCCTACTACGCGCCGCTGAGGCAGCTCATCCGCGACAGGAACCTGGACGGCGTCGACCTGGATGTCGAGGAGCCCGTGGGCCTGGCCGCCATCATCAGATTGATCGACAGGTTGAGGGCGGATTTCGGCCCCGGCTTCGTCATCACCCTCGCGCCCGTAGCCATGGCCCTGCTGGATCCCGACAAGAACCTGAGCGGCTTTGACTACGAGGCGCTCGAGGTCATGAGAGGCAACGAGATTGCCTGGTACAACACGCAGTTTTACTGCGGATGGGGCAGCTTGAGCAACACCTTGATGTACGACCTGATGCTCCAAAAGGGCTGGAGTCCCGAAAAGCTGGTTGTCGGCGTCGTCACGAATCCTGCCAACGGCTCCGGCTTTGTGCCGTGGGAGATGCTCTCTGCCGTTCTGGCCATTTTGCATAGGCGCCATCAGAACTTTGGAGGAGTCATGGGCTGGGAGTACTTCAACAGTCTACCCGGTGATGCGAGCCGACCTTGGGAATGGGCAGCTAACATGTCCTCGTTGCTGAGGGCGCACTCTTTGGGTCTCGATCCAACCCCAGCCGGCCCAAATGTCCAACCCAGTGTCGATGGCGAGGTGGACCCGGACCATGCAAACAGTCGTCCTTTGGAGGTGCCCACGAGTTTCGACTACTACTCCGATGGCACGGGTGATGAGTAGACACATGAAGAGTCCGCAACGACTAGACTCGAACACCATAGGCATTGATCCACAGCAGAGCATCACCAGCCGTATACATAGAATTGGATGTATTCCTTCCAAAGACAGGCAAATGTCTAGTGTAAAGCCAGCAAAATAATCATAAGTCCACCGTACCAAACCATCTCAACATATCGCTGTCAACATGAAAGCAAGTGCCATAAATCTGTCCGCGCCTGTGTCTGATGAATCAAGTGTCATCAAGCCCTTCTTCAAAGACAAGCCATCCAAGGGTCGCATTGACCTTTAATGGTAAAGTTGTTGAACACGGGATAACTGCCCTTCATGGCTTCAATGATTTGGTTGAAAAAGTTCTTGTCGAAACGTCCAGTCTCGCATGTTGAGCATGGCGGAGTGAGGAACTGGTCGTAATGGGTCTTGTACGCGAGTCGGCCAACTACATTGTCAGTGGCAAGATCAGTTGCCTCCAATGTGAATGACTCCGGCATCACAACCCAGTTTTGAGAAGTGTTATTGGGGCCACTTCCTCCGGGGATGACGGGATTCTGGTTGAACCACAAGCTGTTGAGGCCAACATCCCGTAGAGCCTTGATTAATAGAAGAGTCATGTGTGTGTCTTCGTCAATTTGAATACCAGCACAGTCAATGGTGATATTGTAGCCAACGCCACGCACTGGTCCGCCTATGCAGCGACCAGAGTTCCTGTCCCAGACGAAATGGTTGATGAATGACTGCTAAGTGTCTTGCCAGTTGATGAATCGGGGGTTGACGCCTGAGTAAACGCTGAGGGTGCCCTTTTTAGGATTGTATGTGGGCACTGGCTGACCTGAGATAGTCACAGTTGAAGTCGTAGTCTTGGGGGGCTTGGTATAGTAGGTGGTGGCGGGAATGCCCGTGGAAGAAGTCATGGTAGATGGGTGATCCATATCGTCGGGCCGAGAAGGGGGTTGGTTGTCCTGGTTGCAAACAAAAGCGGTCCAGCAGATAGCATCGTGATTGACAGTCTTGTTGATAGCTGCGCTGACAGGGCGTCCCCGGTAAGCCCAGCAGTTGAGCATATTCTTACCATCTTTGCTGGAAACAGCACTACCAGCCTTGAAGCCATCAGGAGTGCCATCCTCGATGTAGGCGGTCCAGACCTCCCCGTTGGGCATAGTAGCAGTGACGCCCTGTGGAGTCCAAGGGTAGATGCCGTCCTTGAATGGTACTTGAACAGCCATGTCTGGGGCATTGGGGTAGCTGGAAGCAGAAGCTGGCCACTTGATATCCTTATACCAGTTCATCTGGCGAGAGGTGGACCAGTCGGGGTGCTCTTTATCATCCCCAATGCCACAGTCACAGAGAATGAGGTCACCTTTGGAGGAACTCGCGCTGTAGACCATGGAAGCCAGGCTGAGAACAGCAACGAGGCCGTTGGCAATCTTGATGGCAGGCATGTTGCTGAGAAAGAGGATGGTATTCTAGCAGAGGTTTGACGACAACTTGGACAAATCGGTAGATGAAAATGAGCAGAAAGGTGGCCTGGGAGGACTGAGAAAAGAGATGAAGAGAGAAAGAGTTGAGCGGAGGGGAAATCCGAGACCGACTGCCATTTTGCTTCCTTCGCACATGTCTATTATCACTGACAAGGAAGGAGCTGCCAGCTGGTGCAGATGCCACTGATAAGTATGGTCCGGTTTCGGAGTAGTACCTACCTGGCTAGGTACTTTTGCCCTGGAATTTGAGGCTTATATTCGAGATGGCAATCTGGGCGGTGTTTGAGGAGTTACCTGCCCTTGATGAATATGCTCTTGCCAGTTCATGGCTGCTCGTGGCCGATTTGGGATGCCGACTCAAAGCCATCAAAACGTTTTATGTTTACGAATTCCCAACTGCTTCATGCCCGATACTGAACAATGCTTGAATAAAGTGGAAAAATTTGAATAGACAAACAAAACTGAAGGAAATGATTTGCTACCACCTAGATGCTACATAATCTAAGAAATGAGTTCCATGCTGCAGCAGCAATCAACCCGCCTACCCTAGAACGTGAGCAACCCTTGTCTCGTCAGCTCGGAACTGTGATCCACTCATCCATCATGAACCATCATATTTCGCAATCCGTCACGCCAACCACCTCATGCCATAAGTTTCTCCGTCACCGGCCCAATTACCTTTGTAGACAATCTCCAAGGACAAAATCATGTTTCTTCGCGCCAATACCTGGAATCGGCTTCGCCAGCTACGACCCCGCCGCTCGACAACGTGCCTAAGACCTGGCAAACGGCACGAATTCTCGCAAGCATCGCGCATCGATCGCGTCACGAAACGACTGCCCCCGCGCCTGCAGAAATACACCAATGGTCTACGGAATGCACCAGTATCGCACATTGTGTCATTTCTCGTCCTTCATGAGCTTACGGCCATTGTCCCGCTGCTTGCGCTGTTTGCGCTCTTCCACTATACTACATTTGTGCCCGTGGCATACGTGACCGCACATTTTGGGGAGTACGTGCAGAGTGGCATATCGAGGTTTGAGAGGTATTTCAGTCGGAAGGGCTGGTTTGGATTTGCGCCAGGCGACATGGGCGAGGACAAGATGGACGACGCCATGGATAAGTGGGAGAGCGGGGAGCAAAAGTACAAGATCCTAGTTGAGGCTGCTCTGGCGTATGCAGTCACCAAAGCCTTGTTGCCTATTCGAATCATAGGCTGTGTCTGGGCAACCCCATGGTTCGCAGGTGTATTGCTTCGAACAAGACGAGCCTTGACACGAAAATGATGAATCAACAGCCTTTCTTTTTCGTCCCATCCAGGCCTCTATATGACACATTTGTTGACTATAGACATTGCTTTACCCAACAATTTCCAACTCAGCAACCATACTGGGCGCATTTAAGCCTTCTCATAGATCCAGTCGAACTGTGACTGCTTGTAGCTGACAACATCACCCTCCTTGAACCAGAGGGCAATCTCCTTCTTGGCGCTCTCGACGGAGTCGGAGCCGTGGCAGACGTTGCGGCCGACATCGATGGCGAAGTCACCACGGATGGTGCCGGGGGCGGAGTCAAGAGGGTTCGTGGCCCCGAGAATGGCTGATTTTGTTTAGCGATATGTGGGAGAGGAAGGTCATATGCAATTGCTTACCGCGGCCAGTCTTGACGGCATCACGGCCCTCCCAAACCATGGCGCAGATGGGACCAGAAAGCATGTCTCAAGGAAGAAAGTTAGTCTTTATCGATTGATTCGTAGAAGCTGAGCCGTGCGTACACTTGATCAGACCGTCAAAGAACGACTTGCTCTTTAGGTCGGCGTCTATGGGACGTTAGCAAGTACATCGCGAGTGACGTGGGCGATGCTTCACGAACAGTGAGCCTCGAGATGCTCCTTGGATGGAGTGACAAGCTTGATAGCGACAAGCTTGAAGCTGAGTACGGTCAACAAGGACTTATTCCTGCTCAAGATTCTTGATTCGATCAATCGGGATCCCTGATGGGTGGCTTCTTACCCACGGTTCTCGAAGCGGGAGATGATGGGACCAACGAGACCGCGCTGGCAATTATGAGCACAATGATATGAGTGAGGTAGAGGAATTTCGTGGCAACCTACCTGGACGCCATCCGGCTTGATAGCAATGAAGCTGTTCACATGGTGTCAGGAAGAGCGTTCGTTCATGAAAAAGCTTTTGGAGGGGTAGCATGGCGGGGTAAGCCAGAAAAAAAAAATCAAGATCTGGGCACTGAGCTCACGTCTGTTCGGCAGAAGACATTGTGCTTTTGGTTTTCGAGTCTAGAGAGGCTTGTTGAATGGACGTTAAGGCTGGATTGAATACGAGACCTGGCGGGGTTGAATGGACAGAGTTTCGAAGGGGATGCTGACGAGAGGAGAGGAAGTAAATAGCAGTGGCAGCCAGAGCGAAAGCCAAGAAGGGGAGAGCGAAAATTGGTGGGGGCAGGGCTTCCACGGCACGCCGCAGCGGGTTTCTCTGTTGGCCACGATCCGCGCTGGCGCTTCTGTGACCTTGACCTCTGCTTGCATGTGTGCCTGAAGCGGGGTTTTGTTGCTCCTGGTGGGGTCTGGCCATGATGATTTGACGGCGGTGAACGGGTCGTGATTGAAGCCGGCCCTCGGCCCCCCGACGCCAGCACTAGGGATTTGACTTGACTGCAAGACGCCTGGCGATTCCAGTCCGCGGCTGTTGTCGGTACAGTGCTGAAAACAAAGCCGTGACTGTCCATTTGACGTCGCGGCGTCCGCTTCAGCGTCTGCGTTCCAGGCTCTTCAGCAACACGTCAAGTGCGTCTAACGTGCCCTTTGGTACGGAGAACTTCTTGACTGCTTCATGCCTCAAGCCATCGGGGAAGAAGAGGTTTTGACGATGGTGTAGCAATCAAGCTCGGTAGAAATCAATTCGGATTGAAACTCGTCACAGGTACCTAGGTATCGGTCCATACAGTGCCCTCTGCACGCACCTCGCACGCCTCAAAGGCTCAAAGAGGTTGGCGATGCCAAGCCATTGGCCAGAGAACGCGGTGCGCCACCCCACATCGGGAGGCTTATTCACGGGCCCAGGGGAAATCTGGCATCGACGGACCCTGCCATCCGTGTCAACCGATCCCATCCACGATTGAGCGACAGATCTAGTCACTGTTGGACTGTCTGAGCCAGGCTTGGGTGCGCAAAAGAATCAAGTCCATCTCATGTCGCTCTCGTACTTTTCCCGGTAATTTCAGCCTCGCATTGTGCCACCTTACGCACCCTCAGCCTGTTCATTCTCGTCAACGATGAGGTCAACGCGGGGGTTGCCCACCGGATGGGCAGCTCTACTGTGTCTGCTAGCAGCTTTGGCCTGCTTGCTTCATCCGTCTGGTAATTGCAGTCTGTCGGATCCATCATGATCTCTGCTAATGCCGCGCGCCAGCATCCGTCAAGGAACACGACTTCAAAAAGTGTGACCAGTCTGGGTTTTGCAAACGAAACCGCGCCTATGCCGACAACGCTGCCGCTCACAGCTCGACCTGGAGCTCTCCCTACGAAGTTCTTCCAGAAACCGCAATATTCAAAGATGGCCAGTGGCAAGCTGTTATTATCAAGACTATCAGCAATGGCGAGAAGGCCGCCCTGCCTATTACGGTGTCACTTCTGAAAAGCGGTGTCGCCCGCGTCTCGATCGATGAGGAAAAGCGACAAAAGAAGGACGTTGAGCTTCGACATAATAGTAAAGCCCGAAAGGAACGTTATAATGAGGCTGAAAACTGGGTCATTGTCGGTGGACTGGAGCTTGACAAGCGGGCGCAGGTCGCCTTCCAGGACAAGTCTCAAGTCAATATCAAGTACGGCGGTGACGATAACTTTGAAGTTGACATTAAGTTTTCGCCGTTTGAAGTTGAGTTCAAACGCGACGGGGAAAGCCACATCAGATTTAACGACCGTGGGCTATTCAACATGGAGCATTGGCGACCAAAGATCGAGAGGGAGAAGCCCGAGGGCGATGAGAGCAAGGCAGGTGACAACGCTCAGACTGAGAGTGGCGAGGACGAGAGCACCTGGTGGGATGAGACCTTCGGTGGCAACACTGACTCTAAACCCCGTGGACCAGAGAGTGTGGCCATGGATATCTCCTTTGTTGGGTATGAACAAGTCTTTGGCATTCCCGAACACACCGGCTCAATTTCTCTCAAACAGACCCGTGGCGGCGATGGGAATCATCATGAGCCTTATCGCCTGTACAACACCGATGTGTTTGAGTATATCCTTGATAGTCCCATGACCCTCTATGGCGCGATTCCGTTTATGCAGGCTCACCGGCGAGATTCGTCTGTCGGTGTCTTTTGGCTTAATGCTGCTGAGACTTGGGTTGACATTGTCAAGGCCCAGGACAACAAGAATCCCCTTAGCTTGAGCAAGGGTGCCAAGATTAGCACACATACCCATTGGATCTCCGAGGCTGGTATCCTGGATGCTTTCGTCTTCTTGGGTCCAACCCCCCGTGATCTCACCAAGAAGTATGGCGAACTTACAGGGTACACTGCCATGCCCCAGGAGTTCTCAGTCGGCTATCACCAGTGTCGGTGGAACTATATTTCGGATGATGATGTCAAGGACGTTGATCGACGGATGGACAAGTACAAAATCCCCTACGATGTTATTTGGCTTGACATTGAGTACACAGAAGAAAAGAAGTACTTTACATGGGACCCTCATTCTTTTGGTGATCCCACGGGTATGGGACAGCAGCTGGATGCACACGGCCGCAAGCTTGTGGTTATCATCGACCCTCATATTAAAAAGGTGGACAACTATGCTGTAAGCTCGGAGATGCTCTCCAACGACTTTGCGGTTCACAACAAGGATGATGAAGTTTACGAGGGTTGGTGCTGGCCCGGCTCGTCCAACTGGATAGACTGCTTTGACCCCAAGGCCAATGAGTGGTGGAAGAGCTTGTTCAGGTATGATTCGTTCAAGGGAACATTGGAGAACACTTTCCTCTGGAACGATATGAATGAGCCGTCAGTCTTCAACGGCCCCGAGACTACCATGCCCAAAGACAACATTCATTTTGGCAACTGGGAGCACCGTGATGTCCACAATTTGAACGGCCTCACATTCCATAATGCTTCCTGGGAAGCCATGGTCAGTCGCAAAAAAGGGGAGAAACGCCGCCCGTTTATCCTCACGCGTTCCTTCTACGCTGGCTCTCAGCGACTCGGCGCCATGTGGACCGGAGACAACCAAGCCAACTGGGAGCATCTTGCCGCCTCAATCCCCATGGTTCTCAATCAGGGTATCTCTGGATTCCCCTTTGCTGGCGCTGATGTTGGAGGCTTCTTTGGCAACCCCGACAAGGACCTGATGGCACGGTGGTACCAAGCCGGCATCTTTTACCCCTTTATGCGAGCACACGCTCACATTGATTCGCGCCGCCGCGAACCATACATGCTCGGCGAGCCATACACGGAGATTCTTACAAAGACTCTCCGCCTTCGTTACTCATTGCTTCCTTCGTGGTACACGGCCTTTTTTCACGCCAACCGTGACGGAAGCCCCATTGTTCGCCCCATGGTTTGGACTCACCCATCCGAAGAGAGTGGCTTTGCCATTGACGACCAGCTCTTCCTTGGAACGACGGGTCTACTGGCCAAGCCTATTGTCGAGAAGGACAAATTCTCAACCGACATTTGGATTCCCGATGACGAGATCTACTTTGACTACACTACTTACCAGATTTACAAGACCCAGAAAAACAAGCGCGTCACCGTGGACGCTGCCATTGATTCTGTCCCCTTGCTCATGCGCGGAGGCCACATCTTCCCTCGTCGCGATATCCCTCGTCGGTCAAGCGCAGCCATGCGCTCCGACGACTACACCCTGGTTGTGACTGTTTCCAAGGATGGTTCCGCCGAGGGAGACCTGTATGCAGATGATGGCGATACGTTTGACCATGAAAAGGGACAATACATTTACCGCAAATTCAGGCTTGCTAACGGCACGCTCTCATCTGCCGAAGGAGACGGTGGCCGTGCCAAATCAGGGAAAGCTGGCAGTTGGCTGAAGGCGATGGGCGAGGTTCGTGTCGATCGCATTGTTATTGTCGGGGCCCCTGCCAGCTTGAATATTAAGGAGGTGCAGATTTCCTCCGAGGGCAAGACGTGGGCAGTCAAGGTTGAGTATCACGGTGCTGAGAAGGGGAGAGCTGCGTTTGCCTCGCTTGGTCGGGTGGGTGCCAGGATTGGCGAGGACTGGAGCATGAAACTCTAAACGTGGACTCTGGTTAAAAATAGACAGTGTAGAGTAGTGATGGCTATCTGCCGAAGTGCATGTCGAATTCCCATCAATTGTCGAATGAGCGGCCGTATGGGGGTGCATGTACTCCGTACTTTGCATGGCCATGGTTCAGAGTGTCTGAAAAATCGTCTAGGAAATCGCCTGACGCATCGTGGCGCATTCAGGGGCGTCAGGGGATCCCCCGGCATTCATGCATGGGCCGGGCTAGTTCAACGACTGGGTTCAATTTTGGAAGTTGACAATTGTCCTCTGCAGAATGTTGTTCCATACGAGCGACTGGTGTGACTCGCGACTCAGACGATGTTTTTGGCGATTGGATATGCATGACTGATGTGAATTGACCGTCGTGGCACGCATAGTCATTTGTTCCGACCAATGCGTCCTCATCTGCAGATGTTCACACAAGCGAATCATGGAGCCGTGATATGACGGGCTGTCATGCAAGGGCAAAGCGACGCCTCGCGTCTCTCTCTGCGGTGTCGTGGGTGCACAACGAGACCCGATGAATCCGACTCGTAAACGGGTTCATCCTCTCGCGTGATACGAGATTCGACCTGCTTGCAGCATGAGAATATGAGAAGCTTGGCCTGGGCCAGGCAGGATTCGTCATCAAAACGCGGGAGTCTAGACTCTGGAGATGGTCATGGTCCCCTGTCCTGAAGCCGCCACGACGGTAGCTGTTGGGTGGACTCGTGCCTCAATGGCGAACGTCGGGAGAGATCGACATGAGCTATCCAGGGCACCGAGCCTCCTGCAGCGCAGAGTCATAGCGTAGAGGAGAGGAGAGAAATATTCGAGATCGCACTAGCATGTGATCGCCACTGCTTCCGTGACGATTGTTAGATTCTTCTTTTTTTTCCGCCGTTGGCCCTTGGACGTGGGGTGGGGCTGCAATATCGGAACAGAAATCCCTCGCCCAATGCCCTATGTGGGGAGGCTTGACAGGACAGAGAAGGGTGAGACGAATTGTTGTTCTTTGACATGACTAGAAATCTGCCATTAAGTAATGAGCAAGTCATTGTTCGTGTACACGACCTACGGACACATCTTCCTAATTGAACGAGGTGGCTTTCGGGTTAATCGTTTGTGGCTCCGCTAAATTCGTCATGTTTTGCCGTCTTGTTGGCTCGTTGACATGGAGGAGACCAAGATGACGCAGCCGGGTCTGAGATCTCCACGCCGGCGTGTGATTGTTGCGTGGCTAGAGTTACGTGCCGTTGACGTGTCCAACGTCTGTCCTCTGTCGTGGCGGCTTTGGCTCATTAGGATCGGAGAAGAAAAAAACTAGAGTTCAAGCATTGAAGCTCGACATACTAATTGGAAGAGATTGGGTTTTTTTTTTAAGTTCTCCTCCGTCAATTGACGTCCATGCTCCATCAATCCTCCCAGTCTGATTGGCGGCAGCAAGCAGCCGCGGTGCTCCTGCACCCTGGCCCCGATTCTCATCCTGGCGGAAGGTGCGGAGCGGGTGGCGGTTGCCCAATTTGATGTTGAGTAATTCTTTCAAGCTTTTGTTTGCCATGCGCCTCCTCTCTTATGTATCCGCTTCGCCCCAGAAATGTTTCTACATGATCGCTAAACTCGCTGCTTGCATTCATCTGGTAGCTCGGCGGTTCCTCTTGCTGCAATATCGTTAGGCTCTGTCACCCTGGAATCTTCTGAAGAAACGAGTAGAAGCTCAGTCAGTATCCGCTTTTGCTGGTCGCTATTTCGTCACACTCGCTCCACACGTCACCGTCGAATTTCTCCAGCAAACACGACTTGCGAGGCGATAGCATGATTGCGAATCTCTGTCGTATTTAGCCATTGAAGCTAACTCGCCAAAATTGTCAACTTGGTGTTGAACAACGTGGCCAAGCCATCACTCCAAGACTTGGTTGAACCGGCCGGCCGTTTAACCGCCTGGCCCACATTGCAGAGACATACATGCGCCCGTCATCTGGGACATTCCATCACAATTTCGCTCAATCCTTTCCTATTTTGTGGCAATTCTAAAGTTTAAATATAGCTGGTTGATCCAACGGCACACGATGGGCAGCTCGGCGCAGCCGCAGGGTAATGACATGCCTCACAGCGACTCAGAGCCCTTTCCCGACTTTGAGATGCAAGATGAGAAACCGCCGCTGTCATCGCTAGACACCTTAGGCAGCATGCCGCTTCAAGAAGCTGCGGGCGTCGAGGCGACAGTCAAGTCGCCATCCATTCAACGCGCTGATGCTAGCCGCCACATCGATGACCTGGAACTTTTGCGAGCGGAGCGATTCATCTCGAATCAGGAGCACGAGGCCACAAAAACCGCATCCAAGAATCGGGCGCATAACGTTGAGCCCGAAGATGCATTCAATCCAACAGTCACCAAGGAGGAGCATATCAAGAAGAGGAACGAGGATGCAACCCTGTACAGGTTCTGGCTGTTTCTCAAAAAGTTTCCTCGATTTATTCGATACTTGGTCTACTTGTTTCCAGGAGCGGCCCTGCTTCTGATTCCCGTGCTTCTCGGCGCTTTCAGATACAACGACGGCAGTAACCTGGTTGGAGGTGACGGAGGTGTCGAACTGCTGTGGTTCGGAATCTGGCTCGAGATTGTCTGGGCCTCGCTGTGGGTGTCGCGAATGCTGACCAGTTTGCTACCAAAATTATTCCAAGGCATTGCAAGCATCCTGGGGTCGACTACCACCAAGAAATGGCGCGATATAGGTGCGCAATTGGAATTGCATACAGCGCTGTTTCTGTGGTTCCTGGCCATCTTGGTCTCATTCAAGCCTACCAACAACAAACACCGACGTGGTACTCCCGACAAAGACAGCTCTGGTAACGACTGGGTGGACATTTTGAACAAGGTCATTATATCGCTCTTCGTCCTGTTCACCCTCAACTTCGCCGAAAAGATTTTGATCCAGTGGATTGCGACCTCATTCCATCAACGAACCTACTCCACTCGAATTGAGAATAACAAGGGCGACATGCGACAACTTGTGCAGCTTTTTGAATACGCTAAAGCAAAGCTTGAGGACACAGACGAATTTTGGCAATTCCGTGACGGAAATAGCAATGCCAGCGGTGCGCAAACCCCAATGGCCAACTTCCACGAAGGTGCCCGTCAGGTACTGGGAAAAGTTGGGTATATGGCTGGGCGAGTAGGAAATGACCTTATTGGCAGAAAGGGCAATACAAACCAGCCCCGGAAAATCGTTGCCGAGTTGCTGCGGACCACGTCTTCTGCGCACACGCTGGCCCGTCTTATTTACCGTAGCGTGGTGCGTGAAGATCGGGATACTGTATACCCCGAAGATTTGAAACAAGTGTTCGCCACACAGGAGGAGATTGACGCCGCATTCGGCGTCTTTGACAAAGATCTGAATGGCGACATCTCTGTGGATGAGTTCGAGACCGTTTGCAATGAGATCCGTCTTGAAAAGAAGGCCATTGCCGCCTCGCTCAAGGATCTTGACTCGGTCATCCAGAAGCTCGACAAGGTGTTTCTTTTCGTCATCTTTGTCATCACCGTGATTGTTTTTGTATCCATCTTTTCGAGTTCTACAGCGGCAGGCTTGGCTTCAGCCAGCACATCCATCTTGGGTTTGGCTTGGGTTCTGCAGGCCACCGCTCAAGAGTTCCTACAATCGATTATCTTCGTCTTCGTCAAGCACCCCTTCGATGTTGGTGATCGCGTCACCATCTATGGCTCCACAGGCGCCAATATGACGGGCGACGATTACTACGTGACGGAAATTTCTCTTCTCTACACAGAGTTCAAGAAACTGCAGGGGCACATTGTCCAGGCTCCCAACTCTGTGCTCAACACTCTATTCATTCTCAACCAACGACGATCAAACGGTCTTTCTGATGTCATTCCGCTGCAGTTCAAGTTCGGGACGCCTGCGTGGATGATTGATGAGCTCAAAGCTCGCATGCTCGACTTCTGTTTGGCCAACAAGCGTGATTACCAGCCAACTATTATTACTGAAATGACTGGCGTTGATCAGATTCGCTCTGCCAACATGAACATGGTGTTTATTCACAAGTCCAATTTCCAAAATGAGCTCCTTCGCCTCAACCGTCACAACAAGTTTGTTACCGAACTATTGAATCAATTGGAGCAAATCGGTATCCAGGGTCCTCTTCGTGTTGACCCCGGTGGCAGTCGCGAATACCCCATGTACTATGCAGATTCACGTCCACCCGCATACAGCAACGGCAAGGAGCAGCAGCACGACATGACTGCAGGCCATGCTCCAGCTCCTTCACGCGGCGCCATGCCTCGTCATAATAGTATTAGAAGCACGCATACTACCACGGCGAGTGAAGAGGCCATTATCGACTTCCAAGACGTCTTCGAAAATCGGCGTGACCAATCTCTCGCGAGACGAATGGAGTCTATTCGAGAGAAAGACATTGCCGAACAAGCAGAAACTGAGAAGGAGTCTCGAGCCTCCACTACTGGTGCCGTCCTCACGCCCACACAATCAGTTAACTCGCAACAACGATCACGTCTCTTTGGCCGTTACCGAAGCGGGACTAAAAGTCAACAGCATCGCCGGCAGCATAGCGACGCAGTTTGATAGAGGAAAGAGGCAGGGGCGAGAAATAATACGAGATTCGGTTTCAAGTTTGGTTATTGGTGGACGGCGACAATTTCTTCGCTCCCTCATTATTTTTCCCCTTGCCAGCGGCACAGACGATGGCATATCAATACTTTGAGCAAGGGATAGACAAGCGCCAACATAGACTTGATACTTTGCACGACGCCATATGAAATGAACGTGTTTAGATTAGTATAAATAGAATGATGACTTTCATCTTCCAAGAAAGATGACCAGCGTTTGGGGTAACAGCAGCGACATGGGTCGTAAGCAACAGAGGTCGACTCTCTGTTCCGATTCACAGCATATTCGTGCATCATTGACGCGAGCACTCCGTGTCAAGAAGCTGCCTGTTCAACTTTTGTTCAACTTTAAGCGACCACGATTGGCTGCTGGAAGTTAACTCGAGACCATACCCTTGTGGAAGGTTACGCAGGTATGTCTGGAGTGGTTGATGTCGAATGGTGCTAAAAATAGGCCTCACTCATCTGGTAGCTCCTGCACAATGCGGAGAAGACTGACAAATTGGTATTCAAGTATATCTATTTGCCTTTCCATTCCAAGGGCCATTTGGGACAAGCTGCGGGAGCAAAGTCTGGTGCTATTCAGCCGCAGATGGTGGCGCTGTCCATGTGTCGTTGGACGGGACCAAGATGACGAATGGTATGCCCTTGACCTATGCAACGACCAGGTTCTTTTTCCTCGAGAAGCATCTGCCATAAGGTGGCCCCTTGCGATCCTATCTGGTTGCATTTTGCCGAGCGTTGTCCTTCATCTGCATAGCGAGATATCGTGGGCACGGGAGATGCAGTTCGACGGCGGCAGGACCCGAATGACTGCACAGGTATCGACCTAATGAGAGCCCAGCGACAAAATCCAAAACCACGACCGTGATTAAACCGACGCTGCGACACGAGACGACAAGGCTCGAGCCCTACAATGGTCGGGCTACCTCTTGGTTGGGACTCGGACTACGACGGTCGACGATGGTTCTACAAATACAGGCCCACCGGTCATATTCAATATCACTTTCCCTCCGAGGGTGATGAGTTTCCGGAGTTTGTCGACGCTGATGCACCGGCTCCAGCTCTTGCCCCCGAAGAACTACTAGAATCGCAGCAGCAGGTCAAGAGGAAGACGAGCTCGGCACGCTGCGGCGCTGACGCTGCCTCGAAACGGGCATCGACAAAGGTTGCGGACAATGGCCACGTCCACAAGTATGCCATGTCCGCAACCGCTAAGCCTATCAGTGTGGTATGGGAGGGGGACGATGATGCAGAAGGTGACGGGATGTTCCAGCCAGAGAACTTCATGTTTCTTGGTCCCGGGACATACGTCGACATGAGTCCTTTGGCTGAAGAGGAGGAAGAAGCAGCCAAACGGTCTGTTGAGGGAGCCGTTAGTGAAGGGTTTTTGGACAGCGGTGCATCTACTGGGACGACTGCAGTAGCCAGGGCCAAAGGCGTTAGTCCTCCAGGGAGCAGCAACACAACGCCAATGATGGCAAAGAGTGAGCCGTCGGCATCACCAGGGCAGACAGACGCCCAGATCAAAGGGGCCACTGCTATTGAAAGCATGTCCGTTGCTAGCAGCCCTCGCGTTGTTGAGAGCGAGCCTGTCCCAACACGACCGCCCTTCGAAATCGGATCTACTGTTGTTACCGCACAAATACCCGACTCTTCGGTAGTCCACATGATGGACGGTCGTGAGATGCCTGTGGAAATGATGGGTGACACGATCCATCGGTTCGATCCGGTAGGGTTTGTTGCTGAGATGCCCACAGAGCAAACAGCCACGGCTCGCTTTAAGCTTCCCCCTGACCCTGTGGAGATTGCGGACAAGACGGTGCTTGCACCAGCTGAAACTGCAGCCACAGCGCTTTTGGAATTGGAATTAGCCGAGTTACCGGTCCCGAGCACGCCTTCTAGGAGCAAGGAGGTCCCCATCGTGAGCTCGCCAAAGGAATCCGGAGAGAAGCAGCAGTCTGCGGGTGGTGATGGGATTACGAAAAAGGATGCTACCGGACCTGTTCAGCAAGCACCATCAGATCGCCTTCAGTCATACGAGGTCACAAGTCGCGCGGAGCCATCACCCCCTCTGGTCCAATGTACAGGTCCACCATATGCAAATGAAGGCCCTAGTCACGGTTGTGGACAGCATGGTCCTCACTCAGTACAATATGGACAGGCTGAAATATCGAACCCAGTCAAGTCGGAGACATTTAAGATTGCAAGAAAACAGCTGGGCGGCGCGCCAAGTATGCCTGCCGCACCGCAGACGCAAAAACTGGGTTATCAAGCATACGTGCCAGGCCCGGCGACTACGGCTATACCTTTGCCAAAACTCTTGAAGAGGAAGAGCATTGGGCTGCAGCGTGAAGCATCTCTGATGCTGAGCATGAAGGGAAATTCGGTGAACATGGACCCCAATGCTGTTCCTCGAGTGCTGTCACCACCACAGCATGCACTACCGAATGCGTTTATCCAGTCTGATGTGGCAGAACAGGCTCGATCAACCGAAGAAAATAGAACAGAAAAATTCAACTTTTCTCTGACACACACCCCATCGATTCTGAAGCCGGCGAGAAAGAGAAACTCGGTGCAGGATATGTGCCCTCAGCAACAGCTTCCAACACCGGCCGCTGTTGCAACTCTTGCTCAACCTCAATCTCCTAGATCTATAGCAGTGTCCAAGCTTCCATCTGTTCTGCGTCCAGCACGAGAAAGATCATCCAGCCAGCCAGGACAGCGGATCAGTGGTGCCGGTCAGCAGCTCGACAAATCTCAACCCGTCCAACAGATCAACCTGCAGCCTGTTTGGGCTACACAAGTGGTACAGTCATCACGGCCGGCCAGTGTAATGTCTATTATAAACCATGCACCATATGGATCTCAATATTCGGGCGTCGACCTCGGCCCCATTCCTCGGCGACACAATCTCACTCAACCGTCATCATCCGAGTGCACGCTGCCAGAGTTGCGAAGCCAGCCTTTGCCACCGAGAAACATGCATGAATCAGTCATCATCCAGCCTCCCCAACCCCAAGCTATTTCGAGGACTGTTCAACCCATGTCCCAACAACCTCCAAAATGTCAGTTCCAAGTGCCATCGTCGAACTGGCAGGACATTGCAGAAAGGCAGCTTGTGAGCCCCCAAAGCGCAATTGGAACTATTCAGCATTCGTCTCTCTTCAAACCTTCCAAGACCGTGGTCACCCCAGTTCTAAGCCAACCAGGCCAAGGTGAACGGAATCACCCCGTTACGCGGCGAGACTCTATGTTTACCCCTGGTGAGGTGTCCCCAACCCGACCTCGTCAAGACAGCCAAGTCTCGGCTCTGGAATCTCCGTTGCCTCCGGATGCAGCCCGACGTGATTCACCAAATCCGACTACAAGTGACCGAAACTACACTCCCCCGCCACTGACTGACACGACTGGGCCACTTGCAAGTGGCTGGACTCAGTCAACAGTACCGAATCCACAGAATGGAAACCCGCCCGTACCCTCCAAAATTCGGGAGCATGCTGGAGGCTCCTTTTCCGCTGTTCAGAGCTCGCCTGACAGGCCCTTATCTCAGGACAGGCAACTAACAATAGATGTGCCCGAGCAGCAGCAGCAAAAGACCGCTGCTCGACTCGAACCGCAGTTTCGATCTGCGCAGCAGACTGAACAACAGGAACCTCCGCAACCTAGTCCCCCCGCAAACCGGCAAGGTGAAGAAAAGAAACTGCCCGAAGAGCCCATGCAAGCTATCGGGCATCCTATTGGATATCAAGTCAAGGGACTTGCGAACCTGCATGACCACTGCTTGGCTGGCAAGCAGACCGTCCCAGCACCAAGGTCGGGATATATACCTGGACGGATCGGGGAGCATATTGACAGCGAACGAGGTTCCAAATTTGAGGAGACGCACCAGATCACCCGGCCAAGCTCTGTGGTGTCTAGTATTCAAGACTCACTCCCAGAGACACCAGTGAGTCCTTCTGGACCTACACTACAACAGCCGAAGCCGTCGGCGCCGAATCAAGTTGAAGGGCAAGTACCAACTATGGGGCAGCCTTCAATGCTGTCAACCCAAAAGGGTCAAACCCTGAATGACCAGCCGGGTATTTCTAAGAAATCACAAGGCATAATGCCACTGGGTCATATGCAAGCTCAGATGCGAACCCAAACTGCACCTGGACAAATGATGTCTACTCCTAATTCTCTGGCTGGACAAGTGCCCTCGGGACAAGGTCATTGTGGACGAGCTCATCTGTTCAAAATGCCAGGCAAGCCTCTTGTGCAAGGCTCTACATTGCTTCAGCCCCAATTTCAACGCCAAAACCAAACGAGAAAGGCACGCCAAGCATCGTCGGATCCGGATCAGCCTCAAGTGGTCCATTCCGAAATTTGCTCGACTGCCAGCGTGGTTAGCACAGCCCAGCAGGGCGTGACGCCTCGGCAAGTACAAGTATCAGCAGGTTACCGGGATTCAAATCCATCAGAGCACGACGTGACCCCAGGGCCGCTTTTTGCCCCCTCAAACCGCAGTCGTGGAGGAAATAGCGAGATGCAGCCACCAGGGGCGAACCAGGCGGCCGACAATAGCAAGTGGACCGAAAGGCCAGCAGCGGACTACTCCGGGGGTGATTGGGGCGATGAGGAGGATTGGGACCGGAGATGACGGATTGATCTCGCCTCACTTTGGTTGGACAGTTTCCTGCGTTGTTTCTATGCTCTTGGGTGTCGAGACGAAGCTTTTAGTTGTGTCGTTTAGTGGACATGAATGGCGAGGTCTGTATCGGATGTCTTGAAACAGTTTTGCAAGTCTCGGGACATGTACACTTGACGTGGTAACTTGGCGGGATGCGGTTCCGTGAATAAATATGCCGGCGGCTTCCAGTCGTGTACTCCGTCTCCGAATCATTTCGTACTACCTGGCCCTCGAGTAGCCAACTTATAAACTTACGTAAGGACCACGGTAGAACAAGTCAAGTGCAACCGAGCACTTTCCCAATGTAATGTATGATTCATGCAAAGCAGCTAGCACTCACCAATAACCAAAAGACACTACTACTGCCGGGAAGCACACGTGACAGCGCGCATCGACGCGACATGGCCTCTCCACCTCGGGCGCTATGTTGGTGGCTGTGAGGCTCTTCATGCTTTTCATGCGAAATTCAAGGCGAGTGAGTGCCTACGCTTGGAATCGCCGAGGATGCGCTCGGAGCTGGCGTGATGACGCTATTCCCGTCGGTTGCGCAGGCGGAAAAAGCCGTGTTGGACGGCCGAATTGAATCGCAGGACAGCCAGGCTATTTTGGACGCCTTGAAGGCAGAATTCGGAGTCGGCACGGTAGGTAACCTACCAACAAGGCTGTTGCGGTCAAGTTGCAAAGGGAGCTAACAAGACAGAAGCTGAGGAGTTCGCTGCAGAGAAACGGAGTCCAGCCGCCCCAGGTACGTTTGACGTGTGGCCAATCTTTCTCCCACGGAGTCGCCACCGGCTAATGCAGGCACCTGGACAAGGATGCACTTCCAAACCGGACCACAGAGCCTGCGAACGAGGCGTGTCTGACTGCCGCCGCCTTGGAACCCGGCGTCGAAAGCACGCGGCTTTGCCATGAAATACCCGACACTGCTGTTGGACAAGACGCAGTTCGTCATGAGACTGCCGACCCTGCAGCGATACAGCGTGACAGCAAGCCTCGAGCGTCGTTGAATCACGACGACAAAGCCCCCACGGCGCACAAGATGGACCTTTCGCAACAAACACAGACCCAGGTCAATGCAGACCGGGACTACGCCGATTTTTGTGAGCCGCTGCCCTCGAGCCCGGCGTATGACACAACGCACCTGCCACGGACCCTAAACCCAGACGATACGGGCGCTGTTGACTTTGGAAGCCTCGGCGAATTTGCGAGGCCGTCGTCACAAGTCTCCGAGGATGGAGGCTTTGAAAACACCCGCGGCGAGTGGAGGGGCCCCGACGATACGTCGCAATTGCAAGCAAAGCAGGCCTCGACGCCGTACAAGCGACCACACCTCCCTCCAGAGACGCCTGCGCTTCCTATAAATCCATTCGGAGCCAAGGCCAACGGCGCGGTGCCCTTTGGTGGCACCCAACTCTTTGGCCAGACGCAGTTGCTTTCGTCTGCAGCCAAGATAGCAAGCCCGACCTCGTCCCGGCCGTCGCCAAACGTCTTCCTCAACTCAATCTCTCCAAATATTATGGAAACCTCTCCGTTGAAAAATCGAGCCAATGTTTCGTCACCTACGGATATGCGAACATCTAGCCCCCCGAGGCTGCATGAAGTGCCTGCGACCGTGCTCAAGGATAACAGCCTGAGCACAGTTGCGGAGGAAACCCCTGTGCCATTGCGCTCCCGAAAAGATGAGCTCATCCCTGAGTCGCCCTCATTCAAGACACCGTGGCCCTCCGTTACTCACCGGCCCATGGCACATTATGAGCCGATGAAGCAATCACAGGAGAGAAAGAGCAGTGGAGATGGCCGAAAGGCCCGTTCTGTAGCCGGCAGTGAATTCGATGAGGCGCTTCAACAATTGGATCGGAAGAGACGTGTGGAAAGAAAGAGGGCACAAGCTGCTGCGGAGATGGACAAGATTACTTTCACACGAACACAAAGGAGATTGTCAGATGAACAGCCCGGGAAAAAGCGGCGAAAGCTAGGAACAGAGAATGCGAATACTGACGATGCGAAGAAGCAGGGTCAAGGCCAGCCGCTCGTGCGGGACTCGCAGAAAGCCATCCCACAATCTGCAGAGCAGCCGCCAGTAGAGTCGACGAAGGCGACACCTGCTGCGGTGATCCAGTCGTTCGATACCCAAAAAGAACCCGCAGATACTCAACCGCTCCTCGAACCCGTGGACGAAGAAATCATTCCGGCGACTAGCCCTATACGCTCCTCACCAGCCGTCTACCCACGAGACAATGCGCCATCAGCGTCTGACACAGAGTTGCCCTTGCTGGGAAGAAGCGGAACTGAACGGGGTCAAGATGCGCTGGACGACTCTTCTACGCCGCCGACGCGACGGCGATCACTGCGGACTTATGGCAGACGGGGACGTGGTACTCGAACACGATTAGCTGTGGTGTCGTCTGCAGAAGAGGCCGAGCAGGAGCCAGTGGAACCCGCGAAACAGCCGGTGGACAAGATGGAACAGCCAGACGACACGGCCAAGGAGAATCTTGCGCCGCCGAGCTCATATTCAGAGCCACCTGTTCCCATGGGCACAAGATCTCGCCGAGCCGAACCAAGAACCCGGACACCACGCAGATCGATGGATGTTGGCAGCCATGCCCTGACATCTTCCAGTCTTACCAATCTATCAAGCACACCCGTGCCATCATCCAAAACTACACCTGGAACGCAGGCCTCAGGCCCGCCGGACCGGTCCGAGCTGGCCCATCCGGGGTCTCTTGAAGACAGCGTTCGACTGCCGCGGAGGCGTGCCCTGGACGGACTCAACTCTGAATCCCCGCCGCTATTGACCAAGGCTGTGAAACTGTCGCGACGATCGTTGCGGATGGATTCGGACTCCACAGATGAGCTTTGCCGCTCACCATCTGCCACAGCTCTCGACCGAAGCGTACGCTCGAAATCAGTGCGGCCGTTTCGGACGAGTCTTGCGGCAGCCTCACGAACTCGCCGGCTCTTTGATGGGATGGCGTTTGCGCTATCACTCTCGGGTAGTCAGGCTCAGAGGACAAGGTTGGAAGCCAAAATCTCGCAGGCTGGCGGCACGATTTTACAAGAGGGTTTCGCAGAGTTGTTTGAGCAGTGGACGATAGCACATGCCAGCTCCATTCAATACGACGACTCACCGCCACTGCAGCTCACCAAAGTCGGCCTGGAACATGGCTTTGCCGCCGTCATCGCAGACTCGCACTCTCGAAAGGCCAAGTACATGCAGGCGCTGGCCCTCGGTCTGCCTTGTCTAGCGCCGCAATGGGTGACGGCATGCCTGAAAAGAAGCGAGATCATAGACTGGGCGCCGTACCTGCTATGTGCCGGGGCGTCTCAGGTGCTTGGCAACGCCATCCGGTCACGCATCCTAGTGCCATACCCTGCCCTGGATGCCAATCTGTCCAAGACGATAGAGGCACGGGACAAGCTCCTGGACGGGCAAAAGCTCCTCATCGTCATGGACCACAAGAAGTTGCGGAAAGAGACCAAGCAGCAGTACCTCTTCCTGGCCCTGGCCCTGAGTCCGTCGACGGTATCACGCGTCACGACGGCCCAGCTGGCGGGGGAGGCGGTCCGCCACGCCGAACGGTCCGGGTCGCCATTCGCCTGGATATACGTCGACTCGTCGACCGCAACCCTGGAAGACGTGCTGGCTGCCGCGCAAGAGTCGGGCAGGCGGAGGAGAAAGGCGGCCGGCGACCCGGTCGGACAGGGCATGCGTGTACTGACTGACGAGCTCATGATTCAGAGCCTGATACAGGGGCGGATGGTGGACCTCGGCGAGATGGAATAGTAGTGGGACTCTTGGGCCGGTGACGACTGTGATTTAGCAAGTAGACACATTTATTGCCAGCGAATCGGTTCTCGTCTGATTATCGGCTTGTGGTCTGAGAAGGAAGCGAGGCTGGCGATTGACGCGCTCGCTTCTGGGAGCCTGACCAGCCAGCCACTTGGTTGCTATTGCATTTCGTGTGCTCTCCATCGTCGCCCTGCTTTCGTGGACCTATCCCGGCACGGGGGCTCAACAACAAGCTCGATGCACATGGTTTCTGCCCGCGCTTTGTGTCCACCCACGAGCTGGCTAGCTGACCGGGAGAAGGGAGGTCGCGCGTTACCAGATATTAGTCGGGGGCCGCGGAAACGAAGCCATAGTTTCCAAAGTGTCGTGCTCCATGTCAGGAGAGGGGGGCCCAGCACTGATCTTGACGGCCATTGTGTGCGGTCAACGATTTTGTCATGCGACAGGTGCAGCATGACGTCATATTGTCCTGGCTGGGACTTGCGTGTGCCAATGCGTACGCAGTCACCATCGACCATCACTGGCCACCTCCGCGTCGGCGTGACGAGTCCGTTCGAGGTCCAAAAGGCCGAGCGGGTATCGGAACCGACGCTGGCGGCGAATCGGCTGCGTCTCTCTCGGTACTGATACACGCCAAGGCTCATGGATTGCCCCTCCCGTCGTGGAGTCGGGAGCCTTGGCTTGTCGTCGTCATTCCTCCCGTCAGTCCCAGTCCCGTCCATCCGGCCACAGCATCGTCAACAGTGAACACTCGCATGGGTCGATTTCCGAACCCGCCGACGACGACGACGACGACGACGACGACGCACGGGGCAGCTTCTTGCGTCCAACGGCCATCTAAACGGGACGTCTATTTCCAGCCGCAGCCGCGTCCGCGCGTGACGCACCGGCTGTCGTGCCCCGCAGCGCCCGCAGCGCCTCATCTCACCCTTTGTTCGACTTGGCGACGACGACATCGCCATATAGATGATGCCGCTGACGCCGTCAGCGCCGGAGCACCCAGATCCAGGCCTGTCCTCGTCTCCGTCAACCAGTTTCTACGCCATGAGTGACGATGAAGAGGGCGGCTATGACACCATCACACATACCGAGACGGGACGAGGCGTGAAGCTGCTCTTCTCCAAGAGCAAGGTATGGATGATGCCTTCATCTCTTTGTACTGCGCCGCCCTTGTGGCCGGTGTCTCTTTCTGGACAAGACTAACCTGTCCCAGGTCTACATCCACCCGACTCCTTCAGCAAAAGACAATATACCAGGCTACATGGCGCTGCTGCAACAAAAGCCGCCGACTGGACGCCCGACATCCTCCTCCTCTCACGAGTCCAAGGCTCCCGGCTCATCCGATCTTTTGTTGGCCTGGGTTCCCGAGTCAGCTCTCGGAGACTCGGCGAGCATCTACGTCAAAGTCGATCTCTGCGATGGCGACTCGCCACCCAAGCAGTCCTACCTCGTGCCCCCTCCGCCCACCGTCACATCACATAGCGGTTCGGTAGGCGGTTATTCCTTTGCCATCCCCGTCAGCGCCATATACTCTCTGCTTGTGCGGCCTCCGAGCCTAGGATGGTGGTATGGCTCCATCGTCATCAATTCCAGAGCTGGGGACAGCTTCCCCGCGCTGTTCTTCCACGACAACGAGTGCCAGAGCACCATTCTACAGAAGAAGAAGCTGGCCCGGGATAACTTCGATCCATTTGGTGAATCTGGACAGGTGTTCTGGGGAGCAGACGAAGTGCTGCGATGGCTGAAGCGATACGTCAAGACGGAACGTTCAGGTGCCGAACCTAACATCTATCTTGTGGAGCCCAGCAAGGACGACCTAGAAGCTTTCGGCCCCGGGGCCGACGGTGTGTCGAAGCAGACCATGCCCGGCAACAATGCTGCTGGGAGCAGTCGCGACGCCCAAGCGGATCCGTTTGTCAAGTTTGTCAAGGAAACCGGCTGGCACATTATGAATCAGTTCAGCAAGGTCACAACGTTTACCAGGAGGGCGGCTCAAGACTTTGCAGAGAATAATAATTTGCCTCCCCAGGTGAAGAGGCTGCTGAGGAACCCCGAAGTGCAGACCCTCCAGGATGAGTTTGACAGCGCGAGGATTTATCTTGCCCGCTGGGCCATGGGCATGGCGGAGCAAAGCGAGAGGGATCGACGGGGACGAATCTGGACCGTCAAGGACGTCGTCGATCTGGAAGACACGGACGTGGGGGAGTTTGAGCTGCTCCAAGGAGCGAGCGCCCTTTCCCTGGAAGAGAGACGGAAACCCGTCACCATGGCGGAGTGGGAGACGTTTTACGACCCCGAGACCGGCCGGTTGTCCTTGACCGTAGACGAGGTCAAGGAACGCGTCTTTCACGGCGGTCTCGACGCCGAGGACGGCGTTCGCAAGGAAGCCTGGCTGTTCCTCCTGGGCGTATACGAGTGGTACGGGACCGCCGACGAACGAAAGGCGCAGATCGCCTCACTGCGCGATCAATACTACCGGCTGAAGCACTCTTGGTGGGAGAGACTCGCGGGCGACGGGGGCGAAGGCGAGACGGGCGACTGGTGGCGGGAACAGAGAGGCAGGATCGGTACGTGGGACGAAGCAGCAACGCCGACAAGCCCTCTCACGCGTCGCTAACACGTTTTGCAGAAAAAGACGTCCACCGAACAGACCGCACCGTGCCCATCTTCCAGGGAGAAGATGCACCCCATCCGGACCCCAACTCGCCCTTTGCCGACGTCGGCACCAACGTCCACCTGGAGCAGATGAAGGAAATGCTCCTCACGTACAACGAGCACAACAAGGACCTGGGCTACGTCCAAGGCATGTCGGACCTGCTGTCGCCCATCTACGCAGTCATCCAGGACGACGCCATCGCCTTCTGGGGGTTCCAGAAGTTCATGGAGCGCATGGAGCGCAACTTCCTGCGCGACCAGTCGGGCATGCGCGGCCAACTGCTCACGCTGGACCAGCTCGTGAACTTCATGGACCCCAAGCTGTGGAACCACCTGCAGTCGGCGGACAGCACCAACTTCTTTTTCTTCTTCCGCATGATCCTCGTGTGGTACAAGCGCGAGTTTGCGTGGGTAGACATCCTGCGCCTGTGGGAGGGCCTGTGGACGGACTACCTGAGCGCCGAGTTTCACATCTTTGTCGCGCTGGCGATCCTGGACAAGCACAGGGACGTCATCATGGGCCATCTCAAAGCCTTTGACGAGGTCCTCAAGTACGGTACGTGCGCCGCGAGGGCCGAATTTTTGTTTTCTTTTTTTTTGTTTCTTTCCCTTGAATTAAAAAAATTTAAAAAAAGAGAGAGAAAAAGGTCGCAGGCTAACGCCGTCGGCAACAGTCAACGAGCTCTCCAACACCATGGATCTCGAATCAACTCTCATCCGGGCAGAAGGCCTGTTCCGCAAATTCCAACGCCTGGTAGAGGCCGTCGACAAGAAGCAGAACTTTCCCGGACCCAGAGCGGGCTCCCCGGCCCAGGAGCCACGGCCACGCTCACAAGCACAAGCACAAGCACAAGCATACGCACAGGCACAGGCACAGGCACAAACGTCACCCGAGGGCAGAGAAGCAGAGACGCAGCAAAAGATCATCTCACACGAACTAAGACGTCTCCTGAGCAAAAAGGTAGAGGTCCTGCCTCGCAAGACGGTCGCACAAAGGGGCGACGGGATGCCAGGGAAGTAACTGTGCTCTTCTTCGCGTGTAATCATACCTATAGTATAGCCGGATCAGCGTTTGCCCCGTTCGCCTCCTCTTCGCCCACTACAGCAGCGAGTGAAGGACGCTCCGTCATGGGAAGCACAGACGTAGAATCGGACCGCGCGTACGTCGCTGGCTCGGCACCCTCGGCGGCGCCGCACCCTCGTCGTCCTCCGTGCCTCCTTGCCTCCTCGAAAACACAGCCCACAATGTCACGCGTACCCCCGGGGACCGCCGGGCACGCCCGGTCGCCCGCTGCCCCTGCCCCTGCCCCTATCCTGCGCGGAGCGGTCGTCGTAGCCCGCGCCCTGCCTCGCGGCCCCCCACAGGCGCTGCCTGAGCCTCCGGCCCTTGTCGCCGTAGTAGTTGCGCAGGACGCGGCACACGTGGGTGTCGTCTTCGCTGTCGCCGTCGTTCTCGGACGCCAGGAGCGTGGAGCGCAGGGACGAGATTTGCGACGTGGTCCTCGTGAGGATGTTGGTGTACCACGATGCCATGGTGGGCGGAGTTGTCGGGGGGTGGCGAGGCGGCTGAGACGGCTGAGGCGGAAGGGATGAGCAGATGAGCGGACGGGCGGATGAGCGAGACGCACGACGTCTGTGGTGCCTGTGAGATCGGGGCTTTTTCGACGACCGCTCGTCGAAACGACACGCACGCACGCCTGCTGGATGCTGGATGGACGATGAAGAGGTTCAAGTTGGAGCCGCGTGTGGGCGGGCGCCTCTGCGTGCTCGTTTCGTTGTTCGTTGTTCCGAGGCGTCGGGTGGGGCGGCCAGAGACGGGCTGCAACCGCCTCGTGCGCGCGCACGGACTGCTCGCCACGATTCCTGCTTGTCACTTGGAAAACGTGGCCGTGGAAGAATTATACACGGTATTATTAGGCTGGCTTGGCTGGTGCTGCCAAGTGGCCGCAGCACCAGGAGATGCAGGATTTCAAGAGAAGAAAAGTATGGAAAACATCGCACCCAAGTGACGCCGCAACGCCCGCCGTCGGCTGTGACGCAAAGACGCAGTTTTTCTTGTCCATCACGCACGCACTCTTTTTCCGCTCACCACGCCAGGTCGTTGGTGAGGGCCAACTTCTCCTTCTCCTGCTTGGCCTTCTTGGCCTTCGTCCTGACGGCGTGGCCGCGCTTGCGTTTCGCCCCGACCTTTTCCTCCTCCGCCTCGCTGTCGTCTTCCTCCTCCTCATCCTCCTCCTCGTCGTTGTCGCTCTCCAGCCAATCCTCCAACTCGTCTAGCTCGGCCTCGCTCCCATCCACATCCGACACATACTGGACCTCCAAGTCGCCGTCCTCCATGTCCTCTCCCTCCTCCTGCTCCTCCGAGTCGACGCCCTCATCCAGGTCCTCGTCACGCTCGCCCTGGCCGTCCCTCTCCATAGCGTTGAGCACCTTCTTCCAGATGTTCTCGCTCACGTTGAGCGGCTGGTCGCCGTAGGCACCCTGTCGCAGCCGCTCAACCAGCTCGCGCTCAATCGTGCGCTCCAGCTTCGCCGCGGCCTCGGCCTTGCGCTCCCTCGCCTCCTCGCGATGCTTGATCTTGGGCGCCAGCTTGGGCACCAGCTTCTCCCCGAGGCGCTCCTCCTCGGCGGCGATCCTCCTCATGCGGATCTGCACCTGCGTCAGCCGCGTCAGCCGCTGCTTGCACTTGTGCAGCAGGAACTTGGGCCAGTAGACGAGGTGCTCATCAATCTGCCCCAGCGCCTTTGTGTAGTTGTTGGACAGCTTGATCTTCTGCCACATCCTGGACGGCAGGTGCGCGCGCTCCACCGTCTTCATGTACAAGTAGAGCGTCTGCTTGGTCGGGTGCTGCCGCACCGTGGCGTAGCGCGAATTCGCGAGCGGACACGACTGTCGGTTGCAGAGGCCCGTGACGTTGTATTCATTACGGCAAAAGTTTTGCTTCTTTTCTGTTCTGCACGCCTCGTCAGCGGACTGTCTTTGCCTTGTGCTCCGGCGACAACGCGAAGGAAGGCTTGAAAGGAAACAACGGGACGAGGGAGAGGAGAGAGAAAAACGGTGTACGGGGCGATAGGCGGCCGCCGGTCCTCAACTCACTTTAGTTTAAAAGAGCAAAACTGCTGGTTGATAATCTGCCAAATAATCTCGTCCGAGGCCATCTTGCCCAACGTCCCTCGAATCTCGACCGAGAAAGGAGGAGAAAGAAAGAAGAGGGGGAAAAGTAAAGGATTCCAAGTCGTCGAGCCGTTGGAAAGGAGGCCAAGAGGAAGGGGATTCAAAACGGCAGGCGAGAAAAAGAGGTCCCCGCCGCCCGATTTTTTCTTTTTGACGCGGCGCCCAGCAAAGTTCGCTTCCAGGAATTTTTTGCCAGACACTCATAGGCCAGCCCAACCTGCACCTGCCGGCACGGCGCCACTCCACACTTCACCGCCTTCTCTTCCCGGCTCTTCCTTTCGGATGCGGATCAACGCAACGCCGCTCCGCAACGACCTCGATGCTTCTGAGCTGTGGGGACCGCGGCGACGACGTCCCGGAGCGACGAGCGGCAGGCAAGGCAAACCTCCACCTCCGACCAGACAACCTCGACGTGCCAGTAAAGCTGTGCGAACCCACCGTGGCCACGACGTCTTGTTGTGTCTCCGTCTCCGTCTCCGTCTCTGTCTCTGTCTCTGTCCCCCCCCGCGCGTCCACCACATTCTTGCGACGTCACGCTTAGACGAAAAACCCTCCCGCGACCGACCGACGGGGAGCAGCGACTCGCAGCCATGCCTACCGCCGGCCTCAAGACCATCATCTCCCTCTCCTTCGTGCTAGCAGTCGGGTTCCTGCTCGTCATCCTCTCCTGCGCCCTGTACCAGTCGTACTTCCCGCTCCTCGTCGTCGCCACGTACATTGTCGCCCCGCTGCCCAACTGGATCTGCGGCCGGTGCGCCAACCCGGACGACTTTGTCGAGAGCTCGGGCGCCGCCGTGCTCGACCTGGGCCGCTTCCTCACAGGCTTCCTGGTGGTGATGGGGATGGGTAGGTCGCGGGCCGCAGACCCCCCCCCCCCCCCC